TAAATCAAAAAGGTGATTAAATGCATAACCATGTTTTCGGGGTAATCTGACATTGCCCCTAAAACGTAGATAATTTATCTAGACATACCTTCTTATTCTTCTCTCCTGGACTTATCTATAATTTAATATTTTTATTATATATAGACCAAACAAATGTACTTCCAAAGAGTATTTATTTCTACATTAATTTGCGTAGCTTATTCAAAAAATACTTGATAATATTATTATATTAATATTTCAAGCAGTTTTTCAAAATATAATGTGTTTGCCGTATGTTATTATGAAAATATAGTGGGAAGTCGCCACTGTGATTAAATAGAATTTCTCATACTTAATTCAAAACTTGAGATAATAATCATTAAAACGTCTATATTTATTCATATCTCATCTATTTTATAAGCTACGAGTAATAAATATACGAACGTCAATCTTTTAATTGTTTTACTAACCTAATAGAACTATTAAAATCTCGATATTATTAAGTTTTTAAAGATTTTTCATATAACCAATGAATAAATTCATCCTTCTATCCTCCTTAACTAGGAATTCAAACAAAAATTGACCTGTAAGAATAAATATTTTTTCATAAAATACTTCTTTCTGGCCGTCAAAGAAATCCGTTAATTCTAATTGAAATACGAAAACTATACGTTACGCTCATTCGTTTTATGGAACACGTAGTAATTGATACTTCGACCTAAATAACTGTAACTTGCTTTGATCAAAACCCTTGCTTGACAGGGCACTCTTGATATTTGTTTATATTTCATGGAATAAATATGGAATATATATGGAAAAACTCCATCGTTGCTAGAGAGTTGACGTTTTGTGAATAGCGGGATTTGTCTCCTGTTAAGAAATTCTCAATAACAGCCCAGAATTAAGAAGTTATTTCAATCTCTAGCTATATCTATACAGATAAATAAAATTGAATTATGTTTTTAATGTTCACATAACAGCTTTTTACTACTAAATGCATATAAAATTGTATACGTTACTTATAAGAAAAACATAATTTAAAATGTTTTTGTCTGTCAGTTCCTCTGTCTATTTATCTATCTGTCTATTTTTTCCGGTTAATCTCTAAAACGGCTGAACTGATTTTAACGGGACTCCCTTTTTAGATAGCTGATGTTATAAGGAGTAACTTGGGCTACTTTTATTTTTGAAAAAGAGTAAGGGTTCCGCTCATAAAAATTAAAAGTTGAGTCGCTAATATTTCATAAAAATCTTAAATTCGTATTATCTTCTGGCTATAAGTTCATCCATTTCCAGGTCTATATTTTGAGATTAAGAAATTTGAGAAAGCATTACTGTTTCTACACACACTTATACTACACTTATACTAAGACTTTACACTCGAAAATCGTTTAGTATTTAGAATAACGGAGAATTAAAGTCGTGCTACGTATCAAGCTGGCAGACGTTGCTGACACATCTCTTTACGGAAAAAAATATGTATATGAGGCAAAATAAATATTTTATTATTAAATAAATATTTCGTCTATTTGCGTCCGACTTATGAAAAACTGAAAAACTCGTATCAAGATGAAAATTGAAGGAACTAAGTTATCTTTAAAATAAATCTACGCTCAGTATAAATGTCATATCGTATTCTGTCATGAGTGTTATATTTATTACATACCTAATAATATCTATGTATTATGTACTGCTGTGTACAATATTTTTTATTTATTTGTGCCTTTACAAATCCTTCGTAACATAAACTATATGTATGTATATAAATCATTATTGAAAATAAAAATGTAGTTAAATATATTTATTATTAAAACCATATCATGAACGTTAAAATATCTCAAAACAATTTTATAATGTTATTCATTAATTAAACATCAAATTTTATTTAATTATATAACTTGTTTTACAGGTTTGAGAAAAAACATTTATAATTAATATGCAAAAAGTGGTTCATTTTGTGATATAAATCGTTTAATAGTTATAATTGTTTAGAAAATAAAATAAGTTAATAACTTGCGTGAGTAACTCTAGTTTTACTGTAATGGACAGTAATCTAACACGACTAATGGAATTTTAGTAATATAGCCAGTTCGTGCGTAGGTAATATAATATTGCCCAAGTATATTATTAAACATTCATGTAAGCCAATGGAACCATGCCTTAATAATAGAGTAGTCTGTAACTCACATTCATACATACCCACATGATTATTAAGTTATAATCTACTAATATTATAAAGCTAACATCTTTTTATTTGTTGAACGTTAATCTCGGGAACCAGTCCGATTTGAAATTTATATTGTTCATTTTATAGTCTATTTAATGAGGAATGTTGTAGGCTATCTAATATAAGTACGACCCTTAGTTAGGGAGCAAAGAATTATCTATAAATAAACTTTGCAGGGGGAGCTGTGGACAAAACCTGGTATTAGACTTTGAGACCACATAGACAGATTTCATTAAATAAACCGTTTATTATGATTCAATAATTGATTCTCTTTATTTTTAACTATAGTATATTGGATAATATAAATATGATCATTTGCGTGTTTTTAATCCCTCCACGACCGCGGACACGCCGGAGTTAAAGTTAACAATAGATTTCTTAGAAATTTAATTAATTTCTTAGAAGTTTACCTGGAGGCGGGGAAATGAAATGGGAGATTGAACAAAATGTTTGTTGCATTCGTTATGTACGAGCACTTTGAATGTAATTTTAAATTAGAATTTTATTAATAAACACGAATATCTAATATTCATTACACAATTTAAATAATACCTCGTTTAAAATCAAAACTTACTCAAAATAAACCTGAAATGTTATAAACTATTTGATAAGAAGAAAAAGGTCGGCTGTATTTTACGGAACCATTGACCGTAGTCGTGAGGCCGCCTCGCGTGGGACTCGAAGTTACCACCTCTCATATCTTCGCTATGTACATTATTACCAGCGTTTTAAGTTCAAAATTGTCTGCATATCTGCACTTGCTAGCTGGCGTATTCTACAATAGAGGGTCGCACGTTGATTCACGTTTAAGTAAACTAGTGCACTGTAACTGTGGCCTGGGACTAGCAAAAACCTCTTTTATCACAGAACTAACTTCATGCTCAATATTTCATAGATGTATATGAATATGGCATAATAGGCAGTTTTTTTAATTGATATTTTAATAATTATAATTATTGTATGTTTTCTAATTTTCGTTATTTGTGGTTTTATTATGTCTGTAAGCAGTGTTTGTCACAAAATAATTTTTACTCTTCTATTCTAAATGACTAATAGCGCGTTTTTCCCAATTAAACAATTTTTTTTATAATTAAGGTAGATTCAATGTCACAAAGCGTAAATTGGATTAACCATGACAATATTTATCTGGATTACATATTGAATTTTCAAAATGTGGAGGTTGTTGACAAGAGAACTAAGTTTGGGTCCATACATAGATATATCAATAATATAGTCTTTATACACTTTTTCGTATATGTAAATGCTCAGTTTACTACTGATACTTACATCTAATAAATTACATACATTGAAAATGATACATCGAGAGCAAAAGCAATATTCCAATAATTTACACGTTCTAGAATCATATTATCAACACCTACGTGACGTAAAACTAACTTAACTAGTCTACAAAGATAGCAAAGTCAGACGTGTCATTAAAGTCCCGAGAGCAACAAATAAACATGATCAGTTAATGCCTTGATAAACAGAAAGAACTTTGAATAATCGTAACAGAAATATACATTTTACTGCTTTATTTAAAAATTTCAAAAAATATTTCGTTATCAAACTTTGTACCTAAACATAAAACACTTACAAAAGACATCAACGCGTCCTTGAGTTTGATATGTTGTAATACTGATTATTTCGGTATCAAAGTAATGTGAAGTTCATTAAAATTATGCGTAAAATTTAATTAATGTACATTAAAATATCTTTAAATTTTATAAATTGACTTATGATATCTGATCTTATAGTAGGTATCATGTAAATTTATTTGTGTATCATGTACAGATAATTTTTTATTACAAATTTAAATTATATTTCGCATAATGATATTCCTTCAAATCGATATCCGAAAGTAGAAAATTACGAGGTCAAATGAAAACCTGATGTCGGGATTTAGCAATCTTTTCCGTTTCCAGCAAATTACATACATACGTGCACTAAGCCATGTAAAGTATGCACGGATCAGGAATGTGTTTCCAAAGCAAGTGTATTTATAAATGTTCATTGGTAAGATTTTTTGCGCTTACATTACGCAAGCTATACGATGAGCTCATTCATACTAACTTAATATTATATACCGGTTTCTAAATCTTTATTTCAAAGTAGTAAGATTCCAAACGATTTCTTCCAAGTAATCTAATTACGCCATTTCAATAATTACATCCATGGACTTCAAAAACAAGTCGATTAATGTTTTGAAATATCTATATGCTAAGGTCATAACTATTACGCAATTACTAATAATACAAATACCTACAAGTTGGTACATTCTTCCTCCTCTATTCCTTTTTAGATTTATAATACTGAAAACAACAACAACACGAGTGTCAAGATTATAAATCAAGGCTCTTTTACATCAAAAAGTGTGTAAATGCCTGTGTTAGAAATGTTCTTAGCGTATTTCTTTTTGAAAATTTGTGATATTTGAAAATATATGAAAGGGTTAGCACGAATGTTAATAATTTGGAACATTCATACATAGAGACAAATCTGTGGTAACATCGCTGGCAGCATTTCTAACTGGTTTGACCGCGTGTGACGACAAGTTCCTTAATCGACGTAACCGCAATCGAGACCCGACTCGATGATCAGCGACTGTAATACTGTAATCTTTCTTGAATTACTTGAATTCCATAGAAATATGCGATGCTCGTGGTTATCTTGGAAACGCAAACAGCTAGTCCAGTAACTATATTTATAATTATTAATTACAGAATTATTATTAGAAGTTTTTCGCGAGAGTTAACATAAAAATACGTATAATAAAATAATTAAAATTGCTTACCTCTGGTGGAGCAGCGAATTTTAGATTGGCGAGAGATCCATGCGATCGACTCCTATGTTCTTGTCTTATACTATAAGAAAAAGCTCGTTCGTTTAAATGTCCTTTTTTTCTGTAAATACCGCCAGAATCCTCGACAGCTTCGAGGCCTGTCATACTTTGAGCGGCTTTCATTGCTGAAGGCGGAGGTTTCGAACGTCTCGGGTCAACCGTAGCGTACTGTATGCGTCCTCTCCCGGGAGGGGGTCCCGGCGGAAAAGGACCAGGAGCTAAAGCTGCCGGGACACGACCCCGGTGGCCCATCGTTGCTGGTCTAGCATGTGGAAGAGTGGCAGCAGGATGTGCCACCAGAACCATCGGGTGACCCGCCGCCGCCCAGGCGGGCGGTGCGCGCCCTAAAGACCTTCCATTCATTACAGCTGGACCAGGCATCGTTGCATATAACTCATCTGCTGATGCCGAAGACTTCTTTTTTGATTTCTTTGTAATAGATTTCTTTTTTGGCTCCTCAGGAGGCGGCGGCGGAGGTGGAACAGACGCGGGTCGTGTGATCTGCCGAGGACGCGGGACCCGCGTTGGATGAGGAACATCATCACTCGCATCGTCGCGTTCTATCTCCCCAACCCATACTTTATGATTTTCGTCTCCGTCGAAAACTTCAACCTCCTCATCAGGCTCAGGTGGTAGCTGTGACGGAGACCTCTCAGCTTCTAATCGTTTCGCATATGAACTATCGGCATACGCATGGAAACAGCATCGCACAAGGGCATTTGCGGCCGCTTCGCGACGACAGATAAAGGCGTGACATTCCAACACCTTAATGCCTTGTGTACGACGCAACACCGCTGCGAATAGTGGAGGGCGTCTCGGCGCCGGCGCTCTAGCGAAAGGAGAATCCAAAGGTAAAAATCTAGGTGCACCCTCAACACTGACACGTCTCACAGCTGCGCAATAGTGCAGACTTGATATAGGAAAAAATCGCGATACCCTCGAGCCACTCTCGTCCACGTTTTCTAGCAAGATTCCGTTTGACCAAACCGACAGCCACGAGTCTATTCCGCCGGTAGTCGCCCCCTTTTCCGGATACAACTCGCGCAAAGGTTCCTGAATGCCCTGTAGGCCGTCCTTGCTCTGCTGCGGCACGGCAGAGCCGAGGTACAGCACGCGGCACCGACAGATCGGCGTCGATTCCATTTCTAACACTGCACTATCACATGACACTTAATCACTAGAAGTCACTGCAATTGATAACTTATTGTTCGGTCACTCGTAGCATAGACGTACGTGCGGCAGCCGCGAGACGGGCGCGGGTCTGAGTGAGCGGAATTCAAGATGGCCGGTGAGTAGGCGCGGCAGGAGGGGAGCGAGGGGGCGCGCAGGGAGAGGGGGGGGAGAGGGACGCAGAGGCTATACCTGCGCTTGCGCACCTGTGAAGACGCCTCTAAGGGTATAGGTAGGTAAAGTAGTGCCGATGAACCGGCATTGTGTCAAACGATCGTTGCGAATTCGGTCGCATTTCTCTCGCCTACGCGTCATCACATGCATAGATCGACGTGATGGAATGTCACACTTTTGTCTTGTTGTAGTGATATCTGAAGGTCAATTTATTAATGAGAGATAATTATGTTGTGGTTTCAATGCATGTTTGATATGAGCTTGTTTCCGGCAATATGTAATTTATACTAGCCTAGATATATAACCAATATTTACTCAATATCTATTATAATAGTAGTATTATTTCATTCACCTGCTACTTCTAATGCTACCACTACACCGACAACGAAGCTAGTAGAACTAGATTCAATATAAGAAATAAAATTTTATTAAAATTGATAACTAACGACTTAAGCTAGTCTAAAAGCACGATAACGTTACATATAACATTACCGTGCTAAAATTCTAAGTCAGTCGCATTTGCAAAGTGAACTTTACATTCCGAAGTTTACGTTGAGTTGATATTTCCATATTATGACATATTTCTAAGCTAAATAACCTGAATATTTTTAAATTACTTTCCCGTCTCAAACAAAACTATCTTTTCGGATTATTTCGCGGATTTATATTGATGAAAAATGTTCCAAACAAGCCTCCCAACTTGGGAGGCATTTCTAAGAAAATGTTGCAAATGGTCACCAAATTTGAAGCGCTAAAAATTGACTTTATTTTTGATGTGTGTAATAAATGCTATGCTAGCAGTCTTATAAATCATCTAATTATTACCCAAGTATTATATATAAAAATCAGCTTTTATACTATAATGTAAGTAGAATAATGATTTCATGAAAAGGGTGTCTGGCAAGGGTTTGCCACGATGTTAAGTGTCTGGCATTGAATGACGTGATTTTTAATAATATTCTGAAGGTAATACCAAAACTTTATTATTTGACGAATTTAGATCGGTATTTTACACACCTTTAGTAACGTGTACCAATAAACATGAAAAAGTGATATATTTTCATACGAGACACGAAAAAAAATAGTTATTTTGCGCCACCTAATACACATACACACATATAAACTTTCGCTATTCTATTTAGCCCTTTTAACGTCCCACTGCTGGGCACGGGTCTGCCTTCAGTACGAGGGGGATCAGACCATAGTCCACCACGCTGGCCAAGTGCGGGTCGGCGGACTTCACATGTCTTTCGAAAACTTGTTAGTTTAGGTATCTTCTTTCCAAATTTTATCAAAATCGGTTCAGTAGATCCAGAGATTACTCCCTACAACGTCACAAACTCACAATCTCACAACCTTTACCTCTTTATAATATTAGTATAGATTATATTTATCAAAGTAATTTATTAATAACGACAAAAAGGACTGCATTGGGTGGGGTATAGTTGTTAATCAGTAGATGATAAATAATAAAACGAATTAATGTTTTAAAATGCATTTTAATCACTTTGCATTATTTACAGTCGGTAAACATTTAAACGAGTCAGTATGTATAAATTATAATTATACTTAATTTATATCTGTCTTCAGCCCTTTTTAACGTCCCACTGCTGGGCACTGGCCTCCATTCAATACGAGGGGTTTTATATCTAATGTATAATATATCTACTAAACTATACAGTTCTATAGACATTAGTATCTGGGTGTCTTGAAGTTAGTCTCGTCCCCTGTATACTGCGGTGCTTTACGCTTTTGTATTATATTTTGTATCTGAAACAATATACATTTGTAATTAATTATTTAATAATGTTTTATATTATAAAATCTAAAGAGAATAAAACACACAGAAAAGATAATCCATCCGAATTAAATTCAATCTGTTTTGCATTTAAAAGTCATTTATATAATTCAATTATTAATCTGACCAAAAAACTAGAGTTGCTATTTTCCCAATTTAACACTAATAAATAATAGCGGTACCTGTTGCCACTCCCGGTCCAACTCGGCCTTCTCACTTTTATCTTTGGTCTTCCTGGTCTTTCGGCCGTCCTGCGTCTTCACGCCATATTGGAAAGCAGCCTTGGGCAACGCCTCTTTACTGCTCATGTACGCCGAGTACTCTTCTTGGGTGTCAAAGTCCCAACGACCTAGAGGAAAAAACATTATATTAATTGTCCTCCAGACCGATTTCGATCACTGCGGCCAATCTCATTCAGACTAGCCAACTGCGCAGGAGATAAATAAATATGTTTGGGCATTAACATATAGCACCATCTAGTTCCATGATAAGCCACGAGGCTTGTGTTATGAATGCCAGATAATTGATACACTAGACATATATAACTTTAAATACATACATATTATAAATATAAATAGCCATGACTGGAGTACAAACGTTCGTGTTCAACACACAAATGAATGCCCTCAGCGGGACTCGAACCCGCAACCGCACTACAAACTGAGCCAAACGTGTCGTCATATATTATAATACACAAGTATACGCACAGACACAAGTGCACTCTCTATTCCTATCACTCTCATTGGACGACAATTCGACATAACTAGTGAGAGATCAAGACAGCTTTACGTGCTCTCAGAGGCACGGGGATGAAACACCGCCAAACTTCCCAATTCCGGGCTGTTACTGAGTATTTTTTGACAAAAATATTCGAGAACTGATTTTGCCCGACCCGGTACTCGAACTCGGACCCTCCGGATCTGCGGACGTACATGCTAGTCACTAGACCACCGAGACAGTTAGACAACCAATAACCACTAATACTCACCTATAGGTCCTTTTTTATTGCCGGCATCCATTTTGGTGTAGTCCACTTCATCGTCCGAGTCGTCTATGGCGTCGTCCATTTCCCGTAATCCCGGGTAGCACTCTGCGTATCCCTCGGGCTCCGCGGCCAGACGGGACAGGAGCGCTGCAGAGCGCTTATCCCGCTCCTCGGGATTCGCAGGCGCCTGGCGACGAGGCAGGGGACCGGGACCTGATGGAAAGAAGTATTTAATAATAATAAATTATAGATATTGCCATACCTAACTCTTATAATTTACAGAATACTATTTCAAAAAAACTTGCCAAATATGATAACCTGAAAGACAATATAACAAGAATATGGAAATTAAAAAAAGCGACCTAGGCCTAGATCTCTGCCACGAGTGTAAACCTAAAAATTTTCACCACTCCATTCAAATAGAAAAACTACTGGCTTCTTTATACTTAAATACAAATACAATACTCAATACTTGTCGCATAGTAAGGAAATTTTTAAACAACTCGTTACACGTCGGCTCTCACTTATGCCCGTAATTGCTACACTTGCCGGTTTTATACGGAGATTATTTTTTGGTAGATAAAAAAAAGTGCGTGTACCAATATGTACACGCGCAAGAAATGAAACTTCTGTAGGTTATCGGTACTTTTTATGAAATCCAATTTATGTTTTAAATAAATACGATAGGGGAGATACTAAAAAAAATTTTTGTTATCGATTTAAAAATGTAAATAATATTTTATTATTCACATAGTACAGCAGAGGGTATTAAGATAAAATTTAATTTTCAATCAAATGTTGTAATGATTTAATAAATTATATACACCAATAAAATAAATAATAATACAGGAATGTAAAAAATTTTTCGTTCACAAAATATATTTATACTTAATGTAAAAAAAATATTTCTAGTAAATAATTTTTTAACAATATTCATTTCATATGATTCCATCGCTCATTTAAAAATAAATGAAAGATGTATTTTTTATTTAATTTATTCTTTATTGTTAATTTATTATAAATAATTCATATAATAGTTTAAATAATATTTAATTGACTATTTATTCACTTCCGTAACCTTTTCCTTTACAAAAATCGTAACGCTAATCCTTTTTTTTGCCTCTCATCAAAAGGGAAAAAGGATAAAACCACTACAATTTTTATATATTCTGAACTGAACGTATTGTTTACAAAATGCAAAAATACAATTAAGAATCACGCTCAAGTGTCATAATAGTAATATCTAACGCGCATATTGAATTGACCATATTAAAGTTAGCTGATGTGACGGTAGTGTAATTCCATTTTCCAGTAATTAACCATAAGGAGCAATTTGAGCTAATAACCCGCGAGTCGGCGGATTGAAAGTAAAGAGATAACTTAATGCCAAGATGCTATTGAAATGTAATCTATATAAAATTGATAGTATTGAAACCCAAGTAGAATTTTCAGTTTAATAAAAGTCGACACATGGTTGCGGGTGAATAAGACTCGTTAAAAAAACCTTCATTCTCGTGTCAATTTCACTCAAATATCTTATAAAACAACATGTTGCTTGAAATATAGCTGGAATGGACGTCATATTTCCGCATACGTGCAAAATTGGAAAATTTTAGGGGTCTTAGCGCTTAGGTTTATTACATCAAGTAAATGAACCAATTGTCAATGTATTTCATACTTATTGATAGATATTTAAATTAATTTATTTAATTTAAAATTACAGAATAGCTACAAATATACTAGATATTTAATATAATAACCATTGATGCGCGCAATAGGATACCCTGTGTCACGTACCTCTAACTTCCTACAGGACCCTCTTATCTAATTTACTCTTCAGACTAAAGATATATATGGATTTTTAACCGGTCTGCTCTCTGACTATAACTTAAAAGAGGGCAACTACAAGGTAATTATATACTAGCGAATCACCGTCGCTTCGCTCGGGTTCGTCACTAGCCCCTATTCCCCATACAAACTTTCATCTTCATTTTCACCCCCTTAAGGCATGATTTCCGGAATAAAAAGTCCTATGTCCTTCCCAGGGTCTCAAACTATCTTCTTACCAAATTTCATCTAAATCAGTTCAGTAGATACAGATATTACCCCCTTAAACGTAACAAACTCACAAACTTTACCACTTTATAATATTAGTATAGATAAGTAATAAGTATAGATAGATTGGTTACTCACCCTCCTCCTTCTCAGTCTCTATAGGCTTGTCGAAGTACCCGGTGCGAGGGCGCTCGTCGCGGCGGTCACCCCGTTTGTCGCTCGCAACGTAGTCACCAATGTCCCCATATATAGAATCCTCGTTTCTACCTTTTTCTGTATTTTTATCCTAAAATATAATAATCATTTAAATTATAGTTAAAAAATCAAAAATGTATGTATCTACGTTTTGTGTTTGTGTACCTTACGGTGAAGGAAAACATCGTGAGGAAACCTGCATGTCTGAGAGAACCTAGCGAGTTTTCGAAAGACATGTGAATTCCGCCAACCCGCACATGGCCAGCGTGGTGGCCTATGGCCTGACCCCCCTTGTATGTAAGGGAGGCCCGTGCCCAGCAGTGGGACGTTAAAAAGGGCTGAATACATACCTAAGTTTTGTGGATGTAGTCATGGCGTTTACATTCCGATATATAGAAAATGTCATCTTAGCAGAACAGGAATTATTAATAATAAAGAATTTTACACAAGTAACTAAATATTAAATTCAATTTCTTTGATGTAATGTTCAAAATCAGAAAATCGAGGTGCAAATATTTATGTTAACGAAAAAATAAATAATTCATTGTTGTATGGCATAGTTTATGTATGTGTTTTTTATAAAGCAAATGACATTACAAAGCAAACCTTAGTCTTTTTAAGTTTCCTGTGTCTGCCATGACGCAGATAAGAGAATATTTGAGCCAGTTTATCCAACACGACATCGTTTGCGGCGGAAGCGGAACTCCTCTCATCTGCTTCCGGCACATCCGCCTTGCTCCTAGTGAGAGTCGTTGGTATGTCGCTGTCTATGGTGCCTTCTTCGTCTAACTCCACTACGTACGCCATACGGCCGGGCGCGAACAATTCATTGCGTAATACTTTCTTTGCCCTGTAAATAATATTTTTGCTTAATAAACTTAGAACAATTTACAAAAAAATACTTTTTCTGACTGATTCACTATAGCCCAGTCCAAACTACTATTCCTTTTCATTCTTTAATCACTAATAACTTACCCTCGCTCGGGTGTGATTCACAAATATCATCTTATCGATAGCTTATTTACGCAATACGTTCTCAAATGATAGCTTTTAATCTTCCTAGACAATCGCTTGTTCTATTAGAGAAAACCGTATGAAAATCTGTACAGCAATTTCTTAGTTTAGCCTGAACAAACACATACATTCAGCAAGGGAGTAATGAGTATATCTAATATATTTAACTTATATATTTAAACGAGCAATTCTTGTATATATATTTAGATATATCTATATAATCTGAATCTCGGAAACGGCTCCAACGCTTTTCATGAAATTAAGTACACAGAGGGTTTCGGGGGCGATAAATCGATCTAAATTAGTTTTATGTCTGGGAAAACGCGTTTTCGAGTTTTCATGCGGTTTTGTTTCGCACGCAAAATATGTTCGCTAATTCGGACGCTAGTATATAAGCATCGTGGTCAAGCGGCCAAGGCGCAAGTTGGATAACCACGGGTGTCTGGGTTCATATGCCGGTCGGATACAAAGTTTTTACTTTTGTTTTTTTTTTTATATTTATTCAAATTTTTAGTTTGTTTTTTTTTTTTTGGTCAAAAACTCCGAGCGAAGCTCAGTGGCCCAAGTATTAATATTATAATACGTACTAAAATTAAAAGTAGGTAAATCTAACTAGCTATGAAAACATGGTAAAAGCTAGAAAGGATTGTTTGAGTTTAACCCAAATCCTTGTAGAATGTTAAAAATACAAATGCGTTGGAACATCATGCCACAAACATCTGGCCATGGAAACCCAGTGAGTTTCTTGAATTCAGCTTGTTATCCATACTAATATTATAAATGTGAAAGTTTGTGAGGATGGATGGATGTTTGTTACTCTTTCACGTCAGAACGGCTAAAAGAATCTGGATGAAATTAGCACAAAGATAGATTATAGTCTGGAATAGCACATAGGTTAATTTTTATCACGGAAAAATGGAAGGTTCCCGTGGGATATACTTGTGTTTGTCTAGGGACGAACCAGAAGCGAAGCGGGTCGCTTAATTTTTATGTATTTGTATGTATGTATACAGAACTTTTTAACGTCCTACTGCTGAGCACGGGCCTCCCTTTAGTATAGCCCACCACGCTGGCCAAATGCGGGTTGGTGGACCACGGTTAATTTCTATAAATTATTTAACCATGTAAATGATAACGACAAGGAAACACAGTTTCGAATTTATAACATCAAGAAGTAAGATAAATCAATATATGAACCTGATACAACTTTACAATCTGCAGGATACTGTATAAAAAGTATTTTATGTCAATTCGGTTTTTAACTTCTTACTTCTAATCTTAATAAATCTCATAAACTTACTTCTGCTCCAAAACTAAATTATAAATATTTCTGGCCATTGGAATTTGGAATTGCATTTCTTCTTCCTGAAACAGAAAAAATGTAAGAACCAGAAGTGGATATAGATATTACATATTATAGAAGGTACAGAAAGTTTTCACATACTTTATATGATAACTAGCTGTACCCGCGGCTTCGCCCGCGATCAAACTACTAAAAAAAACAAACCCTTTGTCACACCGACAGCAGGTGGCGACCTACCGTGTACAATTGTGAATCTAAACCATTCCCAGATCCCCTTGAACACACACAAAAAATTTCATCAAAATCAGTCCAGTCGTTTGAGAGAAGTTCAGTGACATACACACTCACAGAAGAATTATATATATAAAGATGTTATGTAAAATTATTAAGGTGACGATTGCATTTAGAAGCAATTACAGCATATTATGTGTGTGTGTATATATATATATATATATATATATATATATATATATATATAAATTAATAAATGTAGGGACATTAACACACAGCGCCATCTAGTTGGTAAGCTACGAGGCTTGTGTTATGGATACCAGATAGTTGATGCACTACACATATATAACTTTAAATACATACATGTTATAAATATAAACACCCATGACTGGAGAACAGACATTCGTGCTCATCACACAAATGAATGCTCCCAGCGGGACAGCGGAACAGCAAGTAGGTAGGTAGGTAGGTCGGTAGTGACCCACTACCAACTGAGCCAAACGTGTCGTCAAATATATATATATATATATATATATATATATATATATATATATATATATATATTTATTTAAAAATAATTTTCTTTTGTATGTTTGTCCTCTATGCATTCTCAAGCTATTTATCCCCGAGTGAAGCAAGGGTAAGTTGCTAATACTTAAATAAATTATTTTCTTCTCACCTTATATACCAATGACACAACTTAAGTTGTGAGATCTCACAAAATTAAATTAATATTAAAATTAAATATATCGTAACACCTTCAGTTCAACCTCAACCTATAAGTATTGCTATGAAGGGTATGTTTTCGTATTTCATTTTTTAAGTAGTCTTTATGATGATTGTTCACTGCTTATAACACAAAAACATTAAACATTACATACCACTGGAACAATTTCCTTTTTCTCCTTGACAACTTCTACAGGTGCAGACACTAGCCGTTCCATTTCTGCTTCTTGTTCTTGCTCACGAGTTTGTATTTCTGAACGAACCTGTTCACATACAATAAAAATATTTAATTACTAAGCCATAAGTATGCTGTGGTAGCCCAGTGGTAATGCGGTTGCTTGGGAAACCATGTATATCAGTTTTAAATCATGGTTCTCGCACCTCTGAAATTTCCATATAAGAATCAGTACCTGGGCTACTGAGCTTCGCTCGGAATTTTGGGCCTAAAGTACAATTTTCTTTTTAAAAAAAAACTAAAAACTTGAATAAATATTTAAAAAAAACAAAAGTAAAAACTATCTATGCGACCGAGATTTGTATCTAGACACCTGAGATTGTTGATCTTGTACCTTGGCCGCTTGACCACGATGCTTATGCCTGAACGTGCAAATTACCGACCATATTTTGCGTGAAATACAGTGGACCCTCGGTAATCCGGCCCCTGTCTAATCCGGCGCCCCCTGTAATCCGACTTGCCTACTGTTGAGTTGAATGTAGAAACACAAACATTTTTTTGACAAATCATCATGAATTTAAGATAGTGCATGATTAAACAGGTTGCAACTTGCAACACGTACCCGCCGCCACTACACTGTATTGTGCTCGACGCGCTTTGTTTAGATTTTTAATTGCTTAAATTGAATTTGATCACATGTGATGTGTGTCGTGGAATGGTTAGAGAGGAAAATATTTTCCATGAAATGTCTGACGAAGACATTTTAAGCGAAATTTTTAGTTTTACAACAATAATATTATCTTAATCTGGGAGATGATGACGACATAATTGGAACTTCTCCGCAGACCGCAAGTGACAGCACAAAATGCGATTAACGCATTTGAGCTGGTTTTTTATTTACTAAATCCGACATACATATGTACATAGTATGATTTATAATTCAGTTAGAATTGTATTATTTTGATCTGTAATTGTCGGATTACAATTCACAAGATACTCTGTTCTCTTAGAAAAATCCGGACTAGAGGGGGTCTTAGCCAGTAGGTACTCTATATTTGATATTAAGATTTGTACTTCAGAGTAAATATATACATATAACATATAGAATCTTATCATTGGATCTGTAATTTGTCGGATTACAAGGTACTCTTTTGTAAACATTTCCGGACTATAGGGGGTCTTAGGCAGTACTCTATAATCCGACAAATTCGATAGTCCGACACTGCCCTGCAAAATGTTTGTCGGATTACCGGGGGTCCACTGTAATGCATAAGAAAACTGCATGAAAACTCGAAAATACGCGTTTTCTCATACTAATCTAGATCGATTTATCGCTCCCGAAACCCCCTGTATACTAAATTTCATGAAAATCGTTGGAGCCGTTTCCGAGATTCAGATTATATAATATATACAAGAATTGCTCTATACAAATATAAGATTAACAACATGATAACTACTTGTCTTGTGGAGAAGGAGAACATTGTACGGAAACCGCATGTTTGATAGAGACTATTTATATATTGAAAAGTCAAAATATTCTTACCTTTTGTAATAAGGCATAATCAAGGCCCTTCACCAAGTGAGTGTGTTCCATGTCACCGCCAAGATACTTTGATTCCTAAAATTAAAAGAAAAATAGTTTAATCCCTCAACGACCGTGGGTACACCGGTGTTAGAGCCAACAATAAATTTCTTAGAAATTTAAAATGTTTTTTTTTTTCATATGTACTGGATTTCAACTTCAAGAAAATAAGTGACATTTTTGTACCTGCCTTAACCAATGAAATTATTAAAACAATATAATAATGTTAAAAAATATTTAATAGCTTGAATTTTTATCTACAAGTTTTAACATAATAAATTTTAGGATAATGTCATTTTTCAATACTTTTAGTTCTTACTTCTAACTAAAGCCTACAATAATATTATACAGTAAAACCCGTTTAAAACGTTTTCACAGGGACCCAACGAAAAACGCGTCTTAAGCGAGAAAGCGTATTATGCGGGATAGGGAAAATAAAACGTACTGCATATTATTGTATATTATATTCTAATTTGTATATGTAATTATGTATTTATTAAATTATACATTTCTAAATTATATTAAAAACATAGTCTAATAATAATTACGTTATTTAAAGTAATCACTTATTTTAGTTTGATTGAAAGATGCATTAGCTATCACAAGATTTTCAATATAATTTAGCTTTTGCAGTGCGTCTTCGCTTTGATTTAAAGAAGCTACATAGCGTCTTAAATCATTAACAGCTGATAATGCCTGGGTGTTTGACAAAATCGGAGTTGACTCATCTTCGTCTTCATCATTATCACTTAGGGCCTCTTTTTGTGTGTTATTCACATTCTCAATAAGATCTTCAATTGATTGGATTTCGTACGGTGCCACATTGTCGTCAATGGAAGAATATCCAGGAAAACCTTGCAGTATCAAGGGTTCTCCTTCTTCTTCCAACACGACGTCAACCACGTTATTTCTGAAACCTGCTTTCTTGAAACAATTTGAATGGTTTCAGGCTTAATTGCTTCCCATGCCGCTGCAATGTTCAAAATCGCATCATGCACAGTTAAGGGTCGTTTGCTATCAGGGTCTTCCATTTCTCGAAGATAGCGATGTATTAGTCTTGTCCTGTAACCTTGCTTAAGGACCTTTATAATTCCCTGATCCATTGGTTGTAATTTGCTTGTCGCATTTGGTGGTAAGTAAACAAGCTTGATATTCTTTAATTCAACACCTTTAGGGTGAGCGGGGCAGTTGTCAATGAATAGAATTATGCGTCTACATTTAATCTGGAAGTGATTGTCTACAGCTTTTAACCAGTCGATGAAACGAATGCCGGTCATCCAAGCTCGAGATTGTGCATCATATGTTACAGGGAGCGATCTTACGTTTTTGAAACAACGTGGATTTTTCGCCTTACCAATCACTAGCAAACGTAACTTTTCTGACCCATCAGAATTGGCACAGGCCAGAACAGTCAGTCTCTCTTTATTTGCTTTACCACCATGACAAGTTTCTCCCTTAAAAACATAAGATTTATTTGGCATCAATTTAAAAAATAAACCGAATTCATCTGCGTTAAAAATGTCTCGCGGTTCGTAATTTTGCAACAATTCGGGAAGTGTTGCCATCCATGTATCAACATCTTGTTGTGCCACTGTCTCCGATTCCCCACTAATTTGACGGTACACAATGCCGTTGCGATTTTTAAAACGATCTATCCAGCCATTTGAAGCGTTAAAATCAGTAATGTGCAAGCTTTCAGCAATTTTACGCGCTTTCTCACATATTATGTGGCCACTTATGGGCAGTTTTAAAGCTCGTGCTTGATGAAGCCATTCCACTAAAACTTTTTCTAATTTATCAAACTTTCCGATCTTTTGCTTTTTTCTCTGCACACCACCCAATCTGTATTTTTCTTTGATTTCTACTCTATTTTTTAAAATGGTACGTAACGTAGAAACTGGTAACTGAAGCTCAGCAGCTAACTGAGTTTGATTTGTTGTTTGTGATTTTTCATCAAAAACTTTCAATATCTCAATTTTTTCTTGAAATGACAATGCCTTTCGCTTAATTGTAGTCCTTTTGTAACAAACAAATGATGCACTATTACAAAAGAGTCAGAACGCGCACGTGACAACATGTAAGTCAACAAATGACGACTGTACAGTGGACTGGTTAAACGGCGCACGGGCGGTGCGGGCGAGCCGGCAGGAGGGCTTGCGTTCGGCATTCGAGCTCGGCTCGGTCAGAGACCGTTACCCGATGCCATATGCCACAAGGAACAATAGATAAAAGGTATTAGGTTGTTGGCATATTAGGCGTATTAAACGGGATGACGAATCGTATTAAGCGTTATGAAATGTATGAAAACATGTCTCAAGTTGCAGGGACTAGCTAAAATGGCGTATTATGCGAAAAATCGTATTAAGCGTGATCGTATTAAGCGAGTTCTACTGTACCTGTATCATTTGTCTCCTTCTTTCTTTAGCGTCCATTCCTGATTTAATATCTGGAGCTACAGCCCTAGAAAATAAAAAATATTTGTTTAATATAAAGGTAAAATATAAAATGTAAATTTTTTATTTCATTTAGTAATTTAATTTAATTATATTGAGCATAAAAAAAAGGCTATTCAGTTCTATTGTTTTGGTTAAATGTATTTTGATGTAAATTTATTGTTTGATGTTAATATGTACTTCCAAACCTATAAGCACTGCTTGCATTGCTAGTTGGATCAGAAGTCAGATCATTGACTCCATCTCGTCTCTCCCGAGCTCTATCCCTATATTTTTCTGCCAGTTCAGCAAGTTTATTGTCTTCTTGCTTCTTTAAAGCAGCATAATAAGACTTCTTCTTACGTCGCAGCTCACCTTTGTTTTCTTGAGGAGGTGGCATAGACCTGATAATAAAATAAGAACATTTGGAACATTAACAATCAAATATTCTAGAAGTTGGGATTTTAAGTTGATAATAATTCTTACCCCGCATTAGCCATAGCCTCCCTTACAGAGCCAGCAGGATGAGTCCCTCCAGATGCAGTCGCTCGTGGTGTCATAAGTAACTTCCTAAAATCATCATTTGTAAGCCTTTGAGACACAGGAGTGTCTTCAACGCTTCTATGATCATCCATCTTGATATAAATCTTATCAATGTAATTCGTATAGAGAAATAAAACCCAATATTTCAATAAATATTATTTCATTTTAAATTCTTGTAACATAGGCTATGTTACAAGAAACTCTAAGCGATATTTGGCTTTTGGATTTTGGCGTATGACAATTGACAATTGACATAATATGTCAAATTATTAATCTTTTTATGATGCGGATTACTTCAAGTCACAGATGAAATATAAATAACAAAATTTTAAGTTACGACTTACGAGCATAGTTCTAATTTAGTTTATTACTAGTATTGCCCGCGGCTCCGCCCGCGTTCAGATGACCAAAAACCAAATTCTTAGGCTTTATATATTAGTCTACCATTACATTGCAGTTTTTGTATTTTTCTCAGAAATGATATATTTTCCCGCAGTAAGAAGTGACCTACATGTTGACCCGGATAACCAGCTATCACTATACCAAATTTCAACAAAATCCCTCCAATGGTTTTTTGTGATACGGTAACAGACAGACAGACAAAAATTCTAAAAAACTGATGTTCTCCTGACCGATTCCGGCCACAGCGGCCAATCTCATTGAGACTAGCCAACTGCGCAAGAGATATTATAGTGTCAAGTGTACAAGTGTACGCGCAGACACAAGCGCACTCTCTATTCCTGTCAATCTCATACTTCGGTGGGACGACTGCTCGACACGACCAGTGAGAGTTAAGCCTAGTTCGCATTAAGCTAGTATTTTAGTCTAGTAGCGAGTAATTTAGCAGCTAAATTACTCGCTACTCACCAAAAATCGTTCGCACTTTGGTCGAGTACAGTTTACAAGTGAGTGGTGTTTTGCAAGATGAACAGCCTACAACGCAATAAAGTAAATAAACTGATTAAGCTGATCGTAACGGCTATTTTTAATTTCAACATTTCGATTATACCGTTCTAATTAATTCATTAAATAAATACATAAATATGCTTATGAAATTGTTCTATATTCGAACACATATATTACATCCTCGTCGCCAATGAAATATTTGGATAATTTTAGTAAAAATCCATTTGCTTTCAAATCCATTTTTATTTCTAAATCAATATTGACAACTATCAAAATATTGAAGTGTTCTATATTCGAACACATATATTACAGAAATAAAGTAATGAAAAGTAACCTGATGTTTTTAATTTTCATTTTAATTTCTTTTTCGCCAAATCCGGGTATATTCATTATTTTTTACAAATCTAAGTATGCGGAATGTTTCATATGCTTGTTTTTATAATGCAAGGACCTAATATTCCACAAGCATTCGTGTTCAACATATTTCGAAACAAATTTAAAAGTCATTTTTTCGCTCCAGCGAAACGACATTATGGCGGCAACTAATGAACTCTACTAATTCGGCAGGTTCGTACTTGTCTAGCCGGTGAACCAGTGAGCTCGGACGCGTGGTGGGGGCTGCTACTCGCCCAAAAAAATAGAATGAAATGGATTGACTCGACTAAATTATTTACTAAACTAATCGACTAAATTTTTAGTGTTCAGACACGTTTAGTTACTAAATTACTCGCTACTAGACTAAAATACTAGCTTAATGCGAACTAGGCTTTAAGGCGCAGGATCGGCGGCTTTACGTGCTCTCCGAGGCACGGGGGTGAAACACCGCCAACTTCCCAACTCCGGGCTGTTACTGAGGCTTATTATACAGAAAGACTTCAATAAGTAAACTTGGCCCGACCCGGGACTCGAACCCAGGACCTCCGAGTGTGAAGCCGTACATGCTAGCCACTACACCACAGAGGCAGTTACTCTCTAAAAAACTTCTCTAAAAAACTATAGATTCGGCGTCTGTATCGATAATGTTTATTTCAATAAGATTTTCCAAAAAATATTTAATGTACATATTCGGCTTAGTTACAATTTTATTATATGTATAGATTACAGTTTTTTAATATTAGTCGATGACAACTTTCCTATGGTTTTTAACTCAGAAAGTCAGAAACGTTATTGATGCGTGATGCTTAACATCTAAGACACTATCTATGTTATACACCTAAACCTTTGATCGAGCAGGGGTCCTTTGATCTTTCTCGGTTTCACCTTTGAGTTTATATATGTAGCAAATAGCAATAATTATACTTTATGCCTTTGAGCCTGTGAATACCAAAGAAGATATAAAAATTATAAAAGGGCGATATATCATTTCATAAATAGCTGCATTTTCGATCTAAAAAGTACTAGATACAATCCCATGCAAAAGTTTTTTTGAAACTGTCACCAATCATGTTTAGGTAAATATTCTAGTTGAAATAAATATGCAACTAGAACCTTAAATGCGCAATGTATTAGTTGTTTTCATAAAAAAAATATAGAATAAAAGCGCGCTCAAATGTTCAAATGTGCGCTCATTCGATGAGGATATTTTTTGTCACTGATTGAGTATCTAGTACTTTTTTGATTGATGCTAGGCATCAAATGAAAAGGCTTCATGAATGATAGGCTGACTCCCAAAGATGGCGTGTGGCAGAGTGTTTTTTTGCATCCATATGATATGGTTATCAAATAAAAGGGATGACAAAGAAGAATACGTAAAAAAAAACATTAAAAAAAAGTTGAATCATTAAACAAACCTTTTATTTAAATGCTCTAAAAAAAACAAAAAAGTATAACTTCTTACGTGCAAACATACACACATGCACACACTTTTTTTTATTTTCATCTTTTATAGTTGGTAGGTGTTGTTTGTAAATATGTTTATTAGGCCTTACATTATTTTTGACTAATAAATATGTTATTGCTTACTAGCAGACATGATACTGTTGGGGTAAATAAAACTACTATACAAAACTGTTAACTATAATGTTAAAATGATTATTTTTATGTAATTCTTTATTAAGTTTTTCATAATTTGATCTTGATAACTTTTTAAATACATATATTATACATACTAAATTTCATAATCTTTTTGTGCTATAAACTTTTTAACCAAATATGGCATGGAAAGTAGTACCCTTGAATCCAACATTTCCTGTAGGTTCATCTTGAAATGTTATATACATCCTGCAATAGAAATACTTACTTACCATTTATAACAACAATAATCTATATAAAAATCAATGTCGGCGACGGAAAACTTATCTTCGAGTAACGTGTGTATTAATATAGGGACAATGTCATTTTAGCGTATTATGAATAATTGTTGTAAATATGAAATCTCATTCTTATTAGATTTATTATGTTAAAATAAGTTCTAATTAGTGTAATAAGGTTAGTTTAGAGTATTTTTTTGCTTATTTGAATCATATAAGACTATTTAACATTAATTTGAAAGGAATAGGTACGTAAGTAAAATGTTAGCATATAATTACGTAACTTGAAAATGAGATTTTTTGTTTCTTGCAATAGCATAATAGTTTATGTTTTAAATAATAGATTTTATTATAAAACTTATAATAAAACAAGAATTAGGTCGATAGGACTATCCGTTCAAAAGTTATAAGGGAAAATGTATAGTAAAAATGTAGCAACCTAGAAATTTAGATATTTTTGTTTTAAGACTTTTTTAATTAATTATTATATATTGAATATTATGTTTTAATATTGTATAATAGTATGTAAGGCATGTAAATAAATAAATATGTGTAAGGTGTTTTACTGAAAACATAAAATAAAAGGACTCTCAAGGTTTCGGTTTAGGGAAATTTTATTCGAAAAATGAGCTCAAAGTACGCGGCTCTCTGTACGGTATTAACGGGCCAAATAAAAGGCGAGCCATTTCTCGATTCGAGTCAGTCGCAAGACAGCCACCGAAGAGGCAACAACTAAAAGGAAAAGGAAGAACCGAAACCAAGAGAGAAAAAAGGAAAAATTGTGTTTTATTTCATCGCCTCTAAGTATAGTCTCCTGTCAACGAAGAAACCCTAGTGGATCGGGACCCAAGCTACGCATTCAGGGGTGCGTGGTGGCGTACATTACCAGCGAACGGACATACTGCCGTGTACGCCAAGAACGTCTGGGAGATTGTCCCAGGTCGACCTCCGGGTACTAGACATACCCTGGTTCTGGTCGTCCGAAACAGTTGGTCCTTCGAGCCGGATCCCTGCTAGAAGAAGTTCAGAAGAAACAGAAGATTGCGTTCAAGATGCCGGTAACCAGGTCGCAGAAGGATGCCCCCTCACGTCCCGGGTCCCGTCCTTCAGATAGGGACGCGACAGATGGAACGTCGGGATCAGAAAGGGGTCACGTCAGCGTCGGCGTCATCGGGAACTGCAACTACATCGAACACTTCTTCGGGTACCACGACCACGGAGGGCACCACAGTGACGGAGACTACGGTTACGACTGCAACTACGGCGGCGTCTATGGAAGGCAACAAAGAAGATGCTGCACAGAGGATGACCAGGAAGAGCCAAGAAGATGTACCTGGAAAGGATGTTCAAGGCTCCTCCAAGACCCTGAAACCGATGGGGGTCAGTCGTCGCGCCAGGTCCACGAAGACCACGAGTTCCTCGGCCAGAAGACGCGAGCTAGAAGCAAAGGAAGAGTTGGCACGCCTGGAGTTGAAGCAAGCACAGGCTGAAACTAAGCTAGCCCGTGTCAGATTGGAGATGGCACAGTGTGAAGAAGAGGACTCCGTGGATGAAGACCTGGAAGACAGAACAGCACAGGTGCAGAACTGGATCGAGACGTCTGTGCTGGAGGATGGCAACAAAGTTCAACCAGAGATGCGAGGTCCACACCCCTTGGAAGAGCCACAGAAGATGAAGCCTGAAGAGAACTCCTCAACGAGAGGAGCTACGATTGAAATTCAAGCACTGACGGCAGCATTGAAGGAAGCTCTTACCACGCGAGGACCAGCAGGACAGCCAACCTACATTCACGAGTTACCCTACTTCGACGGCAACAGCAGCGAGTGGATGGCCTTCAAGGTTGTCTATGAAGATACAGCACCGATGTTCAACAACGTCCAGAATATGGCTCGGCTAAGAAGAGCACTGAAGGGCAACGCAAGAGAAGCTATCAAGAGTCTGCTGTACTCCGAAGCCTCTCCGATGGAAGTGATTCAAGCCCTCAGAAGAAGATATGGAAGACCAGATGCACTGGTGCTGGCAGAGTTGGACAAGGTCAAAACGTTGCCGAAGATTTCTGAAAACCCAAGGGACATATGCCTCTTCGCGAGCCAGATCAGCAACAGCGTAGCGGCAATAAAAGGATTGAAGAAACCACAGTACCTGCATTCCACCTGAGATGGTGAAACAAATTATTGAGAAGATGCCTACGATCCTCAAGTTCCGATGGTACGACTTCATTGAAACAACAGAAGAAGGCGAGTTCTCCGACCTAACACTGGTGTCCAAGTTCCTGAACAGAGAAGCAGACAAGTGTGGAGCCTATGCATCAACAGAAGAGAAGAGCGGGTTCAGACGGACTCATCGACAAGCAACGCATTCAACTAAGGAAAAGGACTTCAAAGAAAAGGTTTCAAGATCAGAGAAGACTTGCCCCATGTGTGAGGGTGAACACTTCCTCGTCGGGTGTCAGAAGTTCCTGAAGGCGTCTGTGCAAGATCGATGGGCAATAGTGAAGAAAAGCCGCGTTTGCTTCAAGTGTTTTACAAGGGACACATCGGAAGGAGAGCTGCAAGAAGCCGTCGTGCAAGGAATGCAAGAGGTGGCATCATCATCTGCTGCACGTCGAGACAGAGAAAAGTTCCTCGGAAGAACAGAAGAACAAACCACAAGAAGTGGCGAGCATCATGGCATCGGTGAATGCGGTCAACAACGCAAGGGCATACCTGAAGATAATTCCGATAGAAATCTTCGGGTCAAAAGGATCAAAGAAGATATTGGCCCTCATGGATGAAGGGTCAACAGTGTCGCTGCTAGACCAGAAGGTAGCAGAAGAAATCGGCGCTCAAGGAAGAAAGGAGGAACTGGTCATCGAGACTGTTGGAGGCAGGCTGATAAGGAAGGAAGACTCTCAGATGCTGGACCTTACGGTGAAGGGGATTCATCAGAAGACCAAGAAGACCTTGAGAAGAGTCCGGACCATCGACGAGTTAAAGCTTGCAACCGCAGTTCCTAGAAAAGAAAAGGATAGAAGAGTGTCAACACTTGAAGAAGATTGCTGACTCTCTATATTATAAGGGGGAGTCACCACAGCTGCTCATCGGTCAAGACAACTGGGAGCTAATCGTGACTCAAGAAGTAAGAAGAGGGAAACCAGGACAACCAGTCGCTTCAAGAACAGGACTTGGATGGGTGCTCCACGGGTCAGACACTGGAGGCGCGAAAGTGGTGCACTTCTTAAACACGTGTCTACATGTCAGCACGCCAGAAGAAGAGATGCATCAAGCCATCAAGGATCACTTCGCAATCGAAGCACTTGGAGTACTACCAAGAAGACCCACTACGGATTCAGAAGGAAGAGCACTCACCATCCTAGAGAAGACCTGCAGAAGACTAGAAGATGGTCGATTTGAAACTGGACTTCTATGGAAAAATGAAGATGAACAGATGCCTGAAAGCTACACGTCTGCCAAGAACCGATTGTTCAACATTGAAAAGAAGATAGACAAAGACCCTCAGCTGAAGGCAGAATACAATAAGCAGATCCAGCATCTAATCGACAGCAAGTATGCAGAAGAAGCACCTGGTGGACAAGAAGATTCAAAGAAGACATGGTACCTCCCTCATTTCTCCGTGGTACATCCATTGAAGAAGAAAATAAGGATCGTCTTCGACGCTGTAGCCAAGTCTAAAGGGAGAAGCCTCAACGACGCTTTACTACCGGGACCAGACCTACTGCAATCGCTCTTCGGGGTATTACTGAGGTTCCGGCAAGGCCCGTTTGCAGTGGCAGCCGACATAAAGGAAATGTTCCTGCAAGTTCGCATCCGGCCAGAAGATAGAAACAGCTTGAAGTTCCTGTGGCGAGGGGATCGTCGTGACGTAGCACCGAAGGAGTACAGAATGACATCAGTCATCTTCGGCGCGACATCATCTCCTAGCACAGCGATCTACGTGAAGAACCGGAACGCGGCGGACTACAAGAAGCAGTACCCAGAGGCAGCAAAGGCAATCGAGCTGAACCATTACATGGATGACTACCTGCACAGCTTCCATTCAGAAGAGGACTTCAAGAGAATTACAGCGCAGGTGGACTTCATTCACAAAAAGGCGGGCTTCGAACTCCGAGGATGGGCGTCAAACCACTCCGACCTGCTGCAAGACGTGAAGACTGAGTCAGTTGAGAAGACAGAGGTGGACCTTGGTGAGAAGGAAGAGAAGACACTGGGACTACGCTGGTTTACAGAAAGGGACTCCATAGGCTTTAGGGCGAACCTTCGGAACACGCCAGATGAAGTGGCACAAGGACTCAAGGTACCTACGAAGAGAGAAGTCACCAGCGCCGTGATGTCGACCTTCGATCCACTAGGGCTAGCATCACCAATTCTCATCCAAGGCAAAAGGCTGCTCCAGAACATATGGCGAAGTGGCGTCGGTTGGGATGAAGAGATAGAAGAAAAGGAGTACGAGTCATGGAAGACTTACCTGGAGAAGATGAAGCTGCTCCAAGACCTTCAGATCCCGAGATGTCTGGCACCACGTCGCACCGAGGGGGAGCTGCACACGTTCACGGATGCAAGCGAAATGGCGTATGCAGCTACGGTATATTGGAGAACTGAAAATCAAAATGGGACTTATGACGTCAGCTTAGTAGCAGCAAAAGTAAGAGTCGCTCCGTTGAAGCCGGTGTCAATCCCGAGACTCGAGCTGCAAGCGGCCCTCCTAGGAAGCAGATTGGCACACTCGGTCGAGGAAGAAATGGATCTGAAAATAGAAAAGAAGACGTTTTGGACAGACTCCAGTATCGTGCTATCATGGATCAAGACGGACCCGAGAACCTTCAAGACATTCGTGGCTCATCGCTTGGCGGAAATAGAAGATCTCACAAAACCACAGGACTGGAGATGGGTACCGACGGCGCAGAACCCTGCAGATGATGCAACACGTGACGTACCAGAACACTTCGACTGCCAACACCGATGGTACACCGGACCAGGGTTTCTAAGAAGAGATGAAGTTCACTGGCCTGCGGCAAGAACATTCAAGAAAGAAACCACTGGCGAAGAAAAGGCAGCGGACATCGTAGCGACTGCAGGCAGCTCCTATCCATCACCAGATCCCGAAAAGTTCTCGTCGTGGAAAAGACTTTGGCGAGCTACAGCAAGAGTACTGCAGTTCATACAACTCTGCAGAAGAAAGGAAAAGGTCCACGCCAGCAAAGAAGATCCTACCTGGAAAACTACAAAAAGGAATAAGAAAATTGTTGAGAAGCGACATCTGTCTTCAAAAACGTCAGAAAGGAAATACATACCATTGGAAACAAGTCTACTAGAGCAAGCTGAAACGCTGTTGTTAAGAAGAAGTCAAGAGAAATGCTTCAAAGAGGACATCAGGTGCCTACAGCAAGGAAAACAATTAGAGGGCAGCAGCAAGTTGAAAAGGCTCGACGTAGTGCTAGAAGAAGGTCTCCTGCGACTGAAAGGAAGAATCGACGCGATACGAGGGGTTACCAGAGACTACAAACGACCCATCGTACTCGACAGCAAGGACAAGACAACACTTCTCATCATAGAAGAATTTCACTGCCGCTTCAATCACGGGAATCACGCGACCGTAATGAACGAAGTAAGACAACGCTTCTGGGTGCTAGGACTGAGGTCAGCGATCAAGACCATTCAACATCAATGCCAGTGGTGCAAAACAAGAAAGGCAAGACCTCAAGAACTACCAGTGGGCAACTTACCTGCTGAGAGGCTGATGCACGGAAACCCTCCATTTACGTGCACGGGAATAGATTACTTCGGCCCTATGACGATCACCGTAGCAAGACGCCATGAGAAGAGATGGGGTGCTCTATTCACATGCTTAACAACACGAGCTGTACACATTGAGCTCACTCCTTCACTCTCCACTGACAGCATGATCATGGCACTACGACGATTCGCCGCGAGAAGGGGAATGCCAAAGATAATCTACACCGACAATGGCACTAACTTCGTTGGCGCCAACAAAGAACTCAAAGAAGCACTAGACACCATGAAGCAAGAAGACCTTATCTCGGAAGCGGAGAAGATCGGTGTGCAGTGGAAGTTCATACCTCCTGGTGCACCAAACATGGGAGGTGCATGGGAGCGTCTGGTGCGATCCATTAAAACCGCACTGGACGCCACGCTCAACGAAAGGCAACCACGAGAGGAGGTACTTCATACCCTCCTGTTAGAGGCCGAGCACATAGTCAACTCTCGGCCCCTCACCCACCTCTCCGAGAACCCTGAAGAAGAAGCACTTACACCGAACCACTTTCTCATCGGGCGATCATGTGGCGCAGCAAGAATCGGCAGCTTCGAGGACAACGAGCTTGTGGGCAGACACACCTGGAAGGCTACGCAGCGACTTGCCGATCACTTCTGGCAACGTTGGCTGAGAGAGTATTTGCCCACTCTACTACCAAGGAAGACCAAAGGAAGAGTCAGCGCCACAGATTTGCAAGTCGGAGACATCGTACTGATCGTCGATCACAGCCTACCAAGATGCATCTGGCCACGCGGAAGAATCCTGCATGTGTATCCTGGACCAGACGGGCGGACCAGAGTCGTCGACGTCGAGACCAGAGGAGGTGTTCTACGGAGGCCCAGTTCGAGAGTGGTGCTGTTGGTGCCGGGAGCGTCGCCGAGTCCAGGAGTTGGTGCAAAGCACGAGGGGGAGAATGTCGGCGACGGAAAACTTATCTTCGAGTAACGTGTGTATTAATATAGGGACAATGTCATTTTAGCGTATTATGAATAATTGTTGTAAATATGAAATCTCATTCTTATTAGATTTATTATGTTAAAATAAGTTCTAATTAGTGTAATAAGGTTAGTTTAGAGTATTTTTTGCTTATTTGAATCATATAAGACTATTTAACATTAATTTGAAAGGAATAGGTACGTAAGTAAAATGTTAGCATATAATTACGTAACTTGAAAATGAGATTTTTTGTTTCTTGCAATAGCATAATAGTTTATGTTTTAAATAATAGATTTTATTATAAAACTTATAATAAAACAAGAATTAGGTCGATAGGACTATCCGTTCAAAAGTTATAAGGGAAAATGTATAGTAAAAATGTAGCAACCTAGAAATTTAGATATTTTTGTTTTAAGACTTTTTTAATTAATTATTATATATTGAATATTATGTTTTAATATTGTATAATAGTATGTAAGGCATGTAAATAAATAAATATGTGTAAGGTGTTTTACTGAAAACATAAAATAAAAGGACTCTCAAGGTTTCGGTTTAGGGAAATTTTATTCGAAAAATGAGCTCAAAGTACGCGGCTCTCTGTAAGGTATTAACGGGCCAAATAAAAGGCGAGCCATTTCTCGATTCGAGTCAGTCGCAAGACAGCCACCGAAGAGGCAACAACTAAAAGGAAAAGGAAGAACCGAAACCAAGAGAGAAAAAAGGAAAAATTGTGTTTTATTTCATCGCCTCTAAGTATAGTCTCCTGTCAACGAAGAAACCCTAGTGGATCGGGACCCAAGCTACGCATTCAGGGGTGCGTGGTGGCGTACATTACCAGCGAACGGACATACTGCCGTGTACGCCAAGAACGTCTGGGAGATTGTCCCAGGTCGACCTCCGGGTACTAGACATACCCTGGTTCTGGTCGTCCGAAACAATCAATGTGTGTATGTATGTTCCTTATGGACTCCCAAAAACGGCTGGAGCGATTTTGATGAAATTTTCAGGCAATCTTAAGATTAGCCCAGCAGGTAAACCTGTGAACTTTGGTAGAGATCAGAAGTTTGAACTTGGGCAAAGTCACCAGTACTTCAAGTAATACAAGTACACAAAAGGTTTAAATAGAACTCATAAATTTACAATTTATGAAGATTATTTGTGTTGTAAATTGTACCCAATATGTGTAGTATAGAATAGATGTATTACTATATCTTTGCTTATCACATAGCTTTTGACCCCAGTTGATAAATCATCAAGTAACCTACACATAATATGTAGGTTTTCAACCGACTTCAAAAAGGAGGAGGTTCTCAATTCGACTATATGTTTTTTTTTTATATGTTTGTTACCTCAGAATTCCGTCATTTATTAACCGATTTGGACAATTTTTGTTTTGTTTGAAAGGGTATACTTCCAGATTGGTCCCATTTAAATTTCAAAAAAAAATACCACCCCTAAGGGTGGCAAAACAACTAATTATGAATTTAACCTACTTCTAATTGTCATATTGACTTGAAACTTTGCAAGTATTTCTATTTCCGTTGATAGTACAGTGGCTAAGTAATTAAAGCCTATCTATTAAATACATACCTAATCAAATATTTTCGAAATCAGTGCCAGCCCATACAAAGCAAAGCACACCGACTTCGAAAATATTTGATTAGGTATGTATAGTAAATGAAAACTACCAATCAGTTATTTTTTACTTTTTAGTGCTTTTGTTTGAAGTCGGTTTTTATTTTTTTGTTAAAAAGTTTTTAAATACATTAAACATATAAATCCTTTTTTATATGCACAGAAAAATGTATACATGTATGATTTGATAAGGGTCATAATATATTGAATTCATTCCTGTACCTGTCTTGTGCCACTCCTAATTCTTTTTCCACAAGTTCAAATAAGATCTTTGCATGTTTCTTATTTTGTTCAACTCCAAGTGCACCAATTGACATGAGATTTGCGATGGCACAAGGATCACTACTACCTCCAAAACTCATTGGTACATCCGGGATAACAGAAACTACACAGTACTAAAAATAAGTATTAGATAATATCTGTCAATATTGTTTAATGATATTTTTTTACTGAATTAAATAGAACCTTTTGAATTCTATGGTACCTATTCTATAGAATATAGATAAAACTCTTAAATTATATATTAACTTATTTGAAGAAAATCTATGATGTATGAATAAACCGCTGCAATGCCGACCGAAAATCAGTTTACGATCACGAATTCAGATCATACATATAAAAGAGCAATTTTTAATAAGAACATTATTACCTGTTGTGGTTTCCCAAGTGCCTTAGCCAAAACTGGTACTGTTTTATTCACAAAATCTTGTGGTATTTTAGATTTTGGTACATTGGTTTCAATTCTAAAATGAGGCATTATATACAATTAAATAATTCTACTAAATTATAAAACGAGTCCTGTAGAACAAATCGTGATATTGTTTCTTTAAATATATATTCTTTCCTCAAGGCTTCAACACAAATCTATTATTATTTTTAGACTATTAACATTGGCCTGATTTGTTTATTTTTCCTATAATTTTTCCAATTTCCCTAAAGCAATAATTCTCTATGGTTTATTTTATTACGTTCACAGATTATAATATTGCAACAAGGTACAGAGTACAGACTACGATTAACTATTAATTAAGAAAAAAGAAATTGGTATGAGTTTGATTGGAGGTGCTATCCCTCTCATATCTTTTTTAGCAGTCCTAGACTCCTCCATCCTATTTAAGACGTTCTTCCCCTCAAAATCTCCCGTCCCATTGATGTTAATTGCTTAATAATGTTTGTGTTTATGTTTAATCCTCTATGTAAATTTCTATGTATATGTAAATATATTAAGTGTAATGGAATTTTTAGACTATAGACTAACATTTTTGTAAAATAATTAGAACTCACTAACACTTATTTTCAATTAAGAATTTATACTAATAATTATGCTATCTTTCATTGTAGGTTTTTTACCAAAAACAACAAGAGGTCGAAATGCGATGCATGGTCGGACGCATGTGTGCTGGGCTTAACAGAAAAAAAAATGTTTATGATCGGTACTTTCCGAGGTAAGGTACATAACGATTAGCGACTAGCTTAACACAAACCGGCCATTATAAAAATTAAAAAGCATATCAGCATTATTTATACCTACTTTGTTTTGTGTTGAGGACTCGTTGAGAACTTTAATCTTTATAATTTATATGCGTTAGCATTTCTATATAGTTTGTGATTTTTATTATTTACTACAAGGAAACACGTGTGGTCTTCAGCTTGTATAAAACAATAGTTTTTTTTTAATCGACGATGGGAACTGAGAATTCAAAACCAGAAAAAATACATGCAGGAAGGTATGTTTGTTTTATAATATTTAAGATATTCTAAGATGTAGGTACGTTTTAGCGATTCAAACGGTTTTACATGATAAAACGTGGAATATTCCATAATGGTACCCACTAATTTCATTGTCTGAAGATAAGTTTTATATGAACTTCCCTAAAATTTTATATTTTACCGTTGTGTATATCTATTAGCAAATTTTTAAGCTTTTAGAAAACAAAACTAATAAATCCAAAGGACTTTTTTAAAATTACTTACCCTCATTTCATGTCATGTCTCTTCACACTATGCTCGTAACGTGATAGAATAGAGTAGGTTCAAAATAAAATTCTGTTTTAATAATTATATTTATTTCTGCTACTCATTTAGTGTCAAGAATTTAAACGATGGTCGTACAGAAATGGCAATCGAACAGGCTTTAGAACAGCAACGAAAAATGTATGAAGAAAAATTTGAAAAGTTGGTTAAATCTCAATTGCGGTCTGAAACTACAGTATCGCATAACATAAATCGCGATAGGTATCTATGTATTTTTAATTATTTTTATGTTTAAGTCGCAACATTTATAAGACAATATAATATACATTTTTGTATTTATTCACTTGCATTTTATTATATTCCAGCAATACACCAAACATACCACAAAATCCAACAAATTCATCAATTGGGCCTTTATACCCAAATTTGAATGTAATGACTAATAACACTATTGGCAATCGACAAACTGTTCATCATGATCTACATAAAAATCATCCAAGAGTTTTAAATACATATGAATTTCAGTAAGTATTCTAGAATCCTAGATATATAAATGTGATGTTTAAAAAGGCACCATGGCCAACAAACCTAAAAGGGAATAACCATTCATTAATAAAAAAAACCATAAAAGTTTTAAAATTACTTAATATTATTTTTGTAAAGGTTAATTATCTAAAAAATATAATTTTTATTTTCCTAGTAACAGAAAATGAACTGTTTTAATTGCTATCAATTAGAAACCAATTAGTTAATAAAACATGATAGCTATAATTATGAATGAATGAATGAATTACTTTTTATTGTACACCCAAAAAGAGAAAAAGAAAAAAATATACATAATATAGAAGAAGGAACAAGTAGCAGCCTTATCACTAAAAGAGCGATTAAATTAATTATTTCATATTTTAATCTTTTGAACCCATATTATAAAATTATTGATTAATAAAAAATATTTCAGATTCTCTCCTGCAGTACCATCTGCTCCAGCAGAAAGTGACAACTATGTTGATGTCACAAGGACTAAACAGAATAACAGCAATGGTGCAATACCAAAATCCAGGTCATTACAAGATATTTTGTTTAAAATAATAAAAAAGCATCAGAAAATTTTCATGAATTGGTGTCAATAATAAAAATAAGCAGTCATGAGAACTGCTGACAGAAGTGAAAACTTAAAACTATAAACAAACAGTTGTTATTTTTGTATATTTAAATGAATTGTTTGATCATACATTAAAATTTGTAAATTAAAACTGTTTACATTTATCTAGTTTTGACATCTATCGGCACTCTTGAGTGTTAGCGTTAACACGTCACGTGACCCTGTCGATGACGACTTACATAAATTTACCCCCCATTCAAACCTACCTATAGAAGTTTTCACTTCAAAAAATATTTCAGATTCTCTCCTGCAGTACCTTCTACTCCAGCAAAAAGTGTCAACGATGTTGATGTCACAAGGACTAAACAGATAAACAACAAAGGTGCAATACCAAAATCCAGGTAATTGCAAGAAATTCTGTTTAAAATATTAAAAGCTTTCATCGGATTTTTCTTTCATATATGTTATAATATAATAATATATAGATGTTAGAATAAATAAATATTTGTAGATGTTAGAATATGTCACCAATAATTAATAAAATATATCTATACATATAATAAAATCGTAACTAAGCTGAATCTGTACATTGAATATTTTTTGGAAAATCTTATTAAAATAGACTTTATTGTCGATACAGAGGCTGAATCTATAGTTTTAAGAATTTTTGTCTGTCTGTCCGCATCACGGAAAAACCACTGCAGGGATTTTGATGAAATTTGGTATGGTGATAGCTGGTTATCCGGGTCAACATATAGGATACTTTTTACCGCGGGAAAATATTTCTGAGAAAAAAACAAAAACTGCAATGTAAGAGTATACTAATATGTAAAACATAAGAATTAGGTTTTTCTCATCTGAGCGCGGGCGGCAATGCTAGTGTACAACATATTTAATTTTCATAACCCACATTTACATACATTGTTTTAGTATTGGATTTATGATCGACTAGCCACTTACCCTCGCTTTACTTAGGTGCTTCTCTAGGTCCTTAGCCTGTGTTAAAGTCTTTTCTGTTATTTGTTTACTAAATTTCTTTTAAATCTGTCCAGTCATTTCAGATTAATGCAAGGTTTAACAAACATAACCAACATGCATACAAATTTTCACATTTATAATAGTAGTCCGATGAGTATGTTCTCACCACATTCATAATAAAATACCATATTTATTTTGTATTCAGCCCTCTTTACCGTCCCACTGCTAGGCTCGGGCCTCCCTTCAATACGATGGGAATCAGGCCATAGTCTACCACGCTGGCTAAGTTCGGGTTGGCGAACTTTACATTTCATTCAAAAACTTACTAAGTTCTATGCAGGTTTCCTCACAATGATTTCCTTTACCGTAAGACAAGTGGTAATCATGTTGGAAATGATTCGCTCATGAAAATATCAGAGGTGCGAGACCCGGGATTTGAACCCACTTCACTCGGTTTAGTGTTTACCAAGTAAGCACATTACCAATGGGCTACCATTAAGTTTAAGTAAATACTTTTATGTTTCAGAATTTTCTACAATGAGAAGAATAAAAATAATGATAGCCAGTGTGTGAATTGTGTCACGTGTTCTAGTACTCTTGGATTACAAATATATCAATGCAATTCTGGCCATAGCTCATGCAGTCAATGTAGATTTCTCAAGAAATGCTGTGGCATATGTTCAAGGTTAATTACAGACATGAGGAATATAACTCTCGAAACATTCATTGCAGAATTGCAAATCAATATTAATGATGATGTAAGTACCACATTGCAAATTCATATTTTTGAAAATATTCAGTGTTAACACCTCCAGGTAAATTTCTAAGAAAATAATACTTTCTTAGATTTACGCCAATATTTGACATTTTAAATAAAACTATCTTTTCGGATTATTTCGCGGATTTCTTTTCATTTTTGGTTCCGCGAAATAATCCGAAAAGAGAGTTTTATTTAAAATTCTAAGAAAATAATTAAATTTCTAAGAAATCTATTGTTAACTGTAACGCTGGCGTGTCCGCGGTCGTTGAGGGATTAAAGGAATATATGGATTTTATGATACAAGCAAGATTTTGCAAATGCCACTCGTCAGTACGTTTGTTTATTAAGTCCTTCACTGGGGGATGGCTGAATGGAAGAAAAATTTAAGGGGTTAAGTCACAAGTATCATATACATACTATTTTTTAGAAATTAAAATTTTAAATTTGTGAGTATTGTCCTTACAACTTGTGAGAAATGTGTTCTCACTATAATACCGTCTGGCGCAGTTGGCTATTCCCGGTAAGATTTGGCGCCATTGCCTAAATCGGATGACATTATTACTATTACAATATGTGTACACTAACCTATCCTATCTTCCCATTATCTTTAAGGAACGTGTAAAATGCCCCAATACAAAAGATGGTTGCTGCCTTTCATTTAAAAAAGATGCTATGGAAGAACATTTAAAAGAATGCCCTTATAAAGATATAGACTGTCCATTATTAAAAATATTTGGTATCTGTAAATGGCAAGGTAAGTTAATTTTTTTAGAGTTCAGAATTAACTAAATATGTTGGGAAATTAACACAGCACCAACTAGTTCCATGGCAAGCTATGTGGCTTGTATTATGGATACCAGATCGTTGATACACTACACATATGTAACTTTAAATACATATTATAAATATAAAAACCCAAGACTAAGAGTATAAACATTCGTGCTCATCACATATATGAATGCCCCCACCGGAAATCGAACCCATTACTGCTGGCATGGCAAGTAGGGCCACTACAAACTGAGCAAAACATGTTGTCCTCCTACAACACTAAAATGTAGATTATAATATGTTATTAAATATAAATTGTTTTCAGGTAAAGTAAATCATTTACTGCAACACTTTAAGGATTTGCACCCGGAGCACTGCTTTGCAGATGTGGATAAAGAAATGAAGATTCTAGATGCTGAAACAGAGTTTTATAATGTTTATTTCGTAAACATTGGCTCATTCAACTTTTTAATTCACATTAAACGAGACTTACAAAAGACAATATATATGACAGCTACACTGTTTGGTACCAAATTTAGTGCTTTAAAGTGGACATATGAGTTTCAAGTATATAATAAAAAGGAACCGAGACGTAAATTCACATACATCGATATTTGTAACTCATTTGTCACACCAGCTGTAGAGTTATTTGAAGCAGGTTGTTGTGCAGTTCTTGATAAACAATATGGTCAATCTTTTTTCAATAATAATGAATTAACTTATAAATTTTATATAAAGAAAAAAATTGATTCTAAAAAGAATATGCAAAAAAATTGACTTTATTAAAAATGATGTTATGAAAATTTGGGAAAATTCCTAAGAATGTTATGAAAAACTAAAAATGTTAACCTTTAGTTTACAAGAATGTAGTGAAGTGATAACTCTTTATTATATAAGGAACATAGACATGTCTTTGTCAAAATGTGCAAAGAATCTGCTAAAAATGGCGGAAAGACGACAGAGACAAAACGAATATGCGGCCAGAAGTCTTCTGTATTAATTGAAATGCGATTAATGAAGATAGATATTTAATTAAATGTATAGATAGAATTTTAATAATATTATATATTTCTTACGCTCCGTTTATACTTTCAAATTAGAATAAAAGACGAGTATTGGGCGCACATTCGCTTTCTCTCTTTCTAGAGAGTGATCAATTTCATGACAGTATTGCTCAGTCTATTCTTTACGCCTATGTTATGAAAAATCCCTAGAGTAAAAATTACAGACATTCAAATAATTTGACACATACAGTGTATTATAATACTAACGGCATTGATGTAAAGTGAATATTGATGGGGTGTCTCATATTTTTAATATTATAATATTGATATGAAAAATTATGTTCCTTTTATCATTAAAACACTAATTAGGTAAATATTTTGATTATTTTAGATAATGTGTTTAACCACTGTTCTATTTAATAGGAAACGACAGTAAATATTGATTCATTCGTAGTCTCGTTAGGCTTTCGTATAGATGATATTTTTTTATTTTGTGATGCTTGTGATTGCTGTAATGTTGTAAATTTAATTTGGATAGAGGGCTTGGACATTATGGCTAATTCGTTCATGACATGTCATTAAAAAACCGATTCACTGTAGTTTGCATGTATGATGTTACATCACGTCTTAGAGACTGGGAGATATTGCTACGATAAATTATCTATATTTGTTATATGAGAAATAGAAATTTTTACATGAAACAAATTAAGTACCAACGTTCTCCATATTACTTATACAAACATATCTTGATTATCTGGTTCTTTATTCACTTAATGGAATATAACTTATATTTAAATATTTCTTTTTTAATTTATAGTAAATGACATGGGCGGCGGCAGAGTTATTTCCAGGGGGTACATTTGCTTCTTCACATTAAACTACTAACGAATTTTTAAATGATTAACTTAATACTTTTTGTCCATAACTTATGTATCATCTATTTTTCACAGATATTTGAATTTACTAATACAATTTTCTTTCTTTAACTTTTTCTATATGTTTTCCTTCATGGCAAGTGCACCCCCTTGCATCTCCTCCTAACGCCCATGGTCAATGAGCTCATTATAACGATATTTTAAAATGTCTTTTTTTTTAATACTTAGATTTACGCGAATATTTGACATTTTAAATAAAACTATCTTTTCGGATTTATTTGGATTTTTGGTTCCTTGTCTTTTTTTATAGTGTACTGTGAATCTTTATCAATGAAACTGAATGAATGATATCACTTCCCAATTTGGTAATGACAGGTGTCACCGCACCATGATAAAATGAAATAGGTAATAATAATAATTATTGGTTGTACTTGGGAGTTTGCAGTTATAAAAACCCCCAATGAAGATAGCGTGACATTAATTATATACATTTAATAATATTTTATAACTTTTGTTTTATAATTTGAATAAAAAGTTTTTATAAACTAGCAAAGATGCTTTTTATCTTTTAACACGTTGCGCCAACTTTTGGCAAACATTTATTACTAACAGTAACCTATATATTATTCCAGATCTGTCGATCTGTGTGCTCAATTTCATTTAACGCCAGTTGTTTTAATGTTAAGAATTATCCTTAAAATACTCTTTCATTGTAATGTGAGCCAAATCATTTACATAATAAATAAGATTACAATAATATAGAGATAAAATTGTTTGTTTTCATGTACATTATAAAAGAAGAAATAATTATCATTGAAAAGAAACTTCTTTATTGCCACGTACTATAGAATACTGTGCTTTATTATAATATAAATATATGTATGTAATTGTATCAAATATATTTTTGTATATTTATTGCAATATTGTGCAGTTATTACTTTATCTACCTGACCAAATAGTTTATTATAAATGAGAATTTATTGTCAAAATAATATTCTTTCACTCCACAATTTTTATTAAAACCTTTTCTAATTTCTATCAAAATTATATCTACGTTGTTTTTGGAACTCATAAAAAACCCTCGACGTGTAACCTATACTTATGCGATAGTGTTTTTAGTTTCAAATTAAAATTAGAAATTATATAACATGATTTTTAAGAGCATAAATTATCCATATTAAAACACATAATATTGCCAACAAGAAAATTTAACGAAGATGAATGTAAAATCTTAAATCTAAATAAAACTCAGCACAGAGTGAGATTGTAGTGCCTCTTTTTAACCAATTTCGAAAAAGGAGTCTATTCTCATATGATGTGATAACGATGGGTATGATAGGTCGGTAAAGGCAGTGGTAGTAAACAATTCGCCTTACGGTGTAACGTTATTAATTTTCTATATTTGTGGTCCATACGGGCGCACTTGGCCAGCGTTGGTGGACTATAGGCTGATTCCCTTTGCATTGAGGAGACGCCCATGTCCAGCAGTGGGACTTTATAAAGGGCAAAGTTATTATGGTCGTCATGGTAGGTCGTATATACGCCTACTATTTTATAGGTATACTTACCACGTACGTAGAGCAATTATACTAGTTGTCTATACTTCTTTTAATTTTATTTGGGATATATTTATACAAAAATTAAAAAAATAAATGTCATGCATCATACTTTAATACATAATATTATTACAATTTGTAATATAAGCTTCGTCATCTAAATCTACAGGGTGAATATCACTACATCTTCTTACAAATTATTTCAAATGCACAGATGGTCTTACTATTCACAATATACTTAAGTATAAAAGAAAATAAAATATATTATTGAAAAGTGAACACATGCAGTTCGTATGTTTACATTGAAAATATTTTAAAGCAAAAGATCTTGTTATGATAACAAGTCAATGGACGGCATGAAAGAGATTCTCACAATTATTTTTGGAATGATTTTTATACATTATGCCGTCATAAATAACCTAATATGTAATTAATTCATATTTAAAACAAATCGTTCATAACTATACTTTCTAGAAACACTGGCAGTGGTTGTTCTATGATTCTAACAAGTAATAACCTTGATTAATTAGATGATTAACTTTATACAGTACCTACCATACATTCCGTGACCTTTACCAATGTCATAAAAACAATTATTAAAATTTTCTCATTAGTACTTGAGGCATTTTAGCATTGTAAGTATATTTCATAAATACTAAGTAGGTATTTTATCAATATTTATATTTAATTTTTTTATAAACACAATATATCTGATAAGTACAATATCGTGGGTAGGCATTAGCATTAAGATAAAATAATTTTGTAACAATATTGATGTATAGGGTTCTAAAAAATATGTTATATACATGATGTAAAAATCCTCCATTTTGTTACCATTTTCTGCTATGAAACCTTATTATTGTTTAAAGTCACTATGTTATTTAGTTTACTTTTTATTGTTTTTAAAGTGATTTTAAATTTAGAGCAGAGACTACGTCTCGAGCGGGGTCGAGACGCCATCACGACATACATCGCAGATACGTGGCTTAAGTAAAGTTGGTTGATCTTGGTGGATCATAGTTATGTTTTGGTATTATAGTTGAAAGTCGATGATTGGCGACTGTGAACCTGCTGGCTCTACTAAATTATTAGAATTACCGTTTCAAGCTTATAACATTGTGATTTCCCTGATTAAATTGTATATTGAGCATTGAATACTTTCTTCTTTGACCCCTGATAACGCCCACAGGATTAGAAAGCAGTAAATATGATGTTCGTAGTATATGGATAACACGGCATACATATAAAAAACATAGGTTATATTATTATTCGGCCGTAATGTTTAAAAATATGTATATAATACTTATCATTAATAACTATAGATAAAAGTAAATTATCGCAAGACGCACCCATTACGATTGATTGTCAATAAATAAAGCATTAAAGTATTTTTTTAAAGTAATTATTTACAAACTTGAATACAGACGTTATATTATAAGCATTAATCACATCACGTTTTCAACAATGTATATTAACTTAATCCAATTCCCTTTCCCTGTAGATTATAATTTATTGTTATCAAGCCAAAGTTCAAACAAACACACATTAATAAAATGACTAGAATTCGTTTAAGAACAGTGTACTTACTGACTATAATAAATTTAAAGTGTTACACACAAAATATCTAAAGATAATTCAAACTGTGCTAAGTGAATATGTAATAATAATCAGAAAAATCTTTTACAATAAAGCTAATGAGATCCGTATTTGATATTTTAATTTTAACATAATTTTCAAATTAAATATTCAGTATCCATAATTACCAGTTAAATTTATTTTTAAAAACTACGTTATTATTAAAAATAAACAATATTAATTATTATCACAGTCTACTAATCCATACAGTCTTAACGAAGGCATCTGGAGTCTAAACATTATAGTAGTCTAAATTCTAGACAATCATCGGGGCACTATTAGGGCGTGCGGGAGAAACGCAGGTGAGGCGCACCCGACTCGTAAGTTGTACGTTATTTTATGTGTCAGTCGAGACCACAGTCCACAGATCACATAATATATACTATTCTAGTATAGCTGCCTCATCCCATACAAAGAAATTGGCAAGCGCTAATTCGGACTATCTTTGTTCGCTTGAATAGATAATAGATGTCGTTGATTCGCAAATAGTTAAACTGTTTTATTTTATGAGTGCAAACAAACGTTTGGTAAATGTTGTAAAATTCATCATGCATTCGAAAAAAACAGTGAAAAAGAACGATTCATAAAATGTAAAAACGCCATCTGTGAATATACACTACAAACCCATCATCTGATTGCTAATATTTCAATTAATCAGTAAAATTACGAAAATTTGATTTACGGTCGCATTATATTTAGTTTTCCTTCACTTAGAATATTTTTTAAAAGAATAATACACAGTTTTGGGTTGGTTATTTTTTATCTTCTGTTAATTTAGCACAACTTTAATAGCAAATCGATACATGTAACGTCATCTATTAACGTTTGAACTAATTATTCTTTGTTCGTGATGAGACCCTGTGGTCGGGACACTGCTTAAGAGTTGTCGTGACTACGCTACAGCTACGCTTTAACTTTGAAACCGATCGCCACGAAAATTGGTATTTTTTAAGAACTTGCATTTGGCAGCATTCCCGTTAAAATAAAAGGCAATTGCCTACTGTATGGATTTTTATACCGTGCTATATCAGAGCATCTTTTCATTGACCGACATGATAACGATAAAATTCTCCAGGTCATACATAGTATATATAAGTTTCATCCAAATTTCACCGTTACGGAATAAATATACAAACACGCGTTATTTATAATATGGTCTGATATTTTTTTAAATGAAAAGTAATTCAAATTAGTGAATTTTAATAATATAAATTGACCAATCTGTGCTGATGACTCGTAAATATACCTACGGCGACATCATTTCGCGCATTGATGAACTTCTTTGGTGTAATTATAATTTTAGTGGCACAGTTTTGTGTCCGATATCAGTAAGTCGTATGTAAAGGTACCAGTCGTAATTAAACATTATCGTGTTGGCCAGTGTAAAATTATGGAATGTTTTAATTCTAAACTCTTTATTTGAGTTTCTTTAAATTTCAGCATTATCAAATAATGACATAGGTACTATAGGTATATACTATAGGTATATAGGTTTTATAGTTATTATCAAATTATGTTCATATTTATTTCATCTAAAAAAATGAAACTATAAAATATAATAATAATAGATGTACAAACTTTTGTGAGGCTGACAAGAATAGATAATAATATAATAAATACTATGCATCTTCAGCACAAGTTTGTTTTTATATTATTTGCTTTATTTAAATTTTATAAATAGTTAATTGTTTTTATAATATCAATGTCTTTAAATTAGTGATATAAAAAGAAACATTATATATTAAGCTAATTATTTGTACCTCCATTGTATGCATAATCAGCTTTGTTATGCATGACTAGATGATTGTCAACAAAGTAAAAGCTGTCAGAACAAGTTTCAAAAGGAGCAGCAATCATCTCTTCAACTGAAATAAAAAAATAAGAAATCATCATCATTTTCACCCCCTTAAGGGATGATTTCTGAGATAAAAAGTATCCTATGTCCTTCCCAGGGTCGCAAACTATCTTCTTACCAAATTTCATCTAAATCGGTTCAGTAGATTACCCCCTACAACGTCACAAACTCACAAACTTTACCTATTTATAATATTAGTATTGATAAAATATTAAACATATAATAATAATTAATAGTAAAAATTAGATAGATATTAATGTATATTTTTAATTGTTAATATAATAATGGTGAATGCTCATTGGTTTGTGCCAAAACTGATCTAAAGATTAACACCTCGGTGGTTAGTTTCCAGGAAATCAATTGTTAACTGCCATCCCGGCATGTTCCCGACCATTGAAGCGTTAAGTAGATACATATTTCTAAGTTCAAAAGAGTTAACAAAAAACTCAATATTGCTGGCCTAAAGCCTAGAGGAAAAGCCGTAAGATATTCACTAGAATAGTGTGAACAGTAACAGATTATAAAATTCTGAGTTTAAGTCCAGGATTAGGCAAAATTAGCTATTAGGTTTTTCTGTTGAAAGGCAAAATGTGTTCAAGTGCACCAATATAGATTTCAACTTGTGCATATCACATAATATTTCCTATGCAGCAATCTCAATGAACATCACTTCAGTATAGGTATCACAAACAGCCCCTTGTGCAGTGTGCCTTAGAAGGAATTAAACTCCAGCCCACATTCTGCTGGAATATAGTGAACTGGAATACCAATACGCAGAAAAACTAGGCCCCAGGAGATCACTCACGGAAATCTTCCAGGATACCGGCAACCTGCTGCTGGGACACCTTAGGGTGGAAATAATAACACACTAAATAGCACAACCTCACACACAACAGGTAAATTTACCTAAGTGTGGAAAAAGCTGTGCAACAAGAAAATTTCCCATGCAGATCACTCAGCAACATTGGCTTAAAAATGAAAACTAGATAAGACTTTGTTAATAACAAACAGTTATTGTACTTTATACATACCTAAATCAGATGGTAAGGAGGGAAATTCATAAATGTGCTCACAAGTATTTCTTGAAAATGGAATACAAAAGCCAAATTCAAAATCAAAAGTTTTCAGTAAAGTGTCTCTAAAAAAGTGTTTTTCAATCATCCGAAAATGATTAACAGGGCGGGCTCCTACTGTAAACTCCACTCTGAAAATTAGAAAACAAAGCAAATATTAAACTTGTATAATATTACAATTATGATATACAATATATATCTTCTATATATATATAAAAGAGTCATGTTAGTTACACTATTTATAACTCAAGAACGGCTGAACCGATTTGGCTGAAAATTGGTGGGGAGGTAGCTTAGAACCAGGAGACGGACATAGGATACTCTTTATCCCGTTCGACCGCGTTCCCGTCTGACGTGACATAAAACTCAAGAATGGGTGGAACAATTTTTATGATATTTGAATTTTGGGATTTCTCTTAGTCTGGAATAGGTTAATAAGTATTAAAACACCAGAAAAATCACGAAAAAAAAAATTAAGATTTATATGATTAACGCTGGCTAATACATACGTAGCTCCAACTGTTTTTAATTTTAAAAATTGAGGTGTAAATTGGTATCTGACGAATCGTCCAGCGTTGGGATCGAGAGGTTCTTCTTGCACATCATCTGCGCCTTCATTATCAACACCAAAGTCAGTAGGTGGTTTAGCGATTTCAAATAAAACTGTGCCGGTTTCCAAATCACGAATTTTAAATCTTGTAAAATCTATATCATAAACATTCGCCTCAGGACTACATAAATATGTATCTGTGATTTTATCCAATCTTAAAACATCTTCTGGTGTAACATCACTGGGCAAAACTTCATCTCTATTCGTTTCAATATTAGTTATCGATTCACACTTTTTCCTAACCAAACTCATTTTTAAAGCTATACTTAGCTATTAAATCAATAAATAATTGATATCATGAATAAATTTTGTAAGCAATATAAGGATAAGGAATATTAATAATTATAAAAGTAGTTTATATATCATCATATTTGTTTAAAATTTTATATACATACACTTTACAAAATACAATTTCAATTGCGTTACTTGCGTCAATTTATACTGATACCTACGGGCTTCGACATCGACAAATGACAATAGCATTTATGTCAAATGTCAAACAATTAAATGTGTATTTATATTCTGTGCTTTCTACAACAACACTATGAAGCGTAAAAGTAAGGAGGAGTAACTGTGTATGAAAAAGTGGACCCGTCAAAACGTTTCCAGTAAGGGTAGAGCTGCGGTAGCTACCTGTTATATTTTAAAAGGAGCGCCAAAAGTAATTAGAGTAAGTTAGAGAAATAAACAAGGATGGTTATAATTACTAAATTATTTTAGACTATGAAATAGTTGAGGTTTTGTTTACTGGTATTTCTTTAACTACTTTGGTCATGAAAATTTTAAATTTTTGAACTCAGTACACTTTACTCCGTATAAAACAGCTAAATTCATATCGTAGTATTTTGTACGCCAGCGCCATCTATTTTCAACATATGTAGGTGGACACTTTTTCATAGACTCCTATTTACCTCTACCCTCAATAACCTACACTATGGACAATATGTCATTAAAAGTTTTGATAAGAAAAGTTAGTAATGATATTTAGAAATTATAAGATTATCAATTTTGTTTTATTTATGTATGTGATAAACTTGCAATTAATTATATACCTGTTTTCAATTATATAAAATAGTATAGCGTTTTGATGGTTATTTTGAATGCAGCCGTAACTGTTGACGTAATTTCCGTTGCATCATCGAGCTGAAGCATGCGCCTTGTCATTTTCAATCATTGGTTGGTCTAAGATTTTAAAATTACAATAAATCGGGTAATCGGGCCATCGCTCAAGTGACGAACTGTGATAAGTTTATTTTAAGGTTGTAGTGAAATATCTGATGTGCATTTAAGTGAAATAAAATAATTAGTCAAGATGCTTATCAAAGAATAGTGAGTATAGTTAAGGTTATATTCTCCTTTTGTTAATATAAATCGATTTTTTAGTCGTCAGCTAAATCTCTTTAGGCACTGTCAAATTGTGTTCTCCTATTTGTATTATTTTCTTTGTAAAATGAGGGTTCCTGACAATATTATAATTATTGCAAGTAACAATAAATTTACCATTTATCTCAACTCAAATTCTGGCAGTTAGCCATTTGTTGAATATTAAATATTTTTTTGTTCGTACCATAAAATGTACCATATGGTAAAATAAATAACATAATGTTTTTTTTTCAGTCGTGTAACACTTCCTTTAACAGTTGAAGAGGTAAGCACCTTGTTTTAAAATTTTAAAAAGGAACTCATTAATCATTTTCGAAATGAAATTTATTTTGTGTTTACATTATGTCATATAATATCAACAAGAAACCTATAGTGTATGTTGATTAAAAATAAATTAGACAAATCCTTAAAAAATATTTTTATTATAAAATGCTTACTACTTTAAAAAAAATATATTTGTTTATAGTTTTAGCACAAGATCATTTTCCAACTATAAACTAATTAATGTTTATAATATAATTATATGAATGGAAATCTATAACAATTATGTCATATGCACAAAAACTATAAAAGGGCACCATTTGCATAAATTTTCATCTATTTCTTTAGTACATATACTTAGAGGATTTAAAAAATAAAATTAAAGAAAAATATATTCATTTAAATAATAATAATGCAATTCATAAATTAAGGAATGAAAAAATTGAATTTCTTATACATTTATTTTATTAAAATATTTATTATTTCTCATTTAAATGGTACTGTCATGTATATATGCAAATTGTAGCTATCTTTTTTCTGTTTTATTATGCATAAGCTTATGTACTATCCCTTATTTATACAGTTTTATCTTTATATTGCATTTATGTATATTATGTAGTAGGTAACTGGAGGGAATATATATATATATATATATATATATACTTAAGTATAATTTTTCAATCACATGACTTTGTGTATTATAGAGTATAAATAATAATCATTGAGCCCTTTTAATGTCCCACTGCTGGGCATGAGTTCCACCTCAATGTAAGGGCCACCACACTAGACAAATGATGAAGATGAAATTTAAACTCTGTTCACTTTGTTTTAAGTATATCTTTTTTGTTAATACACAAAGTAGAAAGTAAAAAAAATAGAGGCCGAATGGCAAATAACCATTATTTATATGATAAAATATTTGTTATCATATGTTATTTGAGAGTACCATAGATATTATTTTTAGTAATAAAATGTTATAAAGTGAGTTCATAGTATTTCATGTCCAAAACATTATTGCATTGTGTACTAACTTGTAAAATTCATTTACAATATTCATTGCTTATAAGGGCATACATATAATATACTAGCTGAACCCGCGGCTTCGCTCGCGCTAAAACTATAAAAAAAACTAAGTAGGTTCCATACAAACTTTCATCCCCTATTTCACTCCCTTATGGGATGTATTTAATTGTATTGAAGAGCGTTAATACCAAGTTTCAAGTAATTTTGATCATAAATATTTTTTTCGGTTGTATTATAACGTGTTTTCCCGCAGGAATGATATAATTTCCCGCGGTTAAAAATTAGCTTATATCACTTTCTAGCCCTCGAACTATCTCAACACAAATAAAAACTTAAAATAAAAACCGACTTCTAGGCACTGAAAAGTAAAAAATAAGTAAACGTGGGGTTTTCATTTAGATATGTACCTAATCAAATATTTTCGAAGTCGATGTGCAACGACAACGAAATTTTTCTATCATAGGCATCAGTTTCTATTTCTTAGTGATGTAAGATAAATTTCCTAAATACTATATCAGTGATGTCGTTATAAAATTAATAATTATCGTATATGTAATTTAGAACATAAAATGGCAACATTATACATATAATGATAGATCACCAAATGCCATAAAGTATTCTTTAAATGCCATTTTGGTGCACTGTACGTGCTTAAAGTTGAACATAAAAATCGCTTATTGGAAGTCCTTGAACTAAGTATTGAAGATACATATAATAAAATTGTAACTAAGCCGAATCTTTATCTACATTAAATATTTTTTGGAAAATCTTATCGAAACAGAGGCCGAATCTATAGTTTTTAGAGTTTTTGTCAGTCTGTCTGTGATCGCATCACAGAAAAACCACTAGAGGGATTTTGATAAAATTTGGTATGATGAAAACTGGTTATCCGGGTCTACATATAGGATACTTTCCACTGCTGAAAAATATCTGATCTCTGAGAAATCTATAGTAAACGTTAAAACGTAAGTAGTGACGAACCTGAGGGGAGCGATGGTGAGTCGCTAGTAATATATATAATCACAATTTTTAAACCAGATTTATAGAATAATTGGTCTCTCGTTAAAATTTTAACATTAAATGCTCCATTCGTATATATACATATGTATCAATTAGAAGTGCATTCTAAACAATGCTATTAGCTGTTTTGTGATAGGTATGTTCAGCAAAAAGCGAATGTGGAAAATTTTACGTTATATAAAAAATACTAGCATTGCCAGCGGCTTTGCCCGCGTTCAGATGACCGAAAACCGAATTCTTAGGTTTTACATATTAGTATACCTACTCTTACATTGTAGTTTTTGTATTTTTTCTCAGAAATGAGACATTTTCCCGCGGTAAAAAGTATCCCATATGTTGACCCGGATGACTAGCTATCACCATACCAAATTTCATCAAAATCCCTCTAGTGGTTTCTGTGATGCGGTAACAGACAGAAAGACAGACAGACAAAAATTCTAAAAACTATAGATTCGGTCTCTGTATCGATAATAATAATGTCTATTTCAATAAGATTTTCAAAAAAATATTTAATGTACAGATTCGGCTTAGTTACAATTTTATTATATGTATAGATTAACGGCATGCTATAAATTTGTCTTGCTGTAAAAGTTGCATTATTTATTTGCCCCTGGCTTATGGCTTTTCAGTGAAAGATCAATTTAAAAAATAATAAAAAGCTATTAAAAAAACAAAGAATAATCCGGAAAGTCAATAAACGGACAAACCGATCAACGTTGGTACCTATTGGGAAATGTCTCCTATAATTAACATTAATTGTTTTTTTTTTGTTTGAATCCAGTCTTGTATGTAGGACAAATAAATGCTGAATTTAAGAACCATATTGTGTAATTAGTCCGCACAAAAGCTGCGCTTGCAAGGCCACGGGACTAGGTCAAGGACCCTCGAGTATAGTACCTATTCCCTCACTATTGTTTTCTACAGCTACACTACAAACAATTATTTTTGGTTCCTTTTATACATTTAAGAATAAACTCTTATTATTATAGGTTTATTGGCATTTATTATATTTTATTTATTTATAAGTTCACAAAACCGACATACAAATAAAATAAACAAGCTTAATTATAATTATTCTAAAGTATACAATCAGACAAATGATGTCTTCTAAGATGTTTAATTTTATTTTTTCTATTTATGTTGAATTATACATATTATGTAATCTGTTCTCACCGCCAATTGTGAACGGATTTTCTTAATATTGTTATAAATTAAAAAAAACACCCCTAAGAGTGGAATAGTTAGTGGTAATTATCGTATTACGGCGTAAGAGTACGTATGTGACAAATATTATGTAAAATTTAAAATTATAGTTTTGACTTCTATCCTGTAAGAAATTACACAATTATCGACTATTCCCATTGCTTAGTAATAATGTCAATATTAATAAAAATGTGTGTGTAAAGTTTAACATAATATTTACAAGTACGTAAACTTACATAATCTATACATCTATACATATAATAAAATTGTAACTAAGCCGAATCTGTACATTAAATATTTTTTGAAAAATCTTATTGAGATGGACATTATTATCGATAAAGAGGCTGAATCTACAGTTTTTAGAATTTTTCTCTGTCTATGAACGCGTCACGAGAAAACCACTGGATAAATTTTGATGAAATTTGGTATGATGATAACTGGTTATCCGGGTCAATATACTTATAGGATACTTTTAACTGCGAGAAAATGTCTCGTCTCTGAAAAATTTATACTAACCGTTAAAATTTAACCTACGAGTCGCTAGCTATGAATAAATCCTTAAATCATAAATTAACTCAGTTAAAATTAGGTAATTGATGAACGGTTAAATTAGATCGAATAAATAATTAATTTGGAAACTACTTGCACTAGGTTAAAAACCTGTGTTTCAGGTTATAGTTTTACCTTGCATTTATTACTGTAACAAAAGTTTATAAGAATGGCAAAAGTAAAAGAAAAAAAAACAAAAATAAGTTTGATACTATAACATTTTAAGACAAACATATAAAAAAATTGCTTAGGTATATCTTAACGCTTAGTTTTAAGATTAGTTCGTTTTTCCCCGTACAAATCCTACATTCAGCTATATTATATCACGTATTTCCGGGTTACGTAACTCCATTTTTACATTACGTAAAGTTTTTCACATAACTCAAGAAATGGAAATCAGCCTCCCACAAAGAATATCACTATCAAGTATCAATGGCCAAAAAACCTTTCCGTAGCAGAAAAAAATTAAATCTCTATACTGTAATTACCAACCAAGATTTTTCATATGAACTTTGTCACTTCTTATGGGTGGAATTTTCAAAGGAAACTATTTGTGCTGACTTTTATTAGCTTAGCTTATATAAGAAAATTTGATGCACAGTTTCCTTGACGATTAAGGTGATTATATCTTATAATTATTAAATTAAATATATATAAAAGGCAAAAGTGATTGACTGATGTATCGAAGCACAGACCAAACCCTTTAAGGCTAGAAAATTGAAATTTCGCATACGTATTCCTCTTATGACGAAGGCATTCACTAAGGAAGGATTTTTCAAAATTCAACCTCCAAAGGGGTGAAATAGGGGATAAAAGTTTGTATGAAACTTTTTATTCCTTGGACATATTTGCATGAAATTTCGTTTTAATTGAGTACGGCAAAAATAATGAGTTACGTATTTCAGCGTTTTCTAAAATTTTAAGAGGATAAAATAGGGAATGAATGTTTGTGTGAAACCTACCTTTTTAGATTTTTTTTGTAGTTTTAGCGCGAACGAAGCCGCGGGTTTTGCTAGTTAAATATATCGTCCGTAGCTGCGCTACGTGAAACGTCAGTAAAAATAATCTACAACTATACATACATATTACTCAAGCTTTCTATGAGAATAAAGCTTTTTAAAATCGGATCGGTAATTACAGAAATACCCTACCTACGCCTACTCAAACATTTTACTTGTATATATTAAATAACATAGCATTTCCTCACAGCTTCGCCCCGCATAGTTTAAGTAGATCCAAAGATCACACAAAAAATGTTATATTAATACTAGAGGCTCATCCTCGCATCGTTCGGGTTCATCTTTAAATACGTTTTAACGGTTAGCATGGAATAGATGGACTATATATCATACTAGCGACTCACCCTCGCTTCGCGCGGGTTCTTCCCTAGCTTTATTTCCCATACAAACTTTCATCCCCATTTTCACCACCTTAAGGGATGATATCCTGGATAAAAAGTATCCTATGTCCTTCCCAGGCTTTCAAACCATCTTCTTTCCAAATTTCATCTAAATCGGTTCAGTAGATCCAGAGATTACACCCTACCAAGTCACAAACTTTACCTCTTTATAATATTAAGTATAGATTACTTCTCCGCTCTGTCCGGTAGTTGCATTTTGATATATAGCCTATAGCCTTCCTCAATAAACGGGCTATCTAATGCATATAGAATTTTTCAAATCGGATTAGTAGTTCCTGAGATTCGCGCGTTTAAACAAATAAACAAACTCTGCCTCTTTATAATAATATGTACATAATATTACTACATATCCTAGATAGATAAATTAAGCGTTAGGTAACTTTTAAAAATGCAAATAAATTACGTTGTTGATTGTGCTTAATATTCAGAGGTTGATTAATGTCCTTGAAAATTTTATATATAAAAATATTATAAAAAATTGTTTATAATTTTTCTCATATTTGTTAAATATTAAGTAACTTTTATATACCCAACCCTGACTTGTGTATATAATCACTATTGTAATCACTCGTTGAAATACGTAATGTGAATTAATAATTTAATATATATGTAAATTCACATCTTACGTATAAAAAAAACTTTAATTAGGTATATTACACATACTTAGACTAGACAGAATAAGATTTTATGTATCGCTTCGCTCGGGCTTGTTCCTAAATACGTTTTAAAGGTTAGTACTGTATAGATAGATAGACTATATAATATTATACGTATATTATATACATAGGTATGATAAGTTGTTGTGGGTTGTATTAAAACGTGTTTTTCCGTGGGAATGTGAATTCTAAAAACTATAGATTCGGCTTCTGTATCGATAATAATGTCTATTGCAATAAGATTTTCCAAAAAATATTTAAGGTACAGATTCGGCTTAGTTACAATTTTATTATATGTATAGATTAAGTATGGATATTAATACTAATTTTTGTGAATTTCACATTAACAATGACAAAGTTACTGACAAACTTTCATCCCTTATTTTATGGGGATTAATTTCGAAAATTCCTTAAAGTGAAACTAATTTAAACTGTCATCAGTGGGATATTTTAGTCAATCTATTCATGTTTTTTTACGTTTACATAGAAAAATGCAACACTTTGTAACATCGGCGAAGTAAAGTTTGTGAAACTGGCATGATGATTTTAATTATTATTATTATTTACTTTACTGATTATAATAATACAATATCAAATGTCAGCAACAGTCTTTGCGTGCTCCATCTATCTTATTCTTAAGTCTGAATAGAAACGTTTAATGACTAAGTAGCTATTTATTTTACTATAAGCAACGTCATCATAATATATAGATGCATGATTCGCAATAAAATAAAAATACAATTGAGGAGCTTCTTTTCAAAACTTGACTATTCCACTTTTGATGAAACTCATTTTTTTTTTAATTTTTTGTTTGGTAACATTCAAATTTACACTCCGCGAAAATAAAATTGGCCCAAAACTTGATATTTACACCAGAAAAAAAAGATTAAACGGCATGATTTCGTCAAAAATAGATTATTCCAAGTCAAAATAACATTACCCATTTCAAATACACATTTTTGGAACGAAATATGATAAGTCCAGAAGTTATTTAACTATTTTAATCTAAATTGCAACAAAATAAAAGATACCAGGAAGGAATCCTTTATGAAAAATGAGATTTTTGATACCTAATTAGTTTCAGCAAAACAAAATTAATCCACAGTAGTTTGAATAAAAAAATGATTATTCCTCTAGAGCACATAACAAAACTTGATTATTCCAATCAGCCGCGTCAAAACTAGATTATTACATTTCAAATTTTGGATTTATTCAAAACATATTATTGCTAAATTTTTGAATCCTGTACAAAGCAATAACTATTGTTGTCGTCTACAATAATGCATCAAAATTTCGGGTTGAAAACAAAGCTGCATACCTACAAAACTATTTTTGAGATTGTGAAAAAACACAAAAAATGGAATAGACAAGTTTTGAAAAGAACCTCCTCAATTGATATACGATTGTTAGTAATTTTGCACTTTTTTATCCAGTACCAAGTCGCACAGTTGTATTGTGTCGCAGAAGTCTCCAAAAATGAAACAGGCGGTGGAGAAGGGATTGAGGTCATCAAGAATGAACCTTTCAAAGACTACCCCTTGCTTGGTAAGTTCATATTTTTAAATATATATTTATTATAGCGTATAGTATCGTCTGTTTTTCAATAATTCATGTTATTATGTTGTGTTTTAGCTAATATGTGAAATGGTAATTCGTAGACAGTTACTACCCTACTATAACCCCTACCCCTCTACCCTACAAAAAAACTTAAGTCCTGAACACAAAGACATTTGTAATCTATTATACCTTCATAATCGAATTAGCTTAGACTTAATATTAGTTTCGTTTCTAACAGAAATATTAAAGTTGCTATTGCTGATAAACTCAATTTGATGTTTATCGAAAGTTACAACCGATTATAATAAAAATAGCGTGATACCAATAAAGTCGACACGTTGATGACACTGTAAAAAGCTAAATGTGTTTTTATTTATCTAATCATATCGTTTCTTGGTATAATGTGGTAACTTCCTAATTTAATAACAAAAGATAATTCACGTTGATATAAGATTGATAGAGCTCGCCATGTTATTTATTATGTATGTGTTGTTTCGATTGTTAGAGTATATTTATTATTACTTCTAGCAGGAAATAAACCTGTATAGGTTACAATAATGGTATACAAAAAAAAAACAATATTATGCATATTTTTAATAATATATGATGTTAGAATCAGCCGGTTATAAATAATTTTTATGACGTTCATTTAACAAGTTCGGTGAGGGGGGCGATTTGATCCAAACCATCTGTTTTGTAAGACAATATTTTTTTCTTGTTTTATGTTGGCTTATCCCTGGATTAAATAGTAAAACAACCTGTTAGTAATAAATTTTAGACAATTGCATCTACCAATTGAAGCTACTCTTGAAATTTTAGCATGATGCTAAACATTAAGAAAAAGGTGTGGTATACCTACTATGGCCTATTAACACTCGGAACAAACCTCTGAACCTCCCGCAACGAAAATGTGGAACACATTATTATCGACCAGGAAAATGGTTCTCGATTACGGTTCTTATGGCATGCATTTTTAAAACTTTTCTGCAAACCGTATGCGGTTTCTATCGACCTATGAAAATGCACTGCACAAGATATCTGTGCCAAATCACTTCCGGTATAATTTAGTAGTTTTAAGATATTATATTTTTCGTAATTCCCATTTATATTAGGATCAATATTGTATTAATATATAAGTAGAAAGCAATATTTATATATTGCTTTCTACTCTAATTGAAACAATGATACTTTGAGTAACAGTTAGAATTTACAATGATTTGCAACATTACTAGTGGCCTATCCTCACTCCACTCGAGCTCGATGCACCCCTAAAGACTGCGACTTAATTCAAAAATAACAATTTTGTACCGGTAGATTATATTTGCAAAATGTTTCTAAATTAGGTATAACCTACATATATATGTAGATACCCTATTGGTGAAAACCGCATGAAAATAAGTTCAATTTCTGAGATTAGCCCGAACTAATATAAGTTCAATTTTAATTTATAGTAGGTATGTAGTGATGTATTCCATATTTAATTAATATTTTGTACACGTTTCGATATTTTTGATTACAGTTCATCGATAATTTCGTTAAATTATACTTACCAAATAAGGCACAGTCGTTTCGGTGAAAGTGAATGGCCTCGTATTCAAGATACCGTTATAAAGATTTTCAGGATCAAAACATAAACAAGCTTGTTTTAATATCCTATATTTAGTAGTAATATAAATATCAATTTCGTATTACGTATTAATTACGTTCTATAAACTAAAAGCATTATTTTCTTAGGTCTTTAAAAAAGTAAATTATATAAATGCTAGGATTTCTACGATTCCTTTTATTATTTTCCCTTTTTAATTGAATATTTTTAAGTACCGAAAGATACCAAACGTGCCGCAAGTTCGAAAAGTGCTGGCGTACAATCGAATGAATCGGATACATGTGGAACCTGCGGGCCGTGTGTTGAGAATGGTATAATAATGTAAAATATAATACTTCAAATAATTTTGTAACCTTGGTGTAATGCTGTAGTTTTGCAGTATTGTAACTAGTCTAGTTTAAAAAAAAGTAAATATAAAGTAGTCATTCTTAACGTGAAAGAACAATATTTTTACGATTATTTGGCCAGTTTTACACAATTTGTCATGTATATTTTAAGGAATAATAAATAATAATACCACAAGTTTATATAACTATATTTCAGAATATATTGTATGCAGTATGCTTGCATGATATTCTCAATTTTAAAGAATATCGCACATCTATGGCTGAGTGCCAAGTGTGATATTCTACATGCTCTATAAAAGGTTTAGATATTGATTGACAGTACGAAGCTCACAAGTTAGTGGCAGAACACTTTGCTTTTTATCTTATTAGATTTACTCAAAATTTAAATTTGCCAATTAATTACTACCTGTTTCGTTTTAATACTTGTTAGCGTATTTACGTACATTGTCTACATAATGCGGAAAAAACCACAATGATTGAATATATGACATTAATCCTAAACGAAAAGAAATCGCATATTTACTTTAATCGATAATATTATTACGAGTATATTACCTATATATATACTACCATTACCCGCGGCTTCGCTCTCGTTCAAACTATTAAAAAAACAAACTCTTTGATACACCGACAGCAGCGCCGTCCAATTGTATTTTCAAACCATCCAGGAGCCCATTGCAATATACACACAAAATTTCATCCAAATCGGTCTAGCCCTTTAGGAGGAGTAAGGCGACAAACACACGTACTGATTCTTCTGAATTGTAAATATTAAGATACACAAATCTGTCTATTATTAAATCATCAAAAAGATAGCAACTATTGTAAAAAATCACGTCTTTAACTGCCTTTATAAAGTAGAGAAGTTCATTTTACATAAGGCATTTAGTAGCCGGTTTAACGAAGTTTTAACTGGCGATTGTGTGAATGACGTCACATTCCTAGTGTAAACAAATGTAGCAATGTTTGGTTAGGTGTAGTTTTAGAACAAAGTTCTTTATTATTTCATTGCTAGACTTTGCTTTTTGCTCTGTACTTATAATGATCTATATATTTTAATTCTATAATTTTAAAGCGCAAAGTTGAATTATCAGGAGTACCTATTACAGAACTGTTGAGTTTCTCGCCGGTTCTTCTCATCAGAACTGCTTTCCGAGCCGGTGGTAGCATCCTCACGGACTGACTACACTGACGCCATTAAATTAACGATTCTTAAGTACTTGTAATAAGTCTAACTGGATAAAGTTTATTTCATTTCATTATTAAGCCTATATCCGTTTATCTGTCTTATATTTAAGGGGTTATATTTTTAAAATCCTAATAAGAAATTTGTCCAAAATTTTCATCATTTGTCCCTTTAAACCAGACTAGTTAAAAAAAAAAACAATTTTTAAAAGTTCAAGAGTAGTGCCAAATTATACAAAAAATAGAGTTAGAGAACAAAGTGTTGTGTAAAGTTGGCCAGTTAAAAACTTCTTCGTATTGCTTTATTGAAAAGGCTAGGCTTTTTGTTTAGATTTATATATGTAGGTACACATGAATATATAATTATTGTATATTTTGTTATTTTACCACAGAGGATATACCTAATACGTTATAATATATAACAATTTCGCTGGATTTATATTCGAATTATTCCCTATTTAAAATGTTATTAATTAGTTCAATGGAAACTTCTGTGCAAAAATCTTTTCAAGGCGAAAATGAATTTTTCCTTGGTGAAAATGTATTTATTGTAGATTGATCTGTTCTCTATGACGTTGCGTATCGCAAAAAAGCATTGTGGTTCAGTTAATGCAAAAAAAAATTTAAATGTGTGACTATTTAAATTTAAAAAATGGCCCTATGTAGAAATCGAACTTGTACCTACAAACTACAAAGGAGTTTTAATTACAAGGTAAAACTCCATCGCAACATTGTTTTGATTTGATGTTTAATGCTGTAATGTAAAAAATAATACGTTGAAACATTATTATTTATTAAGTACATATTACTTACTTTATACAAGTTACTTTGGAACAAGGAAAAGATCTTTAGTCATATAAATCTTATAATATTTTAAATATTGCGTGTAAAATTTATTTGTTTTTGTTTGTGGAAAATTTTACATTGTTTGAATCGTTATGTAACTTAATAAATTAATCAGCAAGTACGTTCAGTAAACTGAACGTACTTGCTGAAACTGAAAATTAAAAAAAAAAGTAAACCGAAAAGAGACGATTTGAATTTTGTAGGAAAAAATAAGATAATTATTAAAATCAGTAAAGTGGATATCAAATTACACTTATCTAAACTTTTTTTAATATATATTATGATATTTATTATATTCAGGTGGCAAATACTCTTCTGGACAGTATACCTACAAGATCTATCATCTTGCATCGAAAGTGCCAGCTTTTATCAGGCTTCTGGCACCAAAGGGCTCCCTAGAAGTACACGAAGAGGCGTGGAATGCATACCCATACTGTCGGACTGTGCTAACGGTAATATTATGTCGTCTTACTGCATATAATATTGATTATCTCATAATTTTTACACATTACACAATAATTCAACGCTTTTAACAATCCCTTGTTGGGAACAGGCTTTTCTTCAAGGGGGATTTATTATGCCTTAACCAATTGTCTTCAGACCTTTTTTTAACGTCACACTGCTGGGCACAGGCCTCCCTTGAATACGAGGGGGATCAGGCCATAGTCCACCATGCTGGCCAAGTGCGTGTTGGTGGACACATGTCTTTCGAAAACTTGCTAAGTTCTCTCAGACATACAGGTTTCCTCACGATGTTTTCCTTCACCGTAAGACAAGTGGTAATCATGTTGGAAATGAATCGGACATGAAAATATCAGAGGTGCGAGACCCGGGACTTGAACCCGCTGCACTAATTGCGCTCCTAAATAGGCGTCGACGGTGTGTGATAATACTATCGAGAACTAGTTAGTAGTAGATTTTTGGAAGACATTTTCCTTCACCGTATTAGCTAATGGTAAAGTGAAGAAGTTGTTATTTTCTTTTAATATTAGCAGTGCATGTATGTAATTTGTTGGTCAGTGCTATGGACACCTGTAAGTGACTAACAAACTAGAACTTGTGTATTAAGAACGAATTTAAAATGTATTTGTGTGTTATGTTGTTGGTGTTATTGATAAATAAAAAAAATGAGAATATCACCACAGCTTGATGATTATTACCCGAGTCTTGAAAAAGTGAGATTCAAATTTGAACCCTTGTTTTGAAATCAAGGATGGTGCTAATATAAATTTATAATTTATATATTTATTTTCGATTATCTTTATCTTTTTAGAATCCTGGCTACATGAAAGAAAACTTCGTAATTTGCATAGAGTCCTTGCATCTACCTGACGTGGGCGACCAAAACAATGTAAGTTGTTGATTTCTTAAAAATATAGGTATTAATTAACCTTCCGTAACCGATCAATGTGTTATCACTTGTTTAGACTCGCTTAAGTAGCTCTTTAGCATTTATTATACGCGTATATACAAATAAAGTGGTTGTGTACATGGTCTTTTTTATCCGACTGTGCGACGCAAAGGAGGGTAACGTGTTTATCAGTACGTATGTATGTTTGTTCCTATGTGGCATTCTAGATCGTATTCGCGTGGACCGATTTTGATGATTCATACGTCGTTAGATTCGTCTTGATAACATGTAAATCATCTTAGTCTAAATAGGATTTATTTATGAACTTAAAAAAAGTAGGTAGCCTATTCGATTATTATGCGATATCTTCGCTAATAATAACTTAAAATTCTTTTAAGTCTGTGTATCTTTTTAGTTGCAAAGTAATTGTCTGGCAGTTTCTTTTTATATTTAGTGCATATTTAGTGATTATAATGACTTACGAACATCACGCTAGCAAAGCCGTGGTCAGTAGGTACTAGTTTTCCTATGTTCTAATAATAATGTATCGAAGAGTAAATTATTACGGTATTTAATTACCTCACTATCTTTTAAGGTATATCGTTTAAATTTTATTTGAGTAATAGATAAGTAATTATCTAATGATTATTATTATCGGGAAAATATACAATTTTGTTGATAAGAAACATTTCAGACTGCGAACATCGATAAGTCCGCAGATTCGCAAGTCGATTACTTTAACACATAAAAATTGTATATTGTCATGAAATATTAATAATATTTTTTATGCTTAGTGTAATAAATTGAAGGAGAGAGTAATTATGTAAACATGCTATTATCGTACTAAGACTAAGGAAATGACGTGACGACACTGGCCTTGTTGATGATGATGAACGAAAGATAAAAAGCAATAGTTTGTCGAAAAGAATAAACGAATATCTCATTACCTGTATTTAATTTTTTGATTGTAAAAGGAATGCAGCTAACTTCATCATGTCGATTTTTGGCTGTCGGTGTGCGCGCGCATCTTAAAAATTTTACTCTCATATATTTTTCCAAACGTGCCAAAAGAAATATAACTTCAAAAAAGAAAGATTGCTCAGTAATTAATCATTTTATTATTTTAATTTATTGTAAGACTTTAGAATGTCGCTATGTACACGCGATAAGGACACATATCAGTACCTTGCAGGCTTTTCAGATTTTGTGATGATGTTGATGTGTGATGTTTTAAAAAGCATCTCTTATTTAATAATATGTAATATGTTTACTATACAATTGTTGATATTTACCACTCTTGTTTTGAGTCATGCGTCTCACACATGATCCCAATTTAACGTTACATTACGCCTCGATAAAGGTCAGTTATATGGGCCTGGGTTATTGCAAATATGATCGAAATTCCTATTAACGATTTGTTTCGACTGGTTTTGAATAATTGATTCAAACGATTGAGATTGTTTCAAATTAACCCCCAAGTATTAAAGTAAGTAAGGTCAAGTAGCTCTGATTCTTAACATTAAATATTTTTAATCGAATTATACTGTAGTCTTGTGTAGATGCACATATTATGTTCATATACTTACTACGAGCCCATTTTAGTCTTTAACGGATATCTTTAATCGGGAAGATGCGTGTGATTTAAATAAAGGTGAAATATTTTTTTGTATAATCTATTATTGCTTTTGAATTAATAATAAAAATACGCGTTTATTTCGGACAAGAAGTATATATTTATATTAAGCCTATATTAATATTTTTTATACAATTTCTTTTTGATTCAGAAAATAATTATTAAAAAGAGGACAAATATAGGTGGGAAATTCAAAGTAGTTGAAACGCACGCCATTGGTCAGACTGAATGTGACGTCAAAGTATTATAATAACTGAGTGATTAGCAATTTGGTCGCTACAAACTAAATTCCTAATTTTTCTATAGGTATATGATACTTTGACGTCACGCCAAGCGCGTGCAATTGCGGGCGTTTAAAGTATCCGTATCGGTATGGTATTTTTAAATTATTTTTTCTTGCTAAATTTTAGTTTATTGGAGCTGGATATTTTTTTACATATACTATAATTTTTTACATATATTATACATATATTTTTACATATAGACTAGCATTGCCCGCGGCTCCGCCCGCGTTCTGATGACCAAAAACCAAATACTTAGGTTTTACATATTAGTATACTCTTACATTACAGTTTTTGTATTTTTCTAAGAAATGAGATATTTTCCCGAGGTAAAAAGTATCCTATATGTTGACCCGGATAACCAGCTATCACCATACCAAATTTCATCAAAATCCCTCCAGTGGTTTTTCTGTGATGCGGTAACAGACAGACAAAAATTCTAAAAACTATAGATTCGGCCTCTGTATCGATAATAATATTTATTTCAATAAGATTTTCCAAAAAATATTTAATGTACAGATTCGGCTTAGTTACAATTTTATTATATGTATAGATAACAATCTTAGCTATTGTATAAAAAAAATTAAAAATCACGCATATTACTTATTATTACCATGCACTAATTAAATACGTAAACGTTTCTTTAGTTTCATTATCAAGTGTCACAGTAGTAGTAGTAGTAACAGTTCGCTTGCGTAATGAATCTTAATGATACTTAAATGCTATTCTGCCATTACAGTACAGAATGTGCTTATAATACGAGTTGCGAGACTATCATTTATAACCAATACTTGGTCTTTTATCTTTATGAACCGGTTTTTTAATAACTCGTGTAACTTTACGCTATCGTTGTCATGGTACATAACATAGAGTATTAATATATAAGTATACTAGCGATAAAATTTTATACTGTATATACCCTTTGGTGGATTTACAGACACATTTACCGTAAATAACTGACTCATAGCTGTGTTGATAAATCATAAGGCGACTATATGTAAATTGAAACATGGCTAACATATCAATCTATTCTAATATTATAAATGTGAAAGTTTGTGAGTATGGATGTATGGATGTTTGTTACTCTTTCGCGCCAGAACGGCTGAACAGATCTAGATAAAAGACACAGAGATTGATTATACCTAGTTTAGAATAACACATAAGCTACTTTTTATCCCGGAAAAATGTACGGTTTCGGTGGGATAGGTTTGTTTGTGTTTACTTGTTGCTAACAATATCTATAAAAAAGAAAGCTAAGTGTCGCCTATTGACTTTCTAGAAGTCTAATTTTCATTTCTATATTAAGAAGAATATTAAATTTTTAAAACCGTAACTCGGTCGGAACTAGTCATATTATAATAATATTTTTAAGTAAAAACACTTTATATTATACATCAAAATCACCCACCGCGCTAAGTTGGTTTTTGTCTAAGCTCAGAAGGTACTAAGCGGATTTTCATGCGGTTTTCAGAAAGTTGAAAAGAGATATTATACATTATTAATTTAGTATGATATATGAACACTCTAGCTAATTAGCCTATGAGTATGACATTAAATGTTAATTAAATCAAAAAAAATGTCGTTTCTAAGAATTTGTGATATATTTTATACTCGTGACTCACCCTCGCTTCGCTCGGATTGGTGCCTAGCTTGATATCCAATACAAAATTTTCATCCCCATTTTCACCTCCTTAAGGGATGATTTCCGGGATAAAAAGTATCCTATGTCCTTTCCGGGGTCTCAAATTATCTTCTAACCAAATTTCATCTAAATCGGTTCAATAGCTCCAGAAATTAATCCCTACAACGCCACACACTTACAATCTCACAAACTTTACTCTTTATAATATTAGTATAGATGAGAAGAGTCACTAGTAAAATACTTACATTGCGACACAGGTACACGAATTGCCACCGGAAAAACTAAAGAACCGTGAAGTAGTGAACATTGATATCGCAAACGATCCGCTCCCGTCCGCGGACTACAAGCCGGAGACCGATCCCACCAAGTTCAAGTCGACCAAGACTGGCCGCGGCCCCTTAGTGGGCCCCAACTGGAAGAATGACGTGAAGCCAGTGATGACCTGCTATAAGCTTGTCACAGCAGAGTTCAAGTGGTTCGGTTTGCAGGTGAGTCACTACTTTCATATTTATATTATAGGTATAATTTTTTAACTGCCGGGATGATGTAGTGGTTAGCATGTTTGGTGGCAGATCCGGAGGTTCTGGGTTCGGGTGCCGGGTCGGGCCAACGATATCAAATGGAACCTACTAAACAGCCAGTTTTGTTATGTTAAAAAAATACAATATATATTTTTTATATCTTTTCAATTTTTTCCTGTTTGCTTGTTAATATTTATATGGCAACTCATCTTTATAATTATAGTATTAGATAAATTGTAAAATATAATAGAAGTAATTAAGACACAACTTTTCAATGTGAATATTTTATAGATTTCTCAGAGATGATATATTTTCCCGCAGTAAAAAGTATCCTATAATATGTTGACCCGGATAACCAGCTATCATCGTACCAAATTTCATCAAAATCTATCCAGTGGTTTTCTCGTGATGTGTTCAGACAGACAGTGGGTCAGACAGACAAATTTTAAAAACTACATATTCGGCCTCTGTATCAATAATAATGACTATTTCAATAAGATTTTACAAAAAATATTTAACGTACAGATTCGACTCAGAATTTTATTATGTATAGATAGTATATTAAAAGAAATATTCTATATAATATGATAAAGTTTTTAATTTTATGAGCGACATTTAAAGTTTACAATGACTAATTTAAAGAAGTAGTTCATATCTAGGGCAGGTCTCAACAATTTAACCAAATTGAGTAATACGAGAAAGCCGTAATGGGATGAGAAACGCCTACTTTATATGAATAGACGTCGTGGACACTATTTAATGCAATGTTATATTATTACGTTATTAAAAGGTCATTCAGATCTTAATCTGAGTCAAAGTTAGACTTCTTTATGCTTGCTATAGTAAGGTTTTCTGCAATAAAACAACTGCAGTAGTCTAAGACTGCTAACTGTATTAACACTTGCACTGTTAGCAAATAGGATTAATGCGTAGTGCGATCATTACCCTAATCCTGCTACTTTCTCTATATTTCACAATGTAAATTCAATAACGTAGAGTACATACGTGCAACAAAACTAACTCTTACTTTAAATGAGACCTTATAAATTACTAGCATTGCCCGCGTCTCCGCCCGCGTTTAGGTGATCAAAAACCAAATTCTTAGGTTTTACATATTAGTATACCTACTCTTACATTGTAGTTTTTGTATTTTTTCTCAGAAATGAGACATTTTCCCGCGGTAAAAAGTATCCCATATGTTGACCCGGATGACCAGCTATCACCATACCAAAGTTCATCAAATTCCCTCTAGTGGTTTTTCTGTGTTGCGGTAACAGACAGAAAGACAGACAGACAAAAATTCTAAAAACTATAGATTCGGTCTATGTATCGATAATAATGTCTATTTCAATAAGATTTTCAAAAAAATATTTAATGTACAGATTCGGCTTAGTTACAATTTTATTATATGTATAGATAAAATTTTTACTTCATTATTTGATTGTAATCAATTTTTCAAATTGGCATTTTGCCTTAGCTTCTTATCGTATTTTATGCTGCGTTTCCGATTTATATGTATTACTAGCGGACCCGACAGACGTTGTCCTGTCTACACGTCTTTAATTTGAAAATTTCAAACTTTTTTTAATAATTTTTTTGAAGAAAATCATTATTCAAATTGTGAATCTAAACCATTCCCAGATCCCCTTGAACACACACAAAAAATTTCATCAAAATCGGTCCAGTCGTTTGAGAGAAGTTCAGTGACATACACACTCACAGAAGAATTATATATATAAAGATGTACATTTAATCTAATTCAAGTAAATTCAAAATAGTTCACGTAATCATTTCTTAGATTTTCGCAAATATTTGTTTATTTAAATAAAACTATATTTTCAGATTTCTATTTGTTCTCATTTTTATTTTGCTCTTGTTCCTGAAGTTTGTAATTCTTTACAAACATGGTTCGGGAAAGGGTTTTGACGTCTGATAGCTGTTACACATGGTGGATAAAGGATTATAAAATAATTTGTAAGAACAGAAAAATTGCACCCAAATTCGTTATAATTAAAAGCCTTAATGAATACTTCTAATTACTGTTGTTAGGATTTTACAATTTTGATATTGTTTAATTTGGGCTACTATTTTGAGGTTTTTCTTTTGAGTTTTAAAGTTATACATAATTATTTTAGACTAGTCGTTTTAATATTCCACACATGAGGTTAAATATCGATCAAGGAAGACGAATTTGATTTTTTTTATTGTTTTACACGTAATTGGAGACGAACTCGTGCATATTGCATTTCAGACTTAGCTACTTAATCCTCTGGATACGGTCTTGATTATTTGCAAAATTGAAAATGCAGTACATTGACCTCATACATATATGTAATAAAATGCTAACTCAGTAGAATCTGTACACTAAATATGTTTTTGAAAAATCTTATTAAAATAGTCATTCTTATTTATTATCGATACAGAGGCCAAATCTATTGTTTTCCGAAAATTTGTCTGTCTGGTAAAATATATATTTTAAGGTTTAGTATAGATTTCTCAGAAATGAGATATTTTACCGCAGTAAAAAGCATCCTATATGTTGACTTGGATGACCAGCTATCATGATACCAAATTTCATCAAAATCTGTCCAGTGGTTTTTTCGTGATGCGTTCCCAGACAGACAAAAAACTACGAATCCGATTTGAAATATTCTTTTTGCATTAGATAGCCCGTTTATTGAGGAAGGCTATAGGCAAGGGCGCGGAACAGTAATATAATAATATATAGACTATCTATTAAATACTAACCGTTAAAACGTACCTAGGGACGAACCCGAGCGAAGCGAAGGTGAGTCGCTGGTTATAATTAAATATAATATTATATATAAAATATAATATATTTTTTGTTTTATTTACAGAGCAAAGTTGAAAATGTGATCCAGAAGTCTGAACGACGACTGTTTACTATATTCCATAGGTGAGATATGTTCATTAATTTCATGTGAATATTGTGTGAGACTAGCCTTTATTCGCGACTATCATCTCGGATTTTCTGGAAAAAATATATGCATAAAAAACTATGTGCATATTCCAATATGTTTGGATCAGATGTTTCAGAGATTACTAACTTGCGAAAAAAAATAAAGTTAACAATTTAGTCAAAAATTAATGTGAATTTGATGAGGCCTAATGCAAAACACGCGTTATTTTGTTGTATTTTCCTTGTTAAAAGTGCCTCAGTTGATTATGATTTTATATCTTCCAGGTTCGATTCCTGGGTGAAGTCTCAGTCCAGCTGAATCAATTTCTTAACTGTCCTTGATAGCTAGCTCCTTTGTAAACCGGAGAGAACCCAAGCTATTCCGGTCTTGCGCCATAATCTTTCTTCAGTCTATAAAGACTGAATAAATAGGATTAAGGGGAAGGTGGCCAGTGCCAGTGAGATTAACTATACTGTGACCGTTATTTTTTAGGTTCATTAGTATGAATATCAATCATACTTAATTATATTATAGCTATATTTTATTATAGCAAAACATCATAGTATATTAAAAAATTATAACTATATTGCAAAATTTTAGATGACGTGACTGTAATTAACTACATCAAATTACGTGTAGTTGTTTGAATCGGACTGGTTCGAGAGCTTGTATTGTTTTTACCTCTTTATATACCCACTATGAAAAGGAATTCGGTTCAAAATATGAAAAAAAATTAAAATTAGTCGTTTAAAAGTCTAGTTGGAAGAGGATATATTGTAATTAAATATCCTTTTAATATTCCTTCACATAGAAGATACACTTGTTTTTTTTTTGTTAAGGTCAATATAATATATTATACTAGTGATAGACAAAAATAAATCTATCTCACTGGAACTGTACATTTTACCCGGATAAAAAGTAGCCTGTGTTATTATGATATATGAGCTATATTATTGTAGTTTCATTAAAATCCATTCAGTAGTTTTTGCATGAAAGAGTAACAAACATCCATACATACATACACCTCTGTACATCCAGACATCCTCACAAACTCAAACTCGCATTTATAACATTAGTAGGATTCCATAAATTTTTCATCTATTAAAAATATGTATTTACTTTTAGGAAAATATGTTTATCAAACCCTATCTAAAGATCTAAATTATCCAACCATTTCACCAGCGGGTTTTCGAAGGAGAAAAATACACAAACATACCTTTATAATATTTCTGTGATTCTGAGTTAAAGCCGCGTGTGTAATTTTGCTCGTAATTCGTTTGCAGGCAAGTGTTCTGTTCCATGGACGACTGGTACGGCATGACGATGGCGGACATCCGCGCCATCGAGGAACGCACCAAGGAGGAGCTGGAGAAGTTGCGCCGCGAGGGTGAAGTGCGCGGCATGCGCGCCGACAACGAGTAGACCCTCCCCTCTACTCATCCCCCTCCCCCCCAGCCCTCCCACACCAACCCTCAATATTAACCCTTCAAGGTCCCCTTTAAATGTTTGTCTCGTATCGTAAACAAATTGTCTATATTTTTTTAATTTTTATATTATTTCATTATTTTTAGTATCTATTGAAATGCGAAAGCATCTCTCATGAGATAAGGGGAATTGTTCTTTATTATTAGTTATGTGTAATTTATTAATGTATTTGGTATTTTCTGAAGGGTTAATATTATTATATGGGTGGGAGGGCGCGCTCGCCCGCGCTTTGCCCGAGCCCCAACAAGAGATTGCGATAACGACTGCAGGCAGTCGAGCTCATTATTTATATTCGCATATATTTTATATGTAGTAGGGCCGTTTATCTCGACATTATTATGAAATTTTAATATAATTGACTTTACTATTGAATTTTTTGAACTTCGGTAATTGTTCTGTAGATTTAGCGTATGTTCTTATGTCGACGGTTATCACACAACACGAGTACGTGTCGCATTATATATGAACATTGAAAGCAATATTTTAGTATTATAAAGCTACATATAATATTAGTTAACCAACTGTGAGACCGTAGTGACCGGTGTTTAGGCCTATCATCTATCATGTATTGCACCGTCGCGTCGCGTGGCGTTGATCTCGTTCGTTCGAAGCGCGGGCATGCCGTTAGACATAATTTCATTGAGATGTGGTATAAATACTATTTAAATATTAATAAGTCGATGTAGTCCGTGGTTAAAGGTAGTGTCGTCGTTACCTAACAGAGTTAATTCGAGTTACATTTTTCGGAGAAATACTTAAAATATCCGTGGATATAATGGCATTTTAGATCAGACGTTTGAATATTTCGCTGTTTAATAAGTATCGCCGTACGGTCGCGCCCGCCGGCTCCGGCCGTTGTGTATTATAGAGATACGCTGTTCATATTGCATAATCACACTCTGAATCGTTAGTTACGAATTTTTTAGGGAAAAATATTTATTGGTGCAATATATTTTTATCGGAATCCTGAGGTATAAATATGTGTGGCGGTAGCTCGGTTAATCGATTTATAGAGGTGTTGCAAGGAATTTAGAATTATTGCTGTATTATTTATATATTTGTCGGTTTGCGGGAAATTAATGGAATAACATTGTCATGGGGTAGGTTCGACCGCGACCCCCGACTGGCGCAGAGCGATCGCAACTATATTAATATTAAGTTTGTCGTTTAACAGATCAGTATTTTAATATTTCAGTGACATTCCAGGTTCTGTACCGAGACGTTTGCGAACGATTTAGTTCGGAATGAAACGATTAAGCTCCCTTTAGCTCTCTTTCAAGTAGCGGAAATGCAAATGGTGCATGTAATATAGAGTTCACGATATATTTACTTAATTTATTGTCAGTTCGAAGTGTCAAAAAAGTTGTTATTCAGTAGATATGCTGTTATCATTGGTGAAGTGAAATGTTTCACGATGTTCCTTATATATTTATCTTATAAAATAGTGTGTGAATGTTAATTTTGCTTTTGTATTCAATTTTCATACTTGTCAGAATTGTGTTTTTTTTTATAAATACATCTGATTTATCATAAGTTTTTATGATTTTTCTTTCCTTGCTCGATGTACCTTTTTGCTTTTTATCTCATTGTTATATGCATTCAAATTATAACATTGAGTAATATATTTGAATCATTTTCTTACAATCGGCATCCGCTTTTAGTGTCGCATAGTGCTTTGTGTTTTTATGTATTTTTATATTTTGTTTATTATCTGTTCGCATTTAAGGTACTTAATTTTGGCCACTGTTTTTCTCACTCCATAGAATATATATTTTTGTTCTATAGAGAATTTATATAATATACTCTGCAAAATGGTGTAAAATTTGTAAAACATTCAGTGCGCTCTTATCCATACTGTTTACAACTCATGAAATGCAGTTACCAAATAAAAATTAAGTACATATAAAATTCTTTTCTTGTGATTCCCTTAATATATAAAATTAGATGGCACTTAGTGCAGTGTGTAATTAATATTGTTTATACATACTAAAATGCATGTAATGCTACTTCTATTTATTGACATTGCTAAAACACTAATTGTTTTTCGTATTTACAAATAAAAAACCTTCAAGTAATTAAGACATACATTATTAAAATAAATATTTTTAGTAAACATTTATTTTAACAAAGTATACGTTTTGAAATACAAACCAGTTTCTATTGTACTCTTGAGTCTTACTCCTTAGGCTTCTTATAAAAATTTAATGTAGAATTTTCATAGTGATAAATAAATTCTTGACATTGATCTGATGTTTGCATAACTATATGAAATCCAAATATTGTAGATAATTTTGCACACGTTAGGTACTGACAGTCAGTGCAACTTTGTATAGAATGCTGAAATTGTCAATTTTTAAATATGTAGCAAATAAAAAATTTTGACGAGTCTCGCATTAAATATATAATTGTAAGTTAAATAACATTTGTTGTAAAATGTATTATGGATATTTTGAATGCCAACAGAAATAAAATAATTTTAACCTGCCCATTGTCTAATATTATTTTTTGGTATAAAATACCTCGACACATAGAATATAAAATTACTTAGTGTATGTAATGAATACAACGAAAAGTTTTTTTTAATATATATATTAGCAAAAAAATAACAAAATTCATTACACAAATGAATAACTAAAGCTATTTTCGAGATCTATTTAGGAAATGTCAAAACATATACAATTAATGAAATAAATTATATAATTTCATACTAGATTTATAATTCTAGTATTAAAATGTGTATATTAAAAATTATACTGTATTTGCATACTCGATGCAAGAATGTTGTAAACAACAAGGATGCCTTTTAAGCTGATGTTTTTAACATCAACTCAATAAAACTGATCTGAATAGACTGAACTACGATAATTAAATATAAACAATCTTTTAAATCTTAGTACATGTAGGCGGCTGTAGCCTTTTTGTATAAAAAAGCTTTCATGCTAAACTAACAGATGTTAATATAACAATAATTGTTCAAATTGGATTTCAAACATTTAAATGCATGTTTTTTTGGTTTTCTGAAGAATGAAGGCTTCAAAAACCATAATTATGTCGTAATTTAAATATTATGGAATAGACTAATGTTTTTGATACATTATTTGCTTGCAATATCATATCTATACATATAATAAAATTGCAACTAAGTCGAATCTGTGCATTACATATCTTTTGGAAAATCTAATTGAAATAGCAATATTATCGATATAGAGTCCGAATCTATAGTTTTTAGAATTTTTGTCTGTCTGTCTATCTGTTACCGCATCCCGAGAAAACCACTGAACAGATTGTGATGAAATTTGGTATGATAGCTGGTTATCCGGGTCAACATATAGGATACTTTTTGCCGCGGGAAAATATAATAATAATAAATAAATAAATATGTTGGGACATTAACACACAGCGCCATCTAGTCCCATGGTAAGCTACGAGGCTTGTGTTATGGATACCAGATAGTTGATACACTACACATATATAACTTTTAAATACATACATATTATAAATATAAACAACCATGACTGTAGTACAAACCTTCGTGCTCATCACACAAATGAATGCCCCCAGCGGGACTCGAACCCGCGACCGCTGGCACAGCAAGTAGGATCACTACAAACTGAGCCAATCATGTCGTCGTATAATATGTATCTCATTTCTGAGAAAAAATACAAAAACTGCAATATAAGACAATACTAATATGTAAAACCCAAGAATTTGCCTTTTGGTCATCTGAACATGGGCAGAGCCGCGGGCAGTGTTACTTTGTTTATAAATTTATTTATTAAAAAAACTGACTTCAAAAAAAACCGATTGACAGTTTTCATTTACTAAAGATGTAAATTATATTTTTATTTAATTATTTACCTATTGAAATTTTTGGAAGTCGGTGTGCTTTGATTAGTATCAGCTGGTAAACATAAAAAATACTCAATTGTCGAATTAAGAACCTCTTCCTTTTTTTTCGTCGGTTAAAAATAAGATTACATATTAACAGATAAGCTCCTATCAATACTTTTTAAATAGAATATTAAGCTTCACAAAACACGATATTATACAACAAATTTACTTATGATAATTATTTCTAAAAATTTACTTAGGAATTTTCATAGAAAATCCCATATGGAACATAATTTCAGTTTACAATGCACAATGTAAGCATGCTACAATCATGGTGCATATTCGTTGCTATTAGCAGTTATAATTTTGAATATTGTAGGGCGATTTTAAGAGTATTTTTGAATCTAATTCTTTCTCTAACTATTGTAACAAAAAAATTAAAGTGACTAATCAATATAATTAACATGGGGAGTTATGTTTTCCAAAATTTTATTAAACCTTGTGTTCAACAATGGGAACAACCCATTCCCATCAGTACATTTTAAACAAAAAAAAATCTAAAAAATATTTAACAAACATCTTTACTATAAGATTTTAAAAACATACATACACTCGAAAATGATAACCGTCCTGGCGCTGTCGTGTAATTACTTTACCACCTCCATAATCATTAAAAAATAACAATAATTATATGAAATTTTAATGAAATTGTCGGGAAATCGCTAGAACGCGATGTCGTCAATCCTAAAAGCATCGAAAATAACCCTCGTGTTTATATACTTATATAACAATACAAACATTCCTAATCTCCTTAATATCTAACAATTACAAAAATCAAATATTGTGATTCTTATGGTCAAGATTGAAAAAAAATATATTCAGGTTCTTGTCTTTGTAATAATGCAGAGGGAAGAAGAACATCTGTTAATCCATTTTTTTTTTTATACATGTAAATACAAAACACTGAAATTGAGAAACTCCTTTTTTGTAGTTGACTAATGACGTTTACCAACAAACATTATCAGTATTTTATATAATTATATTCATCATTTTTTTAAAATCTCTTCTTTAGCCTAATTTGAACTTTGTGTCCTAAATTTTTACTATACAAATTCATGTACAACTCTCATAATTACAAATGCTGAACATTTTATTTTTATGTCGACTACAAAAAACTTTTATTTTACAGCAGTAAATGAATAAATAAAATGATGCCTAGGTTTACAAAAAACACTATCTTAATGATTTCATAAATAATTTATCCTTTTTACAATTTCAAAGTATATGTTGAAGAGGCACATGGTATGTATATCATATATTATGTAGAAATTAGTATCTAACAAATTATGCAAAAAGTACAAATAATCTATACAGATAAATAAAATTGAAGTGTCTGTTTGTAATATCAAAACAGCTATTTACTACATGCATATGAAATTATATATGGTACTTATAAGAATAACACTATTTTTAACATTTTTGTCTGTCCGTTGGTTCCCGCTAATATCCGAAACGGCTGAACAGATTTTGACGGGAATTTCATTGGCAGATAGCTGACGTTATAAGGAGTAACTTAGGCTACTTTTATTTTAGAAAAAGAATTAGGATTCTGCTCAAAATATTAAAAAGTACCTAGGGACACACCAAAAGCAAGCAAGGGTAAGTAAGTAGATGATACTAAATTATCATTGCATATTTCTTTACCTCTTAAAAGAGAGACTATTAAATCAAAATAAATGAACCGGTTTCATTTGTTTGTCTTATACATTTTTAATTGCAGTCAAAATCTATAGAAATATAAAAGCCACCATAAAGTGGTATAGATAAAGCTCCAAGTCTCATAATTAAATGATTCAAATGAAAATGATTTTTCAATCATCAACTTCAAGTTCCAGTTCAATGTCTGCAAGATTTATTTTCCTGAGAGTATTTATGATCATGTATCTAGAAAACATGATGTACAAATATCTAAACCAAACCATTTGACTTTTATGTTGCTTCATAGCTCGTGTGACTCGGCGACTTTCTGTCCAACGCAGGAAATATCTAAATGTAAAAAGTTATTAATTCAATATAAGTTTTACTAGTTAATATTTCTACTTAAAATATTTAAAAAAATCTAAATTACCTTTTGGAAGACAATACAAAACTTAAGGGTAGATCTAAGAAACCCAGATATTTTCTCAATATATTTACTGAATCCAATGTGTAGACTGCACACTCTGAAACCAATGTTATTGATTTCATTATTTTTAGACTTGAAACGAATATTCGGCTACTATTCGGCTACATTTATGCTATTCGGCAGAATACTTCAGTAATATTTTTTACTGTAATCAGAACATAATAGGGAATATGCGTGTGATTAAAAGAAAGGTGAAATATTTTTTTATAATCTTTATTGCTTTTGAATTAAGCCTGTATTAATATTTTTTAATGTAATTTCTTTTTGTTTAAGAAAAAAATTATAAAAAGGTGCGAAAACTCGTGGGAAATTCAAAGTACATAGTTAAATTGCAACGCACATTGGTCAGACCAAATATGCCCTCAAAGTATTATCCTATCAGAGCGATTAGCGATTTTGTCGCTTACAAATTGTCATTTCTGTGCATATCGTACTGTGACGTCACGCGCGAAATGGCGAGAGTTTAAAGTATCCGTATATAATATAATGGTATGTTATTTAAAAAAATATTTTATACTAAATTTAAATTTTTCGGAGCTAGATATATTATTTTTTTTTACAATTATTTATTGATGTAAGCTGTTTTATATAAAAACTAAAAAATATTCATACATATTCCCTTTTGATAAAATGAAAATATTGATTCATTTTATAAAAATATTTTTTTCTTATTACAAAAATAAAAACAACTATAAAATAAATGTCTATGCACTTGTATTATCATAATTAAAATTTAGAAATGAAAGATTATGATGCAGAAATACTATAATTATACATATAATTTTTCTACATTTTCAGGCAGTAGTTTACTCCTAGACAATCCCCGATTCAGAGAAAAGACGCTCTGAATGCTCCTTCCTGGCTCCAAACAAGAAACAAACACATAGATACAAGTTTTCCCTCACACACTCACCGAATACTTTTGCCTAATATTCCGTTATTCCAGAAAGCCCACCGAATATTCAGTATTAAGTGTATGGCCGAATATACTATTTGTTGCAAGTTTAATTATTATCCAAATAAATTCTATACATCTCTTACAATTGGTTGGGTATTTGTTTAATTTAATTTTTTGTATTTCTATATAATATTTATATAAGATCTTAACTTACTTTGTGGCATGTTTTTTTCAACAAACATATAAGCAACTGCATAAAAGACAGCTGAATGATTAGGATGTGAGGAAACACCTCCCCTGTCAAATGTGACTAAGGTATCTATGTCTAAGGCTTCTAACTGATGTTGTATAAGCTTCGCTATTACAGGAACTGGCCATTGTTCTTTTGGATTATCTTGTAATCTTGTATCGGAAATGAGACATATGTTGCTATCAGGCACTCCAAGTATATAACAAGCTTGCCACAGTTCTTTTCTCCTTTCATTGCCTTTTCCTTCATAATTACCTATAATGAAGTTTACATATTTTATTATGATTATGAAAATCTGCTGCATAAAATTACTAAATAAAAATAAAATAGCTTATGCTGTGCTGCTTAAATATTTTGTATAGAATGTTGTAAATTGTAACCAATTTTTATACTAGATTATCTGCACATAGAAGATTATTACCATTAGATAAACAAAGTAAATAAACTTCAGTTCCTTGTTCGCACAATCTGAAAATTGTAGGACCAAAAAACATGCACTCATCGTCAGGATGTGCTACCACTAATAGGACTCTCTTAGCTCCAAGAGCTCCTCGAGTCCGAGTTGGCAATTTCCTCGCATAACGACGATACACAATGCAACACACGCACAAGTAACCAATTAGCCACACACCGATATATAATATAAAATTTCTTATATAAATTAAGGATTCTGCGACAAAATGAATGTAAAAATCATAAACTAATCTATGTGTTGACTCAATAAATAGCATTTCTGACTAGAACGTTATATTCTTTAGTTGACTTTGGTTATGTTACACTATTGATTCATTTATCAATAATAATGAGTAACATATTCCAAATTATATCAAAGGCTTATAATCTTAGAATTGCACTTTAGGGAAAACATATTTTTCATTTTAATTTAATAACTTTATCAGTCATATCACATATGTAATAGTCTGTGGCACACATAGATTATAGACCAGGAACAACAAGATCACAGACTTTTATTTGTCATCCATGATCACAGACACCTACCCTACCCCAGCCTGCAAATTTATGATATTTGCAATGAAAAAAATACTAATCGATAGATTTTCAATAGCTCAATTTAACTACGTAGCCCTTTCAAATTGCTCACCTTTAATTATTTAATTAAAAATCAATAAAGTCTTTGAAAAAAAATTAATTTATCTGTATATTCAAACTCCTATATCTTTTGATGTATACAATATTTCAAATTGCTCAAAGTTCTAAAACACTGCTCAAGTTGCATTTGTAATTGCTCAAGTAGAGTTTTTACCAGCTCCACTTTCGCTGATTATTAAATAATTAAAAGTATAGTTGTAATAAATGTAACGTAGGTTAAGTGAGCGTGCGCATGCGCACCGCGCATTGTCGGTCGGCCTCGGCGGGCTTGGACAATCGTTCCAATTCAACGTCTTAATTCTGTTTCTCGGTGGATTTCTTTAAATTTATTGAATTTATGAATTGTTCACATGACGTGATTCCACTTCAGATATTATAACATAAAGAACAGATCTGGAATCTACCAATAAATGAAAATTAATACCAACAGATAAATTAAGACAAAATCTTATGTTCAAATGCTTAGCACTCACCTATCTATACGTTAAATTTATTCAAACTATTTATATTTATTTAATAATTAAGGAAAGTGGAGCTGGTGAGAACTCTACTTGAGCAATTACAAATGCAACTTGAGCAGTATTTTAGAACTTTGAGCAATTTAAAATATTGTATATATCAAAAGATATAGAAATTTGAATATACGGATAAATGAATTTTGTTTCAAGGACTTTATTGATTTTTAATTTTATAATTAATGGTGAGCAATTTGGAAGGGCTACGTAGTTGAATTGAGCTATTAAAAATCTATCGATTAGTATTTTTTTCATTGCGAATATCATAAATTTGCAGGCTGGGGTAGGGTAGGTGAGAAAAAGGCAAAATTCATCCCCATTTAAATATTTTGTATTTAGGTTGGCAATTGGCATCTTGTTGTTTCTGGTCTGTGGTTGGCATTTTAGAATTTAGATATATTCTTTAATCTGTTTTAGAAATCGTAATATGGCAATGTCATCCATGATGGCAACATTGACTATCGAAATGAATGAATAATAAAACGAAAACAATTTCACTTCGTCCTAAAAAAACATATTGTTTCATGTCCCATTTTGTGAAGTTATAATTAATCGTGATTCGTGCATATAATAAAGTCGTTTCAAAAATAATCTGGACTAAGAAATAAAAATGATTCAGCCTGATTACGCTTCGGCAATGGGCTTGTTAGCTCATCTCAATTCAGATGAGTTAAAGGAAATGCTTAATGATGATACAAAATTTGACTCTATTCTTAAAGATGTGAAACAGGTAAGCATATTACAAAATGGAAACACTAGCACCGACACTGTACTGTAAAAAAAATGACTTGAAATAGGTATAATTTCTGTATTAAATGAGTCATTAATAACTTTACAAGGTATATATCTGGTGTACTTTGTTTGCTTACTTGTTTACATTTTTAGGTTAAAGACTGGGAAACCGAAAAGGAAATGATTATTGCTAGTAATAGATCTCTAGCAGAATTTAATTTGAGTAAGGAACCAGATTTAGAACAACTGAAGGCACAAGTACAAGAGAAGTCTGAAGCAGGAGAAAAATTGTGCACTCGTATACAGGAACTATTAAATGAGTATAGTATGTTATTTTAGAGATTTCAAATTTTTAATTTTAAATTAAATAGTATAAATATAATAGTACAGTAAAACAAGTAAATGTCAATTTTTGCATAGCTCTCAGTTTAAGGAACATTTCACTTCCAGAATCAAAATCAGCGGGAATATCTCCAGATACAACATTAGCTCTTTTACAAACTGCAGCTGCAGAGGCAGAAGAAGAATCCGAGAATATTTCACAAGATTTTCTTTCTGGTAAAATAGATGTAGATAAGTTTCTTGAAGACTTTGAGCCAATTCGCAAAACCATGCACTTACGAAAATTCAAATCTGAAAAAATGGGTGACCTTTTAAAAAGTGGCAGTCAAAGCTCTTATGGTAACGGTTTAGCTAAGCCGTATTTACCATATCCGAGTTATGGTCCTCCGCAAGGTGTGACGAATATACCATATCCTGTAGGTCCCCTAAATATGCCAATGCCGGGTATGTATGGAAACCACTTTTAAAAATATTCATCAGGTGATTTTAAAGTTAGGATTACATATAATAATGTTATGATAATTATATACCTGTGTCAGTGATAAAAAACGTACTAGATACACAATCTGCTACAAAAAATGTCCTCACTGAATGAGCACCCATTTAAGCACACTTTTTTTTTATGAAAACAATTTTAAGTATTGCATTTATGGTTCAATTTATATTTTTGTAAATTTATTTTAACTAGAATTAATTACCTGAACAGAATTGGTGACACTTTTAAGAAAACTTTTACATAGAACTGTGCATCTAGTACTTTTTTAATCGATGACCTGTGTCAATATAAATAATTTCATACCAATGATTTGGTTTAAAATTTTAATTTATGATTTATATTGGCTTAATTTGGTTTTTTTTATTTTTATGTATGTAGAAATAATGTCATAATCTTTTAAGTGTTTATCAAGAATTATAATTAAAATGTTTTAAATTTAAATTGCATTTTACAAGACTTAAGAAATTTAATTCAAGATTTAAATATAATAATTTGGCCTTTTCTTTAATATTGACATACTAACTTAATCAAGCAACACATATTATGTATTTTTAATTGTCACTTATATTATTAAGTATGCTAATTAAATTTACTTTTAAATTTATACATTTTTAACAGTCCGCTTGATGTTGGTGCTTGTAGAAAAAAATGTGATTTGACATTAGTAAATAATGTTGTAGATTAAATATGAAAAATTAATGCTATAGAAATGTAAATTATGCAACATTTATTTAACTTTTGGCTGCCAAAAAAATATTTTATAGATGCAATAAAATTGGCCAAGGTAAATTTTGGTCTTTGATTATATTATTTATACTAGCGGCTCACCCTAGGCTCCGAATCGTCCCTAGGTATGTTTTAATGGTTAGAATGGAATAAATTGACCTAGGGAAATTAGTAATACCATAATATATAGCTTATAACCTTAATGAACAGGCCATCTAATGCAAAAAGAATTTTTCAAAAGATTAGTAGTAGTGTTCAAAGAAATAAACAAACAAACTCTGCCTCTTTATAATATTAGTATAGATTATATTTTATGAACTTTGTATGACAATTCAATATGAAACATTATACATGTTTCTGGGTAATTGTGAGGGGTAATTCAGAGGTATTTGAGTAATGTTTCTTTTATTAAATTAAAGCCAGGTTACAAATCATGATATGAAAGAAGATAATAATTAAATTGGAAAAAGCATTATGTATGTAACAGAATGCCAAGAGGCACTCTATTGTCTCCCACTCTTCCACAATGAATGTCTTGTGGGGTGTTAAGGTTAACCAGTAAATAAGTAATTTATAACATAAACTATTACTTATTTTCCTAAATATAATTCTTTAAGAAAATTGATTACAATGTGGCATGCTTATTTTTGCCCTTAAAACCTTTAGTCTTATAATTAGTGATTTGATACAAAATATCGGTACTTTAAAATATTTACAGGTTTATCTTATTTCATATATTTTCTCTAGAAATGATATAGTAATCAAAAAATGTTTTTAAATTAAAGGTGGCAGCCAATTAGTTAAACTGTTTAATAAGTACTATTACATATGTATTTTTAAATTTTGATTTCTTATATGAATGAAATTAGATCTAAATCTATCATCATATATGTGTGTTTAATTTAGACATTTTCATTACTAATATTTTATAGTTAATAGTAAGTAAGATAAGTAATAATAAGGAATTGTAATTAGCAAAAATAATTTAATAACTGTTATTCATTGGTAAGGTATGTACAATATTTACAGTTAAATATTCATAGAGCTTTAGTCAAAATATTATTACAGAGTTACTATATAAGATGCACCAAAATCTAATAATTATAATACTACTTTCACAATCTAACATTTTTAACTATTTGATACTTTCTCCGGCTTCTTGGTATTTTTTGAGTACATATTGGGATCTTTTTGTTTCTCAATGATATTTTGATCATAATCAGACTTTCCATAAATAAGAAATCCAGCAAAAAGTGCACAAATTGAAATCATAAAATACATCACCATCTCTTGGTTGACCGATGTCGTCTCATCATATATTTTTTGTCTCTTTTTTTGGATAAATTCTTTTTCATATTGAGATTTCTTTAATAAATCGCCATAATGATTTTTAGACCTATAAATTAAATAAAACAAAATAAGTAACTTCATACAAAAAAATCTATGCTTTAGTTTGATTTTCTACTAGAACTACTTAGCAATATTAAGTTAAATATCCTCAGTCTATTCTTTTAAAAAAATAATTAAAAATAAGATGAAGAAATTACATACAAAAATATTATACATAAAATGAATTTAAATAATACCAAGTGTCAAAATCATAAATAGGTGTTTTTCCATCCATGGTAGGTACAACATTTCTTGTATGACGTGATTTATAGAATTTAAGAACAGGATCAGTAGGCTCATCATCAGCCTTGTAATCCATGCGGCTTGTATTCTCTCTGCCTACAAGTAGACCTTAAAGAAAAATTATATATTGTATTACTAATTAATTTCATAATACTTTTCGATAAAGAAAAAAAATGAAAGGAATTACCTTTATCATACATTTTTTTTAGTTTAATATTTCCTAAAACTTTATAGGCTTCTGTAATTGCTCTAAATTTTTTTGCAGATTCGTCATCCTGAAATGTACATAATCGTTTTCTAACTTTTCGTGTTTATGTTAAAATTATAGTTTTCTCGTTATTTTAAGTTTTTTCATAAAGAAAAACTATCCTACCTTGGAAGTATCTGGATGGTATAATTTAGATAAGTTATAATATGCAGATTTAATATCACTTTGTGTTGCTTTTGGCGTCACTCCTAGGACATCATAATGACTTGCACTTATTCGAGATGTTGTGCCAATTCTGCGTGATATAATTTGAAGCAATTTTTTTGCTTTACTATGACTTAACATTGTAACTGTAAAGGTTATGTTATTTATTAGTTATTATTATACATATCAACACATATTTTACCATATACTTTTTGAAAAAAAATGAAAGAAGACCTCCAGATCAATTATAAAAAGAAATGTATTATTCAAAATTGTTAAGTTGGGAATTTTACTAAGGAATGTAATTTATTCATGTTTAGATTGATTATGATTATACAATAAATGTCAATGTCTAAATTGTTAAATGACACTGACAAGTACAACGAAAAGTCTTGACATGCGTAACATCTCAACAAAAGTCCGTCTCACGACAGAAGTCCCGCAAATGCAGCGGTACGGTCTTGCGACGGAATGTTGCGGACCTTTATGGTTTTATACTCCAAAAATGGAAAAATTTATCGCCTATTTACATTCAGTCTGAGGTTAAGCAATTTATTGTGATATCTCTTGTATACTTGATTTTTTACTTGTACTGTGTTCGCATCTTATCTGTGCAATGTATTGTACCTGGAAGTTAGATCAGCTGAAGGAAGAATTGAGAGAGAGAGTTGCATCCTGTGGAAGTCCTGACTGACTGATAGATCAACACACAGCCTAAACTGCTGGTCGTAGAAACGTGAAATTTGGAGACGTATTCCTTCTACGATACATGCATCCGATAAGAAAGAATTTGTCGAAATTTATCCTCCAATTGAGTAAAATGGGGGATTAAACATTGTATGAAACTCTAATTCTTAATGTGAAATACACAGAAAGTGGAGTTTAGCTTTAAGATAAAGAATGAGAAATATATTTGTTTGATTTTTTCGAAATTCATCCCTTAAAGCGGTAAAAGGGGATAATAAAGTTTATAAGGGCAAAGAATTATTTATGATCAGAATTACTTGAAACTTGGTATTAATGCTTTTTTATACAATTAAATAAACACTTGTTTTAGCGTTTTTCGAAATTCAATCCCAGAAGGATGTAAAATTGGGGATGAAAGTTTGTATGAAACTATGTAACTGATTTGTAAAAAAAGTAAAAAATTAAAAAAAAATATTCATTTGTAGACGATTTGAGTTTCAAAATCACTTTCTGTAAAATGTTGTCCACATAGCCTTAAATATAAAGATTGCGATTTCGCCAATTTTTGTCGTCTTATTGCTTTAGCCCACTATTTCTTTAGTGTTTACCTTTTGGGAACAAATGATATCCATATTCTTTGCATTCTGCTACTGCACAATCTATCATTTTAATTAAATCTATACTTCTATACTAATACTATAAAGAGGTAAAGTTTGTGACGTTGTAGGAGATAATCTCTGGATCTATTGAACCTATTTAAATGAAATTTGGTAAGAAGATTGTTTGAGACCCTGAGAAGGACATAAGATACTTTTGATTCCAGAAGTCATCCTTTATGGGATTGAAAATGGGGATGAAAGTATGTATGGGGAATCAACCTAGGGTGAACACGAGGGAAGCGAGGGTGAGTGGCTAGTTGTAAATAAAATGAATCCATCCAGGCTATAGAGCTTTACAATATACTGAGGGCTATATTGATCACGACATCAGGCGGAAGAAAAACAATATATATATATTAATATTATAAACAAATATTATTAACGCTAATGTAAATAAAATTTTGATCAATGCCACCTTGAAGAAAAAACACTTCTCATATTTTCTGTTATTGAGTTGCTATTATTGCACGCATAATCATGCCAAAGCAGAGCAGTACTATTAAAAATACTCGATTGATCGGATCGTTGCTGTAATTGGAACATCCAAAGTTAGCATTATGCCGTATAATGCGCTTTAGTACTCTAATTGGAAAACAGGGTAAGCAAGTAAATCGCTACGTGTGTGGCTACCATTACTTAATACTTACTACTTAGTCTGTGACCGTTATAACACTACTTAGTTTATTCGTAATTCGTATATTTCTTCCGTCTTCGTACCGTTTGCCGTTCCCTTGATAATTGATATTAGTCATCGCTCATAGTTGGGCATTTTATTTTTTATTTTAACCAATTGCTATAACTGGCATTATATATTTATTGTAACATTTAAAGATTGATTAATTGGTAAGTAAAGTACATTTCTCTTATTTTGTGTATAGTGATACTACTACTTTTAACATACCAACTTTAATAGGTTTGCTGCTTGAATTATCAATTCAAGACCTTATATGGTTTGATACTATATTTAAGATCATGAATTACGAAATCGTGTCCTACATATTTGCAGTTCTTTGTAAATGCATCAAAGGGAAGTTAAGTTTTATTAGGTAGTGAGTGACTCAGCTATACCATAACGGATACAAAACCTTTATCAAACGTTTACGAGATAAATACTTTATTTCATTTTTGGTATGAAGTAAACATTAACTATGTATCTACTTTTTTTTCTCTGATAAATGTGTCAATTTATAAATTTTCATTTAATGTATAGTTTATTTTACATAAAGTTTTCTTTTAGCCTTAGTTCAGGTATTCGATTTAAAAATTAGCTTAAGATATTGATTATAATAATAATTATTTTCTAACTTCAACAGTAATAAAATGTCGTCACGCAAAACAGCTGGCCGTCGTGGAACGAACAAAAAACGCGCACAGCGTGCTACTTCCAATGTATTTGCTATGTTTGATCAGGCACAGATTGCAGAGTTTAAGGAAGCTTTCAATATGATTGATCAGAACAGAGATGGTTTTGTTGACAAGGATGATCTGCATGATATGTTAGCTTCCCTGGGTGAGTATTGTAATTAAGGGTTCAATAAATTAATCAAAATTAATTTGTGACATGCCATGTTAGTCTTAGCCTGATCTTCTTTTCATTGACGGAAGACCCTAAGCCCAGAAATGGGATCTTAAACAAATGGGCTAAATACAAATACACTGTTTACAGACAACATAAAACAACAAATAATAATAATACTAAGTTTGTTCAGGTAAACATTGCATGATACATATTAATTTTTTTTTATTTTTTTGAAATAAATCTTTATTTTGAATTTTTGTAATAAATAAAACCAGTTGAAATAAATATTTAAATGTTTATGTAGGAAAAAATCCCACTGAAGAATACTTGGAAGGTATGATGAATGAAGCACCAGGTCCCATTAATTTTACTATGTTTTTGACTCTCTTTGGTGAGCGTCTTCAAGGAACTGACCCAGAGGATGTTATCAAAAATGCTTTTGGGTAAGTATGATAAAATTTATAATTCAGAAACATTGACTGTGGCTTATTTCAAAACAATATGAAAGACTTGATAAATTTTAATGTTATATATGTCCATTATTAGGTTCTTTCGATAGTTTAAGGGTTTCTTTAAAAAGCATTGTCATATTTATCATGTTTGTCTTGCGTTTTGTTGTGAACAGCAATAGTTCTGTTTTCGCATGGTTAATGATTAGGTAATTTTGTATGCACCAGCATTCTGGCTTATACTGCATTAGAACTCCTAATGTGGGTTTGATTTTACCTTTTTTGATTTTATTAGGATGGTAATACCACCCATGTAGCCTATGGGGTGGATATTGTTGTTGTTTAGTTCATTGAGGAGGCTGCTCACAACAAGGCTTCATAACAAGGGTGATAAGACTTCTTCCTGTGGGTAACGCCTGGATACCAAATCTATTGCAATTATTAAATTCTGTTTGGATTATTCATTTACTTAACATTTCTTTTATACAACATTTTAGGATTGTTGGGGTTTTATATTTGCAAAGTGCATTGTCTATGTTTGAGAATGTTCTTTATGAAAAGCTCCTTCAATATCTATAAAGTCTTCTATTGTGCATATTTTGCTTTATAGGTTGTGTTCTATGGTGCTCACTACCTGGTGAAGGGCTCTCTCTGTTGATTTGCCCACATTATATGCATGTTGGTTTGTGTTGAGAGGTATTGTGGACAGAATATTATCCCTAATATATCTTGTGCAAAGTCTCTCTAGTGTTTTCAGAGGGAAGGATGTTAGGGTGATAGTTCTGAAGGTTGTAAGTAGTCTGCTTTTCCCGGTTTTGGAAGGAAGACTACTTGAGATCTGTCACCTTATGATGTAATGAAAAATTATTTGAATTATTATAAATATTTAGTTAATATAAATAATAATGATTTTCATTTTTGCTCACTTCATACTTCCGATTATTTGTTGTATAACCTAAAAATAAAATTGTAAGTTACTGGCATCTATTTAATGAGTAATCTTGACCAATAGATGTCACTTCACAGCACACTTTTATCTTCTATGGTTATGGACATACAATAGGTTTGTAAACAGCCATATGATTGTCATCAATGAAATTACATAATTGTCCATCTGTTTTGGGACCATTATGATTGATTGTCAGCATATTTATTCCCTTTTTATCTTTAACCTTGCTGTTATTGTTATCTCCTAGTACCCATAATAAGAAGAATGTTTGAAGTTATACTTTTTTTGCGACCTTTGGAGAAAATTATGAGAGTAAAATTTTTTCGATGCGCGCGCGCACCGACAGCCAAAAAGCGTCATGATTAAGTTAGCTGATAATTGTTTGTAGTAACCGTTGTTATTGTCTGACAAATGATATATAATATTATATTCTTTTCTTAAATGATATTCTATAAATATATGATTATAATATGCCTAATATGCCGTATTTAATTATTTTATTAATTTATCATTCCTTTTACAAACAGAGAGTTGTGACATACGGGATGAAATCTTTAGCTATTTTTGTTCTGTTACGCCAAAGTAGTACAACTTCTTACGTGCGTACATAAGTACACACACGTTTTTTTTTTGATATCTCGCTTATTTCTTGAAGTTTTGAGAAAATGGCGTAGCGGTGCCACGAAAATTGTAGTCTTTCCATCATTGTATTATTAGAATACTCGTAGGCCCCAATATAACATTCTTTATTTGAACATAACAATCTCCATGAAAAGTACACATTTTAACTAAAATTAATTTTGAAGTGTCTGTTTATGATTTACAAGCTTTAGCTACTCTACTATACAAAACCTCAAGTATCGTTGAATATTTGTATGCCTGTTTGTTGTATATCTCCAGAACAGCTAAATCGAACCTTATCTTGCAAATGTTATTCATAAGTAAATATGATTGATTTAAGTACTTGTAGTATTAGTAATGAAATTATAAATATTTCTTAGCTACCCAGCCTCACGTACACTGTCCTGTCCTCAATAAAGTTTATGATCTTTGAGTTCATACAAAAATTTTATTAAAAAAAAGCAAAAACCCCAATCAACAATGTGAACACAAAAGTCAAATATACATTCTAAGTTTAATAGCCCTCAGAACAACTGTCCTATATATATATAATATCTTTTCACAGATGCTTTGATGAGGAGAACACGGGTGTGATAGCAGAAGAGCGTCTCCGGGAGCTCCTGACCACGATGGGAGATCGTTTCACCGACGACGACGTAGATGAGATGCTGCGTGAAGCCCCCATCCGCGATGGGATCTTCGACTATGTAGAGTTCACACGTATATTGAAACATGGCGCCAAAGATAAGGATGAACAGTAAAAACATTCACGAAAGCAGGTTGATTAAAACATTATTTCATTCACCCCAGCAAAGCTACGATTTTTTTTATCATGCATATTATTTAGTGCAAGATTACAATTTTTCAAGTCATCCGTCTGCAATGTGAAAGTTTTAGCGGGCCTCATTACATGAACTATTTATTATAATTTTCAACCTGCCTTATTTATTTATAATTTTATAAAATTATGTAGCCTTACTATATAACATATGCCAAACTAACCCTTATCAATTTTGTATAAGAATTTTTTCCTAAATACTAAGTTAAGAGTTTATGGATTCCAATAATCTCAAGACACTGAGGTGCTAAAATAGATATTATAAGATTTGTTGCATTTTCGATTGATTTTATTTTAATCATGCATTTGTTAAATACATTTCCAGTTAAATTAGGTTGTCTATTTAATTTAGGCGTTTTGGATTCGCCATATTGTCCCCATGTTATCAGGGGGATAATTATTTCTTTGTATTTTACAAGGTAATAAAGTAAAATAACAAAATTTATAATATGTATGTTAAGTGTTAATTAAATTTCATACTTATGTATTGAGGATCAAGGTAGAAAATTGCAACACCTATAAATGGAAATAGTTAAAAAAAATTGGAAAAACAAACAATCAGTATTCACAAAAGAACTTTTAAATTTAACTATATTTGTCCATTATTATTGGTATCAAGTAGACTGATTAGAAGAAGTATTCAAGCCATTCCGATTTTACTAAATCATTGACGGCAATTTTGTTGCTTGAGATGAAGTACTTACATTCTTTAAAATTTCAACTAATTATGAATTACTAGAATAGAATATGATTTTATATAATCACAACTAACAATCGTGTGTAAGATATATCATTTATTTAATCACGTATGTATTTATTTGGTGATTTTCCAATAAATTCTTTTAAATATTGAACTTGTTTTATTTTTAAAAAACCCTAGTTACTCTAATTGGCGACAAAAATATAGACTAATGATGTTCTTGCGATGAAAGCTACTTAATTACATGATACTATAAGTAAAGATTAAAATTAATTTTTTATTTTACATACATGCTATTTTTATTAAAAACTCTGTGCGCTTATTCGGGTGGATGTCAAAAAACAAATTGTGGCGTGGAAAAGTATAACAACTCCTTTATTATTAAAGGAGGCTCAAAAAAACCCAGAAGCCCTCAGACCTAGTGATATTTTTCTAATAACAAGCGCGGCTTAGGGGGATTGCGCGGCTTTTAATTGTTTTGGTTGTATAGGACATTGGTGAAGGTATCACCTGGAGAAGTTAGTTACACGCAACAATAATTTAGACAACCTGGAATAGAATATGCTACGTACAGAAGGAAATATTTTTTCAACTTTTTATATCGTTTTAATTTATTTTTCAAATAAAGTTAAAACTATATATTATACACTTAAGTCTAAAAATATATTTTTTATAATGTTAAATACTCTTAACCTATTAAAATGATATACCTACATATATTAATACATATTAAATATTAATACATAATGATATTATAAAAAAAGATAATGAAATAATATTAGTCCCGCTGAGTTTCTTTCGCCAGTTCTTCTCAGGTCTGAGGCTTCTTTTATCCGAACTGGTAGTAGACTCATGACGTTCAGTAATAAATTGTAATAATTTAATGCTGAATAAAATATTTTGAATATCGGAAACGGATGCGAAAGTTTGGATGGATGGATGGATGTTTGTCACTCAATCACGTTAGAGTGGCTAAACGAATCTGGATGAAATTTGGACAGTGATAGATAGATTAATCTTTCAATATGTGTAATAGTTTGGAATAGCGCATAAGCTACTTTTTATCCTGGAAAAATGTGATGTTCTCCTGACTGATTCCGGCAACGGCGGCCAATCTCATTGAGACTAGCCAACTGCGCAGCAGATATTGTAGTGCACAAGTGTACGCGCAAACACAAGTGCACTCTCTATTCTTGTCACTCTCATACTCCGGTGGGACGACTGCTCGACACGACCAGTGAGAGTTAAGGCGCAGGACCGACGGCTTTACGTGCTCTCCGGGGCACGATTTTTTTTCGGAAAAATGTACGGTTCCCGTGGGATAGATTTGTTTATATTTTTCACTAGAGACGAACTCCAGCGAGGCGAGAATGACCCGCTAGTTACACATGTTATGTCATAGGTGGGCCAGTTTTACAGATTTCTTATAATATGATTTTTGTTCAATACAGTTATATTTGTTGAGAATCTACCATGTGCATACTGCATAAAAGAAGTAAATAATATTTTGGGACATTAACACACAGCGCCATCTAGTTCCATGGTAAGCTACGAACGAGGCCTTGTGATAGATACCAGATAGTGATACACTAGTAACTACATATATATTACTTTAAAAATAGACATATTATAAATATAAACATCCATGACTGGAGTAGAAACATTCGTGCTCATCACACAAATGAATGCCCCCAGCGGGCCTCGAACCCGCGACCGATGGCACAGCAAGTAGGGTATTCGTCGAAGTATTTATTATTAAAAATGAAATCGAAATAATATTTTTTCAGGCGGTTTTTTAACTACTGCCTACCTATATATTTGCAACTTTACAAACTGAGCCAAACGTGTCGTTAAATATCGTAATATAGCTAATAGGAAATATGCGTGTAATTTAAATAAAGGTGAAATATATTTTTTTATTAATATATAATCTTTGTTGCTGATTAATAATTATGTAATACAGTGATGATGTTTATTGATTGCATAGGCTTGGCTTTCCCTCGGTTAAAAGTTCTGCCCACTCCAAGACGTGATGTATACGCATATGTGGATTTTCATTCTTTACTGAAGCAGAAACATTTAGTTGTAATTTACTTAAAGCTTTCTTTAAAATAAATTTATAAATATTAAATAGAATTGAAAAGTTTATGCAACTACCAGCTGACCCAACAGACCATATTCTTTTCAAATTTCATCATCATACAAAGGTTCTATAAAAAGCACTTTTAGATTTTCCCGAATTGCCCAACGTTTCGGAAAGTTCTCAATTTTTTCTCTATTTATTATATTATATATTTGGAGTATTAAAATTATAAAAATAAAAAAAACCGAGTAGTTGCGAGTCTTATTACGTGTACCTATTTACAAACATAAATGTCTCCGACTGCATAATACTATGTGTTCCTTCGTCAACTTGTTCCCGCCTTTTTAGTTAGCTTTTTATTTACAGCTTTTTAGTTTTGGTCCGTAAGACATTTTTAGTTTTATTAACAATTTTTTATCCTAGAATATTTTGAAACATGTAAGTTGTAAATATAATATATTTTTGGAATCGCCTCTTAAATACAACCTGTATTTAGAAATCTCATTAGATTGATTCGAACGAAAAATTTCCGAAAAGCGTAATCGGTCCATCCGTTCTCAAGTGATTCTGCTGTTTACCAACGAATAAATATTTCGTTGTTGACCGGCTTCCAAGAAGACGAAGACTGAATTGACGACCATAAAGTATATTGCTACATATATAAATTGACGACGAAGACAACGGCAATGTTCGACGTAGTCGTATATTATGCAAACGCATTCTTTCTATCACAGACTATAGAGTAATTTACTTTCTATTGAATAATTTGCCGCTGACGACGTTGTAACTTATACCTAGTAGGTAAGTATTTATTATGTCAAAATTACCTTGAGCTCTAACAAATTCTTTCGTCGGCAAATCATACGGTTTCCATTTCGGTCTATTAAGTTGAAAGTGAGTTGTTGAGGCAATTCCTTTATGCTGTTCCTATAACGATATAAGAACTTATAATAAAATACAGAAAATCTCAATAGAGAGTATGCGTGTTTTTTTATATAATAGCTTACATAGTTATATAATTGTATAAAAAAATATCGAGCTCCAAAAAACTTAAATTGAGTATAAATTTTTTTTAAAACATACCGGAAATTTTTAAAAGTTACTGATACTTTAAATGCTCGCCATTTCGCGCGCTTGGCGTGACGTCACAGTATTTATACACATCTTTATTTAAATCAAACGCATAATCCCTATTAGTACAGCTGGTCGTTTGAATGTTTCCGGTCCAATATTGTAACAAATAAAAAATCTAAAAGTCAAAAGGCCTCACACAAGCGACATGTTTTTTGTAATATCCGATAATGAAGTGTAGACTTGTAGAATGTAGAGGTATCTCATAAAATCCCCCCCAACGTGCGTTCACCTTGTCGTGGTGGGGGGGCTCAGTAGTACCCGGCAACCCAACCGGGCGCGAAGCCAAGAAACGCACAGGGAGGTGGCCCACTTCGGTGGGCGGTGGGAGGTGGCCCTCTTCGGAGGGCGGTGTACCATGCGGGTTGCTCCTGGTACTTCTCTGATAGCAGAGTGGACCTTGGAGCAACCCCGTGGTTGTTGTGGTCTGCCTCGGCAGGACTGCTGTCGGGGCGTCGTAGTTGAATGTGTAAGCGATCCTGCGACGCCCCATTAAGACGGGGGAAGGCTTTGTTGGGTTTTAGTGGGTAGTACTGGCTTTGCCGGTGAGTCCCACACCTCGTGCGTAAATGCATTTCCCGACGTTAAAAAAAAAATCTCATAAAATGTGTCCGTCGAAAGGCGTTAATTTAGGTTGGCACTACTGAAGCAACAAGCAAGTGGGTAAATGAAGAAAGCGCTAAAAGTTATTAGTGTACGAGAGACAGAGAGTTAAATAAAGAAAGAAAAACTTTTCTTTTGTTATATGGCGCATTTTTCCAAAATAGGTAGTGGTAGCCCAGTGGTAATGCTTGCTTGGAAAACCGAGTGAAGCCGGGTTCTAGTCCCGGGTCTCGCATCTCTGATATTTTCATGTGCGAATCATTTCTAACATGATTACCATGCAACCTGCTTATCTGAGAGAACCTAGCAAGTTTTCGAAAGACATGTGAAGCTCGCAAATCCAACCAGATTTTTCCAAATAAACATAAAATAGAAAAACAACGACATGATATTTATTTAATTTTTGGCATAGTGTTTTTAAACGCCTTATTATAAATTATGCATAAATATGCATGTTTTATAACCGTAAACAATATAAAATTACTAAAAAGTATTATTAGAAATTAAAATAATATACTATGTTATTATAATAGTAAATTATTTTGAACTACGTAAAAAGATGAAGTTTTTCATACTGAGATTTCAATAACTACCTAGGTACTCGAGAGTCACCAAAAATATTAAATTTTCCACCCTAGCACACTTTACTCCGTCTAGGATTGCAGAATTCATATCATATCTACTCCTTAACTAGCACCATGCTACTGGGTTTTTCATTCTGTTATTTATAGCTTACCGGCTGGTGGACACTTGTACCTTTATAAGACGGTCAGGGGTCGGTTTGTTCAATTGACACTATACGATATATTATCTCTACCTACCTTTTTTTTAAAGTTGGGAAATGCATTTACGCACGAGGTGTGGGACTCACCGGCAAAGCCAGTACTACCCACTAAAACCCAACAAAACCTTCCCCCATCTTAATGGGGCGTCGCAGGATAGCTTACGCATTCAACTACGACGCCCCGACGGCAGGTCTGCCGAAGCAGACCACAACTACCATGGGGTTGCTCCAAAGTTCACTCTGCTATCAGAGAAGTACCGGGCAGGAGCAACCCGCATGATACACCACCCACCGAAGAGGGCCACCTCCCACCGCTCACCAAAGTGGGCCACCTCCCTGTGCGCTTCTTGGCATCGGGCCCGTCTGGATTACCGGGCACCACTGAGACCCCCCTCCTCCCCCACTCCACGACAAATCTCCATCCTTATGTCGTGGACGGGATAACCATTTGTGTTATAAGACGATCTGCTAACATCTTTATTTCTCCCATTGCATCGTGTCAATTTTCTTCATTTTCGAATAGTAATATCGTATTTATTGATATATTTATGTATGTGTCAATAGTTATAAAATTTAAAACAACTTTATAACTAATTATTAGCACACAACATTTTTGATAGAATAGACTTGAAAAGTTGCGACTTGAGTCCTTAATTATATAATTGTTTTTAAATATATGAGTGAGGCATTGTTGTAGACCAAGGAGGTCCCATAATCTTCGCGTTATAAACTGATTAATTTTAATGCTGTCAAAAAATACACATTGTATAATATATATACCTACTAATCTATCTACATAAATACGTATAAGTTTAACAACATTCCCCTTTAATTGTCTAATGATTGATGCTTTAATTTTTTGGATTATTTTTATCTACTATGGATTATAATAGGAATTAACCAGCGCGTAATCACTTCTAAAAATGTGATTCGCTTTCACTTTAACAATCTATAATAATTAAATATTATAGATTGTTAAAGTGAAAAAATATTTACATAGAAAAAAATATTTTGACTTGTACCTATATGAAGCTTTAGAACTTTCATGACCTAGATTCTAGATCTATTGATAATATTTATCAAATGTCTTTGTCATAATACCTACTTATTGTTTTTTATCTGTGTCATATGTCGAAGGAAATGGGTTTGCAGCTGAAGCATTGATTGTTATTGAATAAACACAATTTATTATAATATTTAATCGTATGTCAAAATTACTATCATGAATTTAAGCAGCGTTTCTAAAAATATTGGTCAGTAGGTACTAAATTTTAATTAATTTTTTTTTATTATTTTTATTTTTGTGCTATATGTCATATTTTTTTGTCTAGAACCACAGGAATATCGAAAGTTCCCTCTTAAAGAGCGCTGTACTCGCTTTGAAAGTGTGTATGGATCTAACAATCTAAATTTGTCGTATAATGTAAATCAAATTCAGAAAAACACAGTAAAGGTAACTTGAATATTTTTTAGTTATTTAATTATGACTCCGTTTGTTTTAATGTCAAAAAACTTTCTAAGTTGGTTCCGAGCCATGAACTATTCGTCTTAACTTTTTAGTTAAGACGGGTATATTCAAATCTATCTACAAAACAGGCATTTAAAATTTTAAGAATTATCCTTATCAACCAGCATGTAAAAAAAGGTTTATATAGGTATCTATACTAATATTATAAAGAGGTAAAGTTTGTGAGATTGTGAAGTTGTAGGGGGTAATCTCTGGATCTACTGAACTGATTTAGATGAAATTTGGTAAGAAGATAGTTTTCGACCCTGGGAAGGACATAGGATCCTTTTTATCCCGGAAATCATCCCTTAAATGGGTGGAAATTGGGATGAAAGTTTGTGTGGGGAATCAACCTAGGGACGAACCCGAGCGAAGCGACAGTGAGTCGCTAGTAATAAATATACCTACATAATTTTAATCAATCTTTTTATCTTCTTTGTTTTATAGTCGATTCGAGAATGTTCAATCTTAAATTTGTACAACACCACTACCAAACTGTACAAGAATAAAACTTCGAAGTTCGTTAAACCTGTTTTGGTAGTAACAGTTATACCAAAACATCCTACAATACGAATATCAAAGGTGTTTAACAAACAGAAACATTACAAGAAAGTTCAAAACACGTTTTCAAATTACGAGAACTCTGTGCAAAACTTAAACTTATATTCTTCTAAAGGAAAAAGAAGACCAAAAGTTTCCAAAGTTAAAACTTCCGAAAGTGACATTTTATACAACAAACACAATTCTAAATATGCAGATATAACTTTAGATCTGCTTAATATGGAAAGGAACAAGCGAAAATATGTCAAAACCAATCGTCTTAAAGATATTAAAAACAAAGAGTGCTTTTGTAAAGCAAAGGAGGATTATAAGTTAGAAGATAAAAATGCTCAAAAAAATCGAGTTACAATTGTTGGTCAACTAGGATTGACACAAGATGAACGTTACGTGTTAAAATGCGCTGCTACAGTAAACGATAAGCCTAGTATGTATATAAATAAAAAAATATATATTTAGTTCTATACCTAAAATTAAATGCTAAGTGGTGACGGGCTTGTCACATTCATTTAAAGAGTAGATATCTATTGGCTGATATATCTAAAAGATTCGAAAATTCTCTTAAAGTGGAAGCTATATTATATAATTTATAATTTTATTTTTCTTACTAAGTGTCTTTGATCGTTATTTTTTCGTTTAAAGTTATATTAATCTCAATGGATTTCCATACTAATATTCTCCTCCTGACCCGGCAGCCTATCTCACTTAGACTAACCGCCTGCGCAGAAAATTCTGTCTGATAATACTTATAATTTATGAATACTATATGATGACAGATTATGAGCAGGAACAATCTCTTAACATGCTCTCTGGGACATGAAAGCCCATTATATAGGTACTATACTTGACTCGACCTAGGACTCGAACCCAGGACCTTTAAATCTGTGACCCTACATGCTAGCAAGACTAGTGTAGCGTAAAAAAATTACTTGAAGACTAGCTTAATCTTCTCTTGATACTGTGGACGTATCTGTGTTCTGTTCTATAAAATATGTAGGAGGGACTCCATAAATGTAATTGCAGGAGCAATTTATATAAGAGATTATTCAATAAGTATATCCTTTTCTCGCTTAAGCAAAAGGCAAGCTACATAGAGACAGACATACCTATGTAGGTTACATAATTATATCCTCCCCGCGCATGGACGCGGAGTCGCGGCCGAAACGAATACAACATAAAACCTTAAAAATTAATATTATTTACAGTTCCAACAAATTTTTCGCAAGTATCTAATAGTCCTGATCGTCCAAATATGAAACAAGCTTTTGCAAATGAGTAAGTTACTTTATGTCATCTAAAAACTTAGAGACTAACATTTGAACTTTTAATTTTTACCGACTTTGAAAATCAGGAAGTACCTAATCAAGTTCGGTGAATAATTTTTGTTATTTTGTGGGTATTTACAACGGAAGAGAAAAGTTTTGTATCTTTCATGGTATTTCCTTGATATGTTGAAATTCATTATTGTGAACCACTTTACTGAAGAAGCTCAAAGATAGCCATAAAAGAATATATCCTTTAGCGGTGCTATATTCATAATTACCTAGTTGATGAGACAAAATTTAATATTTATCTATTAAACTAATTACGTAAATTTCAGGCAGGCAACACAAGCTACTCAAGTTAATTTTAATTTCTCACATAACAATCCTAAAAAAGCTTACAAAAATCAAATTGTGCAATGCAACTGTACTGAAAGTAAAGTTGAAACAACAATGTCTAGAACGAATGTACTTAAAGAATCTAAAAGTCCTTTGGTCGTTATATCTGTGTATCCGATTCAAGATGAAACGGGTGATATCGATACTAGTCCTGTTAAAATTATCCAACATAAAAATTTACAAGACAGATATAAAGTAAAAACGCAATACAACAATTTTAAAAACAATGAAAAACAAAACAATGGAAGAACTCTTTCATCGAATAAGATGGTACGAACACGTAATAGTAGATCTCCATCTCCAGTTAACATAGCAAAGAAGGTATCTACCAAAAGAACTGCAGGTACAAATACGTTCGCCATAAACACCAGGAAGCAGAGTCCTGGTCGTCAAGGAAATAGGAGCAAGCTTCCTAGTAAGCCTGATGATTTGAAAATAGACTTGTCTCATACAGTAAAGCAACAAAGTGATAATTTAAAAAATAAAAAAGCAAAATTTGACGTAGAACACGTTAAAAAGGCATTGGTTAGCAGTTTTATAAAAAATATAGAAAAAATAGATAAAGATGTATCCAAAAGAAAGTTTATAGCCCCCAAAGACGATGCCTCTAAGGTAACAATAAATATAGAGGGTGACAATGAAAACTACGATGTTATGTTTGAACGAAGCGAATTCGATACCGGTGTATCGGTTCGTAAAACGGCAAAAGTGAATAAAAAATATAAAAGTAATAATGAAGCTGGCGTCTCTTCTATGGAAAACTTTCTTATGTTATCCGATGACGCAGTGGACGTAGGTCATTCAGGGGTACACTATATGAATTTTATTTAATTTTAATAGGATTTTTTTTTCATTTGCGGTCTTGCCGATCTTGGTATTATTTTATTTTCAGCAACCAAATTATGTTCGAAAAATTATAACAACTCAGTCGAAGTTAAACGTACGAGATAGTCTTGAGATTAACCACAGGTAGAAAAATTATCTATCTTAATAATATACTATCTTAATACTTTATAGGCAGTGAAATGATGTAAGGCTTTTATAAAGTATTATAAGACCCACTTGACTTTACTGGGATGCGTCCCTTCAAATTTATAAGAAATCATCCCTGTAAAGGGATGATTTTTCACGACTTAATTCATAAATATTATCACACAAGTAGCTTTGATTTCGCAAAATGTTCATAAGGAATAAAATTGTCTACTTATAGTATTCCTATACAATCCCTCTTTACAATACGGTAAGAATATACGTAGTTTCTGAGATTATTCTAAACAAACACAAACTCAGCGCGGCATCCTAATTAATATATTTTAATATATAACGAACATATTTTGTTGCTATAAAAATATTTTCCAATTTATCATTATTTAATAGTTCAGTACATTTTACATCATCATCGCCCTGCCCATCACCCAATCACTTGGGGTCGGTGCAGTAGGTACATCTTCCATACTGCTGATAGGATTTGGCAAAAGTTTTACAACCGTCCGCTTGCCTGACATCAACCCTCCTTGGGAATGCTATTGTATATCGCGGACGTCTTGTAATATGCACATAAATATAAATTTTGTTTTACGTTGTTCAGTACATTTTACATATTCTAATTAAATTCAATTTTGTCCATCTAGTGTCCTAACAATTATTTTTTAATTTTAGGCGAGAGCGAGGAAGCTCAAGTCTTAAACCTAACAATAATGAATTTAAAAAATCGGGCAAAAATGATTCAAATGTTTTTGGTAAGAATTATTATACCCACACCTTTAAGTTTTGTCACTTGGACTATTATTACATTACAACAACCATTGGTTTCCGTAGCACAAGTAAAACACTTTCGAGGTGATAATTGTTCTTTAACCGACCCTAACGATAGAGATAGAGAAATCAGAGAGCTCTTAGGAGTCATTCGGGACAGCAGGAAGTCAAAAGTAAGTACATATTATGAATTTTATTTTACTCACTGAAAATAAGCATATACCATTATATTTAGAGTTTATTATTTTATTATTAAATTATTATTATTTTTTTTATAGATATCTACAGATGTCCAAGATAAAGATCGTTACTGCGTTAAAAAATGGTTTATTTTTCTTTTTTTATATAAGCTAGAATAACATAAGTTATAAGGATTTCTATTAATTGATTCACAATTTGTTTTTTCACAGTTCCAAGAGCATAATGACAGGACTTAGCATTACAAACATACTTCAAACAAAAATCAACAAGAATGGAAACAGTAATGCCAAAGTCCATAACCAAAAATTATTCTCGAAAGAAAATTATTTAAATAAATTTACAAATGCAAACGAACTTACTTTATTAAATAAATCTCCTAATTCTCATGATATAAAAGATCCAATCACATCTCAAAATCTGATATTAAATCGTAATATTCAAGTATTTTTACAATTAGAGCAGTTTAACAAATCCCGCCCAATAATTCTGAATAGAAAACAATATAATAAAGTAAAAAGAACAATACAATGCACTATATCAAAGAAACTTAGCGTTGACAAGAATTACAGAAATGGTAGAAATCACAGTATAGTTTCTATTGGAGAGATAAAGGCCAGGTCAAAACATCTACCGTTGCATTTTGATCGTGAAGTACAAACAGAAAGAACGGAAATTAAAAGAATCTTAAGAAATAGTAAGAAGCGCAGATCTGTTCAAACTAGAGAAAATAATAAGAGTGGAAACAAAATAAATGCCGCAAAATCCATAAATGATGCCTCGATTGACATTTATAGAGGTGGTAAAGAAAAATATTTTGTAGAAAACAATAAGTTTCGTAAGGTTGTATCTTCAATAGAGATACGTTACACCAGTGTTGAATACATGAAACATACTACCACGTCCTCTGCACATGTCGCAGAAAATGAACGCAAATCTTTTCATCGCATTAGGCAAGATAATTCTATTCACACAATTTTTAAAGGTACTTCGTTTTTTATATTGATACAGAGATAATCTGATTGATGTATAATGTATACATATATCTAATATCCCATTCGATTTAATCTCACTGAGACTAGCCAACTGTGCGGGAGATATTATATAGAACAAGTAGGTATGCGCACAGACACAAGTGCACTTTCTATCTCTCATTCCTGTTACTTTCAAATTCCAATGGGACGATAATTCGATACGACCTGTGAGAGATCAGGCGCAGAACTGTGGTCTTTACGTGCTCTGTTACGGCACGGGGGTGAAACACCGCCAACATCCTATCTCCAGGCCGTTACTTCGACTTCCTTAACCGAAAAACTAAACTTGGTCCAACCCGGGACTCGGACCCAGGACCTCCGATTATAAAGCCGTATATGCTAGCGTATACACCACCGATTCACTTAGAAAATAATCTAATTAGTTTTATATGGGACTACTATTGTACGAGTATATGTGAAAGTTTGACTTTGTGTGTGTATTTGTTATTTCTTCAAGCTCAAGCTTAGCGAGTAAAATTGGCATTGGAGGCGTCTTTTATCATAGACACGGCTAGTTTTTATTGACGCTCCTACCATGCGAGTGAAGCATAAAAAATAATTATAATATTAGCATTATGGTTTATTCTTTGTTTATAAATACATATTTCCACAGGATATCGAAGATCTGTAACGCCCAATCTTGGCACTTCGGCATTTTCTTTAGATTCTGATAGAACAGATTCTAACAATTCTATCAGACCGTCTGGCGCCGGTGATTTTAAAGCTAAGAAACCTTTTTTACGGAGGCTAATATCATGCTTAGTGATGCGATCACCTCCAGATTCAGCGTTCAAACGTACACTTCCATTACAAGGACGCGTACGTGCAAATAGCTCTGTAGATTCATATCATATTAACACATCCCTTGGCGTAAATATAATCTATTTTATTTTTAAGAATATTTCATTCTTTGAAGAAAAAAGATTTTATTATATCTTCATATGATTTTGTTTTTAGGCTTTAGAAATGTCTTCGTCCCTTTATGATACGTCGGCATCTTTCTACAGCAATCACGCCACATTCCCAATAAATAAAATGAAAAGAGGTTTTTTTACGTCTGTACGAGAATTCCTTACGAGTCGAAGAACTTAATTATTCTTTTAATATTTTGTACTATATGTATTTGATTTATATTAAACTGTTGAACTTTATATTAAATCTTTTATTTTAGTACCGTACATAATTTCATGATCTAAATAGATGATGCCTCATACTGCAAAACACCACACACAACAAACTAAGCTGCCTTCTGCTTTATACGCTTATTTTATATACATACTATTATAAAGAGACAGAGTTTGTTTGCTTGTTTGTTTGTTTGTTTGTTTGTTTGTTTGTTTGTTTGTTTGTTTGTTTGTTTGTTTGAAAGCACTAATCTCAGGAACTACTAATACGTTTTAAAAAGTTCTTTTTGCATTTGATAGCCTGTTTATTGAGGAAGGCTATAAAGGCTATATATAATATCATTCTGCTATCCAAGGTAGCGGAGCAGTATTATACCTATAGTCTATTTATTCTATACTAACCGTTAAAACGTACCTACCTGGGGACGAACCCGAACAAAGCGAGGTTGAGCCGCTGGTTTTATAATGAGTTATTTTCTTGTTATCCCTAGCGCATATACCTATAGTATAGCCCAAAAGCTTATAACATTATTAGGTTCGTACCTAATTTGAATATTTATTTCGTTAATAATTAAGTAATAGTAACTTAAGTATAATTAGTAGTCACAACTTTATATTAAACAACTCTCTTGCCCAAAAATACAACGTGTATCATAAATTAACCAAATGTAAGTTAGAAACCCTCTGGTGTCTATTAAAACAGCTCAGAAGGGTTTTCCAGGAAGACAAATATTTGGCAATTAACAATTATATTTCTCGCTTTTTCTGTATACTCATTTTACATTTATATTTTATATTCCTAACTCATATATGCGAATCACCGACTGTCCACTTGACATATCAAACATCTATATTCAAAATCTACGAACTGGCACATAAAATAACTAAATGTTACAGTCGGCCATCCGTTACAATAACGAGTCCCTTCGTTTTAGGCCACACTATGTCAAAAAAAAAGTTTCACAATTCATTACAATTCACTCATCTTACATTAAAAAAAAGTTTGTTGAATCCTGCTACTCTCTATTTCTATCTCTAATCTGTTTGTTCTTAACAATAATCAAATATGCTGTTAGATTTTTATCGGTAAATGTATCTTCAGTAGAGGCGTGCACCCAGTGGTACAATCCTCATCTTCACTCTGTGAATCTAGTCGCTAGGTTCGATTTACTATTTCTCTTAAGGCGAGAGAATCTTAGACTGCCCACCCCCTTCAGCTCGGCAGCTAATTTATTTATGTGTCGGTCCAATCTGGCTTGATAATTATTGCTGTTTAACTCGACATCTTCCTTCACTATTTGCAGATTGAAATCTAGGTAAACATATTTATTACTTATATTTGGTGGAACATTGATCATGGTTCTCATTGTTTTGCTCTGAAACCTTTCGAGTATTTCAATATTACTATGGCTGGCTTTACTCCAGAGCTGAATGCCACAACTCCATATAGGCTTTCCGCTTTAGTATAGCTTTATAGGTATTAGATAGCCATTTTACTGTCATTTGCTAACGATGACTTACGACTGATGAGCCCATATATGCTGCGGAATTTGTGTCTAGCTGTTTCCTTTTAGTCCATATGTGTTTGCGCCAAGTGAGTCTACGGTCGAGATGTATACCTAAGTATTTGGCGTCATCAGATTGTGGGATCTCTCTTTCACAGAAGGGTAGGTTTTCCTTCTAAATGTGTAAGTTGCTTGAATCGGTTTATTTGTATTGGCTTTAATGCGCCACTGCTGGAACCATGCTTCGATGAGAGTCAGGTGTGATTGGAGTCTTACAGATCGGGTCTCAGGAATCGGGATTCTCATGGGTCGAAAGAAGTGAGGTATCATCTGCGTATATCGCTGTAATGGTATTGGCGTAGAGGGTAGATCTGATGTAAATATTAAATAAAGAACCGGTCCCAGTATGTTACCATGACCTAAGGTATTTCTCTATTTCATTTTCTAGATTTTGATTGTTGCTGGGGAGTGGTTCGAAGACTGTATGTAGGTGATTAGCGTCGATCTTAATTTTTTTTTCACAGTCTGAGCGGACACAAGAACCCGTTTGTGTTCTCAATGATGTACTTTGTTGTTTTGGACGCTTTAGGATTCTGGTAGGCTTCCACAACGAATAGTTCGGGTCACTAGTATGTGTCAGTCTTGCGAGATATGATTGTAGGTTCTCATTTTCCACATCTTTAGTTAGCGTGTTTAGTTCTTGTGAGGCTTTATTGAAGGCTGTCTTATCTCTAAGATAGTGGGTGGTGTGCCATACTCCCCGGAGTCTACGTCTTTTGTTGATACAATTCTTAATGAACGCGGGGTATACATGTTCTTTTGTAGTTCCCGCTTTATGATGGGATGTAGATCTGTTCGGTACGTCATGAATCAATCGGTTTAATCCTTCTATTGCCTGATGAAAAAAAGGTCATTGTGAGTCACGGATAGGCTTTAAATATACTAGAGGAATTACTCCTATTCTTTCACTACCATTTTGCTTTAAATCTCAGGGCATAATCGCTATAGCTATCCTGTCACTACAACTTGACAAGAGGATAGTTACTTCTATTCTTTCACTACCATCTTGCTCCAAGTCTTATGACCTGATATCGCTATAGTTATTATATCACTAACTTCAACTAGAGGATAGTTACTTCTATTCTTTCACTACCAACTAGTCGAGCAACCAGTCATACATAACACTCATGCTCGGCGCACATCCGCTCGAGCTCTTTGTTATGCAGACAGGTTCACTACCTATTTGTCTTATAGTTATTATATCACTAACTTCAACTAGAGGATAGTTTACTTCTATTCTTTCACTACCAACTAGTTGAGCAACCAGTCATACATAACACTCATGCTCGGCACACATCCGCTCGAGCTCTTAGTTATGCAGACAGGTTCACTACCTATTTGTCTCTACAATATTAATAAAAATACTCCTCCTCTCCATCAAAAGTCATACTCATCAAATAAATAAATAAACAGAACTTCCCGTGTTTAAAGTTTGGCCAATGGTGATCACTACAGCTCTGCCTCCTACTTCGCAAATAGTGAACACTATCTTGTCGGCTCTCGTGTCCGATCGGGCTTCGGCTGCAATGCTCGCCCTCACAAGCTCTTAGCTTCTTCTATCTGGTTACGTAAAACATACAGGGGACGATTTCTTATCTCCGTCGCCTCATTTCGTCAAATTCACCTCCATCCATCTAGAACTTGTACACACAAATATCATTAGTTTATTATATTTTAAAACTTTGTTATATATCAATTGAAGTGCTTAACAAATAAAAAATAATAATTAGTAGTATTTCATAGATTTGTTCAAAAAATAAATCTATGTTCTTACACTTTTTTTTTTATTTTTATTTTTCATAGGGGTTGATTGTAAAGACCATGCCACCCTTATAGGAAATACATTTTTTTTTATCTATTCTACCTTTTTAATACTAATTGCACAATTTTATACGGCATCTTTGCTTGACCCAATTGGGGTGTTACAAACACCAACATCCATTTTATTTAGCTTACATGTTTCAAAGAAACATATTCTTCCTGCCTCATTCTGAACACATTTCATTAAATTATGATTAGTATCTTCCACAATCCCACACTCAGCGCAATCTGTCGAATTTGACTTACCCATTAAAACCGCAAAATAGTTCAATGAAAGGTGACCCGAACGAAGCCTAAAACTAGTTTCAGTATCATATCAACTCATATCGGCCTAGCTGACTCATGAGAAACGTCATATATATATAGGTAGGTTGAATAGTTTTATACCCAATACTTTTATGTAACAGTTTTTCACTAAGATATTCTTTCCACGTTTTCTAATCATTGTATTTTTATTAAAAACAAAACATCTGACCAATATGGTAAGTATGTAGTATACACGGAATACGGTCTATTATGGCTTCTCTTGCAAATTTATCTACTATTTCATTATTTTCTAGGCCGACATGTGAGGGTACCCACTGTAGTACAATTTGTTTATTTTTACAATGGAGATTACTTAATAACTTAATAATTTCATAAGCTATAGGCATTCCTCTATAGGCTAGAGTACACCGATTCAAATGTAAAGAGCACTTTAAAAATTAGCCAGTAATACTTCTCGTAATCCCAGAAATCAATATAGGACAGAGCTTCAGCAGTAGCAAAGAGTTCAATATGCATAATCAAAAATTTAGAATTTAGAGTTAACTTATAATTTCCTTAGATTGCGGGTCCCAAAAAGCTGCTGTAGCCCTACAATTATCCGTTGAACCATCATTATAGATTTTGTAAAAATCAAAATATTTTCCACTAATGAACTTTATGCAGACCTCATGCAATGTGTGGAGATTATAAAACTGTTTGTACCTATTCATAATATCAACATCTGTTCTTATACTTTTCGATAAATCTATTTTATTAACCCAGAGTTCAATGAAAACATTTCCATCCGTTCACTAGAAAAAATATTGGTTGATTTATAAGCTTCATGAATTTTAAGTAATAAAGGTTTTTTTATTTCATGTGTTCTCTATAAGTATCTGTAATATTTGTGTGAAAACTATCTAATACGTAAACTATATTATTGTTTTTAAAGGAACTGATTTTTAACCAAAATTTGCCTGCAAGGTACCTAATTCTACGAATGTGGAGTGGAGGGTGATAAAGCTCACATTCCATCACGTGAGTGGCAGTGGTTTTGATGTATCCACCGATTATTCTCAAACATTGGTTCTAAACTATATCCAACTTTTTAAGATGAGTTTTGCAACTATTAAGTTAAAAGAAATTTTTTAATTCTCAAAAAGGACAAAGTCACTTACATGAGAACAACGTAATTACATAAAGTAAAAATTATGCAAATAGTCGCCACATAAGTAGGTACTCAGTTAACGAGATATAGTTACAGATGTATGTATATTAAATGTTATTAAATTGGTTATTTTCCAAAATATATTGTGAGAGCTGAGATTTAAATCCGTTAATTGAGCTTACATTTTTTTAAAGTAGATAGTAATTTGTTATAGAGTTGTGTTTCTTCAAATGTAATATCCTTCTTTGCATAATTTGTTGTAGTTTTTGGGAGAACTGGTATAGTCAATTTTACTACGAATTAATGAAATATATAGACGTCGCATGTGCACTGGATGAATACCCCAACTAGAACTGCCAAGATCTTTAAAACTTTTAAACATCTAGATAAATTAACCTTTAATTCATCTATATGCTTTTTCTATTTTAGTGACTTATCCAGCCAAACACCTAAATATTTAATACTATCAACTTTTTCCAAAGCAATGTTATTAATTTTTAAATTAATTATTTATTTTCTATAGTCAGACATGAAAACACAAATCTTTGTTTTTGATGGTGATACAGTCAACCCTATATCGGATAAATGACTATTCAATTCATCTAGCGACCTCTGCATATGTATGGTCCCTAAGCTAAAGTTATCACAAGTTATATATATATCACAAAATCATCAGCATATTGGGATATTAATACATTTTTTAATCTTTTTGCATAAATTCATAGTTGCTATATTGAACACTAAAGGTGATAAAGGATCGCCTTGGGCTAAGTTTTCCTAGAGACATAATACGAGTTATCAATTAAAATATTAAGATTTCTTTCCTTGAAAAAATTATGTACGTAGGTGCAAATATTAGATCCGACTCCCATTTCCTCCACGTTATGTAAAAGACCTCTGAGATTGTTATTATATGCATTATCGATGTCTATAAAGCGTACTATAGTGTACGTCTTCCTTAAAAGAAAACTTTCTCTATTGTCAATACTAAATCACTGAGATTATCAAGTGTAGATCGGAATTCGCTAAACCCATTTATCCGGTTTTTAAAAAAAAAAACAAACTTTTCTATAAACCATTGTATTCGCTTCAATAGAATGTTATGAAAAGCTTTACAAACGCACAACATCATTGAAATAGGTCTTAGGGATGAACTAGAACCAACCCGACCAGGTTTCGGAATAGGAACAACTTTAATGTCTCTCTACTGTTTTGGTATAAATTCAAGATTCAGAAATTTATCGTATAGTAAAAGTAACACGTTTTGGCATTATTTGGAAGGAACCTAAGAATGGAATATAAAATATTGTCACATCCAGGAGTAGTATCTTTTGAGCTAAATGACTTTTCAACTTCTGTTATTATCGCCTTAATTCTATCTCAACACATCATTTTCTACTTTCAAATAAAATTTTCCGTAGACATTTTTAATATACTTTGGATTAATCCATATACATCTAACTAATAATCACACTATTTTGTATTTTTTTTTCATATTATTCAACTTAATACACAATTACCTCACAAATTGAAACATATTTTAGGATTTTGAATCCTTTCACTGAAAAAAATCATATAAATTACAAAATAACGTAACCTTCAAATTGTCAGATGATCCGTGGGCGTTGCAAAAACAGTATATTTTTGCAGTAATCCCACTTCTGAGCTAAAACAGCTCAGAAGGGTTTTCCAGGAAGACAAATATTTGGCAATTAACAATTATATTTCTCGCTTTTTCTGTATACTCATTTTACATTTATATTTTATATTCCTAACTCATATATGCGAATCACCGACTGTCCACTTGACATATCAAACATCTATATTCAAAATCTACGAACTGGCACATAAAATAACTAAATGTTACACTATAGGCACCACTACCGACGATTACCGCCAAACTTTTTAGCAATTTACTCTATGCCAAACTCCGCTGGTCTCTCTATAACTTAGAGTATACATATGCTATATAATCTATATACATCTGGCTGGCTAGTCTTTAAGCACTACCTCGGGCAAGTCGTCACTATTTTCACTTATTACATGGCGAAATTACTTTATTTTTTCAATCAAATAAAATATTTATTAAATGCCAACAACATTAAAAATAAACGCGCTAAAAATTGTTTTTGAATATCAAGTGAAGCGCGAGCGATTCGCTATATATTTATTGTAATTTAAGATTATTAAAGTTTTAAACTAGTGAATTTGTGCCGTAAACGAATGAATATTTCATAGACAAATACTTCTCTGTCATATAGTATATTGCTACATATATAAATTCTCTGTCTACGGAATGTTTATTGTTAGTATTCTTTGCCACTATTAAGATAGTAACATTGATTAAACCTCATTTATTTTAACTTAAATAATAGGCGGGACTTGTTGGTAGGACCGCAGATTGTATTCTTTTGTTACTAAAAATTCTGAATTAATTTTGCTGATTAACTGTTAGCATAGCGCTCTTCATGTTCCCCCCCAACGTGCGTTCACCTTGTCGTGGTGAGGGGGCTCAGTAGTGTACTCGCGAAGCCAAGAAACGCACAGGGAGGTGACCCGCTTCGGTGGGCGGTGGGAGGCGGCCTTCTTCGGAGGGCGGTGTACCATGCGGGTTGCTCCTGGTACTTCTCTGATAGCAGAGTGGACCATGGAGCAACCCCATGGTTGTTGTGGTCTGCTTCGGCAGACCTGCCGTCGGGGCGTCGTAGTTGAATGCGTAAGCGATCCTGCGACGCCCCATTAAGACGGGGGAAGATTTTGTTAGGTTTTAGTGGGTAGTACTGGCTTCGCCGGTGAGTCCCACACTTCGTGCGTAAATGCATTTCCCAACGTTAAAAAAAAAAAAAAAGCGCTCTTCATGTTGCTTTTTGGATTATTTCAAAAAACACTAACCAGTGTCTGGTGGCTTAATATTATAGTCTGTGTACATAATACCTATGGACCAAGATATGTCAAATTTAAATGTCTATGACATAACCAATAACCATAACTATACTCTTTGACATAACCTCTTGTTTTGTTTGTCTAAAATCTAAATTCAGTTCATTGAATTGGATATTTAATTAAAAAATAAAAATTTAAAATCTTATTGCAGAGGTTAAAATGTTAATTTAATAAGTAACCAAAAAAAGTACAATATGGCTTTTGTAAGGCGTGTTGCACTTGTATTAATAAAGCCTGTTAAATATGTCCCTATTAACACACAAAGTAAGTTTAATTCCATCAAATATAATCTTATAATTATTAATATAAATATTAATATCTATTAATACGTTTTTAATTGTGTTACCACTTCATTCTTATAACTTCTATCAAATAAATCTATCTTTTTTTCAGCGCGACAAATAAAGCGATGGGTATCTCCGACTTTAATAGAATTAAAATTACGTGAAAAAAAACTTGGAGGTAAGGTGACTAATCCAAGAAATACATTCTTAGAGTGGAATTTAGAGGCTGAACTTTACGCTTTTGGAAAACGTTTAAATGAAGAGTTTGATGCAGACCTTTTACTCCAAGCATTTACAGATCGCTCATATGTTATTAAAGAAGAAATGACGCAAAAAGAAATGGAATTCGATTTAAAAATGAAAGGTAATAGAGAGCTGGCTGATGAAGGTAATATTAAATAACCTTAGATTTAATCACAAAGTAAAACAATAAATAATTAAAACTTATTTACAGGTGAAAAATTTATGAAGGATTATATTAAAATTTACTTAGAAACTGTTTTACCTAAGTTTCCAATGGAAGGAGTTATTAGTGTCAGAGATTACCTTGTTAGTGAAAATGTACTTGCTAACATATCCTTACATCTTGGTACTAAAGATATAATTTTAGCAGCTGTAAGTAATAATCTTATTTTATAACTAATAAAATAGCAATAAATTCCCTACAATATTGATAATATTATTTACGTCATATTTATAAATAAATTCATTCATTATTTACAGGAATATCCTGTTGATAATCAAACATTAGCAAATGCCTTTAAAGCTATAGTCGGAGCTTTAATACAATCATCTGGTGAAGAACAAGCAGCACATTTTGTTAGAGACTTTGTTATTACACAATTACAAGGTACTATTAAGTATTTTGAGAATATCTTATTAAGAGAAATATGGGCTACCTGTATCAATTCCTTAATTTTGTAAACAGTACAATAAAACATTTTCTAAACCTATAAAACAAATCATAAATTTGTATGCAATACTTTTTAGAGTATTGCAATCATTGTTGTTAATGGTGAAATATGTATATAGCTTTTAGGCACTGGGCATATAGGGTTTTATATATAAATGCATGTGTCACTTAAATAATCAAAATTTACTTATTAGTTCTTACTATATCCTCATTTTAAAAGGTTACCACATATCTCATATGGCAATTTTTACTTTCAAATAACTTAGAACTGTGATAATTTAGGGCATTATACTACTGATATTTTTTGTTACATGGAATAAGGAAAATCTGAGTATTTTTGCATGTTTTCATAAAGAGGTATTTATTGGAAATGTTATTGATGTAATATGTAATTTTATTATCTTTTAGATAAGGATGTTAATGAGTTTTGGCATTTAGAAGATCCTTGGGCAATACTAAAGGATCTGCTTGCTAAAACAAATAGTGAGTTGGAGCCACGGTTGATTGGAGAAGTTGGAAAAAATACTTTGCTTGCCTGTTACAGGGTTGGCCTTTACTTAGACAAGAAAATGTTATCATCAGGTTTGTTTACACTGAATTCCGAAAATAATTGTCAAGCTTCGGTTGAACCTAGTTGAGATTTGCTCCAGTTTTAATTTGACACATTGATATAGAAGCTATGCATAAATATTAGTAAAGAATTTAATTAGAAACTTTTATTTTGTACATTAACTTAGCCACAGTTAATTATTTTTTAGGTTTTGGTGAAACAGTGGAGATTGCTAAAGAAATGGCTGCAAGAGAAGCTCTAAAAAAAATTTTCGGCACACAAGAAAATATGCATCCAATTAATTTTAAACTTAGTGGTATACCAAAAGCAAGTTCTAATATGAGATATAAAATATTTGCTAGTTAGAAATGGAAGTATTGTTAGTGTAGAAAAAAGTCTCCAAATAATAAATATTGCATATTAAATTGTTTTTATTTTATACATCCTTAGTTCATAATCAATTAACAATTAATAAATATATTAAATTTTAATGCTTAAATCTAAATTTACAGTCTAAACAGTCTGAAGGCACATAAAATCACAGTTATACGCAAATTATATCATATTTTTAGTTATTTGTCAACCAGAAGCAGAATCCATTATGAGATTTCCTTGTTTATCTTTAATTCTGATACGACCTGATGCATATCGAGTTTCTGATGTTCCATCATTGTATACCAATTTCACCGTGCCATCCGGAAATTCACGGCGCTAAAATAAAATATAAACATGGTATGTTATACTATAAACTAGCATTGCCCGCGGCTTCACAAACCAAATTCTTAGGTTTACAGATTAGTATACTCTTACATTGCAGTTTTTGCATTTTTTCTCAGAAATGAGATATTTTCCCGCGGTAAAAAGTATCCTATACGTTGATCCGGATAAACAGCTATCACCATACCAAATTTCATCAAAATCCCTCCAGTGGTTAAAAAACTATAGATTCGGCCAATGTATCGATAATGTTTTTTTCAATAAGATTTTCCAAAAAAAATTAATGTACAGATTTGGTTTAGTTACAATGTTATTATATGTATGGATTAGACGAAGTAGAAGCATCTTATTGTCACTTCTGTGTAGTAGTTTAAAAGTTTGATTTGTAAGTGGTGTTTTTATTGAGACATTTGTTCTAGCACAGTAATATGACACTTGTAGCAAATGAATGCTTATATGTATAATATGTATTTAATGAAAAATTGAAAGAGAACGAAAGTTCATCTGTTCACTATAGATATTACCATGAAAATAAACATTTTAATTTTATTAGACTTGTAACGAATAGTATCCGAAACACGAATACTGAATATTCGGTGGGCTTTCTGGCCGAATAGCCGAATATTAGGCAAAATTATTCGGTCAATGGGTGACGGGAAAACTTGTATCTACGCTTTTGTTTCTCGTCTGGCGCCGGGGTATATTTTTTATTCAGAGCATCTTTTCTCTGAATCTGGTATTGTCTAGGAGTAAACTACTGCCTGCAAATGCAGAAAAATTAGTCTTTTTGCATCATAATCTTCCACTTTTAAATTTTATTTATGATAATGCAGGTGCTTAGACATTTATTTGATAGTTTTTTTGTTAATTTTTGTAATAAAGATGGTGATTATGTACCTGTAACGACTTTAATGATTATAAGAAAAATATATTATTATTGAATAAATTTATATTTTGATTTTAAAAATAGGGAATATGCATGATTTTTTTTTGTTTTTTTATAGAATAGCTTACATCGTTATATAATTGTAAAAAAAATATCCAGCTCCAAAAAACTAAAATGTTGTATAAAAAAATTTCATACCGTTACGGATACTTCAAACGCTCGCCATTTCGCGCGCTTAGCGTGACGTCACAGTACGATATACACAGAGAAATGACGACAAAAAATTATGATATACTCGTACGTCATATTCGGTCTGACCAATGACGTTGCGTTTCAACTTACTTTGAATTTCCCACCTGTTTTTGCACTTTTTAATAATTATTGTCTTAATCAAAAAGAAATGACATTAAAAATTATTAATATAGGCAGAAAAAATATATCACATTTCTTTACATCACAAGCATATTCCCTTTTATTATCTGATAACAAAACATATTAGTTAAGTATTCGGTATTCGGCCGAATAGTATCAAGAAATTCGGCCGAATAGGCAGAATACCGAATAATAGCCGAATATTCGTTGCAAGTCTAATTTTTATGGTATAAGAAAAATTCAATAATCCAATAAAGATACCTTATGGTCCTTAGCGTGTACTTCAACCTGTCCGTTGGCAAAGGTGATTCGCTGATCGCCATTAGCTGACACAGTGAGCGTGGCGCCGTCAGGGAATCGCCACTCTTCACGGACGTGCTCATTCTTGGGATCATAGTATCGTATACTTCCATTGGGTAGCCTAATTTCTGATGAACCATCCTTATATCGTTTCTCAACCTGACCACTGCAAAAATAAATTTGATTTATTTTTATTTAAAGTTAAAATTAAAGAATTTAATTATACATTAGGAAGATACATTATTTTTTTAATTATTTTGCAGATGGATCATCAGAGAAACCGTACAATTATTCAATTATGGTGAAAAAAATTAGCTTCCATAGACTCATATCTTCAAATAATATATTAAAAAAATAGGATATCTAATTTAAATAACTGATTTAATCACTTACTCTGGAAACTCCAAAACTTCCAATCCATCAGGATGTGTGGTATGATATGTTTTCGTTTCTGCATAATAGTACTTTATTCTGCCTTCATTATAAAAATTTTCTTTTACATCACCATTGTAGTATATAAATTTGCTGTATTTACCATTTGCTGATATAAGCTTAATGTTACCATTAGGGAACCGAAGCTCTTTTGACCCATCTGGTTTGGTAATTTCAGTTGGACTCAATTTTGTTTTTGCCAAACTTGTTTTACTTGATGTTGGCTCTGGACTAGGATTGAGTGTATCATAATCTTTGTGTTTATTTATGACTGTTCCTGATTTTTGACTAGAAGATGATCTGTTACTCAAGATAGATACTGGTGATTTTGTTCTAAAATTGGAATCGTGATTATATATTGTTAAATAATCATCTTCATTAGTCAGGCTCAGTGATGATTTAGATCCATTGGACAATCTATTATTAAAACATGGTGATTTTGATGTCATTGGGTTTATATCAATTGGCTGATACTTAGATAATCCATTTACAGAAGATTCTTTTTTATTATCATTGGTAGATTTTTGTATGAAGAACTCATTGCTAGTTACTGAAGGTCTATTTGAAACTTTAGGTGCGTTTTCAAAATATGAACTATTAGACTTGTTGCTAGAAGTTGGTGATAAATATTTAAACCTTTCATTATATATCATCTCTAATTTATTTTCATCTTCACTTTCTGAACTAGTACTAGAGCCTTCAGAATCATTACATATATTGTCATTATTTGCCGATATGTGTGCACAATAACTATCTAACATATTATGTTTTTCTCTTTCACTAACTGAATCTTTTTGGCTAAAATACTTAGCATATCTAGAAGTAACATGTAAATTTGGGACACTCTTAGCTCGTGGTTTCATCATACCTTTCCTCACAGGCTGAACTTTTTTCGCTCTGCTTTGCCTTTCAATTTCGTAAGATTTATATTTAATGTCAGAATCTAATTCTACTTCAGATTTAGAATCTTTTGAGGTCATATTAGAAAGCTTTTTATTTATTTGCTCTAGATATTTAATATTAGTTAATCTTCTTGTCATTTCATTGCTATGTTGTATTCTCCTATTTTCCTTCTTTAATTTTTCAATTTCCTCTTGCAGATGCTTCTTATCTTTTTCCATTATTTTCATTTGATTTCGTAGACGTGCAATTGTTGATGTGGATTTAGCATCTTTTATTTTAATTTCCTCTTTTAGGTCATGAATCTCTTTTTTCAAATTAGTAACTTCAGCTTTGTCCTTTTTATTTAAGCGTCCCCTCATATCTCTTACATATCTTTCATATATTTGCTTTTGTTTGCTTAATTTTTCCTTTTCTTCTGCCAAATAATATTCAGACAATACTTTTTCCTCATTAAACTTTTGTTCAAACATACTTTTCTCTTCATAAAACTTTTGACGTTCTATATCTACTTCCTCACGCATCTTAGTCAAATTTGCGTTTTCTTTTCTAAATGTTTCTATTTCATCTTCTAATTCTTTAAGCCTATCTCTTAAAAGTTCACTTGTAGCAATCAACTTAGAATTCATCTCTACCATATTAGCATTCATGATTTCATTTTCAACAGTCACATTGTCATTATTCTCTTTTTCTTTGCAATTGTTTTTTGCCTCACATGTTTGTACATTTTCAGATAAACCTTTTTTGTTAATTTGATCATTTTCAATGCAACTGACATTTAAATTAGTTTGTGTGACAGTTTTACAAGAGCAGCAACTTGATAAAGTAGAACAATTTTCACTACATTCTGTGTATTCACTGTTACAAGTGTCAGTATCACTATATGAGTTGTTCCTTCGTCTTTGATCAATATCAGGAAGTATATGCAGTAATTTAGGATTTTTAGATATATATTTTTGCATTACTAATGGTGTGCTCTCTCCTGAACATTCTAAATTATTATTTCTTAAAAAACGGTTAAAAAATGAACTTTGCATACTAAAACTTTCATGACAAACTTTATTTTCTAACAATTCAAACATTTTCTGCTCAGCTATTTCTCTTTCCTGTTTAAGTCTAGAAATATCTTCATTACAACTAATATCTGACTCACAACTTTTTGCTGGGGAAGCAAAATTTTTATAATACTCACTTTGTTTTAATTTCCTTAAGAAGTCATCTTGTTCCTTTGTTAATACAGCCGCCCAGGTTTTACCTTCACAATTTTTAACTGATTGATCTTTTGGGGAGTTGGCAGAAACTAATTTACATTTCTTATTTAAAGTAAAATTGTTGTTTAAATGATTTGACATTTGTTCAATCAGTTCCTTCTCAGGCTGTTTAACTTCAGTTACAGTTTGAAATTCAACATCTTCTTTTGGATTTGATTCACTAGTTTTATTTAATTTGGATTCTTTTAGGCCTTTTTCAATTGGTACATTATCTGATTTATTGATTTTATCTTTTGAATTTATTGTATTTATTTTAGTCTTTGAATTAAATTTAACATTTTTCGCTCTCCATGGCAAAGATTTTGTGTTTTGTATTACAAAATCAGATTTCTGAATACCAAATCTTGCAGTGCCTTCACCTCTTCTAAGAAATGGTCTTTTAAGAATTTTATTTTTTTCAAGCTCAATTTCTACCTCTTTACCAGACCTTTTGTCATTTTTTAATTTTTCGGAAATTAATGTTTCGAAATCCTTTTTTGGAGAAAGTATAAGCATATCATCTATGGATATTTGTTTTCTTGTTTGTTTAATTTCTTTAGTATTCATAGATGATTGGTCCTTATCATTATTTCCCTTAATTGAATCTAAGCTTCTGGTTGAAATGGGTGAATTAGCAACAAATTCAGATTCTTCGGAAATGTTTAGCACAGAAATACCATCAATAATATTATGTATATTTTCTTTAGTAGAGAAGTTATTAGTGTTCAATCGAGGGGACACATCATTTGAAGTATCTTCTGACTGCAATAAACTTCTAAATGTATTGTAACTTGTACTGTCACTAAAATGACTCACAATCTCTGTAATACTTGAAGTTATTTCAGGGGTGTTTTGATATTGTATGCGTTGGTGCTGTAGTTTCCCACGTTGTAATAATTGCAACTGTCTAAGCAATTGTAAGCGATCTAATATTTTTGACGGGGACAAAGAAACATCACTTTCTGAGTAGGACTGATCCATCATTGTATTTTGATTTTCTACATTATATAGTTATTAATCCCAAATTGAGATAAATACTGATCAGTGATCACAATTAAACACAAAGTTTCCAATTTGTGGTTTTACTTTGGTCTTTTGTGTTTGTATAGTTCAGACTTCAGTTTTCATTTTCAAATAATGGCAGTTGTAAGTTGTAAATTGTAAACTCTGTGTGACCATTCACATTGACATTTAAAAGGTTGTTGTTACTATCAATTTTTATTTGTCCATGCTATCAATAAACATACTTCCATTGATAACTCTTTACAAATAATCTTTTAAATAACTAGACTCTCATCATATTTTAAATTTTCTGTTTTCTTTATAAATATTATTATTATAGGGTATATTACTCTATACTCGACTAGTACGTTTTGAAATCAATAGCAAGAAAACTAAATTGAACTCTTTATTATGAGCGAATATGCGACCAATATGTCTTTTGGGCGAGTGAGCGCACCCGCTGGCAACGTACAGCACGGGAGGGAGTTGTTTGGAATTTGGATCAGGCATCTAGTTAACGAGATCCTGATCCAACGCTGGTGGAAAGACTTGGGTACTCTGGTGAAATGAAGATGTTACATATAAAACCGAATTTATAATCTGTTTTACTGAGCTTATTAAATTAAAAATCATTAAAGGATTACTTAATGTTGCCCTATCGGCAATTTATTTTTCAGCATTTCAAAATATTTTGGGAAAACTACTCAGGGAGCTGCGATTTTCTATCACAAAACTCTTCTTCTTCCTGCCCATTTCCCAAAAATATTAAAAAAAAATGTCTTATATCTATTGATGTCTATGAGTAGATATTCTGTCAAATGTCAATTATCTGACAAATACACCAATAAATGTCAAAATTTTTGTCCAGCTTCATTCAAATATCATCTGGTCACTTAACTAAACACATTCGGACCACAATGTCTAAAAGAAGCAGTTTTCATAGGGCTCCAAAATTTAGGCCAGAAGTAAAGGTTGTGAATGGGCCGAAGCAAGCGATAGGTTTAACTGGAAGAAAGGAGAAAATTGAGGTTCTTTCTGAACCTATAAAATCTGTGTCTGATAAAAAACTTTATAAGTGAGTACTTTCTAACCATAGCCATCACTAAAACATTGCATTTAGTGCTTTTACGATATAAATATTTTACACATTTTATATTCTTCTTTTTATTTATCGTATTCTAGTATATTAGATATAGATGAGTTTGATTCATGTACAACTTTTATTTAAATGTCAACTAATATTCATAAATGTCAGCTACCCACAAATTTTAATAAATTAATGACTTGACCAGATAAGCTTTTATTATAATAATCCAATTGTTACAAAATATATGAAGAAATAAAAGAAAACAAAAAGAAAATGTACTTATGTATATTTTAGTCTTTTATATTATTATTTTAACAATTATTTTCATTTTGCATCTATCAGAGGGTTATAAACAAAACTATCTTTTTGGGGTTTGTTTTTTTTTTTGGTTGCCGATGTTTCAATTGCTGATGCTTAACCCCAATTATGATCACTGGTAAATCTAAGAAACTCAGATATTCAAGTTCTAGTTCAAAAAATGACAAATATTCACATAAACTTAAGAAAGCATTATATCAGAGGGTTTTTAGTTTGTTTATAAATATTAGATTAATGAGCTTTATTTTTAAATTTCTATAGAACTATAAGATTAGAGAATGGCCTGACAGCTTTACTTATATCAGACCCTAGTAGACCATTCATTCTCAATGAGAGTAGCTCCAGTGAAGAAGAGAGCAGTAGTTCTGATGATAGTGCTGGACAAGAGAGTGATGGTGGTAAATCTGTACAATCTGCTGCTAGTGACCAGCACGGGACAAAAAGGAGAGCTGAATTTGATGAGGAAAAGTTGGTAAGTTAAATTAAGTAATTATTTTTGTTAGTAAAATGACAAAGCGTTTATGTGTAGTAAATTTCATTTATTTCAAATTGACATTGATCTTGTCTTTAGCCTTGAAAACTGATATTGCAAATAGTCTTTATTTAGTTCACAGTCAAGTTTTCTTAAAGTGGTTTCTAATTATGTAACAAGCAAAATGCAAAACTATGTCATACATGTAGTAAATTAAAGTAAAAAGGAGTGTTATTCTGTATGTTAACTTTAATGACAGCAGAGACTTAATAATAAGGTACAGATGCCTAGGTTGCATGCATTTGAGATATCATAAATAATTTCGTATTTTTAGATATTGTGTCATTTTAATTTTGTCCTTACCTTAAAGTATTTTTTTATGACAGTTACTTAGATATTTAGATTTTTTAATTATCATGATCATGACAGACCTGTGAATACATATCATATTATAAAATTTCTATTAAAAACTTTACTGTATACACTTTAAAGTGTATTTAATATTTATAATATAACTGGTGAATTACACTAGCTTCACTTGGGTGCATCCCTAAGTTTGATTTGTTTAGGAAAGCATAAAAAGACAATTGTCCAAAAATATTTTTTGCGGCAGTAGCCTGCACAATTGTATACAGAACAACCCTTCAGAAGTTCATTACAATCAAGTCAATGGTTTAGGAATGTGTATTAGTTAATTATTTGTATATATATCCCTATACATTACTCGGATAAGGTAAGAAATTTAAGTCTCATCATTGATTGTAACATGTCTTGGGTACCTCATATTAATGAACTAAGTAAACATATGCATTTTTCCTTTCATTCTCTCAAGCGTCTCCAATACTTTCTCCCATTCAAAACCAAAGTTATGCTAGCGCGCAATCCATCCTATTACCCATTCTCGACTACGCCGACGTCTGCTTCCTGGATGTGACAGAGGAGCTACTTAATAAACTGGAGCATCTTCAGAATCTTGCTATACGTTTTATCTTTGGCTTGCGGAAATATGACCACATCTCTGATTTCCGTGCTCAACTTAAGCGGCTCCCCATCCGTCTTTTGCCGTAATATGCACACCATTCCTTTATAATAATATCCTTAAAAATCAAAATTTCCCTCCTTACCTTTGTTCCCGTTTTAATTTTCTACCAATCCCTACACATTCCAGAAGATCTTGCAGTGCTTCTATGCTTGACATTCCAAGGAGCAAAACTAATTTCCAACAAAATTCTTTTTCGTCCATGCCGCAGTACTATGGAACCAACTGCCCAAAACCATCCATGAGAGCCCATCTGTCCATATCTTTAAATGTAAATTAAAAAAATATTTATTATTACAAATGTAGACAGTATCAATCAGCACCTTTCTCTATTTTCATATTTTATATATTAAGTATGTATAAGTATGTATGTATGTATAAGTAGTCTTTACACTAGGTATTATATATTTATAGTATTATATATTTTTATAAGTAATATATGTATATGTATATATGTATGTATATGTGATTATTAGTACCTTTATTTGTAGTATATATTTAGTATATTTTTTTGCACTATATTGCCGCTGACATCTTCCACAACCAGGGGTTGACTGGAAGAGATCTCTTTTAGAGATAAGTCCACCTTTGGGAACTATGTTTATTTGTGTTATTTTTTTCTGTATCATATTTTAAGTGCAATAAAGAGTATAACATTATATAATATATATTTATGTAAGTATTTATATTTGATTAACTGCACTTTAGCCTGCTTTTTAAAACTATCTCTCTAACTCACTTAGGTTGACTGGAAGAGTTCTCTTCTAGAGATAAGTCCACCTTTGCTAACTAATTTTATTGTTTATTACTCTCTGTATTTTACATATAAGTGCAATAAAGAATATTATTATAGTAGCGGATCTAGAGGCGAAGCTAAGGCCTCAAAATATCATCTGAGACCACTTATAGTCTGGTCAAAGTAGACATATCAAAGTGCAAAAATTTGCATAGATCTTAAAATTGGTATGAAATACAACTTTTTCAACTTTTTCAACCATTATATCTCTGAAATGATGACGTCCAGGAGAAAAATTTTAGAAACTATTTTTGTAGATAATTGCATAATATACAATTTTTGTCTGATTTATTTTTATCATAAAACTTACGGTTTAGCTAAAAAACGCAAAAAAATCATATTTGCCAACTTTGACCTTGAATAAATTTTTTTGCAAGATCGATGAGGACTTTTTACATTCCATTTATAATGGTATACCAAACATTCATACCAATTTTCAGTTCTATGCGAATTTTTGTTGATCTACCATTATTTTTTGAGCTAACTTGACCTGACTATTATGACAAATCTCAAATTAACACACATAATTCACTTTTAAAACTTTGATAAACAAATTATTAAACTTGACAATCTTGTTAATAATATCAGGAGCTCAGGTACATAGTATAGTTCTAACAAGTAGCTAGTAAGTATAAAAATCTATTTTTAAAGTTCTATGCTACTAAAGGATAGAAATAATGTGTATTTTTAAAGGTAGTGCTTAGGTTTTCCCTACGATGGATCAAGCCCTCCCAAACTAAAATCCTGGATCGCCACTGTGCCAATGATAAAGGACAAACATATGAAAATTCATTTTTATTTGTATAGATTAATAATCTGCAGTTTTTATATAAAGTTAATGCATGTTTTCACCTAACTATTTGATTAATGTACCAGTACCTAAGTTACGTCGATTTATTAGCCTGATAATCTATTAGAGCGAGACAATGTAGATGCTTCGAGTGTTATTGAGGTGTCTGAAAATATTTAATAAGCAGTTGATAACCATGTGAAAATATTTTTGTACTATTCATTTTATTTTTCATTGTTATGTATATTATTATACACACACATATTACAACTTTATTAATATGTATATGTACTGCCTCGGTGGCCGCAGATCCGAATGTCCTGGCTTCGAGTCCCGGATTGGGTCTTGTTTAGTTATTGAGTTTTTCTGTTAAAGAATTCTCACTAGCAGTCCGGAGTTAGGAAGTTGTCGGTGTTACAGCTTCTTGTCTCGGAGAACACGTATTTGATACGTCTGACACGTTTTGCGCCTTAAATCTCATCGAAGTATCGTCCCATCGGATTTTGAGAGTGAAAAGGTATAGAGAGTTCACTTGTGTCCGCGTGAACACCTGTGCACTATAATATCTCCTGCGCAGATTGACTAGTCTCAGTGAAGAAATCATTATAGTCGTAGTAACATTCGGCGTAATAATTTTCTAATTGAAATTTTATATAATACTTTCTTAGATTTTAGGATCTTTTCGCCGATTTATTTAGATTTTACCAGTACGGACTAGAAATCAGTAACCAAAAAAAAAAAACAAAAACCGGTTAGAAGATCTCAAAATTTTATACTTAAAAATTTATATCAGTACGTTTAATACTTTTAGGAAACTATGTTGAAATAATCTTTATAAGCTAATAAGGGACTAACATCGCAAAAGTGAAAAGAACAATTTTTAAAGAAAGGTTTGTCGGTTTACGTGTTGTTTATGTTTCACAAAAAAAAAATAGATGGCTTCTGATTCAATTTGAGATTAGTCTGCATACCCATGCTTCACATCAGGTACTTTTTATCCACGAAAATGAAAGGGTTGGTTTGTGAAGGAGATATCAATTTAGTAGTGTCCGACCGAAGCTTCGGCTTCGGCTTCGGCTTCGGCCACCTTCGGCCAAAAAATCCACCTTCGGCGAAACATTCGGCTTCGGCCCAAAACCCGGCCGAAGCCGAAGGTTTCGCCGAAGGTCCGAGCGACCGTCGAGATTGAACGAACTGTTTCGAAAGTCATGAGGCGGCGGGGAGTCACTGTCAAAATATCACATTGCATGCATCAAAACAAGTTCGTACGTGTATTTAAACGAGTGTTTTGTTTTGAATTTGTGTTTATCAATTAAATTGTGATACATTAGCAATGATTACATTTACAAGTGAACTAGTGAAAAGGACAATACTAACGTAAGTATTTGTTTAGTAAAAAACCAATAGGTACCTACTTTGTATACGGTAGTTATTATTAGTTAATAGAAAATGAAATAAATGATATATTTCAGTAAATGAATGAATTAGGATACGTTATGTTTTTCTCATTAATATTTTGAGTTTTTATTTTAGAACTTAATATCTGTTCTAACTTCTAGTGTATAGTAGGTAGGTATTTACTACATGTATATATTTACTACACTTAAATAGTTAGGTTTAGTTACATACGGGATATCCTCCGTGTTTAGGGCTTTGGATGAGCTGATATTTAACATAGGTATTGGATTTGTATGTTATACTCTCATCATTATTTCTTTTTCTATTGGATATAGTTTGTTAGAAAAAGTTTAATTTGTTGTTAGAATTCATTTCATAGTTCCAAATTAATAAATTGGATTTATAATTTGAAATTACCTATATAAAGACTAGGTAGGTACCTAAATATTTACTGTTTGAGTTTTATTGTCGTATTCATATTGTATATGTAGTGTTTGTTTATTTTATTTATTAGTCTAGTTTTGGTCTAGTCGAGTAAAACAAAGACTGATTGGTCTAATTGTAATTTGTGAATTACATAATAAAGAAATGATTATTTTTTACCAGTAGGTAAATCACAAAATCACAAACTTTTATTTATCTCTAAACCAACCATCTCTATGATATATCATCAACTTCTATATGAGACAGTCAATATAAACCTTCAATATTGAGGTTATTTGAGGTATTGATACAAAATTAATTACTGAGTGCTGAGAGAATATAAACCTTCGGCTTCGGCTTCGGCTTCGGCCGAAGGTTGTGGCGATAGCCGATTAATCGGCTTCGGCTTCGGCTTCGGCCAAAAATAGACCTTCGGTCGGACACTACAATTTAGCAAGATAGCCAAAGTTTAACATAGACTTAAAAGAGTAAACTCTAGCTAAATATACACGTATTTAGTAGTAAAGGCGGGCTTGAATATAACTAACCCAGTTATCCTTTTTTTCATTAGGTTGGAGCAATTTATGAACTAATTAATATAAAATTAATATTTTTAAGATTCGTCCCGATCATCATAATATTACTAGGTATTTTAATTAACCTCGTCATTATTATCTAACACTATCGATTTCACCACATGAATAAACCACAGTCGCCACAATCACGTTACTTCTAGTCTTTTACTATCGTTAAAGGCTTGTCATTGCAGCACCGGCATATGGGCTTAAAATTCTGAAAACCTCGAGAAAATCGTTATGATTTTAATAGTAGGTCCTTAATCTTATAAGGCAGCAGATACCTACTCTCTCTCTCTCCTACTGTTTCTTTATTATCTGTTCTCTCCTTGAATCGAATAATCAATATAACATAGATACGAAATTAAGTGATTCTACACATATAAATCAAATAAACTCAATTATTGAAAATTATTATCGGTATATTATATATCGGTAATGCTAATACTACGGTTAATACGGGCAAAATGGTAATTAAACTTAAAAATCCATTTTCGAGCCCACCTTTGCCCGTGAAAAAGAAGGACGGCTCAGATCGCCATTGCATTGACTATAGGAAACTTACCTTATACACGATAGGCGATAATTGTCGACTTCAACTTATAGAAAAACAGATAGAAAAGAGAACCACGACGCCCCAACGGCAGGTCTGCCGAAGCAGACCGCAACAATCATGGGGTTGCTCCAACAGTTCACTCTGCTATCAGAGAAATATCAGGAGCAGCCCGCATGACACACAACCCACCTAGGTGGGCCGTCTCTTAGTGCGTTTCTTGGCTTCGCGCACGGCTGGATTCCCGACGCTAATGAATCCCCTCACCCCAACAAAAGGAACGCACATGGGGGGAGGGGTAACTGATACCTATGTATGTCTGCTGCAACTGATTCCATAGAGAAAACGGATTTTACAACCCATGACGATTAAAGAGTCCTTTGAAAATTTAGAATATGTTTTACAAGCGTTGACAGATGCCGGTTCTTCATAAAACTGGACAAAATGTAATTTTTTGAAAATATCCATTACGTATTTAGGATACGTTGTCAGTAATGGCACTATTAAATAGAATCCAAAAAAGATTGATGCTCTTGTTAATGCACCTCTCCCTAGCAATAATATAAAAGAATTACGCCAATTTAACGAAATCGCGGGGTATCTCACAAAAATCCCTAACTTTTCATCAATTATCTTTTGTAGATGACATAAAGAATATCTTTGATATACCTAAAAGAAAATATCCCGTATTATATAACTTGACTACAAAAGGCTGTAAATTTTTATCAGGAACACAGTCTACTTTCAGAATATATTGTAAAGAAAATATCAAATCGTATGACATAACTTTTTTTAGTTTTTCGGAAATGAGGCCTTATCGATACCCTTCCTTTAACATTTACTTCTACTCAATATACTACTATTTTTTTAATTAATATGAAAGAATGTTTGAAGTAAACATACTTTTGCCTTTCTCATCGAATCCTTTATCGTGCTAACACTTCATACTCTTAACAGGTTTATAGCCAAAGACACCATATATTTAGATATATAAAGGACAAGTTTAAGCAAATCTCTAGAAAGCGATGCAAGATATTTCTAAAACAACTTTCACTTGACACGGTATGAGGTGTTAACATCAGTTTATGCCACTTTTACTTAGCAATTAATATTCCATACAATATTTTTTTTAAATCAATAGAATTAAATACATACATACAAATATGCATAGTTTAAATTCTTTATGTTGTAGTGTAGATGAACAATAGTTATTTATCATGTACATACGTAGGTATTTAGCATTATTTACGAGTAGCTTACTGATAGAGATTTCTATTCCAAAAGTAAATAAACAGGTAAATTATAACTACATATTGTATTTCTCGTTTAGGTGTTCGGAAAAGGGCTCGTACTTAACTAATGACGAAAAACATAAAAACGTATTGATTAGACGGATAGGTATTAGTCGCGATTAACGGTCTGCATCGCAACAATCGTGTATCGTTTGTAGCCGGACATGTTATTCACTAAACTGTAGACTTGAGATAGATATAGGAGGCAGTTAGGCATAAGAGAAATCTAGAGGACTAAGTATTAGTTACTTTGTATTGAAAATGTGTTCACAATCAATATAATTATGATAATAACGTCGGACATAAACGCATAGCACTGTGTTTTTGCGTCCTTAATTGTTATTTTAATTTGGAAGTTTTAAAGTTATAGATATTCAATATTAATTATTTCTTTCTATTTAATTTTAGTCTATACTAATTCTATACTAATATTATAAATGTGAAAGTGTGAGTATGGATGTATGGATGTTTGTTACTCAACCACGCCAAAACGGCTGAATGTATCTGGATGAAATTTGGCACAGAGGTAGATTATAGTCTGGAATCGCACATAGGTTACTTTTTATCCCGGATAGATTTGTTTAGTCTAGGGACGAATCCGAAGCGAAGCGAGGGTGAGTCGCTAGTTTTATAATAAAGAAAAGTCAGTATTAGCCAATAATCATATAATGGAGAGTGCCTTCTAAAGAGAGACACATAATATATATCGAATATAAAACCTATCGAATTGACAGTGCGTTCGAAAAGATTAGCGATTTAAGCCGCGCGTCAGAAATCGATCGTGTATTTTAGCTTAATTAGACGAAGCCTTCTACCTCTCGCATAAATACAAAGACCTTAATTAAATCAAGATAGGTCACGAAACCACATACTTAATGCAGAGTCATAGACCGTGTAATCGTATGGTAATACGTGCTAATAGAATTATTATCCGATGGCGATAAGTATTTTTGTACTGGACATACAGGTAGTTACTTATCCTAATAATTATTACATGCACAAAAAACCCGGCTGCGTAAAATCTAGGACTAAAAAGGTACAAACAAGATGACGTAGGAATATCTTCTGTCTATATCTATACATATAATAAAATTGTAACTAAGTTGAATCTGTACATTAAATATTTTTTGGAAAATCTAATTGAAATAGACATTACTATCGATACGGAGTTCGAATCTATAGTTTTTAGAATTTTTGTCTGTCTGTCTGTCTGTTACTGCATCACGAGAAAACCACTGGACAGATTTTGATGAAATTTAGTATGATGATAGCTGGTTATCCGGGTCAACATATAGGATACTTTTTACCGCGGGAAAATATCTCATTTCGGAGAAAAAAAATACAAAAACTGCATTGTAAGAGTATACTAATATGTAAAACCTAAGAGTTTGGTTTATGGTCATCTGAACGCGGGCGGAGCCGCGGGCAATGCTAGTAATTAATAAAAATGAATCACAGAAATGTCTGTACAGTGTACACGCATAACTTCGGATCGACTGCACCAAATTGGATAATTCTTTTTTTAGTGTTTGTTATTGTCAGGACAAGTTTTGTGTAGTAGAAAATTAAAAAGAAATATTTTTTTTTACTAAAATCATTTTTTTAATCTCATGATATGAAAAATTAATGAGTGAAATAGTTTTTATCTCGGAAATCATCCCTTAAGGGGGTGAGAATGGGTATGAAAGTTTGTATGGGAAAGTAAGCTAGGGACAAATCCGAGCGAAGCGAGGGTGAGTCGCTAGTAGTATTATGCATTCGGTGTAGTTATTGTACTTATAGTTCAAATCCGTATTTTGAAACATAAGCTCAATATCATGTATTATATTCATTGTCGTTGTGTAATGTGTATGTATGTAGTTTCTTTGTTGTAAAAACTAGTATGTACGTTTTATACTCAGACTAAGGAATAATTTAGACAAAGTGTCGTAGTGTGTAGCCATGAAGCCAAACAATAATGTTTTAAAACAGTTTTTATTGTAATTTAATTAATCCTTTAAAACGCTTCTATAAAAATGGTCTGATATATTTTCTTTGTAAAATGATCGAATTAAAGTTGTACGACAAATAGAAAAAAAAAATCTCAAGTTTTCATCGATTTTCGCTTATAACTTTATTATTTTTGGTTCTACGACTAAAAGTTACTTGACCAAAGTTGTAGAGAATTTTATTGGCAACCAAAAGTGACTACATAGTTAGAGACGTTAGGGTTTAAAGATGATACGTACTAATTCTTAGTTCTTTTAGGCGGCGTGTGCGCTCTCCGTGGGAGTTGGTAGCTACAGCGACCCACCAGATATACAGGGTTTGGCACATTTTGTAGAACATATGGTGTTCATGGGGAGCGAAAAGTACCCTAAGGAGAACGAATTTGATTCCTTCATTAAGGTAAATTATAATAAAATGTATTTCATTTAATTTTAAAATGCCACATTTTGAATGTGAATTGAATGTTAGATTGTAAAATGATAGAACTTCTCTTACAAATCATCAGTGTAGGTTCATTACTGAACTAAATATCTAAAAAAATACAGATTATTTTTTATTTAATATTATTATCTATGTGAATAAAATTATGATCCCCATTGTGTATATATATGGTGACACATAAGAGAATGAAATCTTACGTTTTTAATTATAAAAGTTAAAAACGAATTTTTCGTCTTATATTGATTAAATATTTGTTTAGTATTATAATTAGTTGTTATTAAAACAATATATAAGAATTTATTACTCCACGCAGTTTAATAAGTAAAGTTAGTTAAATCAGAACTTTTTTAATATGAACAAATCATTTCCCATCCATATTCATATATACCTAACAATATTTATCATTACTTCTTTTGGTAAAATAGAAAAAAGGCGGCTCGGACAATGCCTCGACGGACTGTGAAGTCACAACATTCTATTTCGAAATTCAAGAAAAACACCTGCCACAGGCAATGGATATATTCAGTCAGTTCTTCGTCAGTCCACTCATGAAGAAAGAGGCCATGCAACGAGAGAGAGAAGCTATTGAGTCGGGTAACAATATACTATGTGTAATTAAAATTGTGTTAGACCGTTTTGACAGTTTTTTTAAAATCGTAAAATCTGTTAAAGTTGCGAAGAAAATCGGGAAATACGGGAGAACTGAAAGTGCTTTTTTCTATATAATTTTACATAACCTCAAAGATCGTTGATGGTTTTATTTGAATTGGTAAGGACAACGTCTGTTACCCTTAGCTAGTTATTTGTACCTATAAATTAACAAAAACTATTAATATTCCAGAATTCGCAATAGCCTCACCATCAGACTCAAACCGCAAGGACCAGCTCCTCTCAAGCATGTTCCCAGAAGGACATCCCGCAGGCACCTTTACTTGGGGCAACCTGCGCAGTCTGCGGGACGACGTGCACGACGACGAGAAGCTGCATAAAGCCGCACACGAGTTCAGGAGGCAGCATTATAGCGCTCATAGGATGACCGTCGCTGTACAGGTGTGTGCTTGTGCTATGATTAACATTGACATAAATAAAAAATATTACAAAAATTTCAGCAGCTGTCAGAAACGTCATTTTTGTTTGGGGACTGGGGCTAATTGGTTAAATCGAATTTTACTTGTAGTTTAAGTGAGACTGCTAGTTTTAAGTTAATTGAACTGATATTAGTGGTCAATTTTTTTTACAAACTATTTTGTTAAAAAGTGTAATACTACACTTTATTCTATTTTAAAATCTCTAAAGTTATAAATTAATATTTTATTGATTTTTTAGATATTTAATTGACTTTAAGCAAGTTTAGAACTTCATTTTCAGAATAATTTAATGTACATACATAGTAGACGTAATTTATTATCACTTATCTGAAATGATTGTAACTAAACAGGCTCGTATGGACCTTGCAAGTCTAGAACAATACGTAGTCAACACATTCGGACAAATTCCCACCAACAAATTGCCGGCGGATGACTTCAGTGACTTCACCTACACGCCGGAGATGGTCTCGCCCAAGTTTAAGGATATATACTACATGAAGCCAGTCAGCGATACGACAGAGGTACCTCATCATATAATATATTTTACGGTCCTGTAGTTTCGAGTGTGATAGCTTTATTTTACTATGTAGAAATTGCAGGTTACTATTTATTATGATTGTACCGACAATTAGGTTTACTCAATATATTTCAATTTTTTTATTGTTAGGTATCTTTGGGATATACAATTTTTGGTTTAAAACATTAAGATGACTTTACTTTTAGCTCAAAATGGCACACTCGCAAACTAAACAGATAATTTAATTCTGACAATATTTTGGGGGATTGGCACTGTATGCCGTAATACAGGTCTCCTAGTACGGCAGCAGAGACAACCGTATTATTTGTATTGATAGTCTAAATTGTTTGTTTCAAAATGTACTGTTCAATATGCTTTTCAACTACAATATGTATGTATTTTTGTGAAATAAAGTATTATTATTATTATATTATAAAGTCACTCAAACTTTCGCCTATTCTTACTTTAGACCTCTAGTCATGTTTTATTTTTATTAACAGTACTACTAACAAGATTTTGACCATGTGCTATTTATACTAATATTATAAAGAGACAGAGTTTGTTTGTGTGTTTGTTTGTTTGTTTGTTTGTTTGTTTGTTTGTTTGTTTGTTTGTTTGTTTGAACGCTCTAATCTCGGGAGCTACTAATCCGATTTGAAAAATTCTTTTTGCATTAGATAACCCATTTATTTAGTATGGGAAGGCTACAGGCTATATATCATCATGCTACCACCAAAGGAACGGAGCAGTAATCATAAATGTCAATAAATCGGGCAGACTTCCGTACATTATTGTAAAATACATACATAATACATAGATGTATGGCATAAAGTCAAAGAGTTTTTTTGTAGATTGAATGCGGGCGAAGCCGCGGGTTCTGCTAGTTGTTTATAAAATTAGTACAGCAAATTTACATGTAGATGCTTTAGCGAGATTTACATTATACATAGTAGCGTAGTTGTTAATTATTAGAAAACTATGTGCGGACTAAATGTCTAAAGGTCATCAAAGCGTGGTGCAAGTCAAAGCCGTACTAATGTACACGGTCCACAGGTGCACCTGACGTGGTGCATGCGCTCGCTGCTGGCGGAGTACGAGTCCAAGCCGCACCAGTACGTGTCGCACCTGCTGGGGCACGAGGGCCGCGGCAGCCTGCTCTCGTATCTTAGGAAAAAGTTAGTGACACATATTAACAGCTAGCGACTTACGTGTGTCCCCTACATGTTTTAGCCAAAAATATTTTAAATTATGTATAACGGGATATTTAAAATACATAAAGGTATTTTCAAAATAAATTTCACCATTTCAAGTATCTAACGAAGATGTGTATAGTTTATGAGATAATCTTTACAAATAAATAAAATGGAAGTGTCTGTTTGTAATGGTCACAGCTTTTCACTAAATGTATATGAAATTATATACGGTACTTATAAAAAAAATGATTTTTAAAATGTTTGACTGTTTGTTGGTTCTGAATAATCTCCTAAACGGCTGAACCGATTTGGACAGGACTTTCATGATGCAGTTAGATGATGTTATAAGGGATAACTTAGGCTACTTTTATTTTAGAAAAATGGTACCTCACAAAAAAATTAAACCCTATGAAATTGTGACTAAAATCCGCGTACCTAGGAACGCGAAAAATAAAAGTAAATTACAACTAGCATACAAAGAGTTGTATGGAATGGATCGCAAGTCTAGACTTTGGAAATCATTTTTGTAAAATACACTTTGTAGGCACTGTCTGTAACAAGTATATGTTTGAGATGTCTATAACCTTAGTCTCTCCTGTGACCATGATTGCTGTAATGCATCCGAAACTCGGGAAGTCGAGTTTTATTTAAAACATTGTTTTAATTTTTTTAACAATAGAGTTTGGGCGCTGGGCATCTACACGGGTAACTCGGAGAGTGGCATCGACTATACTTCCATGTACAGCCTGTTCTCTATACAGGTTGTCCTCACGAAGGACGGACTCGATCATGTGGACGAGGTTAGATATTTATATTGTTTAAAGTTTTTTTTTTAATTTTTAAAATTAATATTAGTATTATTTTAAACTAATATTCTTTACGGTTTTAGGTACTAGAAGCAATATTTTCCTATATTCAAATGTTGAAACAAATTGGACCGTCAGAGAGAATATTCGAAGAATTAAAGGTAATATTTGATGTATAATTTATTAAGATATTTTAATAATGTAATCATATATTAAGATATCTTCAAACAATATAATAAGGAAATTGATCAATAATGTAATTATTTTATTTTTGTTCCAAAAAAAAGGAAGGAAAAAGAGTTTGTACTTGTGTTCACTCTCACATTATAATATCTTCTGTGCAAGACATTTCTCAGTGAAGTGGCCGTCAATGTTTGTGGATATTATTATTTTTTAAATTATTCTTTTGGCTCGTTATGTAGAAAATGATGGAAGTGATTTTTTTACGATGTGACAAATTTAGACTACGTACAGTATGAAGTTAGTCGTTATTGGCTACAGTGTGACGTTAGTCGTTAATCTTCCTTTAGTATAGTGTGATGTGTATATTCAAGATTGTCTCATAGGGACTTAGTGGAGACGAATTAAAGACTTCTTGCTTGGCTTGATACGTTTTTAATAATTTATAATTTACATACAGGCAAATTGGAATCAAAAGTTTTACAAAGTTGCTACTAATAGCTTTGACGGTTAGGAAAAAAATCAACGATAACAAGTAGTGACACACATAAATTTGTTCATGCCATAGACAATACAACCATTGTCTGTGGTTCATTTATTCTGATATTTCTATATATACAAGACGTGTTTTATATCAATGAAAATAAAAAATATTTAGTTACACCTGTCCCGGTGTCTGTCTGTAACCAAATCTTGCAAATTAAATTTGACCCACTTCCCAGTGTTCGATTAAGCTGAAACTTGGCACACACGTTTGGTTCTCGTGACTGCACAATTACCGTCATTTTTAATGCAATAAGTCGGATGTTCCAAATTGATTATCATTTCCAAGTGACCCTTATGATAAGGGCATCAAATGAAAGGGCTTGCTGAGAAGAATATGGGAAAAAATAAGCTTTTATTTAAATAATAAAATAAAATAAAATAAAAAATAAAAATAAAAAGCCTTTATTTGACCAAGCTACAGTAATTCTAGTTGTAAGGTGTAATCTTAGTTGCTAATTACTAAATTTAGTTTCTTTCTAATTGCTAGGTATACTTACTTATTATTATTATTATTTGATTAATATATACTAAATTATACTAAGCGGTTAATTTCTAGTTTTTTTTTTGCATTAATCAAGGTCCCCAGGTTGGGTAAAGGCCTCCTCCAAAGATAGGTACCCACTTCTCTCTATCCTGTGCTATTTGCCACCAGCTTGGGCCTGCAACTTTCTTGATCTATTCTTGCTTTTTGTTATTGTGGTGTCTAACTTTGGAGGGTTATGGTCGTACTCTTCCACGGTGACCAGCCGGGTTGGAAGATTATGTATTTTTCTTGTTTATATTTGTGTGTGTTGTTTGCTCTGTGTTGGTGGAGGAGGCGCTAAGTTGCTATAGTTTTTTATTCTGGATATTATTCATATTCGTTGTATTTTTGACTACATAGCTTAGTATTCCCTGTTTTATGACTCCCTCTGAAAAACTGCTAGACCTCTTGGCCGAATCACCTATTTGTTGTGTTTTGTTCTTTTTATTTGTTTGTGTATTCTTCTCTACATTGGTTGCAGTGCTGTTTTCGGGTGAGGTAGGCAATTTTCGTTTAGTGTTGTTTTTCGATATAATCAGTTTGTCGTATATAATTTTGGCTATATTTCCCTTTTCTCTTTCCAATTGTAGTTGTTCTTGTAGTTCCTTTCTCTTCTCCAGTACGTATTTTGGATAGTCTTCTTTGATGTAGTAATTTGTATCTTTTAATGCTCTTTTTTGTTTCATAATTTTTATTTTTGTGCCTAGAGTTAAGAAAGTCACGACTATTGGGCGTATTCTTTCTTCTTTCTTCCCTATTCTTTTTATTTCTTGAATGTTGCTGTAGCTTATTTTTACAGAGAGATGTTGTTCCACCCAATTAATAAAGTTTCTTTCTAAGCTCTCGTACGATTTTTCTTTCTCCTCTATGCCAAAAAATACCAGATTATTTTTTCTTGCTTGTCTTTCTAAATCATGTAGCCTTTTTTCCTGGTTTTCCACTTTTTCCTTCAGATTTTCATGATTTTTTTCTATTTCTTTAAATTTTTCTTCAAACATCCTGCTAATATTCTGTGTGACTTGCTCTGTAACATTCTTTCCTGTTTCCCGGATTTCTTGTCTTTGATTGTCCAAATCATTTTTTATTGATTTTAGTGCGTTCAAAATTTCGTCCATGATATTTAAAGTTAATAGTATTGGTACACGTAGCGCCCTCTTGAGGTTGGTAGTGAAAGCTCTTGGCTAGGTAGTAATAATGTGTTGGATCTTTTAATGGATCTATGCTTAGTGTCTGACGATGTAGTTCAGACTCTAACCGTGAGATGGCGCTTATTTAGCTAATTTGTAACAATTCCATATGACTGGAATTTATGTGGAAATTAAGGTTATGTCCGTTTTAAATGTTTTTTAGAGGTTAAAGACAGACCTGATAGAATGCAGAGCAGATATGTTTGGGTTCACTTCACAGTTAATTCAGTTCTTATAGTTCAACACTGAGAGAAAAGTGCTATTTAACTATTTATTTATTTTTTATGTGCCACTTGTATTTTGATTTCATTTATGTCACTTTTTGTTCATTTCTCACTATCCTTATTAATTAAGCGATAAACAGAGTCACATAACACTCCAGTATGGGCAGTCTTTTTTATATGAAAAAGTCGAAAAGTCACTTTTTTATATGAATGTTTCTATCAAAAAATTTTTTCACTATTTACTGTTTATTGTTCCGACGTTCATTATGACTTTAGTATTTAAACACTTATCTAACTTTTTGGCGATTAGTTACACATTAACTGTATGTTTTTTAATATAAATTCAGAGAAAAAACACAGAGCTGATGTTGACAGTTAGCACTACCCTCCACCCTTTATATTATTTAAATGCTCTTTAAAAAATAAACAATAACTGAATGAAACAATAAATGACACATTTGCAGACAATAGAAGAGACAAGTTTTCGTTTCGAAGAGGAGTCTCAGCCAGCAGACTACGTGGAGTCGTTGTCAGAGAATATGCACTTCTTCCCACCAGAGCACTACATCACGGGAGACAAGCTGTATTATAAGTTCGATCCTAAGGTAAGGGTTGTATTTTAATGTTGTTTTTTATTAAATTAGTGTTAATAAAATTATATAAAGGTATTTTTACTTTACAATATAAAAAAAACCATCTTATTATAGCATGAAGATAAATCAAAGGCCTAAACAAAAATTAACAAAACTTTTGTATAACTATTTAAAAGTATTTTTTTTTTAGAACTTTATCATATTTAAATCTCTTGGTCTCTACTAACTACCAAAATTGCAATAGATACTTAAGAGCACAGATACAAAATAAAATAGTTATATGTCAATAGCTTCTTAAGTTAAATTTTAATAATTAAATAATAATAAAATTTCCGCAGGGTATCACAGATCTGTTAGACTGCATGAGGGCGGACATGGTCAACGTGCTCGTCCTGTCCAACAAGCACTCCGTGCCGATACAGTACGACGCCAAGGAGAAGTGGTTCGGCACGGAGTACAAGAGATTAGGTTATTATAATACTAGTGTTTTCCCGCGGCTCTACCCGCGTACTTTAATTTTGTAGCACTAATTAGCTTATAAAATGCAAAAAGAACTTTTCAAAAAAGAAACAAAGTAGTCAAAGTAATTTAGTTAAAACAGAAACTTCACAATTACTTAAAAGTTAGGTTAGGTTAGTTATAAATTTTGTAGTGGTGCGACATCTGTTACATAAAAAAAATCTAAATCGATTGAGAATTGGCGAAAATATTACGTAACACACACAAAAAAATACGGTATTATTCAGGCTCACTCTCAATTCACTGGACCTCGACACATTTTTTTTCTATTATAATTAAATTAATAATCTTTAATCATTTTACAGAAAAACCTAAGGACTGGTTAAACAGATGGCTGAACGTACAGCCCTACAAAGAGTTCCATTTGCCAGAAAAGAACGTTTATATAACGACAAACTTTGATTTAGTTCCTCCAGCAACGCCCTACCTAGAAGAGGCGAAGAGACTAGGTTTAGACCTAGCCAATAGTTCAGCTAAAGATATACACAGGAAAGTGTCTGGCAGTGAGAAAACTACTAAAGTGCTGTCTCAAGGAGATTTGATAGCAACTGTTAATAATTTTAGGTATGTTATAGTAATTATTTATTAATACAATGTAAAAATTTTTTTTCAAAAGTAACACCCGTCAGATGTTGTCTCAAATTTGTGATGATTGAGTTTTTATAAAAATTCTATAGATAAAAGGACATCCAGTTATACTCTATTTTTTTAATTTTTTGGCCGTTTTTCCTTAAAAAACAGAACCAGAAAAAATGTGTAGATACAATACACATATTGATTGTAGATTACATTTCTTTTTGTTCACTAAAAACCTTATTCAGATAATTTCGAACTATTGAAAATAAAAATTGGCTAAAATCGGCCTAACTATTCTCAAGTTACTCTAGGCTTACCAACTATCAACAATTAATTCATTCTAATACTGATGAATAACAATTTTTATAAATAATAATTTTCTCTTTGAAGGCTAGATCAACCGAATCTCCTGCGTAAGAATCGTCACATGGAGCTTTGGTACAAGCCGGACTTCAAGTTCCGCTTCCCGACGGCCTTGCTCTACTTCTACTTCATAACGCCGCTCAGCCTGCGCTCGCCCAGGGAGTGAGTATAACAGGGAACGTTCTAGATTACACACACACACGCAAACACACATTCATTGACACATATTCAAATACATGTAATATGCATGCGTACAAGTTTATAGTATATATAATAATATTATTACCATATTCCAGATTAGTATACTATATTTGTGATATGTATTATTTATGTCTCTTAAAGTTTAATCATTCTGTAGGTCAATAAGAAGCAATGAAATGCTTATTGAGAACCCACTCGTACTCGTCCGTCTGTCGTACTTTATTAAGGAAATTAAAATAATAGCATTGACCTTAAAATCTGTGCTCAACTAGCACGCTTTGAAACCAATTATCAAGACAATTGTATTAAAAATAATACCATAAATAAAATCTAAATTGAGTGATTAATGGGTAATTGAGAAATATAACAAAATTGTCTTTATAATATTGTGCTTGTCTGATTTGTTGGAACGAAGTTCCTTATCCCGCGTTACTCGCTCTGAGCGGATGGTAGCGAGAAAAAAGTGTAATAAGACTTTTTTCCAACACTTCTTGCCATAGTTAAGAGTACAATCGTGTATGAACTATATACATTATACATCGCCGCACACAGCTCTCCCGCGCGCCGAAATACTCCTTGGCTCTCTTCTCATCGGCTTTTTAAAACTTTTATTTATATTTTTATAGTAAATAATAAATGTTTATTACTAAAATTAAAAAAAGTATTATTAATAAAATAAGATTTATACAGTTTTCAATTTTTATTTGCTATTAACTTAATTATTCCAGATCATTCAGTGTTTAATTTATCTTAATTTTTTTATACATAATAAATATATTTTATCGTAAATTTTCCAATTGCACTCTATCAACTTGATATTTTATAATATAAATTATAATGACTGTATAGCAAACGTCTACTAAAAAGCGAAAGGAACTTCGCTCCAACCGGGGTCCATAGATCCCTCATTATATTTTTTGTTTATTCATATATAAATATATAGCCGCCTTGCACAGAAGTCACATTGACCAATTTCAAACCAAAAAGTGAAAGTAAATAATATTCTGACTAACTAAACACACCGGCATATTTAGCGGAACATAAAATAAAGGTTTGATATCAGTATCATATAAGGTTGCTGGCTGGTTTATACGTCATTTAATTTAAAAAGAAATATTTTCAAATTAAGAAAACAACTGAACATCACATTTTATGCAATTGTTTTAATTTTATTCAAATACACCTTATCTGGAGCGAATTTCGAGTATTTCTTCCTTCTGAGTTTGATTTAAAATTTCATTGAAATACTGTTTTTTGTCAGTTTTTTTTTAATCGCGTATCTTTTGGAGTTGGGGACTAAATTATGCCTGACTTAGCCCCAACGGAGATTGCCAGGGCACTCGAAATGCGAAGAAATGGTCAAACCTACAGAGTGATATCCAGAAATCTTTGTCAACCAGTTTCAACGATCCATCGCAGTATCCAATGGTTCAGGAAGACCGGTACTTATGTGAGAAGAGCAGGACAAGGCAGAAAAAGACGCATTTCGAGTAGGGATGATCGTTTCATTCGGCTTCGTGTACGTAGAACCGTAAGTGAGTGTACGGTACGAAGAAGGTTCGAAGAAGCTGGTTTGGGTTCATTTGTGCCCACCAAGGCTCCAAGGCTCGAGCTAAATCATCGTAGAAACAGGTTAACTTTTGCTCAGGAACATCGATTTTGGAACGCGGACCAATGGAGTAAGGTATTGTTTAGTAATGAGTGCAGAATTCTCTTAAATCAAATTGACGGCAGGCAAAGAATATACAGACGCAAAGGAGAACGATACATTCAGACAAACTTTGAAACTACAGTTGCATATGGTGGTGGATCAGTAATGGTTTGGGTGGGCATTTGTTTGGGAGCTCGCACAGACTTGGTAGTGATTGACCGAGGGAGTCTGACTGCAGACCGCTATATCAGAGAAGTTTTAGAAGAAAATTTCGTACCGTTTGCCCCATATATCGGTGACGATTTTGTTTTTATGCAGGATAATGCTCGGCCGCATACCGCTCGGGTAACTCAAGCTTATCTTAATGATATGAATATCACTGTTATGGAGTGGCCGGCGAGATCACCAGATATGAACCCAATAAAGCACGTTTGGGACTTGCTGAAAAGAAAAGTTAAGTCCAGAATTCCAGCTCCTGCCAACGTGGGTGAACTGCGAATCACCGTAGTTGAGGAATGGCGAAGACTATCCCAGGAGACCATCGATAACATCATTCTCAGTATGCCTAGACGGGTAGAAACTTTAATAAGAGCACGTGGAGGAAATACGCGATATTGATCACCATTTTTCTAATTTAATTAATTGTTATTTTAATATTAATTTTCACTTTTCCCGGTTATATGAAAAGTTCAAAAATGTACCATTTTTCACAAATAGCCTTTACTCGCAAAATCTGTTTTTAATGTGATCTCATTTTAAGTAAAACAAATGAAACTTTAAATAACAAAAGAAGTGTAGTAAGTAGATTTTAAAATAAAACCATATTTTTTTAATAATGGACCTTTTTTTTGTGTTCCGCTAAATATGCCGGCGAGTGTACATTGTAAATCTTAATAAGGACGTTTTACAAAAAAGATATAAATATTTATTCTGTATATAACAATTAGTATTTGAAATAATCAATTACTAATGTAATGCTACTCACAGCGCCTGCCTCATCGATCTCTGGACTGACGTTCTACAACAAGGACTAAAGGTATCGTTTTTTAACCCATTTTATTACTTAAATAAATAAATATGTTGGGACATTAACACACAGCACCATCTAGATCCATGGTAAGCTACGAGGCTTGTGTTATGGATACCAGATAGTTGATACACTACACATATTATATAACTTAAAATACATACATATTATAAATACAAACACCCATGACAGGAGTATAAACAATCTTGCTCATCACAAAAAATTAATGCCCTTGCGGGACTCGAACCCGCGACTGCTGGCACAGCAAGTAGGGTCACTACAAACTGAGCCAAACGTATTGTTAAATTATTACTTATAAATAATATTTAAAAAACTTACAAAATAAATAAGAATATTAGAATATTTGTTTATATTCTATACAATTCAATAATTACAGAGTTCTGTAATTGTTCTTTTGATACATTACATATATAAAAAAATTTGAGAACAAAAATTGTAACTATAAATATCTAATCTAAAAAATCTAATTATAGTCTCTTAGTAAAAAAAATGTAGTTTTTCTTTAATTATTATGTAAATTATCAATATATTATGACAGGAAGAGGTATATCCCGCGAATATGGCGGACCTGTCGCACTCACTATACGTGTCCGATAAAGGGTTGACGTTGAAAGTGACCGGCTACAGTCAGAATTTACATGTAAGTATTTTTATATAATATACTATTTTTAATGGAAGTAAATATTAAAAATATAAAATAAAGTACTGACTTCAAAATAAGTTTCGATGCTTTTCAAAAATTATTTTCTTAAATGCAAAAAATCTGAACGGCGGGTTGACTTCATCCATACGTCTTTGAAAAACTAGTAGAGTTCTAATCGTATTATACTCTATTCACGGAGTAAACCATGCAAAGCGCTTTCTCTATCTAGCACGGCCTACTAACACTTGCAACTGGTTTGAAATCATAGGGCTCGTTCATGTTGCTAATGCTTTAGTGAGGAATTATTAATAATTTGTAATGAAATAAATCAACACACAAATAAAAACAACATTAAAGAAAAATTGACTGTATTTTTTATTTTCACTTTTTTTATTTTTCACTTTCCGACGTATCACTATCATCTGAACGGTACGGAATGCAACGACGGACTAATTGACTTGTATTGTAATCGCGGCCTAAGCATTTAGCGAATATAGTATTAGTGGTGATAATCACTTTATTGATGAGATGGACGCATGTCAAATCTCTGAAGTGCGCGTATAAGTACGATCCGTTGTTTAAATCTCTTCACTCTGTTTCCGTATCGAGCTCCCAATGCTCTATTAATGCTGCTTTTACATATGTATAACATACACACATGTACACTACAGTGTCAAAAGTAAATAGATAGGGCATTTTTAATGAAATCCTTTTTTTCATCATAAACTAAACATTTAATTAAAAAACTAATGCATGATTATTAGTATCGTGTCGATCCTCCTTTATTATAAAACAACTATTTTATTCTAGCTTTTATAGTATTAATCAATTTATTGATCGGCTCTTGTTTGTAAATTAACCCATTCTTTAACTAAAATCATGTCTACTCCTTTTTATTCGAGGGTTTCACTGGCCTTTTCGCAACATTTATTTTGTAAAAGGTGCCAAGCTTTCTTAATTGGACTCATATCATGTGATTGATTTGACCATGGTGGAATTGTAAGACCTTTTTGAGAGTTCCAGACAGTCATTTTTTGAGCTCTATAACATGGTGCACCATCTTCCATGAGAATGTATTTTTTGCAATTCAAATTAATACGTTTAAAGATAGGTAGAAGATTCTTACTTTGGAATATTAGTATATTTTTCAGTATTAATTTTATCATCACAGAAAACCAGGCCACTTCTTCCACCATACCAACTAGCCTCCCAAACCATAACACTTATTCCGGTTTTTTTACAGTATGTTGCAAAAATCGGTTTTCCAACTACATTACTGCACGACGTCACATCCATTTTACTCCGTTGTTGCTAAACTGAAAATATCCCGATTCGTCTGAAAAAATAACGTGCCTCGGAAAGTTCATCATCCTTAAATATCATATCCTGTGACTAATCATATCTTCGCATTTTTGGAAATTTTGTCAACAAAAGTTTCTTTTTGGCTACTCTTTTATAAAAATCAATAATGTGTAAATACTTCTGAATAGTTTGATTCTAACGTCCCAGATATACACGGTATTTTGAGTATAATATTAATAAATTAGGTTTAGACCCCATATACTTCAATAATTTTTTCAGAACCACCCGATTGCGTATTCTTAAAAAAATGATACATTTATAGGTGTCTATTTACTTTTGACACGGTAGTGTACATATAATTAAAACAATAACAAATTAAAAAATATATTAAAGAGTGCGTGTATAAATGTGTACACGCTCAAGAAGCAAAACTTTTGTAGCTTATCGGTACTCTTTATGTAATTCAATTTATGTTTTAAATAATTAGGATATGTGAGATCATAAAAATAACGCAAATTAGGCATATTACAATCTATACATATAATAAAATTGTAACTAAGCTAAATCTATACATAAAATATTTTTTTGGAAAATCTTATTGGAATAAACACTATTATCGATACAGAGGCCGAATCTATAGTTTTTAGAATTTTTGTCTGTCTGTTACCGCATCACGGAAAAACCACTGGAGGGATTTTGATGAAATTTGGTATAGTGAAAGCTGCTTATCCGGGTCAACATATAGGATACTTTTTACCACGGCAGAATGTCTCATTTCTGAGAAAAAATACATGTAAAACCTAAGAATTTGATTTTTGGTCATCTGAACGCGAGCGGAGTCGCGGGCAATGCTAGTCAAATATAATATAATTTAAGGAAAGTATATAATATTATTTATCATTTATCAGACAATAACAATGGTTACATTGGCAACAAACGTACGTACATTTTTTCATAACGCATTCACCAGCTAACCGCCCAAGTCAAGCGTGCGTAAAGAAGTTTTACTACAATAACAAAAATGCGTTATTCTTAACTACATCATGTATTTTTAAAATAATGTCTACTAAATAACATTTACGTATCCCGTGCGCAGCTGCTGGTGGAGCTGGTGTCGCGGGAGATGGCGGGCGCGTGCAAAGCGGGCGGCAGGCTGACGCCGGCGCTGTTCGCGGCCGTGCGCGACGTGCGCGCGCGCGCCTACCACAACGTGCTGCTCAAGCCGCACAAGCTCGCCAAGTACGCACTGCCGACTGTACAACTGTTACAATTAATTATTATAATTACATAGGACGTTAGTCCTACTCACCGATTTCAGTTACGGCGCCAATCTTCAACAGACTAGCCAATTGTGAATTTTGTTATAAGTATAAGGTTTCAATTAAATTTCAAAATTATTACGCCGAATGTTACTTAGTATAATGCTGTCCCTCTGACCGATTTCGGCCACGGCGGCTTATCTCACTAAGACAATCCAACTGCGCACAGCGCAAGATATATTACTATAATGCACAAGTATGCGCGCAGACAACGTACACAATGTGCACCCTCTGTTCCGTCACTTTTATACTCCGGTGAGACAATTCGACACGACCGGTGTAAGATCAAACGAGGATCGATGCGTGATATGCCGGTAAAAGCGTGGGTAGAAACGCCAACTTCCTAATTCCGGCTGTTATGAAAAATTTCTTGACAAAAAGCCCAACAACTGTAGTCGGTGACCCGAGATCCGGGACCTTCGGAACTGCAACCGTACATTATAGACCACTGGGTCTCTGAGGCAATACGTTTTGTATTACTCTAGCTGTTGCGCTATACACCGACAAAAATTGTGTGTTAATTATATATATTAATCCAGACCGCAATTTATCTTAATTCGGAATTTTACTTAAACCCGTTCAACCATGAAAAATGAAAACAATGGAAAATAATAAACACTCTCCATGTTACACAATGAAACAACACGAATTATAGAAGTCACAGTCAGAGGATGCAAATGAAATGGAATCTTTACTTATAAAATACTTTAATATTACTTTTACAAACTAATTATCCTAAGGTGGATTACACTGTCGAAGTATGACAAATGGAATGAATCAAGAAAGTCTCTAACAATAAGGTGCACTCGGATGTTACAACACTGTCACTTCGCGAGAGTAATGTTGAAATACGAAAAGAATCAGATATTGGTGGTCGACACGACTCGCGAGGTGGTTCCCATGCATTATGGTTGCGAAACAAAGTCTTTAACAATAAAAGTTCATACGAACGGAATGCGATGTTGGTGGTCGACGCGAGGCAGTTTCCATGTATTAGGGTTGCGTAACACACGTTAAACAATGAAAAATTCTCATGTTAAACAACACGTTAAACAATGAAAAATAATAAACACACTCACTCGCAAACTTTCCTATTTATAATTCTTTATGAAATAATAATTTAATACTTTAAGAAATATTAACCGAAAAATGCTCGTCGTAGGGACGTCCGTATGAACGTGCTCCTCGAGCCCTACATATCCCCGCGGGAGAAGGCCGCCGTCGTGCACAACATCACCTTCACCGAACTGCAGGAGTTCACCGACAAGTTGTTAGGCAAGATGTACTTACAGGTGAGCTTCTAAGACACTAAACAACAAATACTTATATTTTAGGGTTCCGTACCTAAAGGGTAAAACGAGACCCTATTACTAAGACTCCGCTGTCCGTCTGTCTGTCACTAGGCCGTATCTCATGAACCGTGATAGTTAGACAGTTGAAATTTTCTCAGATGATGTATTTCTGTTGCCGCTATAACAACAAATACTAAAAAACAGAATAAAATAAATATTTACAGATAATGATACGGTACCCTTCGTGCGCGAGTCCGATTCGCACTTGGCCGGTTTTTATTTATACATAATTATTTTTAATTTTTAAAAAAGTAAGCATTAATATTTAATTTATAAGCAAATAATATATTTTTTTACTAGCTGACCTGATTGATAGTCATTGTCTCAATTTCAATAAAGTAAAATATTGGTTATGGTAATACACTAATATATATAAAAGTTAGTCCCTTTTTTAAGTACTGAGTAGTTAATTTTAAAATTTGTTAAATAATGTAATAATACGTTATTGTAGAGTCTATATTACTAATACTTTTTATATATATGGTCTAAATCTGTATAATACAAATATTATATGTAAATGTGAAAGTTTGTGATTATGTATGGATGTTTGCTACTCTTTCACGCCTGAACGGCTGAACGGATCTGGGTGAAATTTTCCACAGAGATAGATTATAGTCAGGAATAACTCATAGGCTACTGTTTATTCCGGAAACATATACGGTTTCCGAGAGATAGATTTGTTTTTGTTTGTTTGCTAGTTTTATTTATATAATATAAAAATTATTTAATTAAATATTACATAATTTATTTGTAATAATCCAAAATATTGAAATTTAAATGTTAAATAAAAACTTTTTAACAAAAAAATAAAAACCGACTTCAAACAAAAGCACTAAAAAGTAATAAATAACTGATTGGTAGTTTTCATTTACTATACATACCTAATCAAATATTTTCGAAGTCGGTGTGCTTTGCTTTGTATGGGCTGGCACCGATTTCGAAAATATTGGATTAGGTATGTATTTAATAGGTAGGCTTTAATTACTTAGCCAAAGCACACCGACTTCGAAAATATTTGATTAGGTATGTATAGTAAATGAAAACTACCAATCAGTTATTTATTACTTTTTAGTGCTTTTGTTTGAAGTCGGTTATTATTTTTTTGTTAAAAAGTTTTTATTTTTCCCTTTTTAGTGTAGACAGTAGTAGCAAAGTAAGGATTCTAACGTGTTAGGCTTGTCAAATCAAACAAAATAAGCCCAAACTCAAAGTATCTACTATTAGCCGTTGAAGAGTTCCACCATCCACCTTCTGGCCTTGCCATCAGATCAGGTCAACAACACCGAACTACTGTACTATCAACGGAAATAGAAATACTTGCAAAGTTTCAAGTCAATATGACAATTAGAAGTAGGTTAAATTCATCATTCGCTGTTTTTCCACCCTTAGGGGTGGTATTTTTATTATTTTTTTTGAAATTTAAATGGGACCAATCTGGAAGTATACCCTTTCAAACGACACAAAAATTGTCCAAATCGGTTAATAAATGACGGAGTTCTGAGGTAACAAACATAAAAAAAAAACATACAGTCGAATTGAGAACCTCCTCCTTTTTGAAGTCGGTTGAAAACTAATATACATTACTTAAAATAACATAAACTATGTAAGTTATTTGTTTCAGGTGCTCGTACAAGGAAACCTACCTTGGTATGACGCCATTACGATATCAGAAAATGTTTTCAACAATATCAAGTGGGAAGAATTGTCTGAGAGTGAGATGCCCGAGGTACATATTACTCCTTTTATATATGCTAAATTCGTTTAGTAATGATTTTATATATTATTTTAATAATTTTATTAGTGAATTTATATATGTACTTGTACATATAAGGGAAATCAACATTTAAGTATATTCTTTAGTTCACGCGAGCGTGCGTTGGCAAAAAATTTACAGAATATACGTAAAATGTCTGTTCATTCATATACATATCGATATTTTGAGTTACGATCACTAAAATTGTTTTTTTTTTTTATATTCTCTTTAAGAAATAATATGTAACGCGAACTTATTTTTGCAAATAATAAAATGTGTATTGCGAAAACGTAAAAAAAATATTTGAGTGTAAATATAGTTGTAAAAACAACACAATATTCGGCGGCACGGAATCGTCGATGCGCGAGTTACAATCATACTCGTTCACAATCATACACATATGAAAGTCTTTACTGCCATCAAATTATTACTAATAGCACTTGAGTATAATTTATAGTCCATGAGTTTTTTTTTGTTGTAGCGCGAGCGAAGTCGCGGGTTCTGCTAGTGGTACATAATTCTATACTAATAATATAAAGAGATGATCGATCGATTGATCGACCGAGTGATCGACTGATGGATCGATTGATTAATTGTTAGTTTGAACTAGCTATGTCAGGAACTAATCCGATTTGAAAAAATATTTTTGCATTAGATAGCCCGTTTATATTCCTATATATATATTCCTACGTATATCATATAATACATATAAAAACTACTCGTGTCTATTCCATGCTAACCGTTAAAACGTATAGGAACGAATTCGAGCGAAGCGAGGGTGAACCGCTTTACTATTACTTTACATAAAAAAATCATAAAACTAATATTTAATGGTTCAAAAAATATTCTTTTTTTTTTTAATTTCTATATTACTATTTATGTAAGCTTGAGTATAATTTATAGTTTGTATTTTTGAATATTTTTTTTAATTATACGTTTGATCAATCAGATAAGGGTGCACCAGCTTCCGCTGGGCGAGAGGCGCGTGCGCGTAGCCAGCCTCAACCCCGCCTCCACCAACAGCATCGTCACCGCCTACTACCAGGGCGCCGCCGCCGCACCGCGCGACACCGCCGCGCTGGAGGTCATGATGGTACGTCTCGACATGCCTTTACCTTAAGCTGTCTGCCCACTACACCGTCTCATACCATGACCGTGCTATGAATGTATCAGGCACGGAAACGACCATGGCACGGACTACTATGCCTACTAGAACGTATCAACAGCGTATCATGCCCGTACGTAACGGTTTTAGTGCTGCGTATGCTCACCATTGCGCCGCCTGCGTACACCAGTCCCCCCAGGTCACGTACCAGGTTCGGAGCGTACCGGCACCAGCAAAATATTCTAGCCGACAATTGTTACCGCTACCACCAAACATACGACTGTCGAGTCAGAACAGCGGACCGTCACGAAACTGTACCGTCTTACCTGAATTATATCATCTCACCTTAATGATTTTAAAACTATTAGTCTTCAAACAAATCCAACGTCTTTATTTAGTATATAGAGTCAGCTCGGTGTTATGAATTTGAGTTTGCGTGGGGGAGATAGCGGGGGAGGGTTACTGCGCAGAATCATCGAAACGGGCGCTCTTGCTTCTTTGTATTTAGAATAACTCATCGTTCACACGTGATAGTGCGATAATTCTTTCGTGTGCTTATAGAGTTTATCAGCTCCAACGAATTTCAATGTCTACTTTGAATAGTAAAATATTATGAGAAGAACATATTTTGTACGTTGTGAAATATATGAAATTCAGTAGCGTACACTCGGTTGGGTGCGTTGCAGGTGTTTTACAAAAGACCGTGTTCCTCTAGGTCATCGATCATGGACTATCTGTGTACCAAAACTGTTCAGCCTTTTTTGCGCGAAGGACTATCAAACACACAAACTTTCGCATTTAAATGAGTAGTGCTATATAGATGCTGATGGAGGAGCCGGCGTTCGACGCGCTGCGCACCAAGGAGCAGCTAGGCTACAGCGTGTTCAGCATGATGCGGTATACGTTCGGCGTGCTCGGCGCCTCCATCACCGTCAACACGCAGGTCGACAAGTTCAGGTGAGAGCTCATTATTTATCATATAAATTTATTAAATGTTTTTATTAATTATAATTCATGACATCTGACTCTCAGGCATTAAGCCTTAACAAAATTAATAATCGAGGTTATCATTTTGAATATGAAGGTTTCCGCTCATAACGAAAAATAAAATAGTTTAAAAATATTCTTTATGTAAAAAAGTATAGGGACTGTCTATAATTTTTGAGATTTTTTAAAAATCATTATTTTCACTTCTCTACAACAGTATGAGTATTGGTGATAATAGCGAAAAAAATAAATAAAAGAAAAGTAATTTACAAGCCCCTTATCCTGTAGCGTGTCGCACGTGGAACAGCGCATCGAGGCGTTCCTGAAGAAGTTCGCGCGCGACACTCGGCGCGGCGGCGAGCGCGCGCTGGCGCCCGTGCGCCGCGCGCTCGTGCAGCTCAAGCACAACGCCGACTACGAGCTCAAGGAGGAGGTACACACACACTACTTGCTCTCTGTTCATGCCTAATGTATTAAAAATTACCACTGCTTACAAGTAAGTGGTCAAACGGTGTCTAAAACGCCATTGAAAGTCTCTACCCACTACACCGTTTCGTATTACGATCGTATTCGTATCGGCTCATGCAAAAGACAATCTCAATCTTTACACCATACCAACCAACATACTATCGACACACCCTCGTTTCGATCGGCATCGTCCCTAGCTTGATTCCCCATACAAACTGTCATCCCCATTTTCACCTCCTTAAAAGATGATTTTCGGGATAAAAAGTGTCCTACGTCCTTCCCAGGCTCTCTTACTATCCTCTTACCAAATTTCATCTAAATCGGTTCAGTAGATCCAGAGATTACCCCCTACAACGTCACAAACTCACAAACTTTACCTCTTTATAATATTATAGTATATAGTATAGAAGGAATAACGCCCCCTACAGTTCCTTCATCGACTAACACAAGAACGTGCCATGACCGGACCGACAGCCAATTTAGTACATACTTAACACCATTAACCAATAATTCCAAGACACGACTTCTCTAAAAACACTTTATTTTAATTAAATAAGATTAATTTTTAAATAATTGTGAAATTAAATGTTTAAAACATTATTGAAAACACCGCTTTGAGTGAACCGACTCCGTGACGAAAATGAATGTATGTTACACTTGAATGATTCAAATAAGTAATAGGTGCTGTAATTTTTATTATTATCTAATAAATATATATAACAATTTAATTCGTAAAGAACTTCATATCGTGGAAAATAGATAAAGATTCTGAAAAATAACGTGAAAAGTAATTTGTTTGCAACTTTGCAACAAGCCTTGTAGGGATATTTTAATTTTTTTTTATTTCAATTCGCAGGTAGAAAGAAATTGGCGGGAAATCGTGAGTCGGGAATACCAATTCCAGAGATTGTTTGTTGAGGTAATTATTTACAATAATTATTTATTATTTTTGTTACATATTATTTTTTATATTTATTATTATTATTTAAAATTTTAGGCGGAGGCAATAGAGCAAGTGAAACTCGCTGATGTAAAAAATTGGATCGACGACCACTTCTCTACTGGGAACAAAACGCAATTCAGAAAACTTTCCATACAGGTAAGTTCTTTTTGGAGTTTCCTTTTGTATTTTCTGTAAAAAATTAAACTTTGTAATTGTCAACTTATGATATGACATTTGAATCCATATATATGATATAATTGTAAAAATAACTCTGTTTGTTTATTACCTTTTACGTTGAACAGATTTAGATGATACTTAGCAAGGATATAAAATGTACCATGAGATCCTGTCCTGTGACAGGATGTACCACGAGAGTGGAGCCGCCAGTAAAAATACTATACTAAAAAATATCAAAATATAATTTTAAAAATCTAAGTATTTGTATATAAAAACACTAATGTTTTTGTACAAATATAGGTCGTGGGCCACAAACCTAAAGACGATAACGCGATCGCAGAAGAAACGGAAACGAAAAATTTGACCCTTCATTACCTCGACGCCAGCGACTCCGTCGGGGACTCTCCTCGCGAGAACGACGATGACTTCATTAAAGACATAGAACAATTCAAGAAAGATCTACCCCTTATAAATGTTCCTAGGGTCGAACTGACTCAGTGCTAATAATAGTAATTAATAATAATAATTAATATACCCAATACTAGCCTTATAGTATAGAAAAGTACGCTTTCTACTTCTTTTATACGTTATTGAAAGCGTCTATTTTACACTTACACTTTGTTTTTTAACCGACTCATTTGTTTAATACATATTTTAATTTTTAAGTATTGTTTTTACTACAAATAATTTTTATATTAAACATCTATCGTACTTTCGATAGCGTACCTGAAAGCCGAATTATTGGAGCAAGTGACTTACGATGTTGATACTTATTCATAGATAAACACATATTTAATATATATAAATATATAACTATTATATAGTCCTATAATGGCGGCGATTGATTTGTAATATTTAGGAGTAATGTATCGCGTTACAAGTAGAGCATTACACCAGTCAGTGCAGCGCCGAGCCGCTCGGTGCGAGCGCCGCTACTCCATACGAATGTCGGTTTTTTCACGAACTTCTTTGTGTTTTTACAAGTCAGTACAGCTGAACGCGTCGTCGTGAACGCAAAAGTTCTGTACTGTCCAGTAAACTGTTGGTTTCTAAGAATATTCATTAAATTCGTACCACTATCTTCGATTCTTCTTTGGTACAAATTGGATATTCAATATCGTTTCGTTTTCTTCTTATTTTTCAAATAACAATACTTTGTAAAATTAATGAACCACATACAAACTTTACTTCCGCCATTTTGATAAAGAACGGAGCACGCTTGAGACAAGAGCTCGAAGTGTTACGCCGTGTTAATGTGTATCGCTATATTGTACCAAGCTCATCTCGAATGGTACATTACAAGTAAATAGTACAAGTCAGTATCCACCTTAATGTTTTAATTGAATTGACTCATGAGCTATACACAAGTAGTTATAGTTGGTTTTAAAATGGTTGTACGATATCTTTTAAATCGCAATAAAAATATATATTTATAGGACATGTAAGCAATTAATATAAAAAAAAAACTGTATATATGTATGTATGTATTGTATTATAAATTATAATGCCTTAAATTAAACGTGTTCATTAAAACAAATCGCAATATTTATTGACTTTTGCTTAAATTTTATTTTGACGTGTCTCAATGAATAATTAATTTATTTATTGATAGATTATAGACTAATTCAAGTTATGTCATGCCTGTCCTACTGGACATACCTTGCTGTAAACTGTACTGTTTTTTTTGCGAAATAGATTATGGTTGACCGAATTTCTACTTGAACAAGAAATAAAGACTTTATCACCACTTTTTTTTTACATCACCTTTAATCCCTCCACGACCGCGGACTCTCCGGCGTTACAGTTAACAATAAATTTCTTAGAAATTTAATTAATTTCTTAGAAAACCTAGAGGTGTTCAGACTGTTTAATAAATAAATGAATAATATTATTTTTTCATGTTTTTTCTTAAATTTATTGTTAATGTATGTATGTAAAAAAATTTAAATTTAATATCTAAAAAACAATTATGTAAACTTATAACTGTGTGTCTGGTAAATAATATGTAAAATACAAAATGAGAATATTATATAATTATAATTAAATTTATAATTAACATAATTTTAGTAATGTGAGGAATATCCTTTTTTTTAGACGTCTATGTATTTGCAGTTAATGTAAAAACATTTTTAAACATTTTAACAGTTATTTAACATAACATGCATTAAATTTCTAATTCTCTAATACTATTAAGTATTTGTTACTCGTTTTATTTTGTGCTAAACAAATGTCTAGAAAAATGATGATAATAAATAAGGTAAATGTACTTACATGGTGTGAATCGTTACCTTTTAAAATTTTTGTTGGCGATTACCTCAAAAACTTACATAGAAACGTCTTCCTATAATGCTACGAGTTACTTGTATAGTCGGTGCGAGCCCAAGCCAGCACGACTGCACTCGGCGGAAAACAAGACGCCAATGAAGAAATAATTTTAGGAGTGGGAATCGTTCACACCGATCCCCACTCTCCTGCCAGGTGGTGCGATAGAGAGCGAGACAGTAGACGGATAGACAAGGATAGATATATAAACGGCGGAAACGGTAATGCCTATCTTTATACGTAAGCTTCGAATAAGGTAAGTAAATTAATATGCGTTTTATTGGTAGGTAAAACGCTGCTATTAAATTTATAATTAACATAATTTTAGTAATGTGAGGAATATCCTTTTTTTTAGACGTCTATGTATTGCATCTTGCTGTCACTGTATTATTATTGTACATTTAATTTTATGTATTCCGATATGTATGTAACCCTGTATAAGTAGGTACTCTTTTTAACACGTCTTTTTTGACGACACATTTGGCTCAGTCTGTAGTGACTCTACTTGCTGCGCCAGCGGTCGCGGGTTCGATTTCATTTGTGTGTTGAGCACGAATGTTTGTACTCCAGTAAGGGGGCTTATATATAAATCATGTGTATTTAAAAAAGTTATATATGTAATCTCGGTTACCTCTCTTTATGTTTTCGCTTGTCGTGGTAGCCTTTAAGTAGAACAACCTTTACCAATTGTAAAATTTAGACATGTAGTTTTTGCACGATTTAAGTGTATGTTCTGTTGGCTACCCTAAATAAATAAATAAATTACACAAATATTAGACCATAAAGGCTATATTTAACGGGGTTGTAAAAAACCATTTCATATTCAATAATAAAATATATTTCATGATTCGTCATTGTCTCTCTGTTATAACAATATGATATCTTAGATCATATTATAGGTGTTATTAAAAATATTTGTTTATAAAAAATATTAAAATAGAATTGTCAGAGTTAGTACACGATTTGTATGCGTCCGTCGATATCCCTGAGCACCGTGCCCTGTCGCCGCAGGTACTCCTGCAGTAGCTGGTAGTCTACGCCTATGTTCTCCACATTTTCTCTATTTCTTGATAGCATCTGAAATAATTCCGTAACATATTATTGACAGTGCATAGATTTTTGTAACAGACAAAGATTCATAAGCCCTAAATTGATTAATTACTATCAAACACAAGTCGTTTTGCAATTTGAATGGTAATATGGTTTTCCCAGTCTATATCTTCAATTATTACGAAGTATATCTTTAACTCCAGCCTATTTTTGAGTCATATTTTTATAATGAAATTGAAATTCAGTAGAAACAATTTCGAGAAGGAAATAGAAAGGAGAATAGAGATGGGCTAACAAGAATCTTAATCTCGCCTATATCAACATTTAAAGTCTTCTAATCTCCACCAATATAATAATTACACTACGGGACTTAAGCGCATGAATTCGTTAGTGGCTATATAACTATTCCCGAAGTTTCAACTGGGTTACACCAGCGACCACGGCGTTTAAGTCCTGTAGTGTAGGTAATTATTATGGAACGCAAAAATTGAAAAAGTTATGTCTTCTTTATAAATTTTTCAACACCCATTTTTCATTTTTAATGCACAAAAGTGTATTAAAATCCCAACAAGTTCGGATAGTATTCTGACGTCGGAACTACACGCACGTATACCTACGTACGACAAATTCGCACGCACGTGTTCGCATGAGTAAATTCGGACGAAAACGTATTCAAAGTGCGCGCGGCCTAAAGCTCAAGATCGCGCTCAATCGCTGGGCTTTCCCACCTAAATATGTTGGGGCATTAACACACGGCACCATCTAGTTCCATGGTAAGCTACGAGGCTTGTTTTATGGATATCAGATAGTTGGTACACTACACACACACACATATATATATATATATATATATATATATATATATATATATATATATATATATATATAACTTTAAATACATATTATAAATAATATATATAATAAATAATTAAACACCCATTACTGGAATATAAACATTCTTGCTCATCACACAAATTATTGCTCCCAAGTGGGACTCCAACCCGCCACCGCTGGCACAGTAAGTAGGGTCACTACAAACTGGGCCAAACGTGTTGTCAAAATATAGACCTATGTTCGAAAGTGGACGGAAAAGGGCTGATGATGTAGATGATAATTAAATATCGTACCGTATAACCGCCGCCGCCATCGCCAATATAGTTCTGCGTGAGCACCTTGTACACGGCGTCGCGCTCGAGCGGCAAGTAGCGCGGCACGTCGCAGCGCACGCAGCGCACGGCGGCGGACGCCACGCGCGCGCCCACCGGCGCCGACGCGTTGTACACCACGCGTATACCTATACACGTTAGTGTAACGTTCATATTGCATTTTAAAATTAATTTATTTAAAGATTGAGTAATTGCGTGTTTCTTATCACTTTTTGTGTTATTAATTAAATATTCATTTTAACTGGTATTTCGACCACTGCATTCATAATTATAATAACATCCACGAAATATAATGTCTAGGCGATAAATATTAAAAAAGAATGATGTTTAAAATAGCTCCAATTATAAAAACAATTTAAAGCAATATACATATTACTCGTTGTTTGGATGTAGCAACGCTTTTTTAACTTTAAAGTATGATAGGTTCATATCAACATAACATCTTTTACTAGTTAAAAGATCTGACTCATTTTTAAACATACCGCCTACTTGTAACATTCGGCCGCTATAGAAGTTAGCAGGATCGGTCTGTGTCACTCCGACAGAAAACTCTAAAGCTTCCAATAAAAATTCTCCTTTCAAATCGTATACTTGCACATAATTTTCAAACGGCATTGCCATGAGGAGTGCTTCTGTTGTAATTTCTGTAAAAAAATATATATTAATACCAGCCAAGTAACATTAGGATTTTTGTAAAATATTCAGATATTAGTATATTTTAGGGAATCGGTCTACTAGGTATTATAAATACGTACTACGTAATAAAGTATGTGTGTGTGTGTGCGTATGTGTACGTGCGAGTGTGTGTGCGTGCTTACAGACGTATGTATGTCCGTTACCATTTCAAGCTAATTTGGATTTGCATGAGTACACAGAGGGACTATGACCTGTAATAACACATAGGCAGTTTAGTCGCACCTAGACGAACCCAACCGAAGAAATACAGTAAAGTAATACAAGTATATTTATTACTCACCACCTGATTCAATGTTAGTGCGGATGCCGCCCGCGTTGATGAGACACACGTGCGCGTATCCCCACGCGCCCTGCTCCGCGCGAGGCATCAACTTTAACGATACACAAAAACTAAGTACTTACAATGACAAATTAGGTTTAAAATTAGTATTATTTTGTAAAACATGTATGTATTTATAATTGTTAGTAAAATGTATATTTTAGAAAAATTGTGGAAGTTGTGGTATACCTAACACACTTAAAACGTTCTATATTTGAAAACATGGAAATTCTCGTTTAGTCAATTTCGGCACAGACAGGGCAACTTACGCGGGTCCCGTGTCCCGACTGTCATACGTACTTGTTTTCATATAACAGTCAGGAAACGGCTTTATATAAGGCTGATGGTTATCTATACATATAATTGTATTGAAGTGCGAATAGAAGAAAAAAATTAACAATGTCGATACAAAATTTATTGTGTAATCGAAATTTATTTTAAAATATATCCAAAAATAACATTAATAATTGAATTAATAGTATAAAAAATGTTTTAAAACACAACAAAATCGAAAGTGCATAATATTTAACACCATTCAGACAAAGAAAGACAATAGCATTCCCAAGGAGGGTTGACGTCAGGCAGGCGGCCGGTCGTAAAACTTTTGCCAAATCCTATCAGCAGTACACTGAAGGTGTACTGCGCCGACCCCAAGTGATTTGGGAAATGGGCAGGGAGAAGAAGAAGAAGAAGGTTATCTATACATATAATAAAATTCTAACTAAGCCGAATCTGTACATTACATATTTTTTGGAAAATCTTATTGAAATAAACATTATTATCGATACAGAGGCCGAATCTATAGTTTTTAGAATTTTTGTCTGTCTGTCTGTCTGTCTGTCTGTCTGTCTGTTACCGCATCACAGAAAAACCACTGGAGGGATTTTGATGAAATTTGGTATGGTGATAGCTGGTTATCCGGGTAAACATATAGGATACTTTTTACCCCGGGAAAATATCTCATTTCTGAGAAAAAATACAAAAACTGTAATGTAAGAGTATACTAATATGTAAAACCTAAGAATTTGGTTTTTAGTCATCTGAACGCGGGCGGAGCCGCGGGTAATGCTAGTAATTATAATATAATTAAACAGCAAAACCATTTGCCATGAACATTGGCATTTTTAACAATTATTGCATTTATAGATGTTCATAAATGAAAATGTCTCGTTATAAATAAAAGTATTCAAGGACACACTCGTATACAAACAAGCTTCAACGTGATAGCCGCTTTAAAATCAATTATAAGTATTATTACTTCTTCTAGAAAGCCGTCGCAGGCCCAACTGCCGAGGTTGCACTCGCCGCGGTAGCACCCGCGGTTGAGCGCAGATAGCGACGAGCCGAGGACTTCTTTGCCGATCGCGTCCACTTCATTCCTCCAAGGTTCTAATAATCTTTCTATTGTGGGATCTAAAAATATATTGTATTATGCTTTTGCTTTTTTTAATTAATAAAAAAATAAGTAGGTACTTGATAAGAAGAAGAATTCTTTGCATCCGATGATTTTGCAAAAGTTTTTGTTACTTAAAGTAAGACCAGTATTAAAATGATTAATTATATTTTATATTGAAACTTGTCGAATATAATTTTGAATTTATTAGATTAAGTAGCAGGTGTCGGTAGGTACCTCTTACAATTGAAGTGCCGAGATAAATCGCCTTCCCATTCCAAGACACCATCTTGCCGGTACTGTCAAAAGTGAGTTTAATGTTGCCCAAATACCGAGTATACGCGGCTGCTTGTACGATCAAGATCTAATAGAACACAATTAGGTATGTAAAGTACATATGTATTTTCAAAACAAGTTTGTCTATGTATGTTTGGCTGATAATGAAACAGCCAAAAATACTATATAAAATCTAAAATCATTTAGAAAGTGTTGGTTAGATATACAAAAGTATAGGTAAATGATATAATAAAGTGTTACTATCTGAAACTATAAAAATATTTTAATAAAGAAAAGGTACCACGATGTGTACTTTGTGTAAAATAGCTCCAACATTTAATAAACTTAATCTTAAATAGATGTCGTCTGTTTACTAACTTTACCTGATGTCCATTCGCCTGTGTGACAACAGTAGGGTACTCCCCGACTGGTGTCGAGCCATCGGGCGCCACTCCGTTGAACAGTAGTGAATGTGAGTGACCGCCTACGATGATGTCCACTTCAGGTGGCATGCGAGCGGCTAAAGATCTATATTTAGACATACATTTTAATAAATTTAAAATACTTTTGCATAGTAACCTATAATGTACAACAATACGCAAAAATTGTTGAATGTGAATATTCAGTAAAATAAAGGAAACCGTATCTCCTATTTAAAATATACATATTTCCATCGCTTTTAGTCCCTAGACAACGCTGACATTTTTTTTTGCAATGTAGTAGGTATAGAGTGACAAAGCATATAGGAACCGGAAAATTTCGACATTTTCTTCGGTGTACTTAGATTCGTTCTGCAACCTGTTTACATTTATATTTACATTATGTTGCAAACAAATTTGGATGATTTTATATTTAAATAGCCCCAAGCTCACATCACGTACCGCGTACGTAAACAACATAGTCGAACTGCTGAGAACGGGTATCCCTGAGTCCCCTCATTGAGAGAGGGGTAGGCCAAATAGGAAATAGCCCACCCTGATGGCCGAACGCTGATTGACGGATTTCACATGTCTTTCAAATTAATTAAATTATCATATATTCAGCCCTTTTTAACGTCCCACTTCTATACGGGGAGCACGGGCCTCCCTTCTATACGGGGGGAATCAGACCATAGTCCACCACGCTGGCCAAGTGCGGGTTGGCGGACTTCACAGGTCTTTCTAAAACTTGCTACGTTCTCTCAGACAAGCAGGTTTCCTCACGATGGTTTCCTTCAACGTAAGTAGCAATCATGTTGGAAATAATTCGCACATGAAAATATTGGAGCTGCGAGACCCGAGATTTGAATCCGCTTCGCACGGCTTCCCTCGCGAGCGCGTTACCACTGGGCAAATTAAATTATCTTAGTGACGTAGATTCCTTTATTTTCAACCGACTTCAAAAAGGAGGAGGTTCTCAATTCGACTGTATGTTTTTTTTTTATGTTTGTTACCTCAGAACTCCGTCATTTATTAACCGATTTGGACAATTTTTGTTTTGTTTGAAAGGGTATACTTCCAGATTGGTCCCATTTAAATTTCAAAAAAAAATACCACCCCTAAGGGTGGAAAAACAACTAATGATGAATTTAACCTACTTCTAATTGTCATATTGACTTGAAACTTTGCAAGTATTTCTATTTCCGTTGATAGTACAGTGGTTCGGTGTTGTTGACCTGATCTGATGGCAAGGCCAGAAGGTGGATAGGTGGAACTCTTCAACGGCTAATAGTAGATACTTTGAGTTTGGGCTTATTTTGTTTGATTTGACAAGCCTAACACGTTAGAATCCTTACTTTGCTACTACTGTCTACACTAAAAAGGGAAAAATAAAAACTTTTTAACAAAAAAATAAAAACCGACTTCAAACAAAAGCACTAAAAAGTAATAAATAACTGATTGGTAGTTTTCATTTACTATACATACCTAATCAAATATTTTCGAAGTCGGTGTGCTTTGGCTAAGTAATTAAAGCCTACCTATTAAATACATACCTAATCAAATATTTTCGAAATCGGTGCCAGCCCATACAAAGCTAAGCACACCGACTTCGAAAATATTTGATTAGGTATGTATAGTAAATGAAAACTACCAATCAGTTATTTGTTACTTTTAATTGCTTTTGTTTGAAGTCGGTTTTTATTTTTTTGTTAAAAAGTTTTTATTCCTTTACCGTATTATTAAGAAGTGGAATCATGTTAAAAATGAGATAAGCATTTATAAATTATTTTCATACAATAAAATCTACAAAATCGATAAACACGTAATTATAAAAAGAAATACCTACGTACATATCACTGTCATATCCAACGTGAGAGAGTACAATAATTATATCAACCCCCTGGGCAGTGAGAATGGCGGCTTCCCGGTTGACCGCTTCTAATTCATCTTCCATTATAACATTACCTATAGGAGCTGAAAACTGCATATAAACGTATAAGACACTAAGCAAAAAAATAGTACAGTTTGAGAACAAAAATAAATTGTCCTGAGAATGTTTATTGACACAATAAATAGGTACCTATTATTTCATCAAAGTGCGTTTACCGAGGATCTGCGGTGTACATTTTAGCAAAAGCATTAACATTTTGTATATATTAGATAAAAACTTAGGATAATTTTATTATGAACCAGAAATATTACCATAAACTACTCACTTTATCTTAAAATAATTTTCGTTAACAGTATATCTGACGACTTACAGTCCGTAATAAGATCCCAATAATGCCAATTTTTCGTCCTTTTCGTTCAACTATAATATGATTTTTCACATATGGCGCAATGGCGGGCTCCAAGGTAGCGTTAACGTTGGCCCCTAACATAGGCGAGTTGAGCATCTCTAAATATAGATATAAACCATCTATTCCATGATCGAACTCGTGGTTTCCTAATACCTAAAATAAATTATAACAATTTTACTTTAATATATAAATATATCTAATTTATAAAATACTTATACTTCAGCAAGCACTAAGCAGTAGCGTGCTTTGTAATACAAATACAGATAATCAACTTACATGAGCATCATGAGGCAGCATATTCATGAAGTGTTGACTAACGTTCCAACGTAAGTAGTTATACCAGATGGTGCCTTGGAACGTGTCTCCAGCGTTAAGTACCAAAGAGTCTGGCTCGGCCTGTAAAACCTCCATAATAGCCGTGTAGAGACGTGAGAACCCGCCAATGCAGTCTCCTTCCGACGGGTTGCATGGCCCACCACTTAGTGCTACCTGATCAAAACTTATAAAAAATGTTTTTTTTTTCTTTATTTCGCTTATTTAAGATTAGATATTTTTTATTTATTTAACATTATAATAGTGTTAATGCCAAAGTTTATAAACTTTTAGAGCTTCCTAAGGCTTTTTGGGTGTAAATGTTATTTATATTTATTTCAATTAATTGCTAAACAGTAAACATACCTATAAAATTTAGATACTATTAAATATTACAATCCTACATTTTAAAGTTTTCCAGACTTCATGTTTTGTCAGTGAGTGAATTAAAAGACTTCTTAAATAGATAAAATTACATATAAAACTACCACACGGAGTCCGCGAAAAAATCCGAAAAGATAGTTTTATTTAAAATGTCAAATATTCGCGTAAATCTAAGATAGCATTATAAAATTATAGATAGAGGTAAAATTCCAGCATTTTTTTTGGATATTTTAATTAATTAATTCATTATTATCGACTAGCATTGCCAGCGGCTCCGCCCGCGTTCTGACAATCAAAAACCAAACTATTACATTTTACATATTAGTATACTCTTACAAAGCAGTTTTTGTATTTTTTCTCGGAAAAGATTTATTTTCCCGCGGTAAAAGCTATCCTATATGTTGACCCGGATAACCAGCTATCACCATACCAAATTTCATAAAAATCCCTCCAGTGGTCTTTCTGTGATGCGGTAACAAACAGACAGACAGACAAAAATTCTAAAAACTATAGATTCGGTCTCTGTATCGATAATAATGTTTATTTCAATAAGATTTTCCAAAAAATATTTAATGTACAGATTTGGCTTAGTTACAATTTTATTATATGTATAGATGTTGAAGATGACTAAGTTATATAAAATATTACTTACTGTGCATGAAAATCGTTATAATGTATAATATTTAAATCAAATAACTCATCATTTTGCGCCGTCACGGCGTGGAACAGGAAAAAAATCACTAAGTTTCTTAACATAATATCTAAAGGCGCAAACTCTATGGAGCACGGGTGATGACGGGTGCAGACAACGCGAAAGTACGGATTATGTATCTTATATACAATTAAAGATAATCTTGAGATTATGTAAGTATACGAGGGGCGGCTGATAAGTTCACGGCCTAAGGTACTTAGCGATAAATAATCACCTTGTTACCTATATCACTAATTATGCGTCTCATCGCTAGTATAAATAGCACCCCTTCTTTTTGGTTCATTAACACTTCATCCCTTGAACAAACAACAACACCATGTCATCGGAAACTGGAAATTTTCGCAATTTGGAGCTGTTAAAAAAAGGAAATATGATAGGAGACATTTTTGAAGAGATGTCATCGGTTCTTCAGGATTCTGCACCTTCATACACGATAGTATAAAAGGACTCGGCTATTTCAACAAAGAAAGAGAGAGTAAATACGACACCCGAAAATGTTAAAAAAATCGAAAAATTAGTACTGGCTGATCAAAAAATAAAATTATGGCAGATAGCAGAAGAATTACAGATTAGCAAAGAACTAGTTGGTTAGATTTTTCATTAAAGAATAATGACAGTTTTTACCTGAATGTTTCTAAAGGCGTCTTAGATTAAAAAACGTCCGTTCTAACCGCTCGGGTTGCGAGGAATGCTTATAGTCCAGACCTGGCTCTCAGTGACTTCCTTTTTTCAAATTTTAATAGTAGGTTACGCGGACAAAGATTTTCGGACGACAGTGAGAAGAAGGTAGCCTTCAAAAGCCATTTTGAAGCGAAATAGAATTTTTTTTCAGTGGTTTATAGCATTATATTCACGATGTGAAAAGTGTATTTTACTCGAGGGGAATTACAATGAAAAAAAAAAATACATCTATACTTTTCATTCATTAAATACCTTTTTTTTCTTTAATGGCTTAGAATTGGGCCGCGAACTTATCAGTTGCCCTTCGTAATATAAATTTTAATGCTAATTGTGATATAAAAATTCAATATCTAATCAGGTAATAAATAATATGATCACTTCCTTGATTAACTATAACATTTTGCTTACAAATTGAATTATTTAGTTGCTGTCATGATATAAATGTAATAAATATTGGGTACCAACAACCTACGTAAATGTTTACGTGGAGCCTATAATATTGTAACATGTAAAGCTCTTGGAACTCTTGGCTGTTCCGTTTCTCCATTCATGTTTTTATCATTCTTACCTACACACTACACAATATATCACAGAGAAGTAGGTACATATTATAATATTTTTATTTCATTAAGGGATTACTGTAATTACAATTTAACTAGCGACTTACCCTCGCTTCGCTCGGGTTCGTATCTACCTTGATTCCCGAAACATTTTCATCCCCATTTTTACCCCCTTAAGGGATGATTTCCGGGATAAAAAGTATCCTGTCCTTTCCAGGGTCTCAAACTTTCTTCGTAGAAAACTTCATCTAAATCGGTTCAGTTGATTCAGAGATTACCCCCTACAACGTCACAAACTCACAAACTTTACTTTTTTAATAATATTGTTTGCAAATACGCAATAACAACTGGATTTGTTTGTTATATTGAACAGTTTTAATATAAATACCTAGCCTAGATTTGGTGTACATTTTATGCTGTAAAAGTAGAGTTGAATATAAATATAAACGAAAATACGACAAATAAAAGCAAAAAAAGTTTTAAGACATTTATTCGATAAAACAACAATTAATACATTTATTAAATACAAGAACATAACATTTTCTAATCTATATTTTTAAATGCTTTTAATTATTATCTACTCAATAGAAAATGTTTTAGATATGACTATTAAAAATAATTTCAAATTTTGTATACATGTAGTCGGATATTAATGAAAAAAAAGTGTATCCCATTCTATCTAAATATTTTATTACAAATATGAAATTGTAGTTATTGGCAAGTTCTCTCTAGTAAGTTCACAACTTCTATGGTAAAAATGAAATAATTAATATTAATCAACATATAATTAAATAGGAAGCTGTAAGAACGACATTTTCTAAAACTACATTTCTCTTCGCTTACTAAGTACCTACATAAAGTTAAATAGATTTATAATCTTATTTCAATTAAAGGCACTTAAGTTATATATATTTTCGTTCATAGATCATTTTTGTTCTTTGACGGGAAGTTTAAATTTAAAAAAAATATATAAAAACTTAATGCCGTAATATATGTCATGCTTAAATAAATAGTAAAATATCACAAAAATTAATACAATAAAATTAAAAACTGTTCAGCCTCCGTCGTCTTTTCATAACAACCAAATTTTCATATTTCAATAGAAGAACATTTAAATTTTTGGTATACATACGTATACGAAATCAAATATAACATGAAATTAAATATAGCAGTTTGATAATAATCATCATCACAATAATTTTCGTCATATTTTAAATTTTACTAGTAAGTGAAACAGTGCTACTATATCTTAGGACTTTTAAAGTACTTGGACTTAAAAATAAATATGTTGGGACGTTAACACACAGCACCATCTAGTTGCATGGTAAGCTACGAGGCTTATGCTATGGATACCAGATAGTTGATACACTACACATATATCACTTTAAATACATAAGTAGGTATTATAAATATAAACACCCATGACTGGAGTACACACATTCGTGCTCATCACACAAATGAGCTCCCCTAGCGTGCCCCCCACTCGAACCCGCGACCGCTGGCACTGCAAGTAGGGTCACTACAAACTGAGCCAAACGTGTCGTCTAAACTTCGGACTAGACTTGACATACGAGTAAGTACTAACTCATTTACTCATTTACAATAAACTTTTCTATTTTTCTGTAAAAATTTTGCCAAAATAGATCTAAATAGATTTCAGTAACAGCGGTTTATCTTAATGAGAGTAGCCAAAAGTTCCTTTGAAATCATAAGAAAAAAAAAGAAGAATATACGAGTATATGAATGGTTGGTTGAATGAATGGAGACATTGCTTTAACACAAGTTTTATTGACGTATGGACAAATGCAAAAATTAAAAATAAATTAAGTTATAGAATTACTTAATTCTATTCCTCCGGTTGGTTATTTTCTTTTTAATATATTTATAGGTAACATGTTGTACTGATCGTTTGTTTTGCTTTTTAAGAGTACGGGGTGCGGGGGTTCACGTTGATCATCTCCGTTGTGCTGTAAATGTAAATGACCATCAATAATATGCTATACGTGATATATTACATATTGTGTACAACTATAATAAAAATACTAGTAATGTACAATAGACATCTACGAATAAATATGAATTCCAAGTACATACGCGAATTATAATTACCACAATAAAGTAATACCGTGAGTAATTAAAAAAAATGAAACCAAAATTAATGAAAATAAGGTTATTTTACGTTTTAATTATTTTAATTCTATAAAGTTTCTCAAACAAAATAAAAATACATAGAAAGGGAAAATACTTAAAGAAACGTAAATTATTAAAATCAGTACTTCAAACATAAACGACTTAAACAAAAATAAAAATGTGTACTTACATATTACGAAAAAAATAATAATTACAAAAATTCTTAGTGTACAATTTCTATATTATTTATGATAATTTGAAGTTAATTTCGTCAAATTAAAAATAATATACGCAGTGAGGAACTTACGAACTTATTACAACATTCTGAGCAATAGGACCATGTTCCACATATCTTGAAAGAGGAATAGGTGGGGGATATCTATATTATAACACATTTTGAAGTAGGAACTTTGAATAATTAAATACTTTAAATAATTCTTATATTTTTCTGTATTCAAATAGAAAAAGCTTTTCCATAAATATAGATCTACTGCCGCCTCCATCAATATTTATTATTATTATTAGTAATAGTAAAAATTATCTGTAATAATTTAGTCTTTAAACATTTACAAATGTGCTTTCACACACGTTTATGAAAACTAATTACATTACTTGATGCGTCATATAAATTCCTAAAAAAAATCCTTGCAACACTTTAACCATGGTAGGTAATCATATTACAGAAATTCATATATCAAATTCACAGAGAACCGTTCAATCACTTTTCAAGCGAGTGAGTTACCAATGGGCTAAAGCTTTAAATAAAATTATTAAATACGGTAGAATTATTTTTCTGTGTTACTACTGGTCAATATGTACTAAAGTTATCTTAAATCCACGTAAACATTTCAGGATTAAAAAGTAACAAACATAATGTCCTCCAGATCGATTTCGATTACGGCGGCCAATCTCATTGAGACTAGCCAACTGTACAGGAGATAATATAGTGCACAAGTGTACGCGCAGACACAACGTGCACTCTCTATTCCTGTCACTTATAATGCGGTGTGATTACAATTCGACACTCGCAGGGAGAGATTAGGCGCAGCGCCACGCCAAAGCGACAGCTTAACGTGCTCTGTGTCGACACTGGGGTGAAACACCGCTAAGTCTCAGCTGTTACTGAGACTTTCTTTAAAGAAAGACTCAATGACTAAACATGACCCGACACATACACACACACATGCATACACGCACACAGACTCGGACACGGTACCTCTTGGAGCAGCGCACGTGTATGACGAGCAGCACGATGCCGAGCAGCAGGCACAGCGCGCCCACCACCACGTACGCGACGCCCAGGAACGGGTTCTTGCCGCCAAGCAGCGAAGTCGTAGAGATTATGAACGATTTAGTGCCGTCGAAGTCTTTCACCGGATAGTCTGGAAGAGATTTATTAGTTACTAGCTGACCTTTAATGATTCTAAATCTTTGAAGTCATGAATTTATAAAAAAATTGTTAACAAAGAAGCATTTTCGGTCGAAATTCAACTAAGCATTGACGCTCGCGGCAGCCTATGTACTCGACGACATTTTTGAGGCACTGTCGACACGCGTTCAACGCTCGATGCAAACTTGGTACGCGTTTGTATCGATACGAACGTTCATATACATCGCGTCTTTGGCGAGTTCATAAAACATAGACCCTTATTTTATCGGCCAGACTACACGAAAATGACACGCATTAATAATTTCACTCACTGATTTCAAATGTTTTTAATTCTATTACTAATAATTTATATTTACTGATGGCACTACTGTTTCGTTTTTGAGTGTTTTACCATATAGTAGTCATTTGGTGCTCAAAAAAGAGATTACCTGGAAAGTTTTCCGAGAGTTTTGAAAATTGGCGATTTTATAGATTTCAATGTCCTCTTTCCGAATTTCAATTTTGCCACCTCATATATTTTCCGCTCTCGCCACCATATTGAAAATATGGCGTTTAAAAGCAGTTTTTTGACGATATCTCCTTTCAGAGTCATTTTACGATAAAAACATTTATATATTATACAAAATAAAACTATAGAAAATTTCCTACAATTCATGTTTTAATGATTTTTTCTGCAAAATCAATAGTTTCGACATATGAGCGCCGCAAGGTGTTATTTAATACGCGTTTTCGCATAGTGAGCGTGGCGCACTATTATTCATCTAAACTAACACATTTTGACGACACTTTTGGCTCAGTTTGTAATTACCCTACTTGCTGTGGCAGCGGTCGCTGCAATATTTAAGAAAAAAAACTTGCCTACGGCCTGAATTAGGATCATCCAATTTCTTTGTATACTAACTGTAATCAACTCTTAGTACATAAGGTCCTTTGACGAGCCCGGGTCCGAAGCCCTCCTTAGAGTGATCAACTCGCCGGTACAGCTTCCGGAATGTTGGCAATGCCGCAGTACGCATCCAAACTATCAGATCTTCGTTCTGAAACAATTATTTTATATATAGTGCAGTGTGTATGAGGTACATTTGATGCGAACTCTGTATCATTAACTTCAAATGAACCTGCACAGTCCCTAGCTGGCCGGTCATTACCACCAAGAATATTGAAGAGAAAACAAAAGGCTCCTGAAAGATTTGGTTTTTACTGTATTTATTTTTATTCTAGTAATTATTATTTTTTAAAAGAGGAATGTGATGTAATAGGGTTACTAAGCAATGAGGGTTTCAAACAAAAACATACTTATTACAAATAAATTGTTATTTACGTAAAAAGTAGCTTATGTCACATTCCAGCCCTCCAACTATCTCCACACAAAAAATCACGCCAATCCGTCACTGTTTCTATGTGCCAAAAAAAGAACAAACAAACACACTTTCACATTTATAATATTTATATGGATATATATATATATATATATATATTAGTATGGATAGATATATATATATATACACACATACATACTGTAATGTATATCTTTATATATATAATTCTTCTGTGAGTGTGTATGTCACTGAACTTCTCTCAAACGACTGGACCGATTTTGATGAAATTTTTTGTGTGTGTTCAAGGGGATCTGGGAATGGTTTAGATTCACAATTTGAATAATAATTTTCATCAAAAAAATTATTAAAAAAAAGTTTGAAATTTTCAAATTAAAGACGTGTAGACAGGACAACGTCTGTCGGGTCCGCTAGTATATAATATAATGGTTCCTATTTATTTCATAGTTAATTTAAAACAAATTCACACTTTAATTGTAAAAATTTCTTTAGAAAAATGACATAATTAGGTTTTATTACCTGGAATCCATTATTCTCTGTATTGTTTGGATCTAACATCCATACAGGAATACGCCAGTTAATCGGCTTGGTGTAGTTTTCGAAGGCTGAAGATATAAATAAATGTTTAAATAATTAAACTATACTCATACAGAAAATTAGTCTTTGTGATTTCTCCACTAATTGTTTTCAAAACCAAACAAGTATGTAATTATAATTTTTTATTTCACCTGTCAGTGGCAAAAATTATCTTAGTGACACTTAAAAGCAAATGGTTTGATTAAAGTGATTAAATATGTTCTATTTCTTATACAAGGAAAAATGTAGAAGAAGAGTAGAAGAAAAAGTATTTTGTCAGAATGAAGTCTTGACATTCTCTTATTACAAGAATGTCTTGCATAACCACTTTTTTTAAATAGGTGTAAATTGATTGTTTTCCATAAAAGGTTACTTCAGTTCCTTAACCTGTCAATAACCGGTGAGCCACTGGTGGCTCGGTGAACAATTATTTTTTATAGAAATTGTCCTGGAGGGGTAAGGTTCTTGTATAAAAATGTGTATTACAAAAATATATAGCATTTATTATAATTAGATATAAATTACAAAATAAATATTTATATGAAATAGGTAGTATAGAAATAAATCTTTTGCCAAAATCAGCATTTCTAATAACATGCTTTAACTGTGTAGATAGTACATTTTAATAATGTAATAATAAGAATATCTTTATTTAAATGAGTATAAATAACTTTGGACTTACCAGTCTTCAGATCTCCAGGAGGGTTTCTAAATTTAATATCTTTGTCAGAAGTCCAAGCAATTCCGGTCCTCAGTACTGGCACATCTTTGTTTAAATCTTGAGATTCAACCGTCAGGGTATCTAAATTAAAATAATAATTAATTTTGTTAACTAATTAAATAATGAACTCATCATTAAATAAACTATAACAAAATATGAACTATATTTATCATTCATTCTTAAACATTAAAATAAGTTTAGTAAAGAATTTCAAAAACTCATTAATTTTTATACTTACCATTAAAAAGGGAATTTGCAATAGCACCGCATGGTGCAATGGGTACCTTCTCAGTTTTCCCTTCCACATCAGCATAAGCGAATGGTGCACAATCACCTGAAGGTGGCTGTGACAAGCGCCCAAGCAGCTGGTTATCATCTCTAAAGCAAAAATTCAACAGAAGTTAAAACCATTTTATAAAAAAAGTTATATTTTTATTTATTTAGTTCACTTAATGCATGACAATTCGTAAATACATATATTGTGCCTACCTTGATTTAACATATCTACGGTGATTTTGGTAGTAATTACTGAGCCCATAGTAAAAATATACATCCCCCTTGAAGTCTTCAGTGAGATTAAATGGAATTTTACAAGTGCAAGCACTTAAATTGTTTATTTTTATATAATCTGCACATGTGATGTTTTCATCTTCTTTCATACAGTATGTATAATCTATTACATGTTCCTTTACCTGTAAATTTGTCACTTAATAAATATGTATAACAATGTAATTAAACACAAAATAAATTGTATTTACACTATATTTATGTACACTTTGTAGTCCAATGGGATTGTATCAAATTCAAATCACAATAAAGTATTTTAATTAACTCAGCACTATCTAGTTACTAAATGTTAAAAGTGAAAACTAGTTATTAAATGGCAAGTTTGACATCTATTTATGAAGCTTACCTCATCTGAGAAATACAGTAAGCCTATTCCCACAGGTATAAATGCAATACCAATTACAAAAAAGGTTGGAAGAACTGTTCCTGCGGTTAGTATAGGTTGCCATGCAGGTAGCCGCTGTTGTTTGAACGCAGATTCTAAAATGTAAATTAAACATCATAATCGATATTGCGAGATCGTGAAAGGTTTATATCTTATTACAAATAATCATACCTGCAGGCCGTCTAGATTTAACATTTTGGTCCGAGGTATCACTTGAAGTCGCCATTACTTTGGCATCTATATCATTAGTTAAAAACTATATAAACAAATATAGTAATGTAAATGTAATCAATGAAGGCAAGACTTTTAGAACAATTTCAAGACAAATTATCAAACGTCACTTATTTGTCATTCATGAATGTCACAAAGTGACAAACTTATATGAATAATGTCACAAATGATTAGACAGTTCAGTGTTGCCAACTCCAAAAATTCCGTGTCACTAGACTCAATATCAAAAGTCACCAGAAAGTCGCTGGCCTTCTTGATGAGTTAAATTTTGAAGCTATTAGAGTATCGCTGGCCTAAGTGTACAAAGATAAAAGATTATTATACAGAAAAATAAAACAAATACTGAAAAAATGTTTTGACGTGAAGTCTTATAAATACACGCGACGTAGGGGGATCGTAACTTATGCTGCATTAAATTGCTATAGTAACCGTTGTTATTGCCTGAAAAATGATTTAAAATATATTCTTTCCTTTGTCGTCTTCAAAGATTACTGTATTTTCACAAATTTGTTATCAAATATGCAAATATTTATAAGCGATTATAGAGGCTCAATATTTATAACTATAATCACCAGTCTCGCCCCTTTCTATTCGATGTAACTCACAGCTCACACATGATAGCGCGTTGATATTTTATTTTCATAGGATCTATTCCGGCCGATCAATTTAAATAAAAATACGTGTAATTTGGACAAAATTTATAAGAAATAATATAATCAGAAAGTGTATAAAAAATATAAAAATTTAATGTCGGCCACAGCTCGTGCTCTAGAATAGACGTTTCACGTTAAACTAACAGCGGTGTGCTTCTAACACAGCTCCAGCCCCAAGTACTGTAAAACTATCTGTAGGTTTCGACTCCCGACAACAATTACAACCGAAATCAAATCACCGTTAATACCCACTTACTAATATTTGAAGGAAAAAAAATCTGTTGTATTTTATAAATATAGAATTTTATTATAGGAAATTTCGGCATGTTAATAAATAACGACATTATTTTGAACATGTGTATCAAATATACAATACACAATAGTATAAATATATAATATACACAATAGTTTGTTCATAAAAGGAATATTACGGACGAGCTTACAAATTGACGATAATTTTTTTAAAAAAGAGCTATTAGAAAATAAGTTGATTTATAGATGCACAGCTAGCATTTTATCAGTTGTTTATACAACCCCATGGTACAAGCACTTATACTAAGTCACCGAAAGTCGTTTTATAGATTTTATTTTTAAAAATTTTATGCATACATTTATAAAAAACTAAAATAGTACAGCATTTTTCGAGTAAGCGCCATCTATCGTCTATTCTAGCAAATAAAAATAGCGTGAATAGGAAATCGAATTTCTTTCTATGGGGGCCGTGCGCGAATGTAGAAGTCAGCACTATTGTCCCCCTAGTGTTAAGTGTTTTATTCCTGAAGATAGTGGGATCAAAATATTCATTTGTAAACACTGAATATTTATAAAAATGGAAAATAATAATAAAATATGGATGTCAACCAGTTATCAATAATATTGTATGTGGTTAGAATAATAAGAAAGGTAATTATTCAAGTCCAATCAAGTTTATGGTGTAGTAGAAAAAAGTAATAAAAGTGAAACTGTCTTAACTGCAAAAGTTGTACCACAAACGAGTGTGTCAATAGTTTATGATGTGAAAATTGTGGTACCTATGTATGAAAATTTACTTTAAAAATACTTAGTGTAATCATAAACCATAAACCATCCATCTAACCATAAATCATAAACAAAACCGACGAATTGAGAACCTCCTCTTTTTTGGAAGTCGGTTAATAACTAGGGATAATTATAAAAATGTTATGTTTCAGCTTAACAAGAATCGAAACGTCAATATTTTTTCTTGACGTTGACATTACAGAAAAATGGTCCCATTAAATTCAGGTGTTTGCCACTGGTTGGCGCAAAAATCTGGAGGCACGGTCCTTATAGGTTGGAGTAGATATCTTCACTAGCATTATCTTAGCTGTGCTTTAAGATACAAGAGACATTGATATAAATATATCTTTTTTTTTCAGGTTACCTTACTTGACATCTAGTGGAATCCTTTTAAAAATTCAAATGGATACAGTTTATTTCACTTATTTAAAAAAGTTACATTACAAAAAAAACACTTCAGAATCGCTTAAAAATATACATAAATCTCATAACCCTTAACATGCTCTATTCTTAATATTAATAAAAAATAAATATGTTAAGTATCTTTAATTAACTAAGTTATTAATAAATGCTTTAAATATTTATTTCTATGCCACGAATGCCATTGCCACGAATTTTAATTCTAGCTATAGAATAAATTAACTACTTTAGACGAATGAAATTGTTAAGCGTGTTATGTTTTGTTTATAATATTTTCTGGTATTATATAATAATATTTAGGATTTACTGAGAAACATGAGCATCACATTGACAATATTAAGCATACGCCACCGGCAACTGTTTTTTTTTTTATTTTGTTGGGATTTATTTCATAGATCAATTTATTTAAAGTGCAGGTTATTACAAAAATATCTACTTAGATACTAAATATAAATATAATTCGAGACGTTGCTTATACTCAATCGGTTTTTGACGAATTCAGGTTGAATGATCGAAAATTAATTGGTTAAAATAAGTTTTTTGTGCGGTTACACTTGGCGAATCTTTGCTAATAGTGAATTGATTAGGAGAAATAAAAAATAAAATAAAAGCCCGACTCAAACATATATAAGAATTTTTATGAATATCATACTGCTCGTTAGTAATGTTAAAGAAGATCAATGGTTATTGGTTATAGTAGTAGTTTTCAGACTTTAAAGTCGGTTGCAGTCACCATTTCAAATTCTCGAAAGCTCGATTGCGAATTTACAATCACTCATTAAAATCCCTAATATATGGGTTATACATATTATGTATTGATATTTACAATGTTTTTATTTTTTAGTAATCAAACTAAGCACTAAGCCGAACACAACCAATACACATGGACAAAGCAAGGCGTTAAACAAGGCACTAAATACGAATCAATATAATCTACATATAAGTAGAATAAAACAATAAGAGTAAATAATAAATATCCCTACAGAGACTAAGCATCTTACAACCATGAAATTGTTTTGAGTGTGACACAATTATTCTTGGATTGTCAAATCAAAATATATTCATTCAAATAGACTTTTACAAGCGATGGAGATAGCCCTCTACCTATACTTATGTATAGTGCCTAACTTTGCGCGGTTGTATGAGATTTGTCGCTGAAGGGACATACATATGTGGCATGAGACACACTATATATTTTTTAAGCTATCCACCTCTAATAAATGCGGGGTGAAAAGGCCAGCTTACCGTTATACAGTGGCGTATTTAATAATTATAATATCATTAAAGTAATATATGTAAATATTTTTTTGAAAAATGCCAAGAAATCTAATATATAAATTTTTTCATGTCACAATGTTAGTTACCGTACTCCTCCGAAACGGCTTTACCGATTTTTACCAAATTTTATATACGTATTCAGTAGGTCTGAGAATCAGCTACTATCTTTTCCATACCCCTAAGTGATAAGGGTGGCCCACCTTAGGGACGAACCCGAGCGGAGCGAGGGTGAGTCGCTAGTAATTTATAAATAATATCAATTTTTTGAATACTGTTCCTGTTTTTTTTTAAAAGTTAATGTTTTATTTTTATTTTTTGTAAAATAAAAAAGCATTTACGATAACGCGAAGAAAAATTTATTCCCACCCTCCGAATTTTGGAGCCCGGGCACTAGCCCCGAGTTCCCCTAGTTTTGTTTTGTTACTTATGTACTGTGGCACTTAGTAGAGTTCGTTAACAAAAGGGCTGTGAAGGGTTTTCATTGGATTTAACAATCGGCCACGCTGTACATCACCTCTTGCTTTTATGACTAGGTTATTAATAGAAGATTCATCATATTGCTCTGTTGTCGGTCTACCAATCAGCCTCTGCAGATAAAGTCGTTTTCTGTCCACACAGCTCACTGCAAGTAGAAATCATAATAGCTTAAATAATTACTTCATAAATACACATAATGAATAAATAAATAGTAAGACATCTATTTGTATTTAGTAATTTTTTTGTAAAAATAATCTTTTTTTTTTCATTTATATAATTAAATTGATTACAAACAACATAATTAAAAAGTTTTCGGAAGCACATAGTTTGTTTGGCCAGTGCCTGATCTGGTCTTCTGGTTCATTCTTAATCAGTCAGTCAGTTAAACATAGCAATGATGTAAAGAGATGTTTTAGCTCCGCTAACTTCCCGACGAAATTCCATTTTTAACTTAAAGACCAAGTATAAAAAAGCAATCATTTTTTTATTAAGAATGTTATAGCAATCTTGATAACAATTCCCTAAGAAGTAACACAATACAGACCAGTATACAATGGCAATGTAGTATAAATGGCAATTGCATTGTTAAACTCTATATAATCGTGAGTTTTTTTTAAGTCATCGACATATACCTTATCAGCTGTCAGTCGTATCTCTTCAGGGGAATCTGCATCAGCTGAAGAATTGTTTTTTGGATTAATAATAGTTACGTTCGCCTCTGGCGTATGTGTACCTGGAAATAATAAAACTGCTTAATAATTTTATTATTAATACATTCAAAAACATTTATATATTCTAAATTGCATCCATAAGTATATGAACATTTTTAATTGTTAGTTAATTTCATCAGTCACTCACGTCATAATTATAATATGAAAGTTTGTGCGTATGGATGGACGGATGTTTGTTACTCTTTCATGCCAGAACGGCTGAACGGATCTGCATGAAAATTGTCATAGATATAGATAATAATCTGGAATAGCACATAGGTTACTCTTTACACAGAAAAAATGTACGGTTCCCGTCAGATATTTGTTTTTGTCTACGGACAAACCTGAAGCGAAGCGAGGGTGACTCGCTATTAAAATATATAGGAACAACTATAAACCAAGTACATTTAAATGGCTCTGCACATCGCACACATACATGTGCTATTTCTATACGGATATATTTTGAAGAATTACTTACCTTTTACTGGTTTTCTCATGAAATATATCATTACAATGAGAGCAGTTAGCCCAAGAACAATCATAATACTACCAACAACTGCGAGCACAATATTGACTGATGTTGAAGTTGATTCAATAATTACTTTTCTTCGACCGTCGTACATGCTCGGAGGGTAGTCTAAAAGTGAATACATTCAGAATTTGTTTTGCAATTGAAATATTTTAGTAAAACTAATTTAGATTAACTCTATCTGTGTTGTGCTTTTGGTTGTTACATTTAACGTGATAGGCAATCATTTTTTCAAATTCTTAATAGATGGCGTTACACGTATCAATTTGGTTATATTATGCTGTTAAATATAAAACAAAACCAGTGTACCCTTTTATTATTGCATTTTTTACTATTACAAAGGCAAAAATTTATAATGTATGAAAATGTTTGTTATTTGTTCACACTGAAAGGACGGTTTTGAATCATATTTACTGTCCCAACAACATAATATATAGTCTTATAAACACAAAAGGCCTATAAGGACTTATCCGAGTGAAGCCAGGTTAAGTCGCTAGTATAAATATACCCTTAAATAGTACTAATATCACAAAAGTCAAACCACAAATGACAACTTACGGTATGCAACACGCAATGAATAATCACCGCTGGGAAGGTCTCGAGTAAGAAGCCCGCGGGGCTTACGTTTCCAGTCTGTTTTCATCCACCCAATAAACATTTCATTCTAAAACAGATATTACTAAATTAAAAGGGTACTACTATTGTGTTACGAATATTCAACAACAGGCCATGTACATACAGGCATTTTAAACTTATCATAAAATAATTTAGTTACGTTATTTTTTTTTATTTTATTAAAAACAACTTTGATTTGACTTTTATAATTAAAATATTTGCCAAGAAATACAATGACATTGCCATTTGTTCAGAGTTGGATAATCTCTTTACTTCTCGATATATCTAACTTAATAAATACATGTTCGACATATGCAAAAGGCCCGACCAAGGAGTCCATTTTTTAAAATGATTTTATTTTTCTTTTTCAATTGATTCTGCATTATCAAATCATTTAGTAGTAATATAGACATATTATCAAATCAGTTAGTACTAATATAGACATATTATCAAATATTTAAGAAAGTTATCAAAAATCATCTTAATATTAAAAATGCGAACACTTCTGCGTGAATGTGTGTGTTTGATTAAGCATTAAGTAAAAATTGTGGCTATTATTTATTTTATACATATACAAGTATCTACCACATTATTTATTATATATATAAATCCATATATTATCATCCCCATATATAGGATTAGGGGAAAATATTAAAATAAGGAATACACCATACATATGAGGAAGCTTGAAAGTAGTGCCAGTTACAGAAAAATTGAAAGGAAATCGTCTTAGATTGTATGAACATGTGATGAGGAAGAATGAAATGAATGTGACGAGAAGAGTGATGGAAATGAATGTGGATGGATGGTAGGGTAGAGGAAGACCGAAGAAAATATGGATAGATTGTGTGAGACAGGATATGAAAGAGGAAGCGGGAATAATAAGGTGACGTGTAATATAATATACTAGCTCTACCCGCAGCTCCGCCCGCGATTTTCCTGTTCAGATGACCAAAAACCAAATTTTTAGGTTTTACATATTGGTATACTATTACAATGCAGTTTTTGTATTTTTTCTCAGAAATGAGATATTTTTCCGCGATAAAAAGTATTCTATATGTTGACAGTATAAGCAACTACCATCATACCAAATTTCATCAAAATCCCTCCAGTGGTTTTTCCGTGATGCGGTAACAGACAGACAGACAAAAATTCTAAAAACTGTAGATTCAGCCTCTGTATCGATAATAATGTCTATTTCAATAAGATTTTCCAAAAAATATTTAATTTACAGATTCAACTCAGTTATAATTTTATTATATGTATAGATTAACATTATTGATTATAGAGAGGAAAATTACAAATATGGAATATTCATACATACTTGGAATCCATTATTTTCAATATTATTTAGATCCAACTCCCATATACTCTTTCTCCAATTTTTTGGTTTTGCAAAATAATTTTGGGCTGTTGAATAAAATAATAATTAATAAATCAATTAATAGGGCATTTATAATGTAATTAAATTTATTAATAAAAATATTTTCAAAATTTTATTGCCTAAAAATACTATATATAAGCAAAATATTATTAGGTCATTAAGGATATTATAATTTAATTTTTTTATTGATAAAAGTATAACATTTTATTTTAAATAAAACCTTCAGTAATATTTTCTGGATTACGAAATCCCAATTTATCAGCATCTGTCAACATCCCTGATAGTTTATAGTTCACATTTGTATTGTCAGAATTATCCAGAATGGAAAATGTATCTGAAAAATTAAGAAATTTAACAATAGTATATAGTTTTCAATAATCATATCAGGTTCATAATAAAAAATCAATGTTTGAAAATAAATACTTATGAATAAAGTATATAATATGATTCCAATATAACTACACAATACTAGGCCCCAAAGAAGCATTAAAAAAATTGTCTGTCAGTATTCAATAAAAATAACAGACAATATTTTTTTTTGTATCACAAAATAATAATTTTAATTTGTGATACAAAATAAATATATCGCAGGACACATATTTATCAGCACTATGTAGACAGGTTTATATTATAAAATAAAGGAAGTCTTTTAGTAACTAACCATTAAATATAGTGTCTGCAATAATACCACATGGAGCAATTGGCTTTTTATCTTCATTATATCTATATGGTTCACAATTTTCAGATGGAATAGTATTCAATATACCTTGTAGCTGACTGTCATCTCTGAAAAAACCATAAGAAAATTAATTATTGTAGCTCTGAGTCAATGAAATAGCAGTGATTACAAATATTGTATTTCATTATAGGTATTGTATAAAATAATATATATATAAACTTACTTTGAATTAACATAATCACTTCGCAATTGGTTATATGACTCTAATTCATAATATATAATAACTTTTCCATCAAAGTCTTCAGTAAGATTAAAGTCATAGAAGCAAACACAAGTATCTCTTTCTTTTTTCCTATAATCTTTACATGTTATATTATCATCCGAATATTCTTTAATGCAATCAGTGTAATCTATTATGTGTTCTTTGCTATAACCCTAAAAATGATATAAAACAAACATATAATAAAATTTAGTGAAACAAAATGACTGTAAGTGTAAAGTTGCAGAATTTTACAAAGTTTAACAGTTTTAATCAATTCTAACAGTTAATAATTTTGATTGCAGCAATCATTTTAAATCTTTTCCCCCTATCAATTTAAGATAAAATTTGGTATTTTTATGTAGGTTTGGTGATAATAAAATATTATTGAACCTACACAATAAACCATGTTGTGTATGGAGTTTGTTCTTTAAAAATATTTTTTTCATATATTTATATTTATTTTTATACATATTGAATCTCAAAATTTTGAGAATTATATCAAAAAGTAAAAACACATCAAATTAAATACTATCATTATATTTGCTACGTTTTTTTCCTCTAATTAACTCGACGGTTCCTTGTAGGAAAAACAATTTAAATATAATTTGGCGATAAAAATATACGTACTGTTCGAATTATACTTAGAAGGCCTATTCCTGTTGCAATCAGAAGTAGAGCTATTGTAAAGATAGCAGACGGTAAGGCCATTGTAGACATGATAAATATTTAACTTGTAGGTACTATCCTTTTTTGGAGGGTCATTTATAGTACTAAGAAAGAGTTTTTTAACCTATAAAATGCTATAAAACAGCGGCCTGCGGCAGCGGAATATACTTAATTATTAATAATTGTAAACTGTTTTAAAAGACATAATATCAAAACTTATAAATAACACAGTATGCTGTCTTTGGTATAAAATATAAATGGTTTACATTAATTTTACAATCTAAAAATAGTCCTTAATAATTATTCTTATCACTATTCACCATGGATGACAAATAAAACTACTCACTAATAATGTCATAACAATATGTCTGATGTCCATTGTTTTATTTGTCAATGTCAACTCAATTGCCATTTGTCAATTGTCATCCATGGTTCATTGTCCAACTCCAAACCATGGACGACAAATAAAAGTCCAAACCAACAGAACATAAAATAGCTAAAGATTTCATCCCGTATGTCACCACTCTCTGTTTGTAAAAGGAATGATGAATTAATAATGTAATTAAATAAGGGATATTAGGCATATTACAATCATATATCTATAGAATTTAATTTAAGGAAAGAATATAATAATAAATATCATTTGTCATACAATAAAAACGGCTAACATGGCAACAAACAGTTATAAACTAGCTTCATCATGTCGCACGCGCGTCGTACAAATTTTACTCTCATATTTTTTTCCAAACATTCCAAAAGAAGCATAACTTCAAAAATATTCACCTGTAGACGACTTACGAGTTTTAAAATCACTTTCGTAAAAATGATGTCGACACAGCATTGAATATAAAGATTGTGGTTTAGCCAATTTTGATCAACTTGTTGCTTTTGCCCACAATTTCTTCAGTTTTTGTCTTTTGGGAACAAGTGATATCCATTTTCTTTGCATCCTGCTACTGCACAATTTGTTATTTTAAGAGCTTTACAATATACTGAGGGCTATAGCGATCGCGACGTCTGGCGAGAGAAAAGGGCTAAATTCATTCCTATAGGAAAACGCCCTAATAGTTGTCTTCTTTAGTCTATGGCAGAGGCCAAGTTTGTGGTGTTTTTAGTCTTCTTAATCTGTGGTGACTGGTGGTGGTGTCAACATTCGACACTGAGTGACTAAAGATTGAGATAGTGTTTAATAAAGTGTAAAATATCATTTTTATAAGTTTTACGACTATCTCACAAATCGGAACATTTTTAAGAATATTTCCTTAAATATTATTGTTATTAACAACAAGTTATATAGTAGCATATTTTTGTTAAATCGTCGAGAATTGCGATGTCTAACGAAACTTCAAAGAACGTAAGCTTTTTGCTTAGTTTTATTCAGATAATATGGGCCATTTGATAATAAACGCTTTAAATTATATATATCAGTATGCGCTTTTATTTGTGTATGATTCATGTTAGTGTATTGAACTTAGTGGTATTACTGAAATAGCATAGCGATAGTGAAATGAAGTATGACACTTATGTAGTTTCGATACAGTTAGCGGCGGATGTATGTCAATGTTTGCAGGTGCCGGCTGAATATTTATCAGATGACTGTCCATCGTAATGATATTTTGTTAACTTACTTCTTTTGATCTTGTGCCATTTAAAGCTGTTTTAATCAAATTGTTTTATATTTTTACTTTAATACATATGGTTTGTACATAAAATTTCTGAATAATATTTTTGGAAATTATTATTTTAATTTAAATGACCTACATTCAACTTTATAAAATTAGATGTTCAAAAAGTTTAGAAAAAAAACCAAATATAATTTAATTTGACAATATGTTATTACAAAAACAAAACTTCCTATTGATATTTAAATGGGCCGGTCGTTCACGATAATAAGTTTTAATGCAACTGTAACTATGACTCCTCTATTTAATGTGACATTAGTGAAAGAAATTGTATTCAACTTATGTGCCTAAATTGAAAAGCCTAAAAAAAGTAATCAAATTGTGTACTACCATTTAAAGACAGCATTAAGCCATAAGCAATAGTTGTAAACTTGTAGTACTGATATTACGAAATACAAATTTATTTTTAATATTAGTATAGGTTAACCTAATTTTACCTCCTTATTTGATCTTGCTATACTTTTTACTATTAAAATCAAATATGTAGTATGAAATCTTGTGAATTCACCTGTATTTAAAGGGTTACATAAGCAGCAAGTAGTAGATTAAACTTGTGTTTACTTCAGCATGTCTTGTATTACTGAACCTTGCAATAAGTAAATCAAATATGTCTTTACAGTTTCTATAAATTTCACTCATTTTTTTTTTTTTTTGTTTTATACTATTCCGAATTAATGCTTGACTACGTTCCACCTGATGGTAAGTGGTAACGCAGTCGTAGATGGTAAGTCGCACTAATTCAGTAGCCACCTATTCACTCTTGCCTTGAAGACACCCATATTATAATCGGACGGAAACACCGACGCAGGCAGGTTGTTCCAATCCTTAGCCGTACGTATAATAAATGACGTAGCGAAACGCTTCGTGCGGACGGGTGGAATGTCCACGACATAAGGATGGAGCCCAGCCGTTCGTCGAGTTGTCCGATGATGGAAAGGGGATGGGGGAATTAATTCATGAAGTTCCTGCGCACACTCTCCGAAATGTAACCTATAGAATACACAAAGGCTGGCAACCCTACGTCGGTGATCGAGGCTTTGTAAGTTAGCTTTTACCAGCGCAGGGTCACCTATAAGCCCGCAGCTACATTAGCCTTAGACTCGATGAACCGCCCGTAGTTCATGTTGGGGCTGATGTCCATCCCTAACAACTGCAGACGTTCTGTGAATTCCAAAGGCACATTCCGGAAAGTAGGAGTCAAGGTGAAAGGACTCCTTTTAGTGGTGAACAGGCACGCCTGTGTTTTGGTGGCATTGAAACTCACAAGATTGGCATCGCCCCAAGTGGAGACTGCCCTGAGTGTGAGATTCAACCGCTCTACCATGGCCTCTCTTTCGGACTGAATTTGATCTCTACTGGCCCGAGGATTCGGCAGGTATCTCTCTACAATAGTGCTGTCGTCTGCATACCCATAGATACCGGGTATAAGCAGATCGTTGATATGCAGCAGAAACAAGGTTGCAGAGAGAACAGACCCCTGAGGAACTCCTGAGTTGGTCTTTAGGGGTTGTGATGAACAACCATCAACCACAACTCTGAGTGATCGGTCGCTCAGGAAGTCTTTAATCCAGCCGATCAGGCCAGGAGATATGCCATAGGCTGAAAGCTTATTTATAAGGCTAGCGTGCCAGACCCTGTCAAAGGCCTTTGAGACATCGAGGGAGACGGCAATCGCCTCCCCGCTTCGGTCAATAGTTTCGCCAAAGGTGTGATTGGCATACACTAGAAGGTCCCCAGTCGACCGATTCCGGCGAAACCCATATTGTCGATCACTGAGGAGATCGTTCTGTTCTAGGTATGCCATAAGACGAGTGTTCAATACACGTTCCATAATCTTGCAGAGTATGGAGGTGATTGAGATCGGACGATAATTGGCAGGGTCAGCACGGCTTCCTTTCTTGGGCACTGGTTGCACATTGGCAAGCTTCCAGGATTTAGGCACTATTCCAGTCTTACGAGAAAGGCGGTACAGGCGTGTCAGTATCGGAGACAACTCGGGAGCACATGTTTTAAGGACTATCGCTGGTATACCATCAGGACCACTGGCTTTATTCACATCTAGACGACACAATACTCTCTTAACCTCCTTATTAGTTATCGCAATCTCAGGCATTGAGATCCCGCAGTGAGGTAGATGTGGTGGAGTAGCATTGCCAGAGTCTAGACATGAATTTTGGGCAAAACAAGAGGCAAGCAAAGTCGCCTTTTCCTTTGCCGTATGAGCCAGGGATCCGTCAGATTTTAACAGCGGTGGCAGTGAGGGCCGAGAGAAGTTCGTCTCGACAGCTTTGGTAAGGGACCAAAAAGCTCTGCTGCCAGATGGTTGGGCAGAGAGCTTTGCGCCAAAATGTGTAATTCGGTCAAGACGAGCCTTCTTTAATGTCTTTTTGTGGGACTTGGCGGCTAAGTTAAAGGCTCTCTTCTCGGATCTTACATCCGGAGCTTTGCGGTCTCGAGCATCAACCCAGGCAAGGTAAGCCGATTGCTTACGCTTTTCAGCAAAGGTGCATTCGGCATTAAACCATGGGCGAGCTTTGCCACCAACGGGTACATCAGAGAACGGGATAAAATATTCCATCGCTTGATGCACCACATCAGTTATAGCATCCGCACAGCTCGACGGATTGGAAGAAGAGAAGCAGACCTGCCGCCAAGGAAAAGATGCAAAAAAATGTCGCATCTCATCCCAATCTGCTGACTTGTATTGCCATACTCGTCTAACGCCAGTAGAATCGTTATCTGGTGGAGAGTAAGACGATACAGTTTTTACCAGACAGTGGTCAGAGCTACCCAATGGGGATGAAACCTGGATGTTATATCTGTCTGGATCAGTTGTCAGCAGAAGGTCCAGACAATTAGCTGAGTGGCCATCTACATCGGGTACCCTCGTCGCTTGTTCAACCAACTGGGAGAGTCCAAGTGATACCGCAAACTTCCACGCTTCTCTCCCAGCATGGTCCGTCTTCTGGTATGGGAACAGCCAATCTTCATGATGGGCGTTAAAGTCCCCCAGAAAGACAAGCTGCGCGGTGGGGTACCGTTGCATAGCCACATCAGCGGCCTCACTGAGATGTTCAAACAATCGAGTTGTCTCCTGGTCACCTGTGTGCGATCGGTAGACACAGGAATACAGGATCTTTTCGATTCCTGTATCTACGATAACCCAGATCGTAGAAAATGTGTGGTCTTCAAGGTGGCGGAGGCGCTGGAAACAGAGGTCATTTCGCACGTACAAACAGACCCCGGCCCGTGAGCTGAAATTATGCTCCAACGTGTAGCCGGGATAGTCCAGGTACTCAGCACTCAATGGACATTGAATCTGCGTCTCCGTCAGAAAGAGCATGTGCGGCTGCGCAGTCTCGAGGTGGAAGTGGACTGATGAGAGATTTGTGTGCAATCCTCGGATATTTGTGAGGTGCACTTTTAATGAGGGGGAGTGCAACCGCTTAAAAACATTACTCTTTTTTCGGCTTTTCATGTAATTTTTTTAATGGAAGAGTGAATAGGATGGAGAATGGCAGTTGAACGAGGCGCTGTACGAGCCTGGCGGTGATATTAATGATGTTATGTCACAGAGGGCTTAGTCTGGAGACTGCGGGGACGCCCGAACCCCCCCAAGGATCGCCATCGGGCCCCCTCCCCTGGTCGCCAACCAGCACGATGGAGCCACCCTGGGATTTTTCACAGATGGCGGGGCAGCCTTTCATGGGTGGCTAGCCCACTAGTTGGGCCCCCAACTGTCTGCGGTCGGCCAGCGGCAAGCCGTGCTTCGGATCCCGCTACCCTCCGCGACTAAGCTCTCGACACAACAAACAACAATACACCACCAACACGGCTAGTGTACAACACAACTATTCAGACCCATTCTCCATACGGCTTCATCAGCCTCGACATGCCGGATACATTTATAGGACATAATTATTAACTTGATTAATGAACATGCCTTAAAAATATTTATATAGTTTTATGTAAATTTTTATGCTATTTAGGGTCACTTGCAAATGGTTCTTATTTTATTCTAAAAATTATATAAACTAGGATTTAATTTGACACCAGGGAAATAGTTCATAGAACTAACTTCCTTATGATCGGCAGCTTTTCAATCTGGCTAGAGAACTACAATACAATAATAAAAAATATGTGTATATTTTATTAATTTTTTAGGTATATATTTATGTCAAAAAAATAATATGCCATCAATATCTAAACTTTAAACATTATTTTTGTTTCAAAAATAGTTTTCCAATTTGGAAACACCAGGATATGTGGGATTTGCTAACTTACCCAACCAAGTGCATAGAAAGTCAGTGAAGAAAGGATTTGAGTTCACTCTCATGGTAGTTGGTGAAAGCGGACTGGGAAAGTCCACTTTGGTGAACTCATTATTTCTCACAGATTTATATCCTGAGAGAGTAATACCAGATGCTATTGGTTTGTATTCTCATATTTTTTGTAGCACTTTATATCCAGAGGAAATATAGCAACAAAAATCTATTGGGACCTATTATTATTATTATTATAGTATATTTCCTTAATGATCCTTAAACAAACTTGAGTAATTAATAAAAAATCCATTTATACAATGTTTTACTAGAGCATAATATATACAAATGTTATATTCTTTATAATTGTTATCAGAAAAGACAAACCAAACAGTTAAATTGGATGCCTCAACTGTGGAGATTGAAGAAAGAGGTGTTAAATTACGCCTAACTGTAGTAGACACACCCGGTTATGGGGATGCGATTGATAACACTGACTGTTTTCGGGTAAGTGCATAATTCTAAGTTTTATCTACCGTACTGTCAAATTACAAGTTACAACCCTTAACTCCTAAATATATAATTAATTTAAAATTATTTATGAGAGCTGAATCTGTTTGTTGAAAATACACAACTTGGTAAATGCTAAAATACTAAAATTAATATTTGTGTGTACCATTTTGATTTCTATCCCGATAGATATTATTTTTTTACTTTTGCAATCCTATTTTTTTTTTTAATTTTTATGTAGTTATATTTGAGAGAAAGTAAGTATATATATACATATATCCTTAGGAATGTTTACTCTGAACATAATAATTATCTTTTGTCCTATGCTTATCAACTATGTAGGAGACGAACAAAGTCCATAATTGCTATTAGTCATTGAAGTATATATAGCATTTGTCTGTTTAATATTAAAAGTCCACAATTATAAGTTACTTTGTTTGCTGGCAAATAAAAGTAAGAAAATTACAACAAGGAAACAGTCACTCTTATTATAAAATATAATATAAATATAAAATATATAATAAAATTGTAACTAAGCGAATTTGTACATTAATTTTGTTTTTTGAAAAATCTTATTGAAATAAATAAACATTATTATCGATACAGAGGCCGAATCGATGGTTTTTAGAATTTTTGTCTGTTTGTCTGTCTGTCTATCTGTCTGTTACCGCATCACAGAAAAACCACTCGAGGGATTTTGATGAAATTTGGTATGGTGATAGCTTGTTATCCGGGTCAACATATACGAGTAGCATACTTTTTACTGCGGGAAAATATCTCATCTCAGAGAAATCTATGCTAAACGTTAAAACGTAACTAGGAACGAGGGTGAGTCGCTAGTATAGAATAATTAAAATTAGTACTGTCTTCGATTTATGTGAATATTTGGTGTTCGCGCCTTAAAGCAGATGTGGACATACCGCCTCACATCACCCGCATCATATTTTTTAACTGTAACCGTTGCTATAGCGACTTGTCAATATATATGTCATACATTACTCTTATAGACTTTAATAATTAAAATATGTAATTAAAAGATACAAAAATAAATAAACTTTTCAATCCATCTGGAACACCTCCGCCAGCGAACCTTCCCCACCATTTGGCATTATAAATAAAACTATCTTTCCGGATCTTTCGCGGATTTATTTTATTTTTGGTTCCCGTCGTTTCGAATAATCACGAGATAGTCTCTCCCATCGTGACCATGATTGCTGTAAATCCGCAAAAAAAAAAACCGAAAAGATAGTTTTATTTAATAAAAATTAGTTTGTTTAGTAAATTCTTTTACGTTGATATTTCAGTCTATAATTCAATATATCGACGAGCAATTCGAACGGTTCCTACGCGATGAAAGTGGCCTCAATAGACGAAATATCGTCGACAATCGCATACATTGTTGCTTTTATTTCATTTCACCTTTTGGACATGGGTATGTACTATTTTTATAATAATCTATACATATAATAAAATTCTCAGTCGAAACTGTACATTAAATATTTTTTGGAAAATCTTATTGAAATAGCCGTTATTATCGATACAGAGGCCGAATCTATACTTTCTAGAATTTTTGTCTGTCTGTTTGTCTGTGACCGCATCACGAGTAAACCACTGGTCAGATTTTGATGAAATTTGGTATAATGATAGCTCAACAAATCCCTGAGAAATCTTTACTAAACGTTATATATTTGTAGAAATTCGTATTCTATCCTATTGTTATATTTTTTTTAATTAGGAGAAACTAAATAAATTGCTGCTTATTGCTAATACCAAAAAAATTTATTTATTTATAATATAAGAAAAATTTCTTTTTAGACTTAAGCCACTGGATATTGAATTCATGAAACAATTACACAACAAAGTAAACATTGTTCCTGTTATTGCAAAAGCCGATTGCCTTACCAAGAAAGAAGTGCAACGACTAAAGACTAGGGTATGTCTGTATATCCTGTTTGTAACTCGTATAAAAATGCTGTAAGCAAATATGTAATTGACATAATATTCTCTTTCTTTGTTATACGATTGAGTTAGTCACATATTGGTAATAGAGGAAATAATGTTACAAACTTTTTTGTTTGTAAATTCATAGGTTGGATTTAATAAATAAAATGTATGTTACATTTAAACTCGTCGAGATAGTGTTTTACTCACTCTCATATGAACCGGAGGTCATAATAAATGGTTATTGACTAAATAGAAATAAATAAGCGGAGCCCAGTCTGGGGCAGGAGCTTATGAGTATATTATGTAACATGGGCATTGGACTTATTACGCTGAAATTTACTATCAAAATTATAAGTAAAATGTAAATTAAACAATTTATGATAGTAGTCATTAATATTTTATATAACATTTAAAAAAAATATATTTTATGTTATAATTTAATTAAAAAGAGTATTTTTACCCTCATAATAGTTCTCATGACATAAAAAGTTAAAATCTGTTCACTATTGGCAAAAACGTTGCTTTTACTTTTTATATATGAGTACCTATTTTCACTTTGAAGTTTACTGTTTATGAATAAAAATAATACTAATATAGAAAAGAAATATTTTTGAGAACCAATTTAAAAACTATTGTCGTTAATATAAAAAAATATGTTTAGGTGATGGAAGAAATTGAAAGGGAGGGAATCAAAATTTATCCTCTGCCGGATTGTGACAGTGACGAAGATGAAGATTATAAAGAGCAGGTTAGTTTGGATAATATAGTAATAATACCTAATAAGTAGTAATAATAATAATTTCCTAGTCAATAAGTAGTAATAACTTAGTAATCACTCAAATTTTTCATCTCAGTGCTTATTTGTTCAAACGACCAATTAACCGAAGGAGATTTTACTTTTTACTTTAAAAAGTCGAATTAAGAGATGTATTTTATATTTATTTATATGTAAATCTTATAAAAATGAGCTTTGTTTTTAAATTAGAGCAAAAATAATTCTGCTATAAAATACAACAAGTATTGTTTGTTTGAAAAAATAAAGCACCAAGATGACGATTTGGTTACTAATTACTAAAACATTATATGGTAGTACTACTGACCTAAATGTATACTTCCTTTGAATATAAAGCGGTTTATGCCCGTCTAACTAAATCGAAAGCTTTGGCCCTGATTAAAATAGATAGACACTTAACACTTTTATGCTCATAACAAAGATTTTTATCCAACAAACACCTCTCAACACTGAGAGTGCTTGAAACTGTCGATATTGACTTGAGTGAGCTCTTAGTTCTTACATCGCTGTAGACCGCAGTGAAATTGACGCGCTTATATCACTTGTGTTATTTTTGTATTAAATGACTGGATATTACAAAGGAAATTATCTAATAATTCTTAATATATGTGTGTATAAAATTCGTATTTTTTGTCTATATAAATAAAAATGAATGTTGGTCACATCACACGTCACACTTCAGCGAAGCGATGATGACTTCTAGTAAGAGATAGTTTACGGTGAAGGAAAACGTCGTGAAGAAACCTGCATGTCTGAGAGAATCTATCAAGTTTTCAAAAGACATGTCCCGTCCGCCAACCCGCACTTGGCCGGCTTGGTGGACTATGGCCTGTTCACCCTCGTATTGAAGGGAGGCCCGTGTTAAATGTTAAAAAAGGGCTGAATGCAAGAGATACTTTTATGTCGTGGTATTTGCTTAAATATGGACGTGACGTTCCTCGCAGGTGCGTCAACTGAAGGCGGCGGTGCCGTTCGCGGTGTGCGGCGCGGGCCAGCAGCTGGAGGTGCGCGGGCGGCGCGTGCGCGGCCGCCTCTACCCCTGGGGCGTGGTCGAGGTCGAGAACCCCGACCATTGCGACTTTATCAAGCTCAGGACTATGCTCATGTGAGTATGCCTCTAATACACATTGCCACTAATGTTTTAAATGCAAAAAGAACTGCCTCTATGGTCTAGTAGCTAGCATGTACGGGTGCTGATCTAGGTCCTGGGTGTTGGTGCTGTTAAGATATTCTCAGTAGCAACACGGAGTGGGCAACCTGGCAGTGGCACGGGGGTGGTGCCTCGGAGAGCACTAAAACCGTCGGTCTTGCGCCTAACTCCCACCAGTCGTATCAAACATTTTTGTCACTTGTCATTTTGCATAATATATAACGTTGTCAATTAATTCTTCTCTTGTAAAATTTGTTTTATGAAATAATAATAATAATATTCTTTATTGTACACCAAAATAAATATAAAATAAAAAAAACAATACAAAGAAAAGATGCACAGCAGGCGGCCTTATCGCTGGAAGCGATCTCTTCCAGGCAACCTTGAGGTGGAGGAGTAAATGTTCATAAAAACGGTAGGCGGTGTACTTGCTTTAACACGTTTACTATATATAAATACTTATAGATAAATAGATACATACATGGATACAAACATACATACATACATATATACATACATACATTCATACATACTTATATGCGTTAAATTTACACACACACATAAAAAAGAAAAAATCAATCAAATAATAAATAGGATTAGATACTAGAACATAATAGAGGAAATAATAATAACGATGATATTAGGAGAAAGGACTAAGGGAAAGACTTAAAGAGACATATAATAATCTTTTAATAACTTTTTAAATTTATCTAAGCTTTTAGCAGATCTAATGCTTAAAGGAATAGAATTCCACAATCGAGCAGCTTTTACTGTAAAAGAATTTGTGAAGAAACAGGAAGAGTGAGTAGGAATTTTAAGAAGGAAATTTTGAGCAGAGCGAAGTGAACGAGCATGGGAATCATCCAGAAACTCAAAACGCTCTTTCAGATAAATAGGAGTTGAAGGGTTAAACAGCACGCAGTAGAGAAGATGAAGAATATGAGTATTCCTGCGGAATCGGATTGGGAGCCACTTGAGCTTTTTACGAAATTGAGAAACATGGTCATATTTTCTAAGGCCGAAAATAAACCGTATACAAAGATTTTGGAGTCGCTCAAGTTTATTCAAGTGCTCCTCTTTGATGTCGAGATAACAAATGTCAGCATAATCAAGAATCGGTAGTAGGAGTGAATTTGCTAGCGCAATTTTGGTAGGAATCGGAAGGAAATTTCGCAATCTGCGAAGAGAAGCAATCGCTCCAAACATCTTCCGGCTCAGTTCACTCACTTGCGGATCCCATGACAGGCGTTGATCAATAAGTAAACCCAGATTTTTAACTTTTTCCTGAAAAGGAATCTGAACACCATCTAGCAATATTTCTGGTATTTGTATAGTTTTAATTTTTGACAACATCCTTTGACTGCCAATAATAATTGCCTGCGATTTCGTTGCGTTTAAGTTAAGGCCGTACGATTTACCCCATGTAGCTATAGAGGAGAGGTCTTTGTTAATATTTTCTATTGTTTGTGGTAAATCAGCCACAGATGTCACGGCATAAATTTGCAAATCGTCTGCATATAGGTGATAGTGAGAAGAAATTTGGAGACAAATAGTATTAATAAAAACTGAAAATAAGAGAGGAGACAACACGCCACCTTGTGGAACACCGGCAGTAACTTTGCACCAATCGGAGTAAGAATCTTCAATCCGAACTCGTTGCCGGCGATCGCACAAGTAAGAACGAAACCAGTCAACGACCTCAGGAGATATGTTTAGAGAAGATATAATGGCAAGCAAGATGTCAAAGTCCACCGTATTAAAAGCATTACTAAAATCTAGTAGAACCATCACAGTAAGTCTTTGATGGTCCATACCTTTCCTGATATCATCTGTTATTTTGACTAAAGCCGTAGTCGTACTAAGATTAGGACGGAAACCAGATTGAAAGGTATTTAAAAGATTATGTTTGTAGAGGAAAGCACTCAATTGCTGGTGAACCAATCGTTCGAGTACTTTTGACAGAAAAGGAAGAATAGAAATAGGACGATAATCAGAAAAAGAAGATGGACTAGATATTTTAGGAAGAGGAAAGATTTGCCCATCTTTCCAGGAAGAAGGAAATTGATTGAAATTAATTGAAGAATTTAAAATGGTAGTAATAATAGGAACGATATAGTCAAGAACGGGAAGAATCATTTTACGGCTTATACAGTCTGCCCCAACCGCATTAGATTTTATTGCCATAATATTTCTCTTAACATCACTTTCGGAAAATTGACTAAAAGAAAAACGGGGAAAATCAGGAGTAGGTAAAGTTGAAAGATAGTTGAGTGTGTTTAATTTATTTGTACTATTAACAGTAGTAGAAGAAGAGAAATGCTGATTTATCAGATTTAAATTTATATTGTGCGGATTTATATTTTGCTTAGATTTACCTACTCCAAGGGATTTGAGAAACTTCCACATTTTATTTAGATCATCCTCTTCGATGATAGATTTATAGATATGGCGTCGTTGACTATCCCTACACACTATATTGCAACGATTGCGAGCCTTAATATATTTGGCCTTATTGTCATCATTAGGATTAGATACGTACTTTGACTTCGCTACAAATTTTTTTCCTTGGAGTTTTTTGATTTCAGGAGTAAGCCACGGAGCCGGAAGATGCTTCATACGAACAGGGCGAACCGGAGCATGGATGTCATACAGTTGGGTTAACAGCGAATTAAATATTGATACTTGCTCATCAACTGTGCTTGCATTAAAAACAGCCGACCAGTCGATATTTTCAGCATCTGCATGTAATCTATCTAAATTGATACCACTAAAATTGCGCTGCAGAAGGATTCTTGATTTTGCTTTTGGCGGTTTTAATTTATAAGATAAATATATAAGATCATGGTAAGAAAATGGGGCAGAGCACTGGCCATGTTTTGCAACAAGGTCGGTGGAAGATACAAAGATTAGGTCAAGAAGAGAAGGTACGCAATTTGGAAATCTATGAGTGGGATTTAGTGGGAGAATATTTAAATCGGCTGCATTTATAAGAGAACAAAGTCAATTAGCTCTATGATCATTTTTTTGAAGACACGTGTTGAAATCACCCATCAACAAAGTGTGATCATACAAAGGTTTAAATTGCTCTAACAGGGTTTCAAATGATGAGAAATAATCGATCGTATGACTCGGATTGTAATAAACGCCCAGGAGTATTTTAGAGTGAGATAATGCGATCTCAATAAAAAGATGTTCGGTATCTACGTTCCCCTGATGTTGAGACATGCTAACAATTGAAAAAGGAATATGAGAACGTAGATAAATGGCTACTCCACCTCCTGTACGTCCTGTGCGATCATTTCTAATTAAATGAAACCCTGGGAGAGAGTAAGATGTTGAAGGAAGACATGGTTTAAGCCATGACTCTGACACTAATATAGCGTGAATGTTTTTACTTGTAAAAGATGACAACATATCAGGATAGTGCGCTGGAATACTCTGAGCATTTATGTGAACCAGATTAAAATTTTTCAGAACATCTGAGAAATGTAAATCGAGAGTCTCGCCAAGTGAAAGGATACTGTGAAAACTATCGTTGCTGCTATCGCCTTCAGATGTAGTGCAGGATAAGAAGGAATTATTTAGGCTAATATCATTCGAACTCATAATATATGTATGTTAACTGCCTCGGTGGTGTAGTGGCTAGCATGTACGGTTGCACACCCGGAGGTCCTGGGTTCGAGTCCCGGGTCGGGCCAAGTTTAGTTATTGAGTCTTCCTGTATAGTAAGTCTCAGTAACAGCCCGGAGTTGGGAAGTTGGCGGTGTTTCACCCCCGTGCCTCGGAGAGCACGTAAAGCCGTCGGTCCTGCGCCTTAACTCTCACCGGTCGTGTCGAGTGGTCGTGCCACCGGAGTATGAGAGTGATAGGAATAGAGAGTGCACTTGTGTCTGCGCGTACACTTGAGCACTATAATATCTCCTGCGCAGTTGGCTAATCTCATTGAGATTGGCCGCCGTGGCCGGAATCGGCTAGGAGAACATCATCATCATCATCATATGTATGTTATGATTATATAAAATTAATATAAAATAAATAAAATATATATGTATAGTTTTAAAACTAGATAAATAAACAAAATAAAATATTATATTAATTCAATAACTTCTTATGTAAAGATAATAATAAAATAAAAATAATATAAGTAACAAGTAAATACTACTCACCCGCCAGTTGCGAGAAAGAAGAAAAATTTCACAACGTAAAAAAAAAACAAACATGAAATACAGAAGAAAAACAAAATAAATTAAATAAATTAGGTAATAGGCATTAAGATGAATATATAAACTAAATTACTAAAAGAAACAAATAAACTCAAACAATAAAACTAAACAAAACCCAAAAAAAAAAAATTGATAAACAATGACAAAAAAAAGTTGATATTTGACAGATTTGTATCGTGTGTACAGAACTTAAAATTTCATAAGCAATAAAATATTATCTACGTTACACTTTGTTCATATAATCTGTCACACTATTGTCTATACCATAAAATAATTGTAGTGCGTAAACAATATTAAATATTTAATATGGCCTAATACCTAAAACATAAAAGTTAAACGTATGAAACAAAAGGAAAATAAAATAATTTTAACTATTTTTTTACTATTCGTTTAACGCGAGAAGCCACCACTTTGTCTGTTGTTTTGGGAACTGATACGTTCTGCGGCGATTTAACTGGATTGCTCGGAATTACACTAGTTTACACTCCACACGATGCCGAGACCCATCCGGAGCTATAATGTGGATGCACCCATCCCGAGTCCAGCACTTGGTGACACCAAAACGCTGCATTGCCTCCAAAAACGCTTCGTGCCTACTCTTCGTGAGGAACTCCGACTGGGTGAAACCAGTGCCTTTGAGTTTGGTTTTGGCGAACCACACTTTATTACGCACATTAACATCGCTAAATTTCACTACGATAGGCCTAGGCTTGTCGGCGGGGCGGCCTAAGCGATAAGAGTCTTTAATGCTTTCGGTAGAAAAGTTCTGCAGATCGAGATGGTCAGCGATCAAACTTGTGATTCTGGCTGCACTATCTTCATTTTTAATCTCTGGGACACCGTGGAAAAGAATCATCTTACGCCTTCTTCTCATTTCATGCCGGTCAACCTCTAAAGCAAGATATTCAACTTGACGTTGCAAAGTGTTTAGCACGGAAACAATGAAGCTCCTGAAGTTATTAAATTCAGTTGGCAGGGCGCTAGATGAAACAGATGACGAAGTTTTATGCAAGTCTTGCTGAAATTCATTCATCCGGGCGTTAAACATATCAGTCAGTGTAGACAAAGACTCCTTGATGGATTCCATAGTTATGGATGTATTAAATGTTGATTTAAGTGAATAAGTACGAGGAGTATTCTTGCTGGTGGGTAAATAAGTACTCACATGCACATATTATGTTAAAATAGTGTAAATATATAACTTAGTTCTCAATTTTAAATTTAAATAAATCAGCTGATTGCGAATTGACGTGTGTTGCGTCTCACTCCTACCCTCAGAAAAAGAAGTTACAATGAAATGTACCTTTGACATTAATTTCTTCAAAGTAATACATTACATAATAGGCATGCGTAACCACGGGAAAGCGCTTATTGGTCACGGTGTGTTTTTTCAACTATACCTATATTGTGTAAGGAAATAAAAAAGTGTTGTTAATTAAATATCCAATATGTTATTGCAGCACGCACATGCAGGACCTGCAGGAGGTGACGCAGGAGGTGCACTACGAGAACTACCGCTCGGAGCGTCTCGCACGCAACGGACAGATACCCAAGCGACACACGTATGTAACGTACAGATAAATAAAATTGAAGTGTCTGTTTGTAATGTCAAAATAACATCTTTTTACTAAATGCTTATGAAATTATATACTGTACTTATAAGAAAAACACATTTTTTTAATTTTTTGTCTGTCTGTTTGTTCCGGATTATCTCTGAAACGGCTGGGGCTTTCACTAGAAGATTGCTGATGTGATAGGGAGTAACATAGGTTACTTTTATTTTAGAAAAAGAATTAGTGTTCTGCTCAAAAAAATGAAAACGTATCTAGGGACGAACCCGTGCGAAGCGAGGGTGAGTCGCTAGTTGTACATATATAAACAATGGGACAAGAAATGGCGGCTTATAGGATCTGTATTCAGCCCTTTTTGACATCTCACTGCTGGGCACGGACCTCCCTTCAATACGAGGGGGATCAGGCCATCGTGCACCACAAAGTTCAAGTGCTTAAAGGTGGACTGCACATGTCTTTCGAAAACTTGCAAGGTTCTCTCAGACATGCAAGTTTCCTCATGACGTTTTCCTTCACCGTAAGACAACTGACAATCATGTTGGAAATGTTTCGTACGTGAAAATATCAGAAGTGCGAGACCCGGGATTTGAACCCGCTTCACTCGGTTTCCCGAGCGAGTTGCCATTGGGCTACCACTGTGCTAAGTGTTGTAAATCTATAGTAACAAAATATTATGATGGAATAATGGATAATTATTTATAAAAAATAATCGTGGTTTTATTAGGTATTGTTATTGTTAAAATTATTATGATATGTTATTTTGTTTAAAAAGTAATCAAATATAAAAAATGAAACTAGCAAGTTTAAGACGTTATATAGGAAAGATTTGTGCACATTTTGTAGCTTCGTGTACTTAGTGAAGATATAGGTTAATTTTTTTATGTCCACAAAAAAAATTACCTATTAAGAATATTACATACATACATACCTTGAAATTAAAACTTATAGTGTCTTTTATTCGAAAGACTAGTTGCTCATTACATACATACATATAATGACATTTATTATAATATTATCTTCGCAATAATCATAAGTATGTAATATAGTATACATATGTGTTCATTTTTTTTAATTTTTTGAACTGTTATTTATTATTTATAAGTATTTTTTAATTTATTTAATAATGTATTTTCTAGTTCCACCGAGAGTGGCCTAAGCGAGTCAGACTCCGGCCTTACCAACGGATCTAACGACGACGCCACGGAACGCGAACGAGCTCTACGTGAAAAGGTAAATCATTGTTTGAAACAGTTTAAACATAAATAGCCTTATATTATAATTTGCCAACTAAAAAAAAGACGTTCATCCAAACGCACGTTTTCCGAATTGTGATATTGACGATTCTTTTTTAAAGAATATATTATAGCTAAATTGTGTTAAAAATCGACTAACCTAAAGATAGATTAAGTAGGTACTTTTAATTTGATTTGAAGTCGGAATATATTTTAATTGAATACGTATCACTGTAATCATGTTAAACCCATCATTCTACATTAATTTATTGTTTTACAATTATCAATAGACTTATTCAATAACCTAATATCTATTATCTGTGAAACGCAGGAGGCGGAACTCCGTCGCATGCAAGAGATGCTGGAGCAGATGCAGCGCCAGATGCAGCTGCAGGCGGCCGCCAACACCACATCCGCATAGTGCACCCGCGCCGCACAGGTGCTTATATCTAATATATAAAATTCTCGTGTCAGTGTTTGTAATAAAACTACTCCGAAACGGCTTGATCGATTCTTGTGAAATTTTGTGTGTATATTCAGTAGGTCTGAGAATAGGACGCAAACTATTTTTCATACCCTTAAGTGATAAGGGTGGTCCACCCTAAAAAAATAATTTTTGGACAATTTTTTTTTATGATTCAGCTTTAAAAATACATACAAACCTAAATTTTCTTACAATATAATACAATTTTATTACAATATTATACTAACTTTTTACCCTAGGATGGATGTCCATTTGATTTCTTTTGTTTCAAACCCGATAAAGTCACTCGATGTGAAGTTTTTTTATAATAGTTTTTCTTAATAGAATGATTTAAAAATGTATGAAATTGGATTGTTGTATGTAGTTATAAAAATTAAATATCTTTTAATAATATAAAAATCAAGAAAATTCTTTCACTTATACATCTGGCAATTTTTAAACGAACTAAAGCACATATATTTTGATCAAAATGAATAAAAATATATTTAAAAAAATAATCCGTCGTAAATTATTATTATTATTTTTTTAGCTGGAAACTGAGAGGGCGATCCAGCTGGCGGAAGCTTGCGACGTAGTCACCTCCATACTACGCGTCATACCCTATTGTATCACATCCACCTAATGGACAATGTGATAATATACGTATGCATCTCTCTAAATATCTGCTTCTGCCATTTCATACAATCAACTGCAAAAGTGATATAAACAAAAATATTCAAATATATTACATAAACTGACAGCTGTGGATAATAAAAGGTGCTAGCGAATACAGCGAAATAATAGGCGAATAGCAATGAAGTCGATGTAGTGAGTAGTTTCTTATAAATATTAAAACAAAATCAGATTATTAATTTTATACACAATGCCCATGTTACTACTATGTTATTATCCACAGTGAGAGTTTATACTTTATAGCGGTAGAATTGTAGCTAAAACACTTGTTGTCTCTAATTGTACTTATTATCGCACTAAAGTCCATATAAATCTGTTTACAGCGACCACAATATGGGTGCAGTGTCTTATACTAAGTAGCTATAAAGTTTTAGACAAGTATAGATCTGATATAATAATAGCTCCCGTCGCATTAGCTACTCAACAACTTAACTGGACATTGTTGGTTAAGATATTTAAAATGATTGATGTCAATTTATATATTAAATTATATCGTCCAGGCCATTAACCCTTAGACGCTATTAGATAGATTCGAAGTTCCATATTCGTTTCCATTATTATGTAATACTTGTAAGGAAATTGAAAATATAAATATGATAAATATTCCAACAATTAATTACTATAGTCCATTTTCTTAACGCGAATGAACTATAGTTTCTAATATTATTAACAGAATTATGTTTTAATCAATTTACTAATGGATATTATCTTAGAATAACAATTTCATTATTCTGGCTTAGAAAAAGTCTAACACTATTGCACTCATCATTAAAGAGGTCTCATACAATAAATGTCTGACGTAAGTGTAAGCTTTTAGTTTAAAGTGAATGTTGACTGCAAAAATTGCTTTTTTACTTTGATTATTATCTAGACTAAATCCTAACTAATTATTAACATTAAAATTTGTGATGTATCTACGAGTATAAACTTAAGTTTGTTACAGTAGATGTTTCGATAATTTTTAAAGTATGTTCCGACAATCAATTAAAATGACATTATCGAATCTTAATGTGATGTTGTTGTATAATTGTATTAAACTGCTAACTCCATTTTGATAGAAATAAGAATATCTTGACATTTTATTTTATACTATCACTGGACTTATTAGCTTAATACAAGATGCTACAATAGTAGATGATATTCAAAGCATTACAATTAATAATGCGTATATCAAAACTTAACAATAATAATGAATATCCTATATTTTATTAGATTTATTCATATATTTCGAGAATTTTATGAGTATTAGTGTTAAATAAATATATTTGCAATAATAATCAAATTTATAATTAGTTATAGTGTTGCTTATCAATAACATTTTTTGTGTATTATTTAAATATTTAATCATACAATTTGCAATTAATTTGCTATTGCTTTAAACAATGTTTCTTCTTTTAACATTATACTGAAAAAGATCAAGTCCAGCGCTCAAAAGTATTAGTTAATTTTTTATAATTTGAAATACAAAGTTGCAATGACAATACACATTTAATAATTTAGTAAGTTGTTTTGGAATTAGAGCAGTTCTTGTCATATTATTTCAAAGACTTTGTTTAGTAATAAATAAATCATTTTTTATTAGATTCAATGTATAATAAATCGTATTTGTGATGTTGATAAACACCTGTGTGATGATTTAATAGCAATGAGTTTAATTTTCTAATAATTTTAAGTACTTTTTGATTACTTATTCATTCATTCGCACGTGTTTTATTAATTAAAAAGATTTGACATATATTCAGCTCTACATGAATTGAAATTAAATCTTACACTATACAGGTGATTATATAAATTGATAAAATTTGAACAATTGTCTTTGTTCCTAGAGCTGTATCATTGCAATATTATAATGAGCAAAATAAGCAAAAGAAACATTCATAAGGTTTTATTTATTGACCATAGATTTGAAATTGTGAAACTCGATATATATAGCTGAGTATATGCATGTTTTCATCAATCTTTACCATATGTTATTATTTTAAGACTAAAAAATATGTTCCCACTTATTAATAGTATTATTTTTAATATATTTTTAATTGACTGATTATGAATCTTCCGTTTGTATTAACTGAATATTATGTATTTTCAATTATTATGTTTAGTTAAGAATTGTAATCGTATTATTATATTTCATTTGTATTCTTTAGTTATAATGGCAATGAGAGAAGTGTATTTTGTGAAACAATGAATCAGACATGGAGAAAATTCGAAATATCTGTACTTAAAATTATTAGCACATCTCGAATATTGAGATCAACTTAGTACTAGGAAATTACTTTTACAAACTGATAAAACTTCTAATAAAAATTGGCCTCCTGTAAATGTTTAAAATAATATTCCATTTTCGGTGCATTTATAAAATAATACATAGACTTAGGATGGAATAGAGATGAAACTTTAATCTTATTAGTGATGTGAATAAAGTCATGACACTAGAATATGAATAAGTTAATTGGCTAGAATATCATTATAGATGTAATTGGTGCCAAAGTTGTGAGGCAATGGTTGGGTTCTGAAAGTTTTATGAACAGGAATTGTCAACGAAATTTGACTATTTATCATATTCTTAAACCAAATTATTACAATGAAACTATGTAATCATATTTTTATATAAAATAAACTATAAATAAATATTAGTATTTTTAATACTTTCTTAGATTTACGCGAATGTTTGACATTATTAAATAAAACTATCTTTTCGGATTATTTCGCGGATTTATTTTGATTTTTGGTTCCCGACGTTTCGAATGCTTTACAGCATCCATGGTCACGGGAGAGACTGAGGTGTTACATGTCTTAAAGATATAGTTGTTACAGACAGCCTACCCACAATTAACAAAATGAAAATTGCACCAATTACATTACAATATTTTTTAACTTAAAACATTTTTATAATCATAAAAATGCTTTACTACAACCAAATCTGAGAAGAACAAACCTATGGTACGCCGATGACATCTGCTTTCGAATTCTGCAGCAGAGTTGAGTAGCGTGCTGGAGGATAAGATGCTTGAGCACGCTACTCAACTCGATAGGGCAGACATAGGGCGAGTCTCGAGGACGAACTTTATGCGACCGACAGACGTTGACTGACGGCCACTGTATGATGAGCCAGCTTGGTAGAGCTTCGAGTAATCGTTTCATGGAACTTCGGTCACTTATGAAATTAAAAAAAGACGTAAGTTCGACTTACAAAATAGTATCAGTTTTTTTAACCGACTTCAAAAAAAGGAGGTTATCAATTCGACACGTATGTTTTATATGTTTATATTATTATTGTAGTATTGTTGATCGAAGAGTATTGGAACTGCAAAATATTCGTTTGAGGAGCATTTCACGTGAAGCGGACAACGAAAAAAGTGTGGTTCTGAAATTCGTTCATAGTAGGATTTAGGCGTATTTGTACCTCTAGTGAATATGAACAAGTGTGTCAAGCTATGGCATTCTAAAGAATAGATCAGTTGAAGGAAGGATATTGGTCTTAAAGGAGTTTACTCCATAAGAATCGATTTTCATATAAGGCCCCACGTATGGGAATTTACTGAGTGAAATACGAATAAGCTATACTGAGTAGAATCATGTACAAAGAATGGTTGAAAATTCTGTTGTAGTAGAACTAAACCTAAAAAAATATTTCAAAACTAGAACCTAGAAACTGGATTACGTACGTATACACATACGTGTATAGAATTTAGATATTTAGTTTAGATTTTTTTACTTTTACACATAACTGTAGAGGTTTGTAGTTTGTACATTATTGTAAATTGTAATACAGAGCTATAGAATTAGATATATATACTAATGTAGGTATATTGACAAACGAATGGTGTATGTCAGGGGGTGTGAAACTCACCTACCCTACCCCAGCCTGCAAATTTATGATATTTGCAATAAAAAAAATACTAATCGATAGACCAAAAAAATTGCAGCTGCAAATCGACTATCTATGTCAAAATCATTTTTAACAACAATTGAAAACTTACCTGATGCAGCACAAACTTTAATTAAATTACAGTTAAAGTGGAAAAATAAACCAAGAGGAAGACGATACACCATTGACGAGAAAATAATGGCCTTGACTATATTAAAACAAAGTCCTAAAGCATATAAACTTTTAAATAAAATGTTTGTTTTACCCTCAAAGCGATGTTTACAGAAAATTCTAAGTACATTTACACAGGTATCAATAAAAATATACTAGAAAATTTAAAAAGACATGTAGAACGCCTACCAGAAGAAAAAAAATTAGTAAATCTACTATTTGACGAAATTTTGTTAGCCCCTGGTCTTGTGTACAATGCATTTTTGAATGAAATTGTAGGTTTCCAAGATAATGGCATTACAAAAAGTGGTGATATTGCAGATCGTGCCCTTTGTTTTATGATCAAGGGCATTAAAAGCATGAAAAAACAACCCATTTGTTTTACTTTTACTAAAGGTGGAACTAAAAAAAGTGACTTGAAGGCCCTGTTATTAATTGTAATAAAAGAATTAAATGCAGCAGGGCTCAAAGTAGTAACTAGAATTTGTGACCAATGTCCCACAAATGTTGCAGTTATAAAAGAATTAAGAGAAGAAACGAGAAAAAAATATGACATTGAACAAAACCTACAAATGCACTTTGAGGTAAATAGCATGAAAGTGTTCCCATTGTTTGATACACCCCATTTGCTCAAAGGAATTAGAAATAATTTATTAAATAAAGATGCAAAATTTATTGAAAATGGACAAGAAAAGTGGGCAAAGTGGGAACACCTAAAAATGCTACTGGCCATTGACGTTGGTGATGATGAAATTCGTCTAGTAAATAAGTTAACCCAAAATCATGTAAATAAGGATAAATTAAAAAAAATGAAGGTTAAGTTACCTGCACAGGTATTTAGCCAACGAGTATCTGCTGCACTTCGATTTTCAGCAAGTAGGTATAAGTTCTTCTATTTTTTGAAAATGCAGTAAATATGATGTGTTTCATAGTACTGGTATACAGTTATATTATATCAAATACTGTATTCTTATTTTATTTTTTCTAAAATATCAACTTCTTTAAATTTTTATGTCCTATTTGTAATGTTAATCCTATAGTGAGTTCATGTCTTCCATGATAAACTTGTTAATCTAATTGTTTTAATTTATACCTAATGTAATGTCTATCTTCTTTTACAGAACATGGAATATTACCCGAAGAGTGTAATGGAACAGCTGATTTTCTTTTGATTTTTGATAAATTATTTGACTCTTTTAATGGTCATTCCTACAATGATGAACATAAAATGTACAAATGTTGTATAAAAAAAAAATCACCCCACTTCCAATTGTGGGACAAACTGATTCCGATTTTAGAATCAATTAAATTTAAATCATTACATAGAAGAAATGGTGTTGATGAAATAAAATATGAATCGATTCCATCAATTAGAAATTGGGTTGGGAATATGAAAACATTTAAGGAATTATGGGAGTATTTATCAGTTAATCATAAAATAACTAATTTAGTAGCTAGAAATTTTAATCAGGATCCATTAGAAAATTTTTTTAGTAGTATTAGAAGTAATGGTGTCAGAAATATCAATCCTAATTGTAATCAATTTATGAATGCTTTCAAAACGTTGATTGTCAATAATTATAATTGTGAAGAAGATAAAAATACTGGATTGCAATCACTATCATATTTAATTCTAAATAATCCTAATGATTCTCAAACTGTTAATTATGCAACTAATATTGATTCATTGCTAAATGTTATGTCAGATATTAAAAATAATGATAATCTATTGCATGCTGAATCAAAAAAATATGTTACAGGGTATGTGATTAAGAAATCCAAATCAAAAGTTTTCAAAAATTGTGCTACCTGCTTAAATGATTTATGTCGATCTAATGTTGATTTTGATTCATTTAATTATGAAATTGATTATACTAAAAAATCCCTCTTTCACCCAAGTGATCAATTGTTACATTTAATGAATAATATGTATTACGTGATTGTTGCATGTCTTCGGGATAATCCAACATCAAAATACTTAAAAGATCAAATTAAATATTTCATTGATTTTGCATGTGATTTTAGCATAATAACTTGTGAGAGGCATAGAGTTGATTTGGTTGATTTTATTTGCAATCTTTGTTTTAAGGTGATTGTATACAGTTGGTGCCTGGGAGTAAATCGATTATTAAATGGAAAATTATCAAATTTTGATAGGAATGACCATGTAAAAAAACAAGCATACGATTATTATAATAAAAGACGAAAATATACAAAAGTTTTATAAATTCTATATGGTACTGGTGTTTTATTTTTAAACCCTCGATTTTCTGTTAATAGGTAAAATAGAATTAATTTGAAATCAAAATTGTATTACTTAAAACACAAAAAAATAGAAAATATTCCAAATGTACATACTTGTTACTTTTTGATGAAATACTTTTCACACTATTTCCACTAATTTATTAATATAAACTGTTTATATTAATAAATTAGTGGAAAAAGTGTGAAAAGTACATATAGTATAATATTGAATAATTATTATCGTTCTGGTTAAAAATAAACAGCGCCATCTGTAGTATTATTATAGAAATAAAATTGTATGTGCACGCCATCTGTCGGTGGGCGAGGTTGCGATACAACAATTTTATTTTTAAAGTGGCGTATCTATACCAGTATATGTGTATAATTTATGGTGTATGTCCTAGTAACTAGATGGCGTTGTCTAAGAAATGCTTAAATACAATTTAAATGCTTGCTTGTCCATCTCTAGTATAAATAGTAGTATATACTCACAAACTTTACCTCTATGAAATATTAGTATCTAAGATGTATATGGTATAGTTAAAATATTATACATCAATTTGTGATGTATTTATACATCTCGCAATAGATTTGCACAGGTTGACACCGACTTTGAAAATATCTGATTATTAAGTATCTATAGTAAATGAAAATCCTCATTCAATTAAACTTTTACTTTTTAGTGCATTTTAGAGTACAATTAATTTTTTTTAAATAGTTTTTTATTCATATAGCAATTTTTGACTAGTGTCAATTGATTTTGGCATATTTCGACCGCCATATCAATTTGTGTTGTATGTTGTCAAACAGTCGAATTTTTCTTATTTATTTCATTTACACCTAAAAATATGGCTATAGTGGAAGACGAAGTGAGAAATGGTTCCGAAGAAGAAAATGAAATAGAAGTAGTCGTAGAAGAAGATGACGCAGACCACGATTCTGACGACTCTGATGTAAGTATTTCTTCGATTTTAGTTCAAGAATGTAACAATAAGGTTAATGTGATTATTTTTTGTTAAAAATTTTGCAGGTACCTACATTAACACATATTTAACAATATACCATGGAATTGAAGCGATTTCTTGAGAAATTTCAATTTGTTTATTTCACTGTTATATACGAAAACAATAGGTATGAGTCTATTCAAAGTGAACATGAGGTTATAGTTAAACTTGAAAATTAAATTATAAAGCAACAAGACAAGCATGTCAAATTTATCTATATTTAATAATTTTATGGTTTTATATAAAATTCATAGTCAGTATTTTATGCATATTATAACTTAACTAAACTGTAGAACAACATTGAACTATGTTACATTAATTGGCATAAATTAAAACCTCATTATTTTTACCCGTTTAGGGTATTGTAGATCGCTAGAGACCCGAGCCATTTTTCTTTTGTCGGTTCTTAAAACCAAGGAAGGGATAAATACCTATCTGCACTCTAAAAAACTTTAGTACACTAGGACCCTATAAGCTCAATCACGCTTTCCTAGAACCGATCTGGCCTTTGAAACAAGCAAGCAAAGTGCTTGTGGGGTCGCCAGCGACCCATGATACCTTTAACTGTGATGTAAAACCTTTTAGAGTGACAAGATGAGTTTTTTTTACCATGTGTGATTCGAAAAAAGAAAGGAAAACCATCAATTGCGAAATGTAAGTCGCCGATTTGCGATGAGCATAAATTTTTATAATATTTCAATATATGTAAAACATGTAAACATAAAAATATATTGACTTATTTCTTGAATCTTTACTTTCCTCTTTCGAAATATACACTACTTGACACCACAAACTTAAGCATTCCTTTTGCTTTAATCAAGTCCTCGATTTTTTTGGTAAAAACACGATTCGAAAACTTTATTTACGCAATTTAGATATTTCGAATACCTCAATTTGTTCAAAAGTTATTAATTTTTTAGTCAATGTCTGCATTTATGCGAAGTGGCTATGTTTATGACGAAAAATAAAATATTCGTTAAAAATTTTTTGCAATCTTCATGGCATGCCCTTAAAGTATAAGTATTCAAGAGTGTTCAGGAATTTTATCAGGTTGTTTTCATTAAAAATTGCGAGTTTTAATATGGCTCGGGTCTTCAGCGACCCATGATCCCCTTAATTGGGACAGAAAAAAGCAATACCCTGAATGGGTTAAAGAAGAATATGTCTTAAAATTAAATAAACGGTGGTTTAGAATGATTGGTATAGAAAGAATATCAATTAGATAAATATATATAGTTTACTTATTTGATATCTATCAATGAGAACAATATTAATTACTAGCAGATCACCCTCGCTTCGCAAACCTTCGAAAAACAAAAACAAATCTATCACACTTTTTTACCCATCATTTTAATAGAAGTTGTGCCTGTAATTTTTACTTTATTTAAACTTACTCTAACTAGTCTAAGTGCAAATATCTTTAACAGGACGATGATGATGATGAGATAATGGAAAAGAAGGTGGCCGAACTAGAACAAAGAATAGAGGAAGACCCTTACAATTACAATGATCACATAGAACTAATACAAGCACTCTGGTAAGTAGAAAATTTTCAATGAAAATGTTTAAAATCTTGTATAAAATATGTACATATATAATTTTTTTAACAAAAGGAATATATAGTTATACTTCTTCACTATGTATATAGTTTGAGGTATATTAAAGATATTTTCTTTAAAAATGGGCATTTTGTCTCTGAAAGTACTGAGTCTTAAATGTCGAAACATGTAATGTAGTATATGGCCTCAGTCGTACTTTAGAAAGTTTTGACGAAAGCTATATTGTTATAGTTATATTACTTTATTTTTTTATGATCCCATAGAGTACAGATTCTTCTTCATTTTTGTTCAATTAGCACTTTATCAATTGTTCTACATTAGTTCATTATCAAATATGTAGTTTCAATTAGATATTTGTTTTTAATTTAAATTGCTATAATACAACAATATTTTGAAATTTATCTATTATTTATTTGTTCACACATACCTACCTAATGAAATAACAATGATGTAATACCTATAAAAACAACAAAGGTTAAAAGTGACCATTATTTATTATTTATGATGATAATTATTAACATTTTAGGAGCATCTCAGAGCTTGACCGATGGCGGGCTGCTTTTGACCGCTTACATCAGCTGTCATTATTGCGTGCAGAACACTGGCTCTTGAGACTGCAGACTGAAGAGACTCTAGCTCACTCTCCACAGTCACGAGAACACATAGCTAACCTGTTTCAACAGGCGACTTTGGATTGTTATTGTAAGATTCATAAAAAAGTAATGGCTTAAAGTTGGGAGTTTTTTTTTTTTTTTTGATTGTTATTTTCTCATATTTTCTGCTAACAGCCTATAATGGCTCAACAGATATAAATAAAATTTGAAATTTGGATAGCTTACTTACTCCAGGTAATATAGCTTGTATATTCAATTTCATTCAAAACTATCCAGCTATTTCACCGTGAAGGATTAACAAACATCACACAAACATTCGCATTTACAATTGAAGTCCAATTAAAACCACAAGCCATAAGCAACTTAACATAAGTATTATTTTTTATTTCTATTTTGCGGCTATTTCGTGTCACTGCGACCACTTCTGGTCTATTGTGATCGTCGCTTTTTATAGAACATAAGCAAGCGATCGCGGGTTCGAGCCCCGCTGGGGGCATTCATTTGTGTGATGAACACGAATGTTTGTATTCCAGTCATGGGTGTTTATATTTATAATATGTATGTATTTAAAGTTATACATGTCTAGTGTATCAACTGTCTGGTATCCATAACACAAGCCTCGCAGCTTACCATGGAACTAGATTGTGCTGTGTGTTGATGTTCCAACATATTTATTTATTATTTCAGCCATACCAATCCTCTCTGAGTGGTGCTCGTGGTCGCTGAGCGCAGGCGAGGCGGTGTCTGCGCGGGCGCAGCTGGAGGAGGTGCTGAGACGCGCGGGCGCAGACCCACTCTCGGGGAAGATATTCTGGGACGCTAAATTGGAACTGGAGAAAGCTAAATTGGATAGTATGAAGTGAGTTGTTAATCTGTGTTAAACTTGATATAATGTATGTTGATGTTCTTCTTCTTAACATATAAAATTTCCGTGTCACGATGTTGGTCCGCGATGAACTCCGAAACAACTTATGCGATCTTAATGTATTTTTTTTAAATGTGTGATTCATTCAAACATAAAAGATAGGATAATTTTTATCCCGACTATTTCCTTTTTAATTGCAATATTACTTTTCATATTCGGGTTTCGGAGAGAGAACCTGAAAAACGGCTACCCTAAGCTGCAAATTATACCCCCATTCTAAAAAATAAAAAAAATATTGGTACATTAATACACAGCACCATCTAGTTCTATGGTAAGCTACGAGGCTTGTGTTATGGACATCCGACTGTTGATACACTACACATATATGACTTTAAATACATACATATTATAAATAAAAATATTATAATTATAGCCGCTGCTAGTGTTTAAAAACCGGGTGTATATAAAAATTTGATCTGAAGCAGCTTCAAGAAATGATATAATAACGTAGTGACACACATTCTCAAATTTTAATAAGAATATTTTGTCTGGGGTTCTTTATTTCAATATTCTTGGGTAGCATCATCCATTAATGTTCTTTATAATTATCTATTAATGTAATTGTTTACATAATAAAAATACTACGATACTTGTTATTGTGCATTCCTCGCCTTGTCCGGGCAGATGGTGAGAGAGCTATTGCTGAATTTGAGTGTAAATAAGTATTTTTGCGGCTGGCAACCACCTTGTTTTATCCATCCTGAGCTTCCGTACTACGAATATAGTTGCATTTTATCCACTTCCTGTTTCACCTACCTTCCCCACCAGGTAGGAGCAGGCTTGTCTCCTAAATTTATTCTATCATTGCGTTGTTGAACTTCGCGGTGTAAAGACGTGTTTAAAGGTAATTCTGTCGGAATCTAATAGTCGACATGAGTACCAATAGGGCTGGCAACTCAGGGCGACTGCCGAGAAGACGAAGTCAAGAAAATCGAAGGAGAACCCGATCATCGTACGATTCCAGTGGCACGTCAAGCACGGATAGCTCCGTCGAACGAGCTAATTGGCGCCATAATAAGATACGCAAGAAGGATGCGGGTATGTCTATTTTAAATCAGTTATGTAACCAAGTCCAAGTTTGAATAATATGGCACAACAAACCGTACAACCGGAAGTTAATCATCCGGAAGCCAATTTGATCAAAAGAAGTCAATCAAATGACCCAGATTTACTTGAAAATAATGATGATTTTGTTTTTCAATCCTTGCATACTACTTTAAAAGACACGGGGATTGGAAAGACTAATGACGAACATTTTAATATTATTAATAATTTGCAACGTTTTGGTTCAAATGATTGGTTTAATATTAATTTTATTGAAACACAAAAAAATTACATATCGAAACCTGGTTTTATAGAACTAGAAACTAATGACGACCTAAAGCCATTTGATAAAAATAAGTTTCTACCCTCGTGTGAACGCACATTATCCGCGTTATGAAATGCGATTTTAATACAAAGGAACATGTTACAAAACAATGTAACTAAATTAATATCATGGGTTCATGATTTGGAATCTGTATCGTATGAAGATTTTAGTAATAAAATTAAAGAAATCTTTTGTGATGACAAGGAGTTTAATAAAATTTCTAATGATATAATGCAGATAGTATGTGGAAAACGAGCATCTATTATAGGTAACCGTAGAAATGAACTGTTAAAATCGGTGCATAACAATTTTACGGTCGATAAGTTGAAAAAAATACCACCCTCGTATGAATTTTTATTTGAACCGGAACAATTCGATAAATTAATTGAAAAAGAAGGAGGAGCGTCAAAAGTATTTGCTAAATTACAGCCTGCTAAGAAAAATTATGTAGCTTCTTCTAAACTACCGACTTTTAAACCTCAAGTAAAAAATCAGTTACAATCATTTTGTTCACTAAATAGTAATATAAGTTCAAGTTCAACCAAATTTCAAGATTGCTTATTTCGAGGAAAACGAAGCTCACAATCTAAAAAGTCATATTCCGGTCGGAGTCATGGCAGTACAAATAAAAAGCGTCGTGAATGACTCGAACAGGTTTCAAGCGGGTCGATTAAAACTTTTCCTATCTCGATGGGTAACAATAAATACACCTACTATAATTTTAAAAATGATATCGAATTTTCGAATACCTTTCATAAAGAAACCGCCTTTGATAGTACCAAATTTAAATTCTTATCAAACTCCGGATACTCCGCAGATGGCTTCGGAAATACGAGAAATGTTAAAATTACAGGTGCTCGAAGTTACAAAAATAAGTCCCAGCTTCATTTCTCAAATGTTTTTAAGATTAAAACCAGATCAAACTTATCGTCCAATTCTCAACTTAAAGAAATTAAACGATTACATTTTTGTAAAAAAGTTCTACCTCATATCACATTTCGAAATTCCCAACTTTCTCCAGCCAGGCGATTGGCTGACAAAGATAGACATGTCTCAAGCGTATTTTCACGTAAATGTGGCTCCGAGCCATCGTCGATTTTTAAGATTAATTTTCAGAGGAATCGTGTACCAGATGACATGTCTACCGTTTGGAATAGCGTGTGCGCCCCGATGTTTTGCAATGATAACGAACTTCTTGAAACAGCTTCGAGAAACAGGTATTCGTATTGTGGTTTATCTAGACGATTTTTTAATGGCCAATCAAAACAGATGTTTGCTTCAGCAGCAAACATCAAAGACAATTCAATTCCTTCAAGAATTGGGTTGGATTCTGAATTACGAGAAGTCTGTGGTAAATCCTACTCAAAATATAGAATTTTTAGGGATACATTGGGATACAGACAGGAACAGGAAGTGTCTTCCTCATCAGAAGGTACTCAAACTTCGTATACAGCTTCAGCAGCTGCTATCGAAAAAAATGTGTTCTCAAAGGCAAGCCTTAACCATACTAGGCCGTTTAAACTTTGCAAACTATGTTATTCCTCAGGGGCGCTTGCACTGCCGAAACTTTCAACGACACCTTCGTATGCTGCGCAAAGCCCATCCCAGGAGGAAATATGTGCTGTTGTAGTTGACGTTTACTGGTGGAAACATGCAGTAAGCAAATGTTCCTTAATACACTTACCACAGATTACTCATCATCTCGTGACCGATGCATCCAACCTAGGTTGGGGAGCGATGCTAAACGATACGCTATTATCGGGCACGTGGGAAAGGAATCAACAGGGTTGGCACAGCAATCTCAAGGAATTGGTTGCCATACAAAGAGCGATACAAGCTCGGGCGGAGGACTTAAAAGGCGCCAGTCTATTAATACAATCGGACAATTCGACTGCATTAGCATACCTAAGAAACGAAGGTGGTGTGAAATCGGCTCGTTTAATGAAGCAAACTCGCGAGGTATGTCAACTATTTCAAAATTTACAAATAAAGGTGACATTCCAGCATCTACCGGGCCGTTTCAACGGCATCGCGGATTGTTTATCTCGAGGCAAACCGATTCCAGAGTGGCACCTTCTCCCAAGCGCGACATTACCGATATTTCAAATATTCGGTATACCTCAAGTGGACTTATTTGCGTCAACTCGAGCTCATGTTGTCCATCAGTATGTCTCCCTAGATCTACTGGACGAAGAAGCAGTGTTCCACAACGCCTTCAGCAGGCAGTGGCATTACCAATTAGCGTGGATCTTCCCTCCACCATCACTCATACCACGGATTTTGATTCACTTGAACAGCTGCACAGGTCAGTATATAATAATAGCACACCAATGAAAGAAGTCATTTTGGAGGCCAGACCTGCGGAACAGAGCTCTCAGCGAGCCTGTACGAGTGCAGAACCTGAGAGAAACTCTAGTAGATGTAACGACGAGACGCACCTTGCCCAAGGTGAACGATCTAATACTGGAAGCTTGGTTGATTGGAGCTGGGACTCCTTACTCCAGAATTAGACTCCGGACGAGAAAGCAGTACTAGTTAATGGATGGCGTAAGTCCACTTTAATATCTTCTAAGTCTGCTTGGAATCGCTGCGCTAACTGGTGTATCAATAACAATATATCAATAATTAAGCCGCAGTCTAAAGACTTAGCTAAATTTCTCGCGTACCTACATGTTAAAGAGGGATTTAAGCCTTCAACTATACAGCTTTACAGATCGGCAGTGTCTACTATTTGTGAGCCTCACTTAGGCAAGAAATTAAGTGAAGATATTTTTGTGAGACATGTACTTAAATCTATCGCACAGGCTAATCCTCCGAGTTCTCGGGTTCCTATATGGGATCCTCAACAGGTAGTATCGTGGCTACAAAATAATGTACCCCAAGAAGTAACGTACTTTGAAGCAAGTAGGCGATGTGCAGTAATATTGTTGCTTGCGTCAGGTAGACGTGTGCATGATCTTACGCTTCTGCGCATATCCCCTCAACACCTCGAGGATAATGGTACTGATATGACATTTTGGCCTGTATTTGGTTCAAAGACGGATACTGCTAAACAGTCAGGATGGAAGCTTAATGTTAATGAAGACGAGAGGATTTGTCCAGTGTTTTGGATTCGAAAAGTTATTGATTTATTGAAAATAAGAAGACGCTCATTTCAACAACTTTTTATTACCATTCATGGGGAGCCGAAGCCTGCATCCAGGACAGTGATTGCTAACTGGGTAAGAACAGTTTTTAAAGCTGCAGGTATAGATGCTACCCCAGGTAGTACCCGTTCGGCAGTAGCTTCATATAACTGGATACATAATGTACCAATTGATATGATTTTACAAAAAGGTAACTGGAAACAGGCTTCGACTTTCCATAAACATTATTGTAAGGAAATTATAAAGAATACTAATTCTAGTAGTAATCAAAATCTATCTAAATTATTTAATTCAATTTAATTAAACTACATGTGTATTTACCTGTGTGATTTTGAATTGTCTGTTTAATTTATGTAGATAAATAAATATTGTTATTTTATACAACAGCTTATTATTTGTTAATATTTCAGTTAATATGCATACATAACATTTTAGAATGATTACAGCTCATTTAGAACACTTCACCAGGAAATAACAGACACTTCTCACCATCTGCCCGGACAAGGCGAGGAATGCACAATGAATAGGTTTTACCTTACCAATAAAACCTGCATTGTGCTCCGAGCCTTGTCCGGGCACTTTTAGGTACCTGGTGAGAATCAATGAAAGAATAAATTTAGGAGACAAGCCTGCTCCTACCTGGTGGGGAAGGTAGGTGAAACAGGAAGTGGATAAAATGCAACTATATTCGTAGTACGGAAGCTTAGGATGGATAAAACAAGGTGGTTGCCAGCCGCAAAAATACTTATTTACACTCAAGTTCAGCAATAGCTCTCTCACCATCTGCCCGGACAAGGCTCGGAGCACAATGCAGGTTTTATTGGTAAGGTAAAACCTATTCATTATATACGACGATTATTTATTTAATAGCGAAGGCGACGAAGATTACAAAGAACAACGTCAGAGAGTGCTCTGGTGCCTAGAAGAAGCAGTGTCTAGACCGTTGCTGCGCGGGGACGAGGCGTGGCCGCAGCTCGAAGAGCTGGCGCTAGCTCTCCATGACCAAGCGTATGTTGATAAGGTTAGTGGATTTTCATCTATACTAACATTATAAAGAGGTAAAGTTTGTGAGTTTGTGGCATTGTAATATCTGGATCTGCTTAACCGATTTAGATGAAATAACAAGATAGTTTGATACCCTAGGAAGGACATAGGATACTTTTTATCCCGGAAATAATCCCTTAAGGGTGTGAATATGGGGATGAAAATTTGTATTGGGAAGCAAGCCAGGGACGAAGTCGAGCGAAGCGAGGGCGAGTCGCTAGTATAATATAAAGTCATATATCATTCGATATTGAACATAGTTTGTAGTAGTTCTATGAATAATCTTTTAATTTGATCTTGGAGTACTTTAACAAAACTTATATGAACCAATCATAGTGATCACCCTAATTAAAAATCGGAAGACAAAATAGAGAATATGCGTCTGATTTAAATAACAGTGAAATATTTTTTTATAATCTTTATTTCTTTTGAATTAAGCCTATATTAATATTTTTAATGTAATTTCTTTTTGATTAAGAAAATAATTATTAAAAAGTGCAAATATAGGTGGGAAATACAAAGTTTCAACTAAAAGAACGCCATTGGTCAGACCGAATATGACCTCAGAGTATATAGAGCGATTAACGATTTCGTTGCTACAAACTGCGTCTTCATTTTTCTGTGTATGATATATTTTGACGTCATGCCAAGAGTGCGAAGTGGCGGGCGTTTAAAGTATCCATATCGGTATGATACTTTTAAATGTTTTATACTAAATTTTAGTTTTTTGGAGCTGGATAGTTTTTTACAATTGTATAACGATGTAAGCTATTGTATAAAAAATAAAAAAAATCACGCATGTTCCCTATTGAATATCACTTTTATTTATCATTGTTTACTATAGCAAACTGATTTATACACATTGGTATATTCAATACTAATAGAATGCAATTATTATTTATTGACAATGAATTTCTGTGTTCAACTAAACTTAGTTAAATCATAAAAAGACCACATCTGTCTGTCTACTTAAAACGCGACACAATAAAGTGTCTTTGTCTACCTCACAAGAGAAAGAATATTAAGTAAAACAAAATTATATTTATAAAATGAATTAATTTTTAACTACCTCCATGAACATTGTTTTCAAGGTCTCCTGATGCCTATGATACTCATAAAAATTAAATAAAAAAATCTCTTTATATATTACAATTATACTGCTATTATCTATAGATATAATAAAATTCTGAGTTGAATCTGTACATAAAATATTTTTTGGAAAATCTTAGTTTTTGTCTGTCTGTGCGTGATGGGAACGCATCACGAGAAAACCACTTGACGGATTTTGATGAAACTTGGTATGATGGTAGCTGGTTATCCGGATCAATATATAGGATACTTTTTACTGCGATAAAATATCTCATTTCTGAGAAATCTCTACTAACCATTAAAACGTACGTATTACGCTAGTGTATACTATTTTTTATTTATGTATATAGGCTTTTATTTATGTATCTTAGTAACTATTAAAATTTATGTTATAAGAAATAACTTTGGCAGGTGAAAAAGCAACATGATGCAGCCACAGAATATCTGCAAAAAATAACACCATATGAAGATAAACTATTAACAATGGAGTGAGTTATATTATGATACATTTTTGATACTCATAATAGTATTCTCTTATGTTTTTTATATGTATTTATTTTCAGGGATCCTGAAGAAAAAATTAAAGTGTATCAAGAATATATAGAGACTGTGAAAGAGTTGTCCAAGGAGGAGAAATTTTCTGAATGTGATAGTAATGGCATTTTGAAGGTAAGAAGTGTATGTAATAAAATGTTTAAATTATACAAAATATGAATTTAAATCCTGATTTTCTCAGACAAGATGGAGTTGTCTTTCGTGTTTTGACGTAATTTAGCTTACCTATAACCAGGTTACCTTACCATCATAGTGTTGTCTACTGAAAGATTTTAATAATACGAAATATTAAATAACAATAATATAAAGAAGTTTATATATTTGTCAATAGATGTCGTTCATGTATGGATTTTATTGATATTTATATAAAATTAATATTAATAAAAAGTTTTCAAAATAAATTTTTAATTTCCCCAGTGAATATCAAAAACGTGGGTTCTTTAACCTAATTTATATTTTTTTACATTTTTAATTTTAGTTTTAAAAGCTAGTAGCTTATCCTCGAGTCATCAGGTACGCCAGATGCCTTTTGTATTAACAATATTGCCACACTCGCTTCCTTGATAATAATAATAATAATAAAAGTTTATTAGCAATAAGTTTTGACATTAAATTTACACTAAGCGCAAAATAAAGCTTATTACAGTTTATGCTACTTACATCGGTTTGTCACTGCCGACTGTACTAGGCCGAGCCTGTATTACAGACGACAGTTCCTTCCTCTATGATACAAAAGGATTGTCACTAAATTATCATTAAACATTATCACTCATATTTATAACAAAAAGCCATACAATAATTAAATGACATTACAAGGTCAGTTATACTTTAAACATTGATATTCTACATTATTAATATTTTTTTACAAGTACCGCCATAAAAGTTAAATATAGCAGTAGTTAAAGTTAGACCACTAAAAATAATGACAAGCCAAATTTTTAATATAGTAGTTTATATATTTTTTTATTTAAGTACCTAGTTTTAAACAATATGATTTTATGTAATAATTTTTTCTGCATTAATTATTTAGGTATTCATAGGTAATTCATATTATTAAATTGGTTAATTAACATTTATAATGATAATTGTGTGGTGTGTGTTGAATGTTTAAAATGTGAAAATATGTTTGAAATATGTTTTTTATATATGTATAATATTATGTATAATTATATATTTTTGTATTATAATATTTTATGTGTGTACTGTGTTGTGTGATAGATACGGGTGTGTAAGTTAATTGATAAGTTTATGAGTCATTTATCATTTATTTAACTATAGCAAATAATTTTTCTGTGTCATCATAAGTTAGGTTTTTTAATCACTTTACTATGATATTTTTACATTGGTAAGTGTTAAGCGGGTATATATTAAGAGTTTTATTCAATTTATTATAAATAGTGGGACCTAAATAACAGTTGTAATTATGGATGAAAAATGTTCTGTACCGGTTTATTTTACATACTTTATGCTTCAATCTATTTATTGTGAGACTATGGTCATATTCAAGTTTCCGATGTTGATCGATTATTGTATTCCTTATGAATAGCTGCCTGACAGAAAGGACATCGCATTCAGAATATAAATCTGTTGTTGGGTAACTAAATGGTTTAGATGTCATGACTTTTAATATCGCTCGTTGAGCTCTTTCTAGTTTTAACAGATATGTTTTACAAGCTCCACCCCACGATGTAATACAGTATGTTATTACTGACTCAACCAAAGCGCTGTAAACCGTTTTTAAAGTACTAGTATCAGCCACGTAGCGTAGTTTTTTGAATACGAAAATTAACTTTCTTGTTTTTTCAGTTACGTCTTTTATATGTGCATTCCAAGTAAGATTTTCATCTAACAAAACACCGAGATAACGTATAGTTTTAGTTCTATTTAGTGTATTACATTGACAAGAATTCCCATTCCGACAGGAGTGCATTTGAATTTCGAAATTTTGTTCAATAGGTAGTGTCCGCTGAGTGATCGCAATGGCATATATTTAGTTTTAGAAATATTAAGTGTAAGCATGTTTTGATTGAGCCAATTTCTAATATGCTGAATTCCAAGTTCGGTATTTGTTTTGGCCTCAACCCAAGTTTTTCCATGAAATATTATTGAAGTGTCGTCTGCAAAGGTAAATATTTTACCATTTGTTATTTTTAAATCACAAAGATCATTTATATAGATTAAAAACAACGTGGGACCAAGTACACTCCCTTGTGGAACACCGAATATGACAGGAGCGTCACCACTAAATTTCCCGTCAATTGTCACTTTCTGTGTTCTGTTCAACAAATAACTTTTAAATAAGTCCAGTACTTTTCCTCTAATGCCAATATTTTCCATTTTGTTTAGTAATATCGGGACAGATACTGTGTCAAAAGCTTTCGCCAAATCTAAAAATACGCCTATACACCTTTCTTGTTGATCTAGAAGGTTTGCAACGTAGTTAGTAAGGTCAGAGACGACTTGAGAGGAAGATAGACCTGCTCTAAAGCCGTATTGTTTTTCGATATAATCGATTTTTTATTTAAATATGCTACAAGCCTTTTATTTAGTATTTTCTCAAAGATTTTTGATAATGCCGGTAATACAGAAATAGGTCGATAGTTATTGACACAGTCTCTGGTCCCCCCCCTTATATATGGGATGGATAATGGATTGTTTAAATGCTTGAGGGAAAATGCCAGTTTGGATTGAAAGATTTATGATTTATGTGATATGTGGGATTACAGTATTGCTTGCCATTTTAAGAAATCTTGTAGAAATGCCATCACATCCAACTGCACTATCTGTTTTTAAATTGAATAGGATAGATTTAACCTCTTGTTCTGTCGTATAATAAATTGCCATTGAGTCTGTTTGAAGGTGTGTATTCTGTGTAAAATCGGTATTTGATGTAGTTGTATTTGAAATGCCCTCTGCAAGATCTTTAGCAATAGAAACAAAGTAGTTATTTACTTTTTCTAAAGATTCTTCTGGGGTGATCCCGATTTTTAACAACTGTGTTGGGGTTGTTTTAGGTTTAGATCTATCACTAATTTTATCAATTATTTTCCATTTTAGTCTAGGATTATTGGCGTACTTTGTTAACTCATTCCTGTCATGAATACGCTTCAAACGTTTCAGTAAATCATTGCAGAAATTTTTATAACGTTTATATGTAATAATCAATATTTCATTATTAGGATCCCGTTTGCATTTAAAATGCATTCGGTCTCGATTTTTTATACATCGAAGAAGCCCTGGAGTAATCCATGGTTTTATACAACGCATTTTTTTAGGTGTTATATAACTGTTTTTTAGGTAATACTTTCTTAGATTTACGCGAATGTTTGAAAAGATAGTTTTATTTAATAATGTTTTTTAGGTGTTAAATAAAAGTGTATTTTTGAGTATTAAATTTTGAAATAATCTAATTAGGTTTTCAGTATAATTATTAACATCTGTTGATATTATGTTGTCAAAATTCATTAATTTAAGTTCATCGAGAATAGCTTTATAATGAATTTTCTGTGAATTTGTGTTTTTCGTTATAATACTATTATGTTTCAATTTAATGCATGTTAGAACAGGGTAATGATCGGTAAGACTTGTTTCTATGACGATAGTGAGTGAAGGATGCTTGGCTTTGATCATTGAATGATCTAAACAAGTTCTATCTCTAGTTGGATAAACATGACCAGGTAGGAGCCCATGTGTTGCTAATAAATTTAGATATTGATCTGAATTTTTATCTATGTTGTTTTGAGTAATATCTATGTTCAAATCTCCAACTAATACAATGTTATTGTAATTTGACAAATCAGATAGTAGGACATCTAAGAGATCTCAAAAAATTATCAATATTTCGTTCAGATGGAGATCTATAGATGCCAAGTGCAACGGTATCAGTGCTTACTCTAATAAGTAAACATGAGGCATCCGTCAGTATTTTTTCTTCAACGATATAGCCAAAGCTTTGTTTTATGTATGCTATTACTCCATCATTTTGATTTTGATTATTTGTAGTACAGTAAGAGTCATAACTTAACAAGATAGGTGCATTAAGAATTTTTGAGTTCCATGTTTCAGTTAGAATAATAATTTCACACGATATATCCAACCTACCTAACATGACTTGTAGCTGGGCGAAATTTCTATTTATACTTCTAATATTTTGTGTCAATATTTTCAGGTTTAGTGTGTAAAGTTGAGTTTGTACAACTGTTTTGCATGTATCTAAATCATTCATGAATGATTTACCAGGCTCAATATTATCTAGGTTTGCAATTAAGTTAATATGATTAAGTGAATCGAATTTTGAATATTGTATTAGTGACATAATTATATATATAATTTGTAATAATGGATGATGCGTAGTGCTCTGTGTAACATATTTTAGGGTTGTAATGTGCGCAGTGTTTTACAGTTAAGAAGTGGTTAGTAATTAATTTATAAACATTAAAAATAAACAAACAATTGTTAGAACAGTGTTAGCTAAAACTTAATTGATGGAAATGAAAAAAAAATATATAAGAAAAAATGATAAATTTATCCAAATAGTAAAAATGTATACATAGTCATTTTTGACTTTTGAGCGAAGCTAATTGTGTCTCGTCCCTCACCTCGATATGTGCTGCGTCAGGTGATTTACGTAAATAAACTTTACCGTTGCTCGTCCAGCAAAACTTATATTCATTAGTACGTACTAGATCTCTAGCAAGAAAGAATAACCTGCGTGCTTTGGGGGTAAGTGCTTCGGAAACGTAAATTGGACACTGGTTTCCCTTTATTCCTATAACGGCTGAATTGAGTTTTTGTTCAGGATGCTGTTTGTTGTAAGTTTTAACTCCTTGAATAATTTCTGATTTAGTTATGACTGAAGTAATGTCTGCAATAATAGTGCCCTTACCAGACTTTGTAGTGATTCTGTATACGTCTCTGATCTCTTTTTGTGACACATTTACATTTAAGGTTTTACAAGTATTTTGTACGATCTGACATAGATCTCCCTTACTTTCACGTTGTGTTGGCAGTGGGACGTTTCGTATTTCAATACTGGATGCTTTTAAGCTTCTTTCCATGTCTTCTACCCGTGATGCTAGTGAAGCTATTTGCAGTAGATGCTGTTTGCGTTCTTTTTCCAAACTCTCTATTTTTTTCATCATGTCTTCATACTGATTATTGAGAAATTCAATGCCCTTTTCTATGTCTTCGTTTGACTTCTTTATTTGATTATTTTGCTCTTTTATTGTGGCAACTTCTTCTACTAATTTTTCCAACAAAGAATTTTGAGAATTTTTCCAGTCACTTATTAGTTGAGTAATCTCTTCTTTAAATGATAAAAATTTTTCTTCGCTACACTCTCGTTGCCTTTTGTTGCGTTGGGATACAAATGTTGGCGTTACAGCATCAAGAGGAATCTTGGCTACATCTGAATCCGATGAGGTATGTTGAAGCACAGGTGGTGATCTAGTTACTTTAGGCATTTTTAGTTTCAAGTTCACAGTTTATGCGGTCGACTTAAGTTTACTTCTCACAACTACTGCTCGCCTGGTACTTGCTCTTGTTTAAATTTATTTAATTTATTAAAAATGTAATAAATAAGAATGGCAAGACGTCTGTACACTGTCGCGAATCAGGAAGGAAAAAAGAAAGAAGAATTGATAATATATACCATCATTGTAAAATATAACTCTTTGTTTTCTCTAAATTATAATATACCAGAATATTACATATTTAACTCATCTTTATGTCTCTAGGAGCAAAAACATAGGACCTTTGTACTTTCATTTCACCCTCCTCAAGTTTTATTTTCATTTCATTCCACATTTCCTACTGTATGGATTTTTATACTATGGTATGACAATCGGGTGCGCTTCATCCGCGTCTCAACTCGCACGTCCCACGCAATAATTTGTTCTATCTGGACGCCGTCATTAGACGACTATGAATTAGTGGACTGTGGTATTATGTAATCAGTAATTCTATCGCGAATTCAAAAGAATTGTTAAAGAACGTTTGTGTGCTAAAAGTTATTATACACTGAATGATTTTATAGAAGATGGCACGTCTTGGGAATGAAGTGATCGCCTTCAGGCTACTTCAATTGTATAGAAATATTGTAATTTATAATTTAACTTTATAATAGATAATGAAATAATATTAGTCCCTCTGAGTTTCTTTCGCCAGTTATTCTCAGGTCTGAGGCTTCTTTCTCAACTAGTAGACTCATTACGTTCAGTAAAAAATTGTAATAATTTAATGCTAAATAAAACATTTTGAATTTAAATGATATATTTGTTACATGGCCAGGTTTTATACGACCGCGCGACGAGCGAGTGCCTGTCGTGCGCAGAGTCGCACGAGCTGCTGCTGGCGGGCGCGCGGCACGCGCAGCGCGCCGGCTCGCGCGCCACGGTGTGCCGCGTGCTGGACGCGTGTACGCGCCGCTGCCCGCGCAAGGCCACCTTCTGGGTGCTCAAGATGCAGCAGGCTGAACATGAGGAGAAGGATTTTGATGAGGTATGTATGTATGTATTTAGCCCTTTTTTCGTCCCACTGTTAGTCATGAGTCTTCCTTTAATGCGAGAGAGATCAGGCCATAATCCACCAACGCGTAACATCAACTTGGCGGACTGAGCATGTCCTTCAAAAACTTGCTAGATTCTTTCAGACGTGAGGAAACCTGCCCTCACGATAGACACCTTCACTGTAAAACAAGTAAGTGGAAATCATTTTGGAAATTATTCGCACATGAAATATCAGTGGTGCTAGATCCGGGTTTTAAACTCGCTTCACTCGGTTTCTCAAGGGAAAGGACAGTTTCATTTATTATATATATGTATGTATGACTAACTGTTCAATAGATTAATATTTTTGTAAATGAAATCTCAAAGGTGAAGACAATATTCGAGACGGCCCTGAGCAAAGGCATGGAGTCGTACAAGCAGGCGGAGGCGCTGTGGCTGGCGTACCTGGAGCACGCGCGCCGCCGCACCGCCTTCGAGCGCGCCGACCACGTGCAGCGCCTGCGCCGCAGCTTCCGCCTCGCCTGGGACTCGCTCGCTGAGGTACTCCACCTGTCATACCTTTACTATTCTATACAGTTGTCTACCTACATTTTTAGGGTTCCGTACCTAAAGGGTAAAACGGAACCCTATTACTAAGACTCCGCTGTCCGTCCATCTGTCTGTCGTGTCTCATGAACAGTGATAGTTAGTTGAAATTTTCACAGATGATGTATTACTGTTGATGCTATATTAACAACAAATACTAAAAAACAGAATAACATAAATATTTAAGGGGGGCTCCCATACAACAGACATGATTTTTTTGGCGTTTTTATAGATAGTGGTATGGAACCCTTTGTGCGCGAGTACGACTCGCACTTGTTACCTTTAATACTAATATGTGTCATATGAAATGATTGCTTTGGATAAACTTAAAACTAAGTTAGAATAAACAAACGTGGTAAACCTTATAAGCAGCAATTGACTCTTTGTATTATCAGAGCTTAGGCTGCAATCCTAAGGAGACGCGCGGTAGAGGCGACTGTAAACTTACGTTTATATGACACTTGGGGAACAGCTTTAGGGTTGATGATTAACTATTAATTGCCACAATACTAATGTGTTTTAACTATGAAACCGTTCGACATGAAAAAAATATACTTTTGACAACCCTTATATTTGACAGTATTTCGTTTAAAATCAATGGACGTTTACTGTGTTGATTTTTATACTATGCTTTTATTATCACTAATACTCGTAGAAATATTATAATTTTAAAAATGCGCCATCTTTAAAACAACTGAGTAATTATTTTGTTGAGATACTATTTTTTCTTAAAAATGAAATGAGTAAACCCTATATATTTAGGCTATAAATAAAACAAAATACATAGTGAACAATTGAAAAAGTGCCTGTGAAGCGAACTTATTTTTATAGCAACCATTTTTTATTAAATTATAATATGTATATCACACAGGCGACAGACATCAGACAGGCGGCCGGTCGTAAAACTTTTGCCAAATCCTTTCAGCAGTACAGAAGATGTACTGCGCCGTCCCCAAGTGATTGGGAAATAGGCAGGGAGAAGAAGAAGGCTATATTACTTATCGACCATAATATTTTTATACACTTTGTTTAAATTAAATAAAGTCATATTTTCCAGGCCTGGGGCGAGGAAGCAAACGATTGTGAAGTGCCTCTATTTTGGGCACGGATTGAATACAAAAGAATAAAAGACCCCGCGCAAGGGAAAGAAATTTTCGAAGAGATTTTTAGTAAGTTTTAAATAATATATAATAAGATTAAACATCATATTCAAGCTATAATTTAAACTTTACTTTAACGTTTTTGTACTTTAATGATAAAATGTTTATTGCCTCTTTTAATTACTTTTCTGTTGCAGTTAAAGTCAATGTGTGGATCCTAAAAAATGCATATTACAATTATATTAAATTGTCTTTTTTTTTTAGAATATGGTGACAATAAAACTTTATCAAAATACTGGGAGGCGCTTATTCATCTTGAACGATCTCGTGATCCACCGTCCTCTGAACGCAGGTGAGTTTTAGTTTCCATTGCGGACTCGTCCAAGTATGTTAAGCCCATTCGTGAAAAACAACGTAAAGTAGGTCCAAACCTGGGTCTTTGCATCTCTGAGATCTGATATTCAATATAAATATTATCAGTCGTTAATACGATAAAGAAAAACGTGAAAGCCGGTATATTTAGTAGAACCTAACTAGACAAAAGGGATGTATGAAGTCTGCCAACTTGCATTATTAGGCCAGAATAGCGAGCTATAGCTTAATTAAGGGGATTAATTAAATGTAGGATGTAGGATTTGGACGTCAGCAAAGACTGAATTATATTAGTTTTAGTAAGAAATATTTCATAGAACATGGAATTAAGTCATGCAATTTTTAACATTTGCTTATTATAGACTAACAGTTGAGGAAGTTAGTTAAAGTTACGTTTTTTAAATATTTTTTTAAAGAACCCTGTAAGAGTTTGTCAGTATTTTTGTTAAAATCGAAGGCGATTTACTATGTAGATTTTTATATGTACTGTGCTAGTATCGTGCGTTTTTGTTGAAAGCACATATTTAAAAGCAAACCATTGTGTCGTGCAACAGGCTGCGCGACCTGCACCGCCGCGCGCTCCGCAGCGTGCAGGACTACCCGCCGGCGGTGGCGCGCCTGTGGGCGGACCACGAGCGCGACCATGGCCCGCTCGCCGCCGCCGTCGAGTGCGCGCAGCTCTGCGAGGTAATGTCGCCCTGGTACTTGTGGTGCCCATTAGAGAGATTCATGTAACATCAATTAAAAATAAAATGTTGAATGACTTCATGTAAATAAAGATCACCACACGAAGTACTTTAGAATTGGCTTCTAATGTTCAATTAAGTTAATTTAGTGTATAGGGAGTTTCGATATAAATATAAAAAATATAGCTGGCTTCCTTTAAATTTTAAAATATACATTTTATAATCTTCTTATTTCTATCGTTTCGAAGATCGAAATTAAAATCTTAAAATTTTTATTTAAATTAAATCATAAATTCAGTAAATTCTTGGCAGGAAAAACTGAAAGAATGGCGTGAAAGCTACCAAGCTATGAAAGACAAAATGATGGGACAGAAGAACAAAGGCAAGAACGCACAGAACAAAAAATCAAAAACGGACAATAAGAAAAACAAGGAAGATAAACTGAAAGGCAAGAGAAAGTCTGGTGACGCCTCGGAGGGGAGTGAGGTGAAGAGGAAGAAGGATGCAGTGATGGAAGTTGATGTGCCCGAGAAGGATAAAGATAGTGGTGGAGTAAAGAGGTCACATGAAGAGGATGACACAGAATGTAAGTAGACATTTTATACTTTTTTAATATAAATACCTAAATTATAGTCTTGTGTAGCTGTAAATGATAGCCACTATTAATTAGTATTCGACTGAAAATGGATCTTTAGCCGAAAACATAAATGATTTAGACATTAAAAAACATTAATATTTCTGTTGTATATTGAAATCTTGTTTGTTTTTTTTATACCTAGGAAGAGAAAGAGCAAATATAGGCTTTAAAAGAATTAAACGCGATATTTCCATCAGTGAATATAAAATTTCGTGCATTTCTTGTTGTATTGATTAATAATATAATTATTCAATACAATTTTATATAATTTATGATTAACCACCATTAAAATCTTATTTTCGTCTTGGCTGAAGCTTCGGCTGGTTTATGGCCGAAATCGAAAATATGGACGAATTATGATTTTTTTTGTCAAAAATGGCCGAAAACGAAGCTTCGGTCGGTCACTAATTTTAATATATTCTTAATCTATATTTGTATTGCAAAGTTATAATTTAACTCAGTAGTCTTTGCTTACCAGTTCAAAACAGTATATTTGCATTTTCCATACTTTTTGTCACAAAGGTTTTCTTTTTCATAATTTTGTTTTATTTGTTTATTATAATTATCTCAAGAATCGATATTAAAGAATAATATATATGTTTAAACATTTATAAAACTGGAATTGTATTTTTATCTTCAATTATAATATGGAAACAATGTACGTATGAGTTATAAATGGTTATTATAGTGACTGATAGTAAAAGGCAAAGGAGAGACTCGACTGAAGCGGGAGGCGGGAGGGAAGCCTGCACGCTGTTTGTTAGCAACCTCGAATTTAAGTATGTATTCTCTTTTTTTTCTGTTACTTTTACTTACATTAAGTAATTTTAATATCATTTGTCCTAAACAACAAATTTTATATTCAATTGGACTAATTATAATAAAATTCATTCATTAAGATAAAATTGTCAATATACAAATAAGGTCATTTTATATTTATTTTATATCTTGGATAATTGAAGATTTAAAAAAACATTTTTCGGGTTTGCTCGGTATGTCAAAAAGCCAAATAAACAATTTTTTAAATTTGGTCTGTAATTATAATTATACGTAGATTTGTTTATTTAATATAGTTTAGTTGTATTAAGCGATTGTAGTCTAAACGGAAATATACACCTAAGTAAAATAAATACGAATTTTAATTACTGAATATATTTTCAATGCAGAGTGAATGAAGAAAACTTAAGAAACAAATTATCAGAATTCGGAGACATCGTATCGATGCGTGTGAAAGCGGGAGTTAAAGCTTTCGGCGGATCTATTTGTTACTGTCAATACAAAACTCCTGTGAGTACTATATTAATAATTGTTTCAATAGATAAGTGTTTAAGTTGCTTAATAATTAATTGTGTTGTGACGGCACGACGATACGCGTAGACGTTGTTTTCTCTAGTTTTAATATAATATTTTTTTATTTATTTATTATATACTAGCGACTCACTCTCGCTTCGCTCGGGTTCGTCCCTAGCTTGATTCCCCATACATTCTTTCACCTCCATTTTCACCCCTTTAATGGATGATTTCCGGGATAAAAAGTATCCTATGTCCGTTCCAGGGTTTCAACTTATTTTCTTACCAAATTTTATCTAAATCGGTTCAGTAGATCCAGAGATTACCCCCTATACACACACTCACAAACACATAAACTTTGTATTTAGCCCTTTTTAACTGTGCTTAATAATTAATTGTGTGTGTAATACATGAAATGTTTAGTGTTCAACAAAAATCAAACTTCACTAGATTTCTTTAATGTTTTGTCATAATCTATATTATAAAAAAAAGTATTATTAGAAAGCTTATATATATATATATATATATATATATATATATATATATATATATATATATATATATATATATAGCTAGTAATATAACAAAAAAAACACAAAAATATATAGTACTAGATGTCGTTAGATTTAGCACTAATAAGTTGAACGAACGAACAGGAATCAGTAGAGAAAGCAATAAAGCATGACCGCACGCCGCTCGACGGGCGGCCGATGTTCCTGTCGCGCTACGCAGCCGGCAAGGGGAAGGTGTTCAAGTACGCTCTCACCGCTGAGAAGAACAAGCTGTTCATCCGCAACCTGCCCTTCGCGCACTGCACCAAGGACGCCCTCACCGATATATTCGCCAAGTACGGCAAACTGTCAGATGTTAGGGTCGTCACTTTTAAGTAAGTAATAGATTAAATTTAATACAGTTTATGATTAAAGCATTACCGGTAACGATTTTTTCGCGCTTATCACAGCAAAAAACAGGCTTTTTGAACGCAATCTGTCCTTCGCGCCCTGTAGGAAAGACGTATTCGCTAAATACGGCAAAGTAACAGATGTTAGGGTTGCCACTTTTAAGAAAGTTGTGGATTAATAAATGAATTGATGTATGTGGGTAACTTTTTAGTTTATGTTGAAAATGTGTTGCGACGCGATACATTGACAAATTAGTAATTACAATTATTGTCAAAAAAATCTAAAAGTTATTATGTTTTGACACAGTTTTTTACATACAGTTATATCTATGTATGGTGACTAAAGGGTTTCATCTTCGAACCTTCTGAATCCATTATCAAATCTATGGTATATAATTATTATTTTATACCGCCCAGATTAGATAAATTATTATGAATAAGTCTAAAGCGATATGACTAGTATTGTAGCATACTTACCTGTGCTCCACCTGTAAAAAACCTTATTATAATATATAATTATAGTAACAATAATAGATAATCAGTATTGTCGTATATATAAATGTAAACCAACTATAATAAATCATAAATATTGTATAACTGTAAAAATAGTATTTAATTGTATCTAAATAACATACATAAATAAACTACATAAATAAATATACATATAAATAATATCATATAATGTAACAATATGTAAAAGTATAGAATAATATATAACTTACTTGTATAATATTGTACTTAAATATAGTAGTAATTATACTAAATATCTTATGATCAAATTAGATGTAAAATAATTAAAACATTTAATAAATTATTAAACTTTATGTCGGAAGTCGGCATGTCGGAAGGCGGTCGTGGCCGCGTCGTTGCGCATTTTATAAATGTTGCAATAATCCTCAACCGGTACGAGAACAATAGGCATCGGCGACGCAATCATGCGCCGGCCGGCTGACCGCCTCACGCCACAGTCCACAACAGCTACTCAAAGTGAACGCATGTCGCTCTGTATCAGCTCCGTACTTAATCTTGCTATCGTAGTTAATTTAACTTTCACTTTCGTACTTCCATCTTATCATCTGTGTATACTAAACTGCTTGTGCTTACCTATAACTATTTCTTCTGTGAATTTCTTCCGTGCCTTCTGACTGTAACCTGTTTCGCTAAAAAAACTGTGTAGTGAACATTTAAAGTGGCGTGATCATTTGTTGCCTAATCATCCGCACATACATCTCACTCACCCCACATTTTGGTGACCCGCTATCAACACCTGGAATATCTGGAAGAAAGGTACGGCGCATAATATATTATAATGGCCGAACAAGCCCAACAAACTACTTCGAGTCATAAAACCGAAGATGGCGGAAAGACATTTACACCTCACGACATTTGTCGTGTCGGAGTCCGTATGCCCCCGTTTTGGCCCGAAGAACCTGCCGTGTGGTTTGCTCAGGTCGAAGGCAGCTTCGCCCTATCGAAGATTACAGACGATGAAACGAAATATTATTACGTCAGCGGCCAATTGGAACATCGATACGCAGCTGAAGTCAAAGACATTCTCGTCAATCCACCAGCCACCGGTAAGTACGAAACATTAAAAACCGAGCTTATTAAGCGACTATCAGCATCTAGGGAGAAAGAAGTCACTCAACTCCTAATGCACGAAGAGCTTGGAGACAGGCGACCGTCTCAATTTCTACGTCACCTGCGTCACTTAGCTGGCAAAAATATCCCGGACGATTTCATCCGAACTATATGGACCAGTCGTCTGCCAACTAGCTTGCAGACAGTCATCGCATCGCAGCCCGAGTCTACATTAGAAGCGCTCGCAGACCTCGCTGACAAAGTGCACGACCTGGTGCCCTCGACGCCTCAGGTTGCATGCGCGGACGCTGCTCCAGTATCACTGCTGGAAAAGCTCACCAAGGAGGTCGCAGAACTCAGCCGACAAGTTAAATCCCTCTCCACGAATGATTCAAGAAGGTCGTGCTCAAGACAGGGAGGCAGTCAGCGCAACAAAAGTCGTACTCGTTCAAAGTCAAGCTACCGTAAGTACCCAAACTGCTTCTACCACAATAAGTATGGCGACAACGCGCGAACCTGTGTCAAGCCTTGCGATTACCAGCAGGGAAAAGCCAACGGCAGTCATTAATGGCGACAAGCGATTGCCCCAGTTCTTCAGGTCGCCTATTCGTATCGGACCAAAAAACGAAGATGCAGTTCCTGGTCGACACTGGTAGCGACCTCTGTGTCTTCCCTCGCACGGCTTCGAAAACCAGACGACCGAGATCTTCATATGAACTCTTCGCGGCTAATGGTTCGTCGATCACCACCTATGGGTCCACTCAACTGGAACTTGACCTCGGTCTCCGCCGCGTCTTCTCATGGCATTTCGTCGTGGCTGACGTAAGCAAGGCCATCATAGGTGCTGACTTCTTGTCACATTACGGCTTGATTGTTGACTGTCGGAACCGGCGCCTCATCGACAATCACACTTCGTTGTCGACATCTGCAGCGCCAGCACCTTCGACGGACGTCATATCCTCAGTTAAAACTCTCGTCGGTGAGTCGAAGTACATTGAACTCCTTAGGGACTTCCCAGAGATCACTCGACCACCTGGTACTCATCGGGTTATCAGCCACAGCACGGTACACTATCCGGACTTCGCCCGGTCCACCCGTACACTGTACGCCCAGACGACTAGCTCCAGAGAAGCTCAAAATAGCCAAGCACGAGTTTGATGAGATGCTGAAAGCTGGCACTGCTAGACCATCTGAGAGCCCATGGTCGTCTCCCCTGCACCTGGTTCCAAAGAAGGATAAAGGCTGGCGACCGTGCGGCGATTACCGTGCCTTGAACAACCGCACAATACCAGATAGATACCCCATCCGGCACATTCAGGATTTCACCCAGAATATTTCAGGCTGTAAGGTTTTTTCAAAAATCGATCTCGTCAAGGCCTACAACCAGATCCCAGTCAACCCTGAGGACATACCAAAGACGGCCATTACAACTCCGTTTGGAATGTACGAATTCCCTTATATGACTTTCGGTCTTCGGAACGCGGGACAGACATTCCAAAGATTCGTTGACGAGATGACCAGAGACTTGGAATTTTGTTACTGCTATCTGGACGACTTTCTGATATTCTCGCGAGACCTGGAAAGCCATCACCAGCACCTGAAGCTTTTATTCACACGGCTGAAGGAATTTGGTATGGTGATCAACCCTTCTAAATGTGTTTTCGGTGAAGAAGAGGTTACCTTTCTGGGATGCGTGGTGTCGGCGGCTGGCATCAAACCCATGGAAAGCAAAGTAGAAGCTATCAAGCAGTTTCCCATCCCGAAGAATGTGAAGGAACTTAGACGCTTTCTGGGAATGATCAATTTCTACCGTCGTTTCCTCAAAGACGCTGCGAAATCACAAGCTTTGCTTCACGATTTGCTTACTGGCACAGTAAAAGGCTCTCACCCTGTGACACTGACCGGTGACACGCTGAAGGCCTTTGAGGACTGCCCTAACCCCACAGTATCAAAAAAAGTAAGCTATTGTAGCTCCTACAAGTGAACCTAATAAATTAGTTGTCAAATGAATACATTAAAATCTTGTGAAAGAGTCACTATACCAAAACAACTAAAAATCTACTGTTTTTATTCATTAAAAATGATATTTTCACATTTTACAATTTATATTAACATAACCCTATTTTTTCAGAGATGGCAAACCCAAAGGCCTAGCGTACGTAGATTATGAAGACGAAGAATCAGCATCGATTGCAGTGAAACAGAGCAATGGTCTTTTGGTCGGGGACAGGAATATAGAAGTGGCGATAAGCGCGCCGCCCGCGCGCGCCGGCGCCGCGCCCCCCGCGCGCCCTGCACCGCACTCCGGGCCCTCTACTACTATGTGAGTATATCCCTATACTGTATTCGCCGAATGAACCAAGCACTGAGATTTTGCGCTTCTGTGATTAATTGCAGATAAGACGCTTAGGCCGCGATTACAATACAAGTCAATTAGTCTGTCGTTGCATTCCGTACCGTTCAGACGTCTCTCGTGTAGTTACCTGATTTATTATCAATGTAGGAGATGATAGTGATGCGTCGGAAAGCGATAATTAAAAATACAGCTAATTTTACTTTAATGTTTTTTTATTGGTATGTTGATTTATTTCATTACAAATTATTAATAATTCCTCACTAAAGCATTAGCAACATGAACGAGCCCTATAATTTCTAACTAGTTGCAAGTGTTAGTTGGCGGAGCTAGACAGTTTTCTGTCCTTATTAATTTGTATACTAATGTGGGCCAGAGAAAGCGCTTTGTATGGTTCACTCCGTGAATAGAGTATAATCCTAACCTATCTGCCTCGGTGCTCGACTGGCTAGCATGTAAGATCCAGAGGTCCCAGGTTCGAGACCCAGGACTGGCCAAGTTTAGTAACAGCCCGGAGTTCAGAAGTTGGTCATGTGCCTGGTCTCTCACTGCAAATATTGAATTGTCGTCCCACCGGAGTGTGTGACGGGAATAGAGAGTGCACGCTGTGTCTGCGCGTACACTTGTGTACTATAATATCTTTTGCCAGTTTTTTAACATATACCTATACATTTGTCATCTGTCAGTAAATAATAAAATCCGTCATTCGAAATCAAGCAATGCGTTTAATTAATAACTATTCTTCGTCGAGACCTGGTTTTAAAACTTTTAAGTGTAATAAATATATAGCCTTCACAAGTCCTCCGAGGGGTCTCTATACTTTGTATTACATTCGCTATAACTTAGTATATTTTCCTGATCATTCTTCCAAACCATTTACTCCCCACTAGTCAATATTAATTAAAGATCATAAATGCCAATTCAAATAATACTTAATACTACTACTTGAATACATAACCCTACTTGCTGTGCCAGCTGTTTCAGGTTTGAGTCCCGCTGGGGGCATTAACTTGTGTGATGAGCACGAATGTTTGTACTCCAGCCATGGGTGTTTATATTTATAATATGTATGTATTTAAAAATATACATGTGTATTTTATCACTATCTGGTGTCCATAACACAAGCCTCGTAGCTTACCATGGAACTACATGGTTGCTGTGTGTTAATGTCCCAACATATTTATTTAATTTATTATCTTCCAGGCGGCGAACTCAACTGAGCAGTTTTATACCTCGCGTCCTTCAAACCCCGTCGACATCAACTAGTGGTACTAGCAGTTCCAACGGAAAACAGAGCAATGGCGACTCAAAACGACCACTCAGCAACAACGACTTTAGAAACCTGCTGCTTAAGAAATAATTATGTATATATAATAGAAGGTCTGTTATTATGGTATTTAATATTAAACTCTGTTTAGACGTTATAATGAAGAACGAATTTATGGAAGTACTTATGTGTGAATAAATTGATTATTGTGTTTTGTGGCAGTGTCATTAGGCAGTTTTTTTTAAATTAAATTAATTCTTGTTTATGTAATATGTATGTATGTATATATCAAAATGCAATATTGGACAATAATTCTTTTAAGGTAATATTTAAATTTAAAATTAGGATACCTTTTATGGTTTTAAATTGTTTTAGAACGATAAGTTTCCCTTTCACATCACATTCACACAACCCTCGACGCAAAAGTGGGGTGTTATAAGTGTGTCTGTCTGTGGTATCGTAGCGCCCAAACGAATGAAGCGAATGAAAACTCATTTCGTTTACAATTTGTTTTTTGTTCAAACCGTATATATTTTTTTGTTAAATATCTACATTAACAAATCATCGCATAGTCAATTTATTCACGCTTAGTGCGCTCACACAAACGATATTGGATGAATGAATATGTAAAATAAAGAACAATTCTTAAAATATTGAAATGCGAGTGTTCGGTGCATTACAGTGTAAACTGTAGTTTTAGAATTAGATGTCAATAACCTAATTTTATAACATGTCCTTTGCATTACCGATATAACTCTTCATCTTAAACTGTTATTTACTTTGAAACATGTATATGCTAACGATTTGACTCTTAAACTTCTATAGGGAATATGCGTGATTTTTTATATCTTTTATACAATAGCTTCGTTCATCGTTATATATTCGTAAAAAAAAATTTAGCATAAGATTTTTTTTAAATATACGGATACTTTAAATGTCCGCCACTTAGCGAAATGTCATAGTCTATGATAACAGAGCCAGTGTTGCCAATTTAGCGATTTTATTGCTAAATTCGCAACACTGGCTCTATTATTATACTCTGCCGTCACATTCGGTCTGACCAAAGTTGCGTTTCAACTACTTAGAATTTCCTACCTATATTTGTACTTTTTAATAATTATTTTCTTAATCTAAAAATATTACATTAAAAAATATTGATATAGGCTTAATTCAAAAGCAATAAAGATTATTAAAAATGTATATATATTTATCACATATATTTAAATCACACGCATATTTCCTATTGAGAATGCTTCTAAGTTAAGTAAAGAAAAATATGGTTATTTTTAAAAGTAATTTGCCGGTTTGTCTTTGTATACTTAGTGTATAATCAACCTATGAATTGTTTCTTTAAAATAATTATCCAAAAATATATCGCTTAGTGATAAAATATATAAAAACGGATTTGTAAATAATCATACATTCTAAAATATATTATTTTATAACACATCAGTACATCATTTTCTATTTCACTACTTATGTCAAGTCAAACTTTTGGAATGTTGTTGGAATATTGTAGTTTTAATTTTTTAAACATAATTCTAATTTGTGGAAAGGTAACACATTGTTTATATCCAGTCTAATATCATTATTTTACTCATTTGTATTGGTATTGATATCACTGGAAAGAGATATTTGAATGATTTTTCCTACTCAAGGTATTAAGTTAAATAAAAATTACATTTTTTATAAGGACTGTTATGGTAAAACATGTTTAATATTTTATTGTGACAACATATTAAGTAGTTTTTTTTAGAAAGGAAGCGAAATTAAGAGATGCGCGTTTTTATTTTATGTAATGTTTTGATTAAGTGCGAATTTTATTTAAATATGTGCTAAAGTATTACTTTTTTTCTACGTGCTTGCGTACGTTCTGTGGATACTTAGTCCTGGCTGGCTCTTGTGTGATAGTCATTCTATTCTGTTTTTTTTAATCCGAACTCTTAGGCTAAAACACGTTACATTGATAAATAAAAGTAAGTTTAAATTGTTTGTATTTGTTTCATTTCAAATAATTCATCGGCAGATCGTAGATTTACGACTAGCAGAACCCGCCCCGCGGTTTCGCTCGCGCTAAAACTACAGAAAAACTAAAAAAAGTAGGGTTCATACAAACTTTCATCTGCTATTTTACCCCCTTAAGACATGAATTTAGAAAAATGCTAAAACATGTAGTAATTTAATTGTATTGAAGAGTATTAATACCAAGTTTCACGTAATTCTGATCATAAATAATTTTTGGGTTGTATTATAACGTTTTTTCCCGTGGGAATGAGATTATCTCCCTCAATAAAAAGTAGCATATGTCACTCTCCAGCCTTCCAACTATCTCCACACAAAAAATCACGTTAATCCGGCACTCCGTTTCGACGTGAAAGAAAGACAGACACACTCACATTTATAATATTAGTATGGATAGTAATTGTTATTTATAGGCACAGTAAAACAAAAAGTAAATGTAAAATATATGTATTTATAAAAATACATTATACAATTTCATCTCCATCTCAAAAGAGACTTCATATACACATTTCACAAATAGTTAACAATAAATACCTCAAGTATTTCACAATAAATGACATCTAAATTAAATATACTACAAAAGTAAAAATTGGAAAAGTAAAATTTTCGATTCTGTTAAAAGTGATTCATTTTATAAACCAATTTTGTGCACGAAATCGGATGGCGTTCAAATCAAAGAGACTAGACTAAAACGACTTAAATTTACAATACATTGTCAACAAGCACTGTACTAAAATAAGGTACTACATAGATGAATAAAGTAATTTAAACTTAACAATCTCTTTAAAAGTTTCAGATTTTCTAGGTAAAATAGTAAGTATTCTAATACAGTTCATAGCAACGTTTTTGGAATTCGATTTCAGCTTAGCAACATCCAATATTAAAAAAAAACTAAGAAAAAATCCTTCCTAAAAAAATGGTAATAATATATTCTATTACTATATATAATAATAAATCACATGTATAAGCTCTATAATTCTAACAACAACAACTTTTTAAAACGGTTGACGTTGACGCAGCTAAGTCAATTTTTTATATCTAAGAGCAACCGAAGTTCTTGATATTAATTTTTATAGAAAATTTCAAGATATGACAGTTCGATTAAAATGTATAAGTTTTAATATATTTTGATATCACTACTTTAATATTAAATATAAATTTCACAGCACTGAGCAAAACAGGCTATCACAATCGAATGATTCTCTTTGTATATAAAAAGAGAATGAACAATTAATTTTATTTTAAGATTTAATAAATTAACTAGTAGAATGTTAATAGTAAAGACAAATGTTTACGGACGAGTGTTTGTATGGATCTCTAACTTCTAGCAGAATTGATGCAGGGACAATCGTCACACTATGTGTTTTCCATCTTGCCATCTTTTCTTGGATCTCTCGAAGGCTTCCTTTATGCAAGATCTGCAAATTAATAAAATAATTTATTTTTACATAAAAAGAAAAAACTAAATTTTCATGACAAACCTAGTTTTATAAATGACTAGCGACTCATCCTCGCTTCGCTCGGGTTCATCCATAGCTTGATTCCTCATACAAAATTTCATCCCCATTTTCACCCCCTTAAGGGATGATATCCGGGATATAAAGTATCCTATGCCCTGCCCAGGGTCTTAAACTATCTCTTTACTAAATTTCATCTAAATCGGTTTAGTAGATCCAGAGATTACCCCCTACAACGTCACAAACTCGCAATCTCACAAACTTTATTACCTCTTTATAATATTAGTATAGACTAGCATTGCCCGCTGCTCCGCCCGCGTTCAGATGACAAATAACCTAATTCTTAGGTTTTACATATTAGTATACTTTTACATTGCAGTTTTTGTATTTTTTCTCAGAAATGAGACATTTTCCCGCGGTAAAAAGTATCCTATATGTTGACCCGGATAACCAGCTATCAACATACCAATTTTCATCAAAATCCCTTCAGTGGTTTTTATGTGATGCGGTAACAGACACGACAAAAATTCTAAAAACTATAGATTCGGCCTCTGTATCGATAATAATGTTTATTTCAATAAGATTTTTGAAAAAAATATCTAATGTACAAATTCGGCTTAGTTACGATTTTATTATATGTATAGATAAATTCAATAGCGAATTTAACTTCTAGTGCCTCTGTTTCTCCAATGCATTTTGCTTATATCTATTACTTCTTCCAATAGCCACGTAACTCGATCTGTCATCTATTTAGTGTTGAAGCATTTAACTTATAGATAGATCAGAGTAGACCAGGGTCGATAATTTTTCCCCCCCAACGTGCGTTCACCTTGTCGTGGTGGGGGGGCTCAGTAGTGCCCGGCAATCCAACCGGGCGCGAAGCCAAGAAACGCACAGGGAGGTTGCCCACTTCGGTGGGCGGTGGGAGGTGGCCCTCTTCGGGGGGCGGTGTACCATGCGGGTTGCTCCTGGTACTTCTCTGATAGCAGAGTGGACTGTGGAGCAACCCCATGGTTGTGGTGGTCTGCTTCGGCGGACCTGCCGTCGGGGCGTCGTAGTTGAATGCGTAAGCGATCCTGCGACGCCCCATTAAGACGGGGGAAGGTTTTGTTGGGTTTTAGTGGGTAGTACTGGCTGTATTACGCCGGTGAGTCCCACACGTCGTGCGTAAATGCATTTCCCAACGTTAAAAAAAAAAAAAAAAAGAAAAAAAAAAGGGTCGATAATTTTTGAAACCAAAAATAAAAATAATAGGATGAAACCCATTGGAAAAGGAAGAGAATATAACAATCTGATCTGAGATCCCGAAGTGGGAAGGGGTGGGTTTTTAAGGGTAAAAAAACGGTTTATCTCGATTTCCGGCAAAACTACAAGTCCTATGGAAAAAAGTTAAATGGCAAAGTTGTAGGTAATAAAAAGATCTACAACTTTTGCATTTTTAGTTTTATCACATAACCTCAAAATTTTGTGAAAAATTCAAATAACCAACTTTTTGGTTTTTTATTTTTATCTTTTACAAAAAAAAATACCTGAAAAGCGACTGATGCAGTATGTACGCGGAGACGTGCCCCGCGTCCACGTAGCGCACCTCCGCGCCGGGCCAGATCTCCTCCAGCGTGCCGACGTCCTCGCGAGGCACGTACGCGTCGTGCTTCGCGCACACCGCTGTTAGTTGTTGTTAATTATATTAAATAAATCATTATCTATACAATTAATTTATAATTTCGAAACACCCCTAATTGATTAATCACGAAATCTCGCATAGTATAAACTTTAAATTTGGTAGTTAAATTCTTCAGAAACAGTAGATGTCCGATAAGGAAGGATTTTTAGAAATTTTCACAATGTTTGGATGTTTTAATGGGAATCGGTCATTTTCCAATGTGATTAAAATTGGAAATAATGTTTTTGGTTAAAAATGACGATAATTCTAATTAAAAGTTTTAGACAGTGGGGTTGAAAAGTAGAAGATGGTGTGAATATCGAGATTTCGTCATTAATAATAAAAGAAAGATTTTTTTCTAAATCCACAAAAAGGTGTCAGAACTTTGATACTAATATATAAACACGAAGTTTTTTTTCGTTTATTTTTTTGAATGTGTTCATTTCTAGAACGTCATAGCTTAATTATTGCCGAAGGCTATACAACTAATGTTATGACTTTTAAAACTGGAGCAATACACGTAAACTACGCAGGCGAAGCCACAGTCAGACACTACAGTATAATAATATATTTATTGTATGATAAATAATAAACATTAAATCGTGAAAATTAGTATAAATAGCGTAGTTGGGATAGGCGAGAAGCTCACTTAAAATTCCCGAACTGTGCCAAAATATTTGACCTTGAAAATTTATCTCAAGAATGAGAGTAAATTTATGCACCCCATCTCATCTTATATAGTTTGGCTTAAATAAGACAGAATGGCTTTTTCATACTTTTAAGGTTTAGTAATAAATATATTAGCGCTTTTTTATTTGACCGATATTTTCACTTAACGAAAGAAGAAGAAAATATTTTTTATTATAGATAATTATTTTAATATGTACATATTAGATATTGGTAATATTAAATTTTTCAGATTCAGTATCACCAAAATTAGTTGTTATTCTTGTACATAAAACCTAAATGAAAATTAAAGACACCAAATACTATTTGTTATTGTCAAATAAAAAATCTTTTAAAAATCTTAAGAAAATAGAGATTAAATGTTTGTATAAACAAAATCTTACCAATAATCAAAGAAGTATCGAAAGGCACGGAGAAGTTGCTCAAATGCGTGCACTCGTCCATGATCCCTCGCATAAACTGTAGTGCCTCTCTGTCTCTCCAATGTATTTTGCTTATATCTATCTTTTTCCCACTCGGCTTCATGAAAGGCAAATTGACCCAAAGATCTGATGTGAGGTCTGACACGTTCCAAGACCTTCGTTCCGGTTTATCGATTTGTCCTTCCTTTGGAACTAATGCACTAATACTTTCTTTATCTTTGATTGCTAGTGATGTTTTATTTTCGGAAATATTATCTTTTTCAACATTTAAAATTGTTTTTGTTGTTTTGTTGTTATTTACATCTGGCACCCCTGTTGTTGTATTACTAGATTTCTTCAATTGGTCAGTTTCTTCTTTTTGAAGATCTGTGATAAAATAAAGTTTTAACCGAGCATATACATAAAATATAAGCTACATTTTATTAATGTTATATATAATATAACAATATTTACCTCCTTTTATTTTTAGTAATAGCCGTTTGATTCTGCCATCATGTAATTTATTTATATCGTCAATATCTCGCAGTTCCAATTCAAAATTTCTATTCGATGTAAGTTTTTCATATAAACGTTTACTTATTTTATTATCATCTACCAGCCTTTTCAAGTCTTCTTTCAAATCTATCCCCTGCGTATTCGACACACTAACATTATTAGGCACCTTAGGTTTTAATGCTACATGATTATTATCTACATGAGCACTACTTTTGGCACTTTTAGACTCTTTATATGTTATATCCAAACTTTCAAATGTATTACAATTAATTGAGTCTATTACACAATCTTGCGTGTTTCTTTGAGAGATGTGGGGTGGGCTTCGTTCCATGTTTTCAGTATAAGTGCGCGCAAATTTTTTTCCAGCAAGAAATGCTTCATCAACTATCGTCACCATTTTTGACAGTTTTTCTCTATAGACACCATCAGACAAGTACTGATCCTCTAAGAGATCCCAGTTAATAGATTGAGACATGACGCCCTAAAATAAAAAAATAAAAAAAAAACAATTCTTTTAACTCTACATGGATTTGCATTATTCTAGTTAATACGAATTGGGAACTCAGCTCGGAAACAATTTGATTCAAAATATTCACAGAGTAAATTATCACATTCTATACGTTAATATTATTTACCTGTAAGAAAACAGCAGACGCCGTGGACCAAGACAGGCACGGTACTAATACGAGAGGTTTTGGCCAATTTGTTGCTGCGAGGGACGCCATCTGCAGAGTTGAAAACAAGTTAAAAAAATATTTCAATTATAACATAAGTCTTGGATTTAAAATTCAAACATATTATTAAACAAATTTAATTTCATTTACCTATGACTTATAAGTTTTGAAGGTAATTTTATACATATCTTAACTCACATGCCCGCCCATAGAAAGTCCTGTAACTCCTAACGGTCCAAGGCCGTTTCGCTCGCACCAGTGGAACAACACCAAGGATTCCAGGATCAAGCAACCGCCCATCACAAATATGTCCGATACATTATGAAGTGATGATCGACTGTAACACAAAATAGTTTATAGAATAGCTAGGCATTGCCTGTGATATTGTCCTAGTATGTTTACGAGATGGTATGGTCACATCCAATCAATAAACTATTCAATCAAAATATTTTTAATACTATACAATGACTAAAGTATATGCATTTATAATAAAAATAATTTATTATGTTATGTAATAAAAAAGATTTCGTTGATTTTAACCACAATTGAATTGTGGTATTTACAGCTATCTATTGATGTTTCTTTGAATTAATTTTAGTAGTAATTATTATGATATCTCAGAAGTGGTTTTTTGAAGAAAGAAGTTTGGAAGAGCCAACCCCATTCAGAAGTAGGCTTAGAATTGGAGATAAAGCAATCACACTGAAATACTTACATTTGATCAGTAGGTTTTCGAAGTCCATAGAAAGGATTTTCAAGAATTATTCCTCCAATACCTGCTTCTTTCAATAAAGGTTTAACCATTAGGTTTCTCCGTCGCCAAAAAAACTAATAAAATTAAATATTAAAACCCATTCAAACTATTTAAAGAATATATTTTGATAATTTAACCTGATTTTGTTCCCAAATGTCATATAATAGGTACAGTAATTATATATATATAATGTAATTATTACTAGTTGTAAATAGATGACACAGGTGTACATACATAATTGATGACTTGTTTGTAATTTGAAGCTATAAATACGTGCAGCCAAAATATGTATTTGACATAAACAAGTTAAAAATATCTCAATAATATTAGAATGAAATTATACTTCATAACTATATTAGGGTCTAATATAGATAAAAAAAAACCTGTGGCTATTGTTGATGGGACTATGACATTTTTTTTATAATTTAAATGTATTATAATTTTTTATTATAATTAATAATAATATATAATAGATAATAATAATGTGTTTATTACAATTGTTTTAATCCCAATTTTTTGATCCAATAAAAGTTACTATCAATATAATTTTTTTTATATTTTTTTCATACCAAGATGTCAATAATAATAAAATAACTATTATATTATATAATTTGGATTGAATTAGTATAACAACTTAGTATTACAAAGTACATAGTACATACCTTATACAACTTTCTTATTTATGAAACTTTTTAATAAAATATGTGCAATCATAAACATAAATAAATTATATATTAGTATATTTATGGAATTTCTTACATGATCTCCAGTTCCTGCTAAATGTAAGCATACAGGTTTGCAGCGGGTATCGGGCCATTGTACTGGTAATAGTATTTGGAAGTGTGCCTTTTGAGCTATTTGGGGTACTATGCCTGGCAGATACTTTTCCAACGGTGTTAAAAAATATCCTTCTAGCATATGACAGTCTGAGAGTTTTTGTTCCTGATTTGGAAAAGCAAAACCAACCATTTATAATATGCTTAAGTATAAGTTGCAGAAAATCAAAGTAAAGAGCTATAAATTACCTTCGTGATGGTCACTGGATAATCTCTTTCAACTAATTTAAAGCATTCGTCGCGGTTTGACACTACTTTTCTAAACTCAAATAACCTAAAAACATGATGTTATAAGTTGTGTAATTTATAGATATACCCATTATTTTTTGTTTAAAGAGTTTTAAAGCATACAAAAGTATGAAAAGAAAAAAATGGCATATTAAAATCTACTGATACCTCTTTAAATTTTCTGGTTTTCCCCAACCTTTGGTAAAAAATTTCGTTAAGAGTATACTTCGATAAACGGCGTCTAATTTACTTGCGGACATTTTTTGATACACGGGCGGTTGCAATATTTTCACTTTATTTTAAAAACGTTTTTACGCCACTCATTATAAGTCAATATATTATAAGAAAGAAAATCATATGAATGTCACCCATGTCAATATTGTGAACTGCACTTCAGACTTATGTCAATGTCAATTGTCAACATGCTATATGTTGAAATGTTATCACTAGAGTAATTTCAAAAACCCCTAAAACACCCCAACAGAAAATTTGAAAAATGTAGGTTTTTATCTTATATTCATTTGTAATATTTTTTTTATTTTAAATGATTAAAAGTAGCTACAAAAACTTATTTATGGTTATTATAATAATAATTACATATAACTAATTAATAATAATAAACTTCATAGATAACTTAAAAAATAATAAAAAAAGGATAAATCATGCAAATAATATTTAAAAAATGTTATTTATATTTAAGTCATGCTATCAAAGAAAAAAACATCCCCCTAAATAAATCCGTGCAATTCTTTTACCCCTAAATTTGGGAGGAATACTCCTAAGTTGGCTACACAGACCTAAGTTATGGAGGGTACAGCTACAGATAAGGAAGAGTCTCTCATAGTCATAAGGGAGACAAGTTGAAAAAGTGTCCATCTGTATGCTGAAAATAGATAGAGTCACTATCGTACGAAAAACTACGCTATGAATTTAGCTGTAGGGGCATTCACGTGAAGCGGACAACGAAAAAAAAGTAGCTTCTGAAATTCGTTCATATTAGGCATATTTGTACTTCTAGGGAATATGTACAAATATATTTTTTTATTTTAGGTGTAATTGTCAAGTGGGATTCTATAGAATTGATCAGATCAAAGGAAGGGTTTTTTGGATTCTTTTTTCATATTGATGTAATCCGTATTCATATTATAAAAATGTGAAAGTTTGTGAGCATGTATGGATGTTTGTTACTCTTTCACGCCAGAACGGCTTAACGTATCTGGATGAAATTTGGCACATAAACAGATTATAGTCTGGAATAACACATAGCCTACTTTTTATCCCAGAAAAATGTACGGTTCTCGTGGGATAGGTCTGTTTTTGTTTTCCTAGAGGTGAACCCGAGAGAAGCGAGGGTGAGCCGCTAGCTAGTAATAAATGTAGTGTTTTGTATAGAAAATTTACATTTCCAATTTCAAATGATTTTTCTTCTTAAACCGGATGTTAATATTTTAAATAAAATTTTAATAACTTCGACCATTTTAGTTTTAGTCGAACCAAGCTTAAGCCATACTCGTACCTAGATATAAGCATTAGATAATAAGTTCATAATCAGCAAATTAAACAATATATATGTTATTTTATACAAATTATAAGTCATACCCATATAAGTACAACTTAATCAGTCCAAATAAGATAATATATTCAAAAAAAAAGTTTAATAAAAGTCAGTGTCGGACCACGTCCTTCAAAAAATTAGAACTAAGTACCGTTAGTTCTTAGCAAATCTAAAATGTAATCACCAAACATAAAAATATTGTAAACGTAATAAAAAGCGTACGGGTAATTAAAGCCTGTGGGTGTAGTTATTTAAAAAAAAACCGTGTCGCGTCGTATTAGCGCCGTTGGCACACATGTTTGTCCGCGTAATGAGCTCGGCGTAAACCGGTTTGTTTAGCTGGTGCCGGCTCACTAGTTAGTGACAACTAGCGATGGGTCGTCGACGTATTTAGCGTGAACGAAACTAGATCGTTAATTTTCTTTCGTCGACTAGTTGATAGACTAGTTCAAATCGTGGACTGTGGTCCACGTACGCTTCAAGCCTTCAATGTAGTTGTAGACGCTAGACAGTCTATAGTTACTAGTTTACGTTGCGAGACGGACTATCTTAGTCCATGAATTGAACTAGTTCATTTGAAATACGTGAACCGTCGACCGGTTGATTGAACTGGTCCGTTCATTCAACGCCCATCGCTAGTGACAACTTTTATTTGTCATCCGTGGTGACAACTGACAGGTCACGTGCGCATAGCTGTGCGTGTAGTACCTAGCTAGTAGTGTTCCCGCGCACGGCGTTAGTATGAAGCTTTCATTGTTCTGTTTATTTATGCATGTGGTATCAGCACCTGAATAAATAACCGTTTATTTAATCACTATGCATTAAGTCTGCTTGTTACTATTTTATGTGTAAAAAATTTGTAGGTAATGTACATGTTAACATTGATGGTAATATTGTCGGTACGCAACGGAACCCTATTACTATGCCTCTGCTGTCCGATCGTCCGTCCCTCTATCAGAGGGCTGTATCTCATGAACATAATAGGTAGAGTTGAAATTTTTACAGAGTATGTATTTCTATTGTCGCTATAACAACAAATAATAAAAATAAATAAAAATACAAGAAACATTTTTTTAACGTTTGTAATCGATCATCGAAGTTAATATACTGCATACATAAGGTAAATAATCATATTATTTATTATAGGTATACCTCAAAAGTGACCCCAAATTAATTTAAAATATATTCCATCCCTAAAGCTGAAATAATTAGTGCTAAATTTTTTAAAGTACTAGCGACTTACCATCGCTTCGCTCAGATTCATCCCCAACTTCCCCCCAACATGCGTTCACCTTGTCGTAGTAGGGAGAATCAGTAGTGCCCGGCAATCCAACCGGGCGCGAAGCCAAGAAACGCACAGGGAGGTGGCCCTCTTCGGTGGGCGGTGTACCATGTAGGTTGCTCCTGGTACTTCTCTGATATGATATACCTTGATATACCTTGGAGCAACCTATAGTTGTGGTGGTCTGCTTCGTCAGATCTGCCGTCGGGGCGTCGTAGTTGAATGCGTAAGCGATCCTGCGACGCCCCATTAAGACGGGGGAAGGTTATGTTGGGTTTTAGTGGGTAGTACTGGCTTTTTTATGCCGGTGAGTCCCACACCTCGTGCGTAAATGCATTTCCCAACGTTAAAAAAAAGGTTCATCCCTAGCTTGCTTCTCCATACAAATATTATCATGAGATTTAAAAAAATCTTATATTAGTAAAAAAATTTTTTTTAATTTTCTTCTATACAACACTTCCTGACAATAGCTACGACTACTACATTATTCTAGACTTCTGCAATATTATGAAAAATAAGAATGAATTAGACCAGCGCAAAATAGATAAGTAAATAACTTCTTGGGATATGGCACAAATAGAAAAATTAATAAAATCGGAGAAATATCTTCCGAGTTTTAAAGTAAGATTAATAGGAACCTATACTTGTTATTTCTTGAGAAAAGTTTAATTTATTTAATAAATTAACTAATTGGCTTAACCATTGTCAATTTCTGAAATTATATATGGAAATTGAATTTAAACAACTCAAGACCATTTCTTTTTATTTCATTTTTGCTATATGATGTCACTGCGACCATTCCTGCTCTATTGTGATAATTCGAGACCATATTGGATTTTTTGAGTTTAGTTAATAAATTAAACAATAATGTCAATAATTTGTTTTCAGAAATAGAATAATTTTGAATCACAGATGTTTCAAAAAGTGTATAAAATTATAGGGATGCATAAAACTCGAACTACGCCATGTCACCCGTAGTCCAAGGGAATGGGACAAGTATTTGTCACTGTTCCTCCTATCTTATCGCCTAGCATTTACGTAAAAGCATTGCAATTACACGTACTTTGGTCGATTTGGGAAGAGAACTGCGTTTACTGGCAGATTTAAAAAGTGGTTATCCACCAGATACGCCAGTGACCAACGATGAACGAACGATACTTTTCGGTTGGCTGGCCAATGCTATCGTCAACTATCAACATACCGCCAACTAAGTTTTACGTTTGCCCAAGGTGCTCGGCCAGCACCTTGACCCAATGTAAGCATCCCATAAGACATATACAGACAGTTGTCAACATGATTATTAACAACAAGAACAGTTAATTGTAAATTGGCATGTTTAAGAGAGGGACAAAAACATTTTCCAGAAAGCAATGGGGAAGACTTTTGCGATTTTCTCCCGCCAGATGTCGAGATCACTATGATTCTCAGTATATTGTAAAGTTCTATAAGATTGATTTTTTTTTCATTTTATTTAACGGCTCCGCCCGCGTTCAGGTGACCAAAAACCAAATTTCAGGTTTTACATAAAAGTATACTCTTATATTGCAGTTTATGTATTTTTTCTCGGAAATGAGACATTTTTCCGCGGTAAAAAGTATCCTATGAGTTGACCCGGATAACCAGCTATCACCATGCCAAGTTTCATCAAAATCCCTCCAGTGGTTTTTCCGTGATGCGGTAACAGACAGACAGACAGACAAAAATTCTAAAACTATAGATTCGGCCTCTGTATCGATAATAATGTTTTTAACAATAAGATTTTCCAAAAAAATATCTAATGTACAGATTCAGCTTGGTTACAATTTTATTATATATATAGATTTAATTAAAATAACAAATTGTGCAGTGGCTAGGATGTAAAGAAAATGGATCTCATTTGTTCCTAAAAGACGAAAAACTGAAAAAATTGCGGGCTAAAGCATTAAGACGACCAAACTTAGCGAAATCACAATCTTTATATTTAAGGCTACGAGTATGTGGACTCCATTTTACAGAGAAATTTTGAAACTGTCAAATCGTCTACAGGTGAATATTTTATTTTATGTACATTTTTACTACAATTGAAACTTTAACATATACAGACATAATATATAAACAACCATAATTGTTTAAATTGTTGGTATTAATTTACAACGTCGAAAGTTAAAGGAGAACGTCTGTTTTCCCTTGGTCCATAAGGTTTTACCACCTTATGCAGCTGCTATTTTGGACATAAATAAACAACAATTTTCAAGTTAACGTTCAAATTCAGGATATAAACAATAAATAGTTCACTCTCTGAAACTTCAGCATCATTATTATTACAATCTGAAAATTATTGTGGGAAAAGCTGCTCTTTCAGATTTCTATTTCGTAGTCTTTCTTCCCTAGCAATTCCTTAGTAATTCAAAAGTAATAACACATCCATAGAGCAAAACTTGCTTTAATTACCGATCCCACAACTTACAGAACGTAACACTATGTAATTAAATAAGTAAAAGAAAGATAAATGAACACAATAACATATTAATAAATAAATTTATTATATAACTATTATTATTTGTCTTTAAGGCTCCAATATTTTTTTATTTATTATTCATCAAATTCAATGAGTCTACATGACACGTAAGGATTTCCGGTGTACAGAGGACGACATGTACATTCTGGAAGATGACGAAGGACCTATAAAATACATTTATAAGTTAATGTAGACTATACTACTCGTATATAGACTTACTGAAAAGAAGTACCTAAGGAATCATAAATTCAAGAATACTTACATCACAATTAGCATTATCGCCACAGGGTTCTGCATCACAAGGATTGACGCAGCGTCGATTCACACACGATTGGTTACTGCGGCACATGTATGGTCCACATCGGATCGTCCCTACTATTAATTACATAAGTTAAAAAATAAATAAATAAAGTGTAAATGAATCCGTCCATGACCGCGGACACGTCAGCGTTACAGGTAACAATAGATTTCTTAGAAATTTAATTAATTTCTTAGAAATTTATAAGTGACACATAATAATCAGCCGAAAAAACATATGAGTACATAAAAACCGTTTGCATAATCGCAATATATGTTATTTGAGTGTGAGGAATCAACATTTAACCTTGGATCACAATGTAAGGGTGTAAACGAGTGGTAGTGGCGTGGGATTTTGATTTTTTCTCTCGGTCCCTTGACAGGGGTTGGAGGTCTCCAAAACATTTCAAGTCCCTAAGTCAACTTGGGCCAGAGATATCGAGTACGAGATTCAATTTGTCCATCCATTTTCAATTCAAAGATTTTTTTAAACCGGTTCCAAGTATTATGGTTTTATGTACTCACCCTCAATGCTATAGGTAATACTCAAAAGCGCCAATAACGCTATCAACATAATCTTCCCCTTCATCTGTAAAAAAAGACATTAAAAAGTGTAAGTATTCCCTAGGTACGTTTTAACAGTATGGAATAGATACAATATATTTATATATGTCGGAGGAGGATTTAGTTACCTTTTTCTGCATATCATGTAAAAACCTTATTATTGTTTAAATGCACTATGTTATTTAGTTCAGTTTTTAAATTCAAATTAAGAGTAGAAACTTTACTAAACTCTTTATGTCGATTTTTTCCTGAGATATTAGGCTTTCAATAAAAACAGAATCCTTCTCTTTTTTATCATCAATATCTTATAGCATCAATAGCATTTAATGTATGCACAGTAAATTAAAGGGTTATTTTTAAAATTTAAGTCATATTTCTAAAAGGATCTATCTTAGTTTGTAAAAAAAATCATTTTTTTTCATTTTTTACATTTTTTAGGATTTTTTAACAAAACGATGACTAAATTTTGTAAATATCAACTTAATTTTTTTAAATATATTTTTAACTAATGAATAAACAAGATTAGACTATGAATGAATTTCATTTCTTTCTGTAATTACCTTAAAATATTTTTTTCAGAAAAATCAATAAAATTAACTCCAAAATCGATCAAAAACTAATAAAATATCGAATTCGAAAAAAATATAATACAAATAGATTCTACGCCAAAAAATTACAAAATCACTGGTGTATTTTACGTGAATTCCAACTTTTATAATTTTTTCACGACTCATCAAATTGAAAAGTTGGAATATTTACGACGACATTGTATAAATAATAAGCGTCAAATTAAAAACTTAAGGACAGCATTTTTTTCGGTTTTTCCTGAAAAATACATTGGTGTAATGGGTTTATAAAAATTTGGTCAATAAAGTGCATTTCTTCAATGATAATTGATAAAAAATGTAGTTTACAAAATAAAATTATCGATTTCTCCATTTTTTTTAATTTTTAAGGGCGTTTTTACAAGATAACTATATAATGTTTTTATATTTTCAAAAAGTAGACTTCAAGACGAAAAGAATGAGCCCTATCTGAAAATTTAACGTTTTTTTTTAAATTTAAACGCCCACTTGTAGTTGGAGGTGATTTTCAGCCTCGTGAGAACATAAAACATATTAAATAAAACTATCTTTTCGGATTTTGTCGCGGATTTATTTGTATTTTTGTTTCCCGGCGTTTCGAATGCTTTACAGCAATCATGGTCACGGGAGAGACTGATGATTGCTGTAAAGCATTCGAAACGTCGGGAAACAAAAATACAAATAAATCCGCGACAAAATCCGAAAAGATAGTTTTATTTAAAATGTCAAATATTCGCGTAAATCTAAGAAAGTATAACATAAAACATACTTTTTCCGGATATGGCTAAACATTTCAATTTCATTTTTTTTTAATTTATCATATGTATTACGAAGATTACATTCTCTTAGTTTCATGGAAATCAAAAGATTATTCTAGAAATTAAAAATAAAAAACCAAGAAACAGTTAAAAACCGAGTTTTTTGCAAATATCTCGAAAACTTTGAGGTTATGGTTAAAAGTGTTATTTACTCGTAATAAAGTTGTAGATTTTTACTAGACCTACAACTTTTGTAGAAAACATTTTTCAATAGAACGTCACAGTAAACCGGAAATTGAAAAAAAAACTATTTTTCAACGCTTTGCGTCCCCCCATTTATCGGAGATTTCTATTATACCTGCTAACATTTTGAAATCATAAAACTTCAGGTTTTCAATATTTTGTTCCCAAACCGGATTCCGATTGGACTATAAATATAACATAAAAAATATATCCAAAAAAATATATATTTGGCAACATGATTTTTGTTTAATTTTTTAATGTAGTTTTTATATAATTTACGAGTAAAAAAAGGAACCCCTGACGTTTTAGTTAGAAGTCAGTTATAAAGTATTACCAGACCTCTCCAAAGATATTTTATTAAAATTCCCAAAAATATACTTTTGTCAATCTGAAATTTTAATCACGTATTTATTGAGTAATTTTCGATAATACTTGCAAATTGCCAGACAAATTTACCGGTATTAATAAATTCCCAGACGTAAATAAAGTTTACAAATTAGTACTACAAAAAAGTCTTATGCATAGCCATAGGTGCGAGAAAGATAACTTATCGAGGTATGTCAGCAGCTGATGGGGGCCCAAGGTCCTCGCGCTGTGATTGGTTATCGAGAAACCGCGAGTTTCGAATAGGTATGGTTCGGGTTCTGCGTTTACAACAGAGTATTTTAGAGTAGTTTATTAGGGTTCCGTACCCAAAGGGTAAAACGGGACCCTATTACTAAGACTCCGCTGTCCGTCCGTCTGTCTGTCCATCTGTGACCAGACTGTATCTCATGAACCGTGATAGACGGTTGAAATTCTCACAGATGATGTATTTCTGTTGCCGCTATAACAACAAATATGTACTAAAAACAGAATAAAATAAATATTTAAACGGGCTCCCATACAACAAGCTTGATTTTTTTGCCGTATTTATACATAATGGTACGGAACCCTTCATGCGCGAGTACGACTCGCACTTGGCCGATATTTATTTTTTTCTTATAATTGAAAATTAATTAAAATTATATATTAAAATTTTGAAAGTGGAATACGAGAAACAAATAGTTTGGGAACTTTATTGTACTGCTGTCAAACAGAGTTATGTAATGCTATAAAACTTGTAAAATTTCTTATTTTGCAATGAGCCTTATCTTTAAAAGCGAACAGGTTTTTTTTCAATTATTATTCAAAGATAAACTAATTGCCTTGGAATTTTGAGTGTTTTAAATTAATTATGTACCCAAAAAATTTGCAATCTTGCAGTAACACTTTTGTGAAAAAAACTTAAAGTATATAGCATATCGACCTTCAGCTGATGATAGCGGTTTCATGATCTTTGCTAGGATACGTGTGTTGTCGGATTTTGTGTGGGAGTGAAGGGGGGAGGGGGAGGAGGAGGGGGTGTCTCATTAGTGTTCCTATAGTTCAGCCTGGCGCGAAATCAAGAAACGCACAGACAAGTGGCCCACTTCCGTGGGCGGTTGCTCCTGCGGGTTGCTCCTGGTACTTGGCTGACGGCAGAGTGGACCGTTTGGAGCAACTCCATGGTTGTTGTGATCTGCTTCGGCAGACCTGCTGTCGGGGCGTCGTGGTTGAGTGCGTAAGCGATCCTGCGACACCCCATTACTTTTCTAGCCTGCGAGTCCCACATAATCTGTTTGTTTATAGATGGTATGAGTAATTGAATTTCCCAGCATTAAAAAAAAGGATACGTATGGAGTAGTTAGTACGAGCAGCAAACTTGTATACTTAATAATTATCGAACACAAACAAAAACTATGATATTTTTTAGAATACTTATAATCTGAATTTAAAAATATGCATCTTCTAGTAGCCTAAGCAAGAATGTTCGAATTCGTATCGTCAAGGTATCGAGTACTCGATACGATAACAAAATTTGCCAATATTTTAACAGTGCCGGTGAAACCGACGAGTTTACGTGCTCCCCGAGACACAGGGGTGATATACCGACATCTTGTCAACTCGGGGCTCTTACTGAAATTTTCTTATCAGAAAGAATAAATAACTAAAACTTGGCCCGATCCGGGACGCGATTCCATGACCTTCGGATGTGCAACCGTACACGCTAGCCTCTACATCACCGAGGAAGAAGTACTAAGCCAATCGTTTGACTAACGAGAGTTTCATACTGAAATGTCAGCGACGTAATACTCTCGTAAGTAAAAATATTAAATGAATAGCATGTTCCAAAATCTGAAAATATTGAATAGTATTTTTTGATTGGCTTTTAAAGAAATCGTTTATCTACACATATAATAAAATTCTGAGTCGAATCTGATCATTAAATATTTTTTGGAACATCTTATTGAAATAGTCATTCTTATTGATACATACGCCTTTAGAATAGGAGGATCTAATTTTTAGAATTTTTGTCCTTGTTTGTCTGGGAACGCATCAGAAGAAAATCACTGGACAGATTTTGATGAAATTTGGTATTATGATAGCTAGTTATCCGAGTCAACATTTAACATACTTTTTACTATGGGAAAATATGTATCTGAACTCTAAGAAATCTACACTAACCGTTAAAACATAGGGAGAAACCCGAGCGGGGCAAGGGTGAGTCCGTATTTTATTATTTTAATTAGAATATTAAATAGTATAAAAACTTTTTAAAAAATAATAAAAACTGTCTTCCAGGCACTAAAATGTAAAAATAACTAAACGGGGCTTTTCATTTAAAATAGATACCTAATCACATATTTTCGAAATCGGTGCCAGCCGACAATAATTTAAGACATAAATATCTAATAGGTAAATATGTGTTTTACGTATCGAAATATATTAGATTTGCGCGTTCAACCAAACAAACAAACTCTTCAGCTTTATAACATTAGTATGGATTAATTTGAATATCAAAATGTGTTATTTTCACTTACTTTTCACCTCTTTACCACTTGTAGTATATATTTGCATAAAATACAAATAAACACAGTTTGGTTCGTTTGGTCATCAGCATGCAAGATTGACACGTACGCTCTCGCCGAAGGCTCTCCGCAAAGAGTATAGCTCTCCGCCTCTCACGAGTCACGACTCACGTATAAGCTATCACAGATTACTCCATGTTAATCTTTATAAAGTTTATTTATCTATGTAGCTGTCAGTGTCAAATGTCAATCCCCTACCCTTGCACCCGAGACATTATAACTACAGATTAAAATATACACGAACACTACCAGGTAAGTTGTAACGGCGTCGCTGTTGTTGAATTTAGTAATGACGCTTTATAGAATTTCTGCAGTTCTTAGTAGGGATGGGACATTTCACGAGTAGCAAGTGAAAAATCACGTGAAATGCGTAATCATACGTCACACCTGCTACTTAAATTCATAGTGGCTGCTACAAATCACAACTTGGTGAAATCTAGAGCTGTAGCAAACCGTATGTATTCGTTACTGAGTAACGGGTACGCCATCTAGTACCGAGTACCGAAACGT